GCGAGTTATTAATCTGAATTGCCAAGTCTCATGAAGCGCACGCGCAACAACCGCTCAATCTCGACAAGCAGATACGTACCGCTCGTCTCAGAAGTACCACTGTCTGATCTCGCCCGACGCAGTAAGGTTCCTCGTCTATTCAGTGTACCTTACCCACATCACAGTCAAAACCGCGTCTGCCTTCTCAACCCATGTTTAGCGCCCTTGCGAACATCACTTACGTATTCAAACGCCTTTGCCTTGGAAATCGCCAAACTCTATATTTTATATCCATCACAGGTCTGCAAGAACCAAGGCTCTCTCATACAAACACGAGCAGCGCGGCCGCCTGATCAAGGGAGCGAGGTGTCAGGGGTTGTTGGTGGTGGCGCGGGTGTATGATATGCATCTTGGGACGTCACGGCCTCAAAGTTCACAAGTCCAAACAGCTCGTCATCATCTCTCTCCGTGAGCCCCGTCTCGAACTCGACTGGAGTCGAACCGGCAAGTCGGATGGGCCTTTTTGTCTTTTTTTTTTCCTGGTATCTAGCGGGAACCGCTTAGCCGCCCGTCCAGCCAGGTCTAATGCAAGTCTCGAACATCAGCAAAGTGAGACAAAGACGGTCTTTCATCCAAGACAACAACCAGATCTCATTCCCGTGCCGTCCGTCCACTCATTCTCACCCGATGCGCTATGCATATCCGTCCGTCCCCTCCTCCTCCTCCCCGCCCCCCGTCCGACTGCTGGAGGGGATCGGCCAAGGCGGCGCGGACGGCCCAAAACGATGGCTGCAAGACAAACCCAAACCCCGTGGAGACAGAGCAGCAGGGCATGTGGATCGGATCGCACGCCAAAAGGTCCAGAGGCGCGGTTGTAAGACAAGACAAGACGGACACATGCATTGCGGCCACTCAAAACCGGTTGAACACATTCGATCGCGACATGACCTGCAGTGTCTCGCCTTCCCGGGGTCCGGACCTCTCTCTCTGTTTGCTGGGCGTATCCAAACAACTCTCAAATGAGACTTGTTAAGACCCCATTGGCAAGAGAAGTAGAGCCAACCAGAGAGTCGACGAGTCCGAGACCTCCATCGACCTCGAAGGCTCGAACTCCATATCTCTCTTTGTCCCAATTTCCCCCTCCCCCATCATTATTGATTGGAAGTGGTTCCATTCCCCCATATCCCGTATGCCCTGGCTCCGGGTTCCGGTGTCTCTCCATTTCGTACTCGCCCTCTGCCCCGCGGAGAACGAAGCTCAACTCTCAGCCACAAACAGGCACAGGCACAGGCACATACATACACGCGCCAATGGCAACGATATACTCTTATCTACCACCGCACTGGCAGCCAAAAACGGCTTCAGCCATCGGCCTAGCCCCAAATCATAGATTGTCCAGAATGGAATACTACTCGTCGTTCACGAACGGGGCCTGGACGAGAGGGAGAATTGAGAAACGGGGCGCGCCAGTCCAGAAATGGCGGTCAATTTGTCGCTGTTACCACCTTTCACGTCTCCAAACAAACCCAGCTGCACGAATCCACCATCCCATCTCATCCCATCCCACTCTACACTACCCTTGGACTCCGCCGCATCTTTCTCTCGTGGTTCCCACTTCGTAACGACTTGACGAACGGGCCCTTTGCCTGCTTTCTGGGACAAAACCCACCTTTCTGCAATGGAGACAGCTCTAGGAGCTGGGGCAGCTAAGCTAGGAGAGCTGGGAGAGCGCGCACACACACTGGAGTCTGAAGCTGGAGCGCGCGCGCGCGGGCGCAAGCAAGAAGATGCCCAGAGAGGGAGACAGAAGAGGCTTAACTCCTCGTCAAATGGACCCCCCACCTCCCAAAAGAGAGAACCCACCCAGACGTCACGGCATATCCCATGTCACTCGACACAGTCGAGGCCCCAAAACACACTCTCTCACTTCCAACAGTGTCAAGGGGAGTGTGAGGGGGCCCAGAGGAAAAAGCCACGATGGGGCGGCGTTCATCAACAAGTGTGATGATGACCCATATTCAGATCGGCGTCCGAGGAGGCCTTCGTGGTGGAATATTTCCGCCAGACTGGTTGACCGGTGGTCCCTCTCAGAAAATCACGAGAGGGTCGTCCTCTTTCCTTCCCACTTCAGCTGTTATTATTAACGATCCCATGTTGTTTAATCCCTCTCAAATTAGAATAAGAATGCCTCTAGTGTAGCAGAACGAACCACGCCCCCCCTCACCCTCGCCATTCCCCCCTCTCCTCTCCTCCAATCCCCATCAGATCCCCATTGCTGGAACCCGTTCTTTTCACGTCAATCCCAACTGCGCCAAGTCGGAGGGATTCCTGTCGGCTATTCCAGCGTCGCTTAAGATAGCAGCATGCGCCTAAAGGAATTCCCGGTCCTGGGCCGAGTTCGTTCGTTGGTGGTCATACGAAATAAAATAAAGATAAAATAAGGGCTGAAAAGTGAGGCTCTAGGCGGTGCCAGGGCGGCGCCGCCGCGGCGTGGGATTTTTCGAGACTCGGCACCGGTACGGTACATACGTACATACAACGGCCGTCAGATTCACAACCAGGGTTCCGGGATTTGCATTCTCTTTTCTGATCAAACTCGGGCCCGAAGGAGATTGAATTCCGATTGAACTGGTTGAACTGCAAATCATTGATTTGTGCGCAGTCAACGAACCCGCCAGATACGCCACTTTGCACTTACGGTAGAGAGCGGCTTGGCGGGGATGGTCCAAGTCAAATCAACTCCCGTCCTTCTTCGTTCGTTCCCCCGCAGCATATTCTTGCGTGGGACCTTTCGCCCCGTACGTGCCTCTTTTGGACGATGAAGAAGGGGTCCAAGCAACCCTCACATGAACAGCAAACGGGATATATGCTTGGCTGGCAATCTTTGGCGAGAGTAGGGTATCACACATATCGGTTCGGGAAGGGTAGATAGGTGAGGGGCGCCCGCGTGCGCGCTTGGATCAGGGTCTGGTTTTATTTGAAGGAGACGCAGGATACCCAGAGATGGCAGTATGGAGAGAGATTGAGTGAGAGAGAGTGGTGAGAGTGAGAGCCGTGTAAGAGTGTGAGTGGAGTACCCTCACCTAAACCTTTAACACAACACCTGGCTCATTTCTACCCGTACCCGTGATTGGGGGGGGGGGGGAGGGGAATGAGGCATGGAACCCGGAGACTCTATTACAGAAAGAGAACAGTGAGTAACTGTGGGAGAGAAGGAGAATGTTTGATGTCCCGAGAGAGCCAAGGAAGCCAAGCGAAGGGGGCAGGCAAAGGCAGAGGCAGGCGGGCAGAGGCGGGCGGATGTCGATTGGGCTCTCTTCTCGCGCGGTATGTGCGTCTGCGTCTACTGGCGTGACCATGCGGCAAGGGCGCCTGGCCTCCCCATCCCCTTGCCGTCTCTCTCTCTCCCACTCTCTCTGTCTCTCTGTCTCTCAATGTCTCCTTTGCTCGCTCCAGCCTACCTTACCCCGGTCACCGGTGTGTCTTGCACCTTGCCCTGCCTTTTTTCCTCTGTGTCTTGGTATTTTTTTTTTAACCTCTCGGCTCCAGCAATGCGATCCGCCGGACACTTCCCTTCCCGTCCGGTCTGTTCTGTCCTGTCCTGTCCCATCCTGTTCTGTTCAGAGTTCTCGTGTGTCTGCCTGCCATTTCCCAGTTGACGTGAGGTGTGTGTGTCTGAGAGATAGATAGTCTTTAGTCTCACAGTCTTGGTGTGTGTATTGGCGTGCGTGTAATACAACCATAGCAGCCAGCTCAGCCAATCTCTCTGCGCTCAAATCATGCTCCTACGCCCAGCCAAATAAATCCGTCTCATCTGATTGGCCGGGCGCCCCAGAAAACACACTTCCCGTCACTGTTCAATCTGTCTTGGAAAAAGGGTCTCGCAGCCAAAAATCTTGGATCTACTCTCTTCGACTATGTCATGGTGGATAAACTGAAAGGGAAGGGACCAGGGCAGTTGCTTGTGTCCGTCTGTCCTCCATCCATCTATCTATCTCGGCTGGATCGGTTCGTCGAGTTTAAAAATCCCGAGTCAATACCACAGATTTCCGTATCAGAGGTGACCAAAAAGTCAATTACACGATGGATGGGTGGGTTTGTCTGAGCTTGGGTTAGTAAACAGGAAAAAAAAGACGACGGGTTGTCTTGCTTCCAGGCAAAGGTGATGATGATTGACGTGAGTGATCGGCGGCCCAATGGTGTCACATTCTCCAGGTTGTCCTCTTCCCGCATTTGGACTGAACTCTGTTGGTGAACCCCGGGGAACTCATGATCATGAACTCATGATGATTGATTCGTCTCACTGCAATTGGACCAAAGCTTCATTTTCAAAAGTATTGAGCGAGTAAAAAAACTTTTGTCTTCTTGCGCTTCTCTCGTGGTAAGAATGACGTCCCCCTCCTATCCACTGAACTATGGTTAAACATGAAAGTTCGAAAAAAAATGGTTCACATTCTTATGATCCCAACCCCAGAATGTGGTGTATAAAACTTGTCGCCCCCTTTCCCCAAAAGTCTAAGAACCGCCCAATGGTTTGATATACCCCGTAAAAATGACGAAAGTCGAAAACGTTAAAAGAGCCTCCCAATCCTGTAAAGCGCCTTCTTTCTCCAGGTTTTCCAAACAATCGGGACGAAAATCAAGAAAAATTGTTCTCGCAAAAAAAGCCCCTCCAAACCCAACCCCCGAGACACCGGTATTTTTTTGTGAACAGAAGAGACAATAAGTCGTGTGAAGAGAAGATGAAACAAAACCAGCCAATCAGACGTGCTCCCCAGCCGCCTCGAAATGCCTCGACAACGAACCAACCCGTTTTTAGTTTTATCTACTACAAAGACCATTCCGGCAAAAGTGTGTGTGTGTTTTCCAAGGTCCCATCCCATTCCAGCTAGAATGAAACTCCGTAACAAGGGGGGATATAAGAACGAAAAAGAGCCAAGAAGCGAATCAGGAGGGTTCGGCGGGGGGATGGATGGATATGAACAATAGACAGGAAGAACTCATACACGGCAGCACCCTGGCTAGGACCCTTCGACGGCAACGCAGCCACGAAGCTCGGGGTAGCGCCGAATGAAGTTCTCGTTGAGGCGCCAGTTTTGGACGCTCATTGCGTGGTCCGTGAACGTGTCGCTCAGCCACATTTCCCCAGACTGCGGGTCGACGACCAGGGCGTCAATGGGTCGGCACGGCCAGTTGATGAGTCTCAGGCTGGATGAGTAAACTGCCTGAAACTCCTCGTTGGCGTACACGTCTTGCCTCTGGATGATGGCGGCACGCAGAGGTGCCCAGAGGACGAGGTCGACCCACAGGGGGTGTGGAACGGTGGTCTGGCTTGGCTTGGGGGCGAGCTCCGGCATGATGGCCATGTACGCCTCACGTGTCGGATGCACAAGCCAGGCGACGGCTCGCTGGATGACGGCGAAGACGGCGAGACGCTCGATGACGTTCGTGACGCCGGCTTTGTTGACGAGTGCAGTGATGAGCTCGGCCATGGGATGGTTGGCGCCGGGACCGGTTGTGGTGGTGGAGGCGGCTCTGTCGAGATCGGCTAGCTGGCACCGCGGAGGCGAGGTGGTGGGTGAGGCCGGATGGTACTCGAGGAAGTTCTTCATGTTGACCCTGGCAGGCCGGAGGAGCGTGTCGAGGGATTTGAGTTGGGACAGTCGGCGGCAGTCTTGGACGAAGCCAACTAGGAGCTGGTCGATTCGACAGGTTGGCGGAACGATGAGTGTCGGAATCTCCCAGAGGGTGGTGCCGGGCTGTCGAATCAGTGGGCCGACGGTTGCTGGTAGTACACCGGGGTTGGATACGTATTCCACGACTGCTGATGAGGGAGATATGACTGATGCGGGATGTGTACGTGTTGCGGGTGGCCCATTGTGTGGTTGTGAGGGTATCCAGCGTCTAGAAACTGAGTGGTTAGCGTCTCAGAATTGCGTTGACCCAACCTCCGCGTGCGGGAAGAACACCCACCAGAGTCGACGTCGTCGTACTCCATCTTGGCCGGGATGCTACGGGAGTCCATCATCGGGGCGGGAACGCTGGTTGGGATGTAGCCAGCGCCGTACTCGTCCGTGTTGGCCGAGGATGACGGGCTCGAGACGGTAGAGGGAACGGAAACGGGAATACCTGGACCCCATGACTCTGACGCATCCGGCATGGGCACGTACGAAGGGCCAAGTTCTTGCATGACGTTGTAGTCACCATTTGAGGGGAAGGGCGACGACCTGGGGCTGGAGACGGCCCCGCTGATTGAACTGAGGTTGTCGTCGTAGACTGAAGCCGAGTCAGCACGAACCAGATGCACCCACGCAGACGAGGCAGTAGCGGCAGTCGTACCTGAGTTTGGGTATGACTGCCCGTTGGGAATGCCCATGCTCTCACGGAGCTTGAACAGTTCCTCTTCAAGGGCCTTGTTCTTGCGCAAGAGCTCCTGGACCGTCTGACTTTGGTCGCGGTTGCGTTCACTCTTAAGCTCCTCGAGCTCTCGCTCGAGTCTCTCGATGTGCTCCTTTGTCCTGGCCCTGATGGCACGCTGAGCTTCTCTGTCGTTGGCACGCTTGCGCGCCAGCTGGGACGGCGTCAAGGTCGAGACGCTTCTGGTGCCTGTGAGGAGATGTCAGTCAACATGCCGTACCTTGATATCGTATGCCATCTGAGATCGTGAGGGAAGAGGAAGGAGTGCGGGGTGCTGTGATATGGTGGTGGTGATGGTGGAAGACGGCGGCGGCGGTGGACGAGAGAACAAAGGCGCAGTATCATGGCCGGCAAGACACAAGACAGACTGCGTCTTGGACCCCGAGCCGCGAATATCGCCGTCAAGACGAATCAAGAAGTGGTGTTGCGTACCCTTGCGCTTGGTAGGCTTCGTGGGCTCTGCTGAAGCTGATCGCGTCATGTCGGCGGCTTGTTTGTCGTCGTGTTGTGTAACAACGGTAGCGGTGACAGGTGTTGTTCGGTTGTGGGCGAGAGCAGTATGGGCCATACTCTTGTGAAGAAGAGGAGAAGAGAGGGCAGGGCGTTGAAGTGTTGTGTTGTTGGTGTTACGAGGCAGGGATCAAACGAAGAGGATCAAGAGGCAGCAGCAGCATCTGGAGTTATAAGATGTCTATTGACGACGAAGAGAGAGCAGACACAACAACAGGGCCCCCAGTGCCGGCGGCAAGAGTTTCAGGGCAGCTGGGAGCGATGGGTAGGTACCGTCCGTTAGTACCTTGGAGGAGTACGAGGGGTGGCACGTACATGGACGTAGGTAGGGACAAGGGGTGTGGGATGGAGAGGGGAGGGGAGATGTTACTCGAGGATGAGGAGGTGTGTGGTGGTGGTGGTTCCGTAGTAGTGGTGGTGAAAGTGCAGTGTACGAATTACCTTAGAAGACGAAGAGAAGGACGAGGATGAGAAGCAAGAGTGAGTGAGGCACACCACAGAGGAGTGGAAGGGTGCTGGCTGCTGCTGCTACCTCAGGCTCAGAGCAGGAGCAGGAGCAGGGGTACGAGGGACATGGCTGTGGCTGCATCCGGGCTTGAGGTAAGGTGCAGCGGAGCAGCGGTACCAGCAATACCAGCAGCTGCAGATGCCAGCTTGTACTCCGGTACTCGAGTACTTTTGGTTCAGAGATGGGTCAAGTATCGGTGAAGAGAACGCAACTTGGCACATGACAGTTGATGTTAGGCACAGACATAGCGCAAATTGCTAACCCACTTCGAGAACAACTTACAGATCTAATCAAGGATGGGCTGGGGATGATGGGTACACAGGGGTCTCGAGAGAAGAGGACAAGACGGCGACCAGGGGAGGGGGGGGGCACGTCAGGGCCAGGGGCGTTTTGGGTGTCGGCAGGTACGTACGGTACGTACCCGAAGGGACCTCTGATCAGGGGTGTAGGGTTTTGTAAAATGGAGATTTATCCCACGCCAGGTGGGGTGTATCAAAAACAAGGGGAGGGGTGCGAAAGATGCGAGAAATGCAGAGTGCATCCATTCCGCTACCTCTTGCTTTAGTACCTGAGGCCACTACCCATCTCAGTAAATGAAGCCAGAGACCAAAAAACCGCCTTAGGTAATGAAATGGCCATCACACTCTACCTTGGGTCCTAGTGCAATGTAAGAGCTATGAAGCTACTCCATACCATACGGATACATGATACACCAAACCAATGCTCAACGGAATCGCATCTCAGAGCCAAGCCGAACCGCTTCTCTCCTTCTTGCATCTCGTCCTCCACCTAAACGATAAGCCTAACCGTACCAGGCCTCATATCTCTTCCGTTTACGCTTATGCCGTCGCATGTCGCGTATAAGGTGTCTTCCCTCTCAGTCGCAACCAAGGTGGGCGGTCCCCCGTGATTGTGGCCTCGTGCTGGTTCGACTTCGACTTCTGGGATGATGTGCCCGGTGGGGTGCCTTATCCGTGAAGTTGCCTTACCTCTCCAAATGGTCTGGTCTGGAACTGCTGCTGCTGTTGATGCTAGACCAGAACAGAATGAAAGTGTTACATGGTAACAGAGTTGCAAAACGGCCTGGCATCCGTACCGCCTAAGAGCAAGAGAAACCGGCTGGTGGTATCGCAAGTTCGTAAACCGTAAGGCCATATCCATATCCATATCCATTAGCAAGGCAAGGCGAGGCAAGGCAAGGTTTGTAGCTTTGTTCCACAGGAAAAGGTACCCAGCTGCCCTGCCCAGTGCCAGTGGTCCGTTGCAGACCACCTTACCGAGTAACACGCCGTCACAGCACCAAATCAAACCTCGACTCCTCTTTTCCCGCGCTTGACTTTGGCTGGCCTTGCCTTGCCTTGTCTTGCCTTGCCTTGTCTTGCCTTGCCTTGTCTTGCCTTGCCATGCCTTCCCGATACCTTGTCCGCCTTATCCATGGGCGGGCGTGTATGAGGTCGTTGAAGAAAGATGCCAGCCACGTCCACGTCCACATCCACGTCCTCTCCCGCCTGGGCTTATCCATCCTGCGAGCCCATCGCCGGGGCACTGGTCATAGCCATCCATACCTGGAGACTGGGGGGTTATTTCACATTGCTGCGGTACCAGCCAGGGCGACGAGCATCAGCAGCAGCAGCAGCAACAACAGTCCGGTCATTGCTTTGAATAGCTACACCCTTGACGGTGGTCCAAGGGCTCCTGGCCCATGATGACGCCCAGACCAAGACGGGCTGGTGGTAAAGCCGCCATGGCCATCGCGTCTCCGTATTGCGAACTGCGGAACGGAAAAGCCGCCATACATTGGCATTGGCATTGGCAATGGCAGTCCTGTCCCGGTCCCTCCTTCTGATTATCGATCGTCTGGTAGCGAGAAAGAAGGCAGTGAGCACTTGCAAATGGCTGGGCCCCCCGTAAGCCTCAATTCTATCGCTCATAAGGTACAGAGTAGCTCATCAGCGCCGCCGTGCTGCACTGCATCTCACAGCCTGCATGCCCAGGAACCCTCGGCCACCCTCCGATGACCGGGGGTTGCGGACTGAGATTATGACGAAATGCCACGAAAGTGCACGCAGGCTGAAATGAGCGCCACGAGTGGGCGGCATTGTTGGCAGTTGTAGCCTGCGGTCGGGAAGAGCGCCCAGGGGATGCTAGAGCGTGCGGAGGCGCAAAGATAGCCGTAGAGGCTCAACATACGTACCGTACTGGCGGATGAGTGAATGATTGGCATATGGGGGGAGCATTCATGTGTGTGAGAGGAAGGGGAGATTTCGGGGTCTCCATGTTGATGCGGGCGAAAACCTGGCGAAACGCGCGCGCGCGGGGGCGGGCGGGCGAGCTCTCGCAAGAAATGCTCAGACACAGATAGAGAGAGGAGGCACACACCAACTCGCTGCATTCACTTTTGAATCTCGAAAAGTGGAAGTACTGCGTAGTGAGTGAGGTGAGGTAAAGTGAGGTGAGGTGAACACACACAAATTGGGGCCTTGCGAGAGGTGGGAAAGATGGAGAAGTCCAAGGAAGATACGTACTCCTGCTGCAAAATAAACTTTACGCTAGTGCCCAATTCGTCGTAGCTCGGTGGGCGCCGATACGCGGCCCAGCAGCAAGAAAAAAAAGAGTGGCCTTGTATGGACCAGGGACCACCCAATGATGGAGACTCCCAATTCATCACTGAAGTGGGACACTGGAGTTTACGGTACGGTGCTGTCCCAGCCAGCCAGCCAGCCAGCCCAGGGCACCTCAAGGTACCTTAAGCTCTCCTGGGATCCTCTCTCTCTTAGTCTCCTCCCCCTTGACGGTACGTACCCGACTGCCGTGAACCATCCTCTTAGCCCCATGCACGGAAACCTGCTGCTCCAACTTGGTCCTCCGGCAGCGGCCAGCCCGACCGAGTGTGGTACCTCTCGTGCCTGTGCAACAGCGGTACCGATATCCCAACCCATACGCTTGTATCAGATGGCTAGAGGGGTGTGAGAGAATGAGAGAAAGACGTGGGAGACACGCAGATGCGCTCGCATATTCCGCCCTCGCCATCCTCGACGGTATCTCGAACGACTTTTCATGCCGCCGAGTGTGGCCTTTTTTGGTGATGGGTGATGGTGTGATCTCAATGCCTCAAAGCAGAGTGGTGTCATGGACTCGACAATAGTTCCGCGAGGAACAGGAAATTCCGTTAGAGTCTTTCGGAACCCCTACCCCAATGGCACTTAGCCGACCAACCGTCTCGGGTTTTTCGAAATACTAGTAAAGGTGTAAAGGAATGGCTGGAAGCTAGGCAGCCTCTCCGTGTCTTCCATTCCGAGGCCCCCTTCTAGCATGTCAAACGGGGAGCGGAAGTCTTTCGAGGGCGGCGAGGCGGTCTCAATGGCATGCGCGGCACTGCTAACGATGATGAGGCCTTCTAGCCCGCCCGCCAGAAACATTCAGATGCCAATCGTCGGTGCCAATCCCGGAGCCATTGCCAGGAACTACTTGGCGCTTCCGCTCCGTCTGTGACTTATTAGACTGCTTTACTGCTTCGTGAGCCACGCCGCGATGACAATTCACCAACGGCCAAGCCGGTTTTTGCGACTAGAACGCCCGATGACCCGAATCCAAACCACCTCGGGCTTAGACCTGACGACGGACCAGCCGCCTCCGGTGCCTTGTTCATTTTATCGAAACACTGTAAACCGGCCGCTCGAACGGCATCTTCGGGATCTGTTGTGCGTGAGATGTGGATAGTCCTGAAGGGCGGAAATCATTCCATTTTCTTTCGAAAAGCGCGGCATGTGGACGACGGAGAATGCAACCGCCAAGGTGGTCGGATGGTGTAGTCGTTCCAATCGCCGGACTTGGTTCCGGTGGTCCAATCCTGTGTTAAAGCGTTGTTGAACTGCCGGTGGCATATTTTCTCTGATGTGCTGATGGCTTTTTCCGTGTATCGGAATGCGTGCTTGTGGCGGATGATGCATATCGCCTCTAGCCTGATCTACCTCACCCTCGCTTCAACATTAGTACTATTCGCCTGGCAAAACTCAACAACGGTCGAAGAGGTTGCTGGCCTCTTCATCGCCCTTGGTCGTCGCTACTTCTCTGTCTCACTTCAGCTTCATGGACGTCCATCTACCCGAGCTGCCATTGCTTTGGCGCAGCCTGCATCTCGCAGAAACACTCGCTCGGATTCTTCCAGAAGCAGGCCTGTCTATTTTGGTGAGCATGCACAACCACAACTGAATGCCTGTCCCGGCAGGCTGAGCGCGAGATCGCCGCTGTCAACGCTGAATGGGCCGAAAATCGCACGTGTTGCTGCCTCGCCTCCCGTCCCGTGTTTTTTTTTTTGGTTTTCTGTTTCCCGTTTTTCCTCGGGTTTTGGCGGCGCACAGGTGCTTCGATGACAGTGCGCCTGCAGTTCTGTGACAGCGTGGCGGGCTTCTCGAAGTTTTATGGCTTCTTCCATGCATTCTGCATTGCATCGATCGGAGCGTCCGTCTGGTTCAGCCTGTCATCTTCTCAAGGGTCACCACCCGATCATATGCGCGCGTCCTTCGGGGAGGCTCGACGTCGAGGAGGGGGCAAGAAGGCGACGACGAGGCGACGAGGCAAATTGAAGCATTTTGCCGAGCTGAAAAGTGATTCAACGAGCTCCCAAACTGACGGGATTGTGGCGTTCGGGTCTGTTCCTCCCTGTGCAAGGTTATTGTCCTCCATCTGCCGTATCTGCGGCGTTCTCCCGATGCGACGGAGACGATCATTTTCCGCCGTACTCCTCCGCTCTCAGAGAAAAGTCCGGCCGTCAGCAAGTGTTTCCAGCTGTCAGTTAGTGTCGTCCTCTTCCTCCCAGATCGCGGGGGTTCAGCCGCGCGCCCAACGTCCGTTTCGGTAGGCCTGCCTAAACTTGTATCTCGCTCCCGCGCTCGCTTCGCTTCGGTTGTTCAATAGTGTCCCCCACGACAACAGAAGATCCGGAAGGTAATCGTGAATACCGGCACTCTGGTCGTACCACGCGCCTTCGTCCCGGCGTGCCGAGGCTGCTGCAGCAGCACGCATTGTTGTCAGGGGTTTTGTGATGGGCGATTTTGTCGGTGCTATGTCATAGGCGTTCCGTTCGATTCTGGCGGACGAGGGGTTCGGACACGGCGAAGGGCGTCGAGGGTTGGAGGACAAAGAAGGGCGCCCGGAATCAGCGAGCATTTTAGTTATTTCGGGGAGGGCTGAGCACTGCCGGCCCGGAGTTATGTACCCCCCCGCTGGCTGCCGTGTCCTTCGGCGCATTATCCAGTTTGGATTTCTGTTTGGTCATTTCTGACTCAGAAAGCCGGCCGTCGTCTGTTTCGTTTCCTTTGGTAACTGTCCCCTCTTGAGGTTCAGGGAGCCCAGCAGAGGCCGGGAGGGCCAGCAAGGCCCCATAGCTTCAGGGCCAGCAGCAGGGCCTGGTTGCATAGGCGCGGCGCGGTGCCAGGCCTGTGCCGGAAATCTCGAGTTTTGATGATGGGGGGGGAGAGGACGTGGAGGAGACGGGGAGAGGTGGGAGGGTCTGACAGCTTCAGCTGGGAATGAGGAAACGGGGGATGGGGGAGGAGCGGTCTGTCGGCGGTCGTCGGCGACAAGTACCCCTCGCATGTATCTCAGCTGAAAAGGTACTTTGCAATTTTTTTCAGCCGGTACCTCATTGCTCCCGTCTTTTCTAAGCGCGCTAGCAGCCCAACGATCGCCGCTTTTTCTTACGAACCAACCAACCAGAAGCCGTTCCGCCCACTCGCGGATCTCGCTCCGAAGGAACATGAAAATAGAATAAAATAAAAGACCGCACATCTGTGAACAGGGTCGTTTTCTTGGCAAAATCCGGCCCTGTGGTCTGCGTGTGGTCATTGTTCCTGTCGGCAGCGGGAAAGCCCATCATAACCCCAGTCTGGCGTGAATCCTTCAAGAACCACGACGGGGGGGACGGCAGACGGCCATTCCGTGGTGCGGAACATGTCCATGTTCATTGTACGTACGACATCGCATTTTCCAAATCAACACATGCATATTTTAGTATCTCTGATGGAGAATCTTGATTTGTATTTCCTGGCGTATCTATACACTAACTAGGTAAGTTATCTGGTGTCTGCAGCACCCCCAAGACACACGCATGAATTCCGTCCTTTTAGTGCGAGAAAAATGTCTCAATCCCACAATCCAGGGGTATCATCACGCCGTGCAAAGTCAATCATATCATCAAAATGCAAGGAAAATCAAAATCCAGGCAGTGGAGTCAATCGGTCCGTCCGGGTCCGTAGTGGGCTTGTATCATGCTGCCGCCGCAGACCTTAGCATATCTCTGGCTCCTCGTCTTTGACCGCCTCTACCAACTCCTCCAGTCCTCCGACCTCCGTTGGCCCGCTGGTGCCTTCCGGTGGAAGTGCCCAGTCCGGCATCGGGCTGGAGTAGCCCCACGCACCCCCGGCGTCTTCGTACCGGAGACTATGAAGCCAAAGTGACAGCTCGTGCTCACCCGGATCCGTGTACAGCGGAGTATCGCAGATCTCACACAGTTTGCCCGACAGCTTTTCCGCCCGTTTCTTCTGATACGTATCCACCAGTTCATCGTGATAGGCCACCGCGTCCGCGACATCTTCCTTGCCCATCTTCTGCAGCCGTGACATGATATCCTCATCAGTGTTCTCGGTTGCGTCGACGTCGTTTTGCCCAAGATTGATGCCCCAAACGCGCTGGTTGGCATACAGAGGGTCATTCTGAATAGGGTGCCCCAAATGTTGTAGATGCACTCGGATCTGGTGTGTTCTGCCGGTCAGGGGCAGGCAGCGGACAATCGAGTAACCCTCCTTGTTGATCCAGGGCCGGAGCCTTTCTTCCTCGATTTCTTCTGGTGTCTTGGCTCGCGCTGGCTTTTCGCCGCCATCTCCCTCGGCCCCTTCTGGCGGATAGTAGGCGAGACGCTTGAAGACGGTCCGAGCTGATTTGCCATTGGCACGAACTCGGTTCAATCCGAGTTTTGGAGATATTTGCAGAATAGGCTGGTCGCAAACAACCTCGCCATCTGGGAACTTGCCAATTACGCGGGCCAGGTATTCCTTACGAACCGTGCGCTCTCTGATTTGTGCGCAGAGTTTCTGTCCGGCCTGGGGCGTTTTCCCGATGAACAAGAGGCCACTCGTGAGGCGATCTAGACGATGGCACGGATAAGCCTTGAAGTGCTCACCCCTCTCAGACTTCATGATTTCGACAAGCGAGTTGTACTGGTATCTGCCGGCGGGGTGAACCGGTACACCGGAGGGCTTGTTGACGACAATCAGCTCATCGTCCTCGTGAACGACGCGGATTGGCTCAGCCGTGACAGGGGGCTCATGGCGATGGATGGTGTGGTTGACCAAGTCTCCGTTCTTCACCACGTGGTCCGGCCCGACGGCTTTTCCGTTGACGACGATGGCTCCGGTCTCCATGGCCCAACGATAGTACTCAAGCGTGCGGTCCCGGAACTCTTCTTCGTAGACGTCGATTAACTTTCGGCCACGCCATCGTTGTTTGGCCCAAGTGTGGTAAGTGAAGTGATAAGGGGCGACTCTCCGTAAGTTACCTTCAAAAACGTACGGTCGAGGCCACATGTCGCCAACGGGAGTTGTGAGGACGTCGGGTAGTTTGTTTGCTGCCGAAGCTTCTTCGGACGCAGCCGAATCGATAGCGACAGGTGCCACAGGCGGCGGCGCCTCTACCTTCTCGAGAGCCATAGTGTTCGGTGGCATAGAACCTAGTCGGAAAGGGAGCCTTGTCAAAGGCGTAATGCCGACGCTTCGCCTGATGGCAGCCAGGGTTGGTTGAAAGTAGCAGAGTGAGTGTGCGGGGAGGGAGCGAGAAGGGCGAGGTGGTTGTAGTCCAAAGCCAGTTTATGGAGCATATGCCGTGTTTGGAAAGAAAAAAAACCTCCAGCCAGTCGTCCCCGCACCGCTTGTTAAGCCTCAAAGTATTGGAATCTGTGTAGGTTTGGCGAGATGCATCTGTGGAAAAGAGTCACAAATTGTTGGCGGTCAAGCCAGGCAGAACTTTGCTGTGTACCTTTTTTTTTTTTTTTTTTTTTTTTTGGCGTGTACTTTGGGGTTCATGGGCTCTTAAGAGCGGTGCCCATTGGCTGGTGGTTCTTTTGGCAATCATGCTTGGAGGAAGTCCGAGGTTTAACCCGCTGCTTACATCTTCCATTGGCTGAACTGATGGTTGGCAGCCACAGCGCCCGCCTCTGCCTCGGTCTGAAGTAAGATCGAGTCTAGATCCTCGGGTGGTTCTCCGCACACTTCACCGGCATGTAGTGTGAAGCTACACAACCTTCCTAGGCTGTCTCCGTTTCCCCAGCTCTTCAAGGTTTAAGAATCGAACGTTGGCCACAACCCAAACCGCTTTTATCTGCCGACCACAAATCTCATCGTTCATTATCACGGCGATTGGACGTCACGCCATCAGCCTTGTGGACCTTGAGCGAAAGCCATACCTCCCGGGCATCGGAACATATCTCTTCTCATCGATTCCTGTTTTATCAGTCGGCGGTCATGGCCACATACGAGAAGCTAAAGAAGCGCCGAAGGGAGGATTACCGCTACATCCTGGACTATCGAACGCGATGGTGAGCTTGTTCCTTCTTGCAGTGATTGTCGCTCCTATCATTCGTCTCCTTGCCTCTGCCGACATGAACGTGGGTGGTGGGATGGATGGATCGAGCCTGTCCCCTTGCAAAGGTTCCTCGAGGCTGGCGCCACCACGGCCGAACTATCGCCTGCCTGTGCCTCGTTCATCAACCAATGTGCCTCCTCGAGCTGTCCGGGCGTGTTTGTGCGCCCGTCATCCCTCCATCATCATACCTCACTCATACGACTTGTTGCTACTTTCTATGCTGCCTGGGCAGTCAGTGAATAACAGGGTTTCTTCTAGGGCCGATAATGACATGTATCAACACATGAACAACAGCATTTATAACTTCTTGTATGGGTTCTCATCAAATACATGTGCTTATCAGTGGTCCCGGCTAAACGCTGCAGATACGACTCGGTAGTCAACACGTACCTAATTGAGCACTGCAACCTGTCGCCGTCGGGGTCTGAGCAGCACGGCGTCGTGGTACACTCACACAGCGATTACTTTGCCTCCATATCGTTCCCTGCCGTCGCAGAACTGGCACTGCGCGTCAACAAGCTGGGAAAATCCAGCGTGACATACGAAATAGCCCTCTTTGAGAAAGGGGTGGACGAGGTCAGGGCAGTCGGAGAGTTTATTCAAGTCTTCGTCGAAAGATCAACCGGCAGGCCAACCGCATCTGGAATGAGCGACGAAATGCGGAGGGGTTTGGAGCGAATTCTTGCGGTGGAAGCCAGGGAAAACAAGCTCTGAAATTGAACTCTATCACCCACCCACCAACACTCTCAGAGCCTATCTCACAAATCCAACCCCCCTGTTTGGCCCAATCTTACTGCTGCAACTCCAACTTGAGACGGGCTCCATCCTGTTCACCACTCTTGAATATCTTCTCCAGGAACTCCAGATCTGCCAGCGCCTCCTCCGGCGACTGGAGCGGGTTCGGCTTGCCCGAGACCAGGGCTTCGGCCCATGCCTTGACCTCCTCCTTGACACCATTCGTCTCCTCAAACGACGTTGTACGTGCCTCGCCATCCAAGGGTGTGACAATAACGTCGCGGCTCGACACGGTGACGCTGCCCTTCTCGCATGCTACCTGGAAGTCAAAGGCGCTCAAAGATGAGCCGACGGAGACGGCGAAGGAGCCCGAGGCACCCGACTTGGTCTTGACGACGGCGTTGATGGTGTCGATGGGTGGTAGGTGCTCTCGGGTCAAGTCTGAGAAGGCCGACACCGAGTCCGGGGCGGCGTCGCGCCCGAGGAGTAAGCGCAGGGCGGCGGCGAAGTGGACGCCGCCGTCGAGGAGGAAACCGCCCTGATACTCGGGCTTCTTGCGCCATGCCGTCTCAATGTACTTACCGCCCAGCTTGACGAAGAAGAAGACCCTGACGTTGAAGCCGATGACCTTGCCCAGCTTCTGCACCTCGTCCCGGGCTGTGGTGTAGCGCGGCTGGAAACGGTAGTTCTCGGCGACGGCGAAGGTTACGCCCTTGTCCGCAGACACCTTCTTGTAGTACTCGATGAGCTTCTGGGCGCGGGCGACGTCGGCGGCGACGGGCTTCTCTGCCAGAACATGCTTTCCGGCGGCGAGCGCCTGCTCGATATACTCGGGCTGGTTGGGAATAGGTAACGCCAGGATGAGGGCCTGGATATCGTCGCGGGCAAGGAGGTCCTTGAAGGACTTACCGGCGCCCGAGTCGTCCGAGTACAGATCAGGGGCGGCTCCGGACTTGGTAACGCGGCTTGCCGTGTCCTCGGCTGATTTGCGGGAGCGTGAGTAGATAGCCTTCAGCGTTAGTTGGTCGGCTGCCTCGACCGCAGGCTGGTTATCACGTCAGTCAGAAGGGTTGTTGACACGCGCGGCCTACATATGAGACATAGATAGGCTTGCATACCAAATGCTGCTCCTTGGCAAAAATACCGCCGCCAACGATAGCTACTCCAATGGGGGCCATGGTGTTAGAGTTTCGGGATGCGCTCGACGATTGAAGATAAATGAAGGAGGGTGTTCGTGTTTCCGGAGTGGCTGGAAGCTGGTGATGTACTTCTAGCAAGCTTGGCAAGGGATGAAATGAAGTGCTTCGAGCTGTAAGGGAGAGAAAGGGTTACGTTCTTTGCCGTGTGGTTCTTGACGCCTTTTAATGCCGTAGATGCAGAAGCAGTGCACTCGCCTCGTTGAAGAGATGTTGTACCTCGACTGAGTCCATCTGCAGTAGCTAGGCCATATTTCATGCCATCATCGTCACTCTCCTCCAATACCCGAGCAGCATAACGGTGGTAGTGGGGTTGATGGCGGGGTTCAGCACTCAGTGACACAACTGCCCCGCCTGAGCTCACAATACCTATGGTGGATGAGGCGATACTAACACTTTTATATGGGTGACACCGGCGATAAATGTTAAGAACCTCACCACTTTTCAAGCTTGCCTAACCATTCTCGGAAGGTTTAACAGTTGGAAGCTGAGGACTCTTGGCCCTGTCGTTCCTGTCTGTCTCTCGACATGAATTCATCTGTTCATTTTTGCTTGACCTTATTATGGAAAGCTTCCAGGTTCTATAAGGGCTGGCATTGTCGGTAATCAGTTCTTTTATTTCCTCCAGGACTGATTTGAACTCGGAGGAAACAATCTACGGATTATTTTAGAGGTGACAAATGAAGTGCAATCAATATTGGCTGGTTTATCTGGTGAAGGAAAAACAATAATCAACGCTACCAGAGTATCAGAGTATCTATCAAGGTGTTAAATCAGGTCTATGGTTCTCTCTTTCGCTTGCCGAAGGCCAAAACATCGTTCTACACCAATAAATATGGAAGGAGCATACCGACCAACACCAGCACTTGCTGCTTCTATCTGGGACGCGCCTCACCAATCAACCAGAACCTGGCACATCTGCCTACTCCATTGGTCAACCACCTCATGCGCCTCGCCTTATTGCCCAACAAGCAAACCTCTTTTCGACAACACAAACGAGCCAGCCAAAAATAACACAAAACATGTGATCCGTCGACTCTGCGGCTTTAAAACCCAGGTTGGCCAACTACGTTATCCGTCAGACGTCGCCGGCAGGTGCGTCTTGCTGACCGTCGCTACTATCATCCAGCCGATCCAGAGCTCGCTGGCACTCTCTGTCCCATTTACTCAATCCAACAATGACCCATTCGAGCGCGCCCACAAGATACAGCGCAACGCATTGTCCAATCCAAAGACCGGCGAGTCCCCAGCCGTTGAAGGCGAGGTAGATCCCGGCCGGCAGCGCCCCGCCGTAGTAGCTGACGAGGTTCACCACGGCTCCAACCCACTGACGACCCATTCCGCGGAGCGCACCACCACAAGAACCGTTGAGTCCGTCGGCAATCTGGAAGAGAGCCACGAACGGCATCACTTCGCCCACGAGCCGAACCACTCGCTCGTCGTCGTTGAAGATGCGCCCGAACACGTCCTTGGTCGCCATGAGCACAATGAGCACCAGCGTGCCTAGGATCACAGACAGCATGGCCGCTGCGTGCGCAGCTCTCGCCGCGTCCCGCGGTTTCTGCGCCCCCAGCAGGTTTCCAAGCCTTGCCGACGCCGCCACCCCAAGGCCGAACGGGATCGTGTTGATGATTTGATCTGCTGTCATGATCACCGACTGCGCCGCCAGCGGGATCGTACCGAGTCTTCCGGCGGCGAGAGCTACGATTTCAAACGCCCACCATTCCGTACCGACGTGGACGACGCCCAGAATCGCCAGCTTGGCAAATGGCCCAAGGTTTCTGAGTGCCTTGCGCAGGTCCAATCCACCCCAGCACTCTTTGCCACGTACAAAGACGGCGTACGCCACAAGCAGCAAGAACGAAACCCAGTACGAGATGCCGGTGGCGAGCGGAGCACCATACAGACCAAGGCCGAACGTGTGGATGAAGAGGTAGTTGAGCCCGGCGTTCATCGGAGACGTGATGCATAGCACATACGTACCTGGGCGGTAAATTTCTACCCCGAGACGTTAGTGGCTGCGAAATGTTACCCATGGGAGGTCAAACTCACGCTGCGCCTGCAAGTACTTCTTCATGGCCTCAAACCAGACATACCCCAACCCGCCCGGGATCAGGCACCGCAGAAATGTCGAACTCTGCACGCAAATGAATTCCTCTTGCCCAAGAGCGCGAAACACTGGCTCGGAGAACCACCACAACACAGCCACTACGGCGTAAAACGCCGACAAGACGATAATGCCTCTTTGCAGCAATACGCCCAAGTCATGCTTGTTTGACGAACCGGTGAAACTGCTCGATGCGAGTGTGTCGAGCGCCGTTGTTCCGCCCAACGCGATCAGCCACGCAGTCGCCATGGCGAACATGTAACTGAACGCCGCCGTGGCGAGCGCTTCGGGGCTCAGTCTCCCGACGATGAGCACACTGATGGTCTGCAAGCTGTTCTGCAGCGTGTAAGCCAAAATGACCGGGACGGCGGCCTTGGCCAGCAGCAAGATTTCGGCCACCCATTGCCGAATTTGGGAGGGTTCATCGGAGGCGGAGCCCGGGGATTTCGGCAGCAAGGCCGTATTCTCGGACGGGGGCGGCGCCTGGGTTGACGCCAACGTGTCGGACGACGAGGAGTCCAGCATTTTCGTTACGTGATCGACACCAATTATCGTTTTCCTATGTGTCGAGGATTCGAGACCAACGAGCAACTAGAGGACGTGTCTTTCCAAAGAGAGGTCAAGCCGGCCGAGACCACGAGTCAAGAGAGATGTCGCACGAAACGGATGAGACAGACCGAGGCTTGCCATGCATTCAAGCACTGACGTGTTGCTGGTTGAAATATGTCCAAGAGACTTTTCGAGGAATGGGAGGGAGCGAAGGTTCAGACGGTCAAATATGCACATGGAGAAACAGCGAGAAAAGGGCGCCAGCAGTGTACACGGCATTTTTCAAAACTCCATCTCGAGGGCCCCTCCCTCCATCTCATGCTCGTCTCGAATCTAGAAAGACTCGAGATAGCTGACAAGAGCCAATTGGCACATGCAACGCAGCAAACCTGACCGCTCAATGGCCAACAATTGACTTTTCTTCGCCTCTGACGAGGCATGCCCGGCTCATTCTGCGCCGGGAGATCCCCTCAATTGACGGCCCAAGATTGGACAGCGATAAGTCTGCATTTCGGCCGACACGTTTTTATTTCCACGCTTGCGAGGGTCTACACGCACGAAAAAAGACGATGGACAACGGATCGCTGGCTCTGAGTGGCCGCTTCATGTGGCGCACGGCAAACGGCCCATCCGAACTGACGCAATACGTGAGGTCTGATACCTCGAAGGGGTAGGCGGTCGACATCCTGCGCAGTCGTTGCGTTTCTTTGCCCTCCTCCGGACTCGACTGTTTTTTTTTATTGCAATGCGGCGGCATCAAAGATTAAGAGGAAGAGTTGCGTCAGAGAGCCGCAACGCCCCGGAAATGCCAATCTTGGATCTATGGGGGTTTCGGCAGCGCTAGACCAAGACAAGGAGACAACAGACAATCGGTGCAGAATTCTTATCTCGCCCGACGTTTTCTTTATCGTTTTCCGTTGGTCAGGAGCAGCAGCGCCGCCAAACCAACCCACCTGCCACCGAGCACCATCAGTGGCCGCCGCGGCCAAGGCGTCGGTGACCCTGCGGTGAACGGCCGACACCGGCCGGTCTCGGATCCAGGCCGCCGGCCGAGTTGAGAGGGGACAAGCCAAAGTAAAAGATGAGACGAGAGGGGGCGTTGTCATATCGACCAGTCGCATTGCTTTGAATGCCAATATGTACCATTCTGCAATAACTCAGAAGAGCCATGTACTCACAATACAGCAGAGACTTGCTCGGGTCCAGGCGCTCAAGTACCGGCTCCACTATGAGCTCATCTGAAGATGATCACCGAGAAATAGACAGGACACAAAATCCAAGACAGAGAAACAAACCGTCAACTTGCATCGGTGCGAGAGTGGTCATGGAACGAATGGAACAACGCCAGAAGCTCCTCTAGAAGAACCTTAGCCAAGCGAAGGCAAAGAGGAGGTGATAGTCGCGGGATCAAAGCGCCCTTACGACCAGGGTCGAGGCAAGTCGAATGAATGGCCAGCAGACAGACGGAAGCTTACACTCAGCCAGACACCACTTGAACATTCCGCAGTATGGCCATGGATCCCCGTGTGTCGCGATGTCGGATTGTCAGGAGGCGAACAAGAGTTGCTATGTATTAAAGACGAAGTTTCGTCTGCGGCGAAACTTCTCGAAAAGAGCCTGATTGGTTCTAGCAGCAGGCAGGTGACATCCAACACATGTCCAACGTCTGCTGGCGACCAATGGGCGCGAACGACACGACTAAAGAAAGGCAATGCCATGTGCACTTCCTGAGTCGAGCTGGCATATCGAGATGCTAGGGAACAACGGCTCAGTCCCAACGCGGCACGAGGCGAGTTGAGTTGAGTTCAACTCTGTTCTTCTTTTTGACTTGCGGCAAGACGACGCGCGATTTCATCACAACTGGGGCTGCTCGAGTCGGGTTCGAATGCAAGCTCACTCGGGAGGGGTCGTTGTTGGCGAGAAGCGTACAGCGTACAGAGTACGGAGTACACACTTTTGCATGGCATGCATGGCATCGTCATACAGATCTCAAGTCGTCAAGTTTCTACCTTATTGCGCGCCAACGAAGAAGCTGCAGGGCGGAAGCCAAAGTCTAAGGCGTACCAAACCCTTGTCCCGCCCGTAGACGACCGCCCGCTACCAGTGAGCGACAGAATGGATGCCATTCTCATCGTCCATCAACTGCGCGCGCACGGTTGCGACAAGAGGAGGTTTCCCTGCCCGCTACGCAAGGTACAAACCAAAAAGCAGAGCAAAGTATGTCTTGACATGTGCGTTGGGAGGTGGCAGCCTCTCCTCAGCGTGTGGTGGCTTTCATCGTTGATTGGGAAAGGAATTCGTTCGAAACATGCTGTGGAACGTGGCTCTAAACTCTATTGCGTCGTCTGGGGATCCTCGCAGGTCCCGTACCTGGGACCGGGCTTCGACGAACACCAACCACTCCGTTGTATCTCGACGATGTACCGGGCAAAATGGCTCCTTGTATGGGACATCCACGCACCTTGATAGAGTGCAGAAGGACCCCTACCATCATCTTATGTAGGTGCTGCGGAACCGCATTTCCCTGGTTGTATGGAGCTTTCCGTACCCTCCCTACACACATCACACCAAGCTCACGGCAAGACAGTTCCATATCGCCCATCTGCATCTACTCAATTATGCGGCCTCATACTCTATCTACCAAATTTTACCCACCACCCATTCCGGAAGCGCGATCCCGTCGGATCTCACGTATGGGATGGGGGTTCCTCCTCGTAAGGTTTACCAGCGGACGTTCGGGATCGACGCCGCCAACACTTTAAAGTCTCAAGCCTTTTTGACACGAAGCTTTCAACCTGCTGCGGGCGGTAGATGGGAAGAGGCAAGCCAACGACCGGACCGGTGGAATCTCCGCAAGTTACCGTAAGATGGACGTCACCTCGGGGAGTAGCGGCCGGCCGGAAGAGGAGAACGTGTGTGACCCGGAACGAAGACGCTACGGGTGCGCGAGACAGGCATCGTGCGGGCGGATGGGGGTATGGCGCCTCCACTTGTGACCGTTCCGACAAGAGAGGATCCGCACAGCCAGGCAAGAGATGGAGACGATTCTCTTTGGCTGTGCGTCTCTCTCTGGAGCAGCCGTTGCGCCGCGTCCGTCTCAGCCGTACCCGTACCGTTCGACCGTTGTCTGCTGCATCCACCGACTGGCACCACACCAGCCAAAGCCGGAACCGGATGACAAGCTCCTTTCTTACTCCGCCTCTGACTCTCACCGGGGGAGCGGTTACGCCAGAAGAAACGGCGTCAAACGGTTTAGGGTTCTTCAGTGCAGCTTCTGGCACAACCACGTGGCTCCCGCAGGCGGCGAACGGACGACGCCCGCTCTCGTTGAGTGCTCGGAGAAGAGCAGAAAAAGAAGAAGAAGGGCAAAAACAAGGCTCGCCCGTTTCACGGGGCCCCGAACCTCGTCCATCCCGGCCGTGGGCGAGTTACATGTTGCCGTCAAAAACGTGGACAGCGTCGGATCGCCTGAACTGTCAGGAGAGAACGTCGTCTCTGCTGGGCGCCTGCTCCTGGGCCCGTCCTCGCTCGCCCGCTGGAACTCTGCTTGAAGAAACGCATGCAGGCCAGGCAGGGGTGGTGAAGAGAGAGAGAGAGACGCAGCAGCAGGAGAGGGAAGGGAGGAGGGTGGGAAGCCTGAAGAACAGCGAAGGGGGAGGGGGGTCCAGCTTGAATTGTCACCCACTCTTTAGAGTTCAGAGCCGCAGCAACACAACAGACCATCCTCTCCCCCGGTTCTTCACACATTTCTTCCCTGCCCCTTCTCCTTTCCCACCCCCTTACGCTGGCGTTTCCCTCCAACCACCCTGTCTTTCTCTCACACACACACACACTCATTCTCTGTCGTCGTTTTCCCGTCTCTTTCGCATTCACAGACACACACACTTCACCTGCCACCCCTTCGCCGAGCCCGTGGAAGGTGCAAGCGCTTCCCCAGGAGTAATTTCGGAAGTCGGATCGTGGGGATGGTCGATGGGGTGAAATGACGACGTTATGGGCAAGGTAGCCTTCTGCTCCGACGCAACGCCGCCATCGTGATTCCTAGAAACGAAGAGGACACAGGCCCTTGTACCCTGCCCTCTGCTTCTGCCCTCTGCCCTACCCTGCTCTTCTGTTCTTTTCGTCTCTCATGTCACTCTTTATGCAGTAATTATTTCCCCCTAGCTGCATTGCCTAGTTGCCCCTGGCCCCTGGACAAACCGCGAGCTTTGCCGGCGGCAAAGACCTGATCTGTACAGAGTTGTAGGTATTCGATTCTTCAATACCTCGTGGCGGCAAAGGTCGTATCGCAACACCACGCACACACACCTGGGATTCCCAGAAACAGACATCCCGAACGGGCTGCAGAGTCGCTGCAGACAATATCTCACAAAAGACAGGGCCCTAATAACTCTGGAGAAACGTCATGCTGTAGGCGGTAACCCGCTCGTGAGAGGTGGAATGCTGTTCCACTCTGGCGAAAATCTCTTCTGTGTCTCGTTGTCGCTTTGATTTTTTTTTTTTTTTTGAGCTGCGTGTACTGTACTTGCCATGTCGCGGCAGTGGGCTGTTTCCTTTCAGCGATATCCATGGTTCGTAACCAGACACGAGGGTTCGCCCAGAGAGATGTCGCTACTACACGGGGCATGTATCGTCGTTGAAGGGAACTGAGAGGAAGGGAGGAGGGGTCGGGTTGGTGTTGGCCACATCACGCCGTAGGCATTCACCGCTCTTCGCTCGCGCGCTCCCGGAGCGCCACCACCCGGTGCCGTCATCGTCGTCGTTGTCGTCTTCGTCGCGCGTCTGTCACTCCCCTATCCTTCTTGTCCTCCGTCATCACCATCATCTTCCTCTTCCACGTCTTGATCCTTGAGCCAACGCTGCAGCGTCATGCCGGCCTTCGCGGCGCCCATCAGGACGGCCCAGTTGCCGACCCCGAGCGAGTTGGTGCCGACCATGAGCATGTTCTTGACAAATCGCCCATGCGGCGTCGCGAGCGAGGCCGGCGCGATGGCCAGCATGATCCAGTGGAATATGCCCACCGCCCCGTTCCACGTCGACATGGGTACGCGCCACGTCGTCGCCCATATCTGCAGGAAGTCCGCCTGCGTGCATGCCGCGCTCAGAGGGGTCCGGGTTGCGATGGCCCGGCTGTAGACAATGGCCGTCGCTCGGATCACATGATACATGTAGTCCGGATGCTGACCCTGTTGCTGCTGTTGATGATGAAGTTGATGTTGAGGCGCTACGGTAGCGACTACTCCTGTCGGTCTAGAGCCCGTCGGGGAATCGCTAGCGTCGGGCGCGGATGACGATTCCGGCGTTGTGGTGGAGTCGGACCCCGGCCCCGGCGGCGAGCGACCCGGGCCCCCGGAGCCAGGTCCGGCTGTGCCTATGCTCGATATGCTTCCGCTCCGCGTCGTAGACCCTTCGTCTGCACCAGCGGCGACGTAATAATTGCTCCCCGGTGAATTCCCCCTCGTCGAGACGCCCGGCGATGAGTGTCGGTGCCCTGGTATCGTGGGGTGTAGACTTGAGATGTGTTCGCATAGGTATTTCGCCGTGAGTTGTACCTTCCGTGAAGCCGCCGCCTTCGTCCGTCCCGCCCTCGTACTCGGTTCGTCAGCCGGATCGATCGTTTCGGTCATAGTCGTCGTGGAAGCCGCCTCCACCGCCTTGAACAGAAATCTCACATTGTCGAGTACGGACGCCGTTGCCGGGTGGATACCGAGAGCCTGCGAGCACTCCGTAAAACTCGGCAAAGCCCCGACAGACGGCAGGCTGTGGACGAAGGGCGCGAAGTGTGACATGCGGAGGGGCACGTCTTTTATAGGGTCGTTGAAGGCGTAATCCTCGCCAGCAAGCCAAGCCGTCGCCGCCGGGCCTGGGCCGCCTTCGCCGGGTTCCCGGGGCTGCAGCATCAGTGGATTGCTCTCGTGCGCGAGGGCTATGGAGACATCGTGACTACGAATGAGTCAGTCGGGAGAGTCCAAGACAAACGAAAAAAAGTCCGCCGGCATATCGTGAGTAAGAAGAGACCCATTTACGAGTCAAGGAAAGCGGAAAGAGAGGGTCAAACGGACGAGCGGATAACGGAGACGAGTAACGAGCGAGCGAGCGAGCGAGCCGGCGAGGGAAGAGGGAAAACAGAAAAAAAGCAAAATATAGAGACGAAATGAAAACAAATTGAAACTGAGGGAAACCCTGGGGAGGGGCAGAATAGCCCCCAAATGTTCGCCACGAGAGAGAGAGTCATGAAATCCTGAAAACGTACCATATGGCGTTTTTTGCCAAGATACCGTTCATCCCGAGCTCGTCGAAGCCGCCGCGCAGCCTGATCATGTCCCGCAAGCCTCTGAGATGGCGCTGGACATCTTCGATCTCGCCCCAATACCACTCGGCCCCGGTGAGCTGGATCACGCTCGCGATGGCGGGGTCGCTTGTGCCGTCGGTGCTGCTGCCTGCTGCGGCGGTGCGGTTCTGGCCGGAGCTGATGCGTTGGTTGAGCATGTGGATGGCGCGGCCCTTTGTGGCCATCCAGGCCGTCCGAGGGAGGTGGCCGGTCTCGTGCAGATAGCTGGCCGAGGCGTACATGATGGTCTGTACGACGAGAGGGTCTTGCAAACAGAAAGGGGCGTAGTGCTTCACGTAGGGGTTACTCGGATCCGGGTCGCCTGTGAGGGAGCCCTTGAAGCGGGATAGGATGGTAAAGTCTTCAGCGCCGTTGTTAGCTGAGTCGATTTTGGTCATATCAAACGGACAGCAGTGAGCTGAACGAACTTGGATACAACTTACATATCCTGAGGAGCTTCTTGTTGAGCGGCGTCTGGGTCACTGGCAAGTGGCTGAACTGATCCTCCATGTTTCCTATCGGCCGTTGAAGTCTCACCTGCGCTGACGTAGCCCAGTATACAGGTATGATCTCGTCCTCTGGTGTCCATTCATCTTTCTGATGGTCGTTATCGGCTCCCAGGATCAGGTTGGGGAACGCGCGGCGATATGTGAGGACTTGTTGAGAGGCGTCGGATGGATTCATGTCGAGCTTGCATCGAGAATCACCCAACGTCAGTTTGAGTATTGCCGGTGCCACTGTGAGCATGTGGCTGCCATCGAGCTGTTCCGCCCCTGGCCATGATGAGCTGCCCGGTGAGGAGCCAGTCGCCGCTGGGTCCGAGTCGGAGCCGCTGAAGGACCCTGCGAAGCCAGTCCTTGGCCAACGCACGCTGGGGTGAACCGGCGTTCCGGAATGCGGCGGTGCTGGACCGATGGGATTGTTTGTCCCAGGCAGGTCGCGAGCCGAGCCTCGTCCACCAGCTCTGTTTGGAGTCGGAAAGGAAGATGTTCCAGGTATACGGCTGGGAGGGCGGTCGAGCGACGTCAGACGGCAAGCCCGAGATAATAACAAATACAACAGAAGGTAGGAACGCAACACTTACTTTCCCACGCGGTACTCGCATACTGGCTGAGGGAATCGACGTTGGCAGTTGCCGCATGGCTGTTGCTGATCGCACTGGCCAGGTTGTCAGTCGTACGATTCTTCCGACATATCCAGAGGTTCACACATGATGCCGGGGACAAACAGTCTTATCCTGCGACGCGGACGCTGGAAGAAGGTGCCCGTCCAATGGAGGAGAGCAGCTCAAGTGGTGCTACATGCCTTCTGCTTCCGCCGTCTACACTCTCCACAAGACGTCGTCGTCCTCTCGGCCCGCATGTTGCGAGGCGGCTTCTGATGCTGATGCTGATGCTGATGCTGCAGCCCTTCGGACATGATCTGAATGCGGCGATTCTCCGATGACCACGGAGCGTCCTTTCCTGCTCCACCTTGGGGGACGGCATCCATGACGTTTGAGTCCGCGTAAGGCTGACTTATAAGGATGCTCAAGGGGGTTCAGGAGCCAGCTCCGTGCTTGAAAGGCGTCTGCTTGGTCGCCAGAGTGAGAAAAGGAGGCTTGGATGCAAGTCGTCGGATTTTGACACGTTTGGTTTAGCGTCGTATTTGCCGGGCTGAGAAAGCCACAAGTGGCATCTTCCGGGGGTATGGTTTGGTCGATCTGCATTAGCTTGGCTCGCTAGTGTCAGATTGTCTGAATGAACTGATGCCAGGTCCTCGAGACGTATAAGATCCAGTCGCGTCGTCGACGTCTTCTGCGGTGTATGAAACTGCCTTTTGGACGCATTCGGATCAAGTTTTGCCTCACCAACAAATGCAATGGAATGATTGAAAAATGAAGTTTTGTGCGTCTGACACTCGGCTCACCGGCCCTCAAAACACTTGTTTCTCTCCTACAGTAAGATCCAGCCATAGGAAGCAAATGTCCACTTGGCCAAGCTGATCAGCCTCCTCTCAGGCAACCGCGCCGTCAGCCCGACCTGACCACAAAGCATTGTCAGTCATTGCGCCTTGAAGCTCACCGCTCTAACGCCGTTATATGGATAATTCCGCTTTGAGGCAGCTTAGAGCGCTCATCCTCAATTGCTCGTTCGTTCACCAAGAACTCTATCGGATCTAACCAGTCAAACTCTCGATCTGGCGTCGTGCCACGTAATCTCGATGTACCAATCAAGTCTCAAACAGTCCGAACAAGCGATCTTTCCGTGGCTGACCCTCGGTGAATGCCGTCCAGGACTGCAACGTCTGGGACTGGTGATTAGTGAACTAACGCTTGTCGTTCGTTGAGTGACAATCTCTCGAATTCCAACTCGTCAACTTGACCCTTAGAAGTGGATGCCCTACGTAAGGAATGCGGATATCAGACTATTGTGACTCAGACCAGCTCATCGGCAGATGCTCCCTGGTTTCAAAGAAACCCCAGGAAAAGGAAACACAAAAATGAACAGCGATAGAAAGACTTGGCAGTCGTCCGACATCGCGGCTCAAAGTCAGACATTGATCGACATCTCCAGCGACCAGCAGGCCAAGGCCGTTCCTCCATGGAGGATGCGCTGAGGTTACCAACGCAGGCGCCATTTCCTGTGGATTTCGTCAGCCCTTGCCCATGGCGCACGAATAAGAGAAGAGAAGGAAGCGAGATGGAGCGCATAAACGGCAAGGCGACGGAATTCACTCCGGTCAGCATTGTCTCGACTTTGCTAGCCGGGAATTGCAGTGCCTGTGCCCGGTCCTATGGCGGTCTACGGCGGCCGTATGTTGTCGACCCTCAAGCGCGAGCAATTCAAAGCTTAGCCAAGAATGGAAAATGCTTTTGAAACAAGGCCATGCTTTCGAGGCTCGCCTATTTCCTTTGTGAGGGAATGTTAGATGGCGCTACGGGCGAGACGCTAGAGTATGCCATGATGTGCAGCTGAATGTCTCGGGGACCAAATCGATGCCAAAAGGGGAACTTTGCGTGGTGTTCACAGGACCTGGCGTGAGCTAGGACAAACGGAAAATGCTGACGGCCAAAAAGTCCGAGGTGCAATATATATATGAGCATACAAAACATGGCAGCCGGAAATATCGTGGACGTGAAGAGACTTTCGGGACATTGGGGGATATTCGATTTAAGCTCTTGACCGGTTTGCGACCAGCGAGACACACACCGCCGTGACGTAGTGCCCCACTGTGCACCCGAAAATTCGGTACTTGCCACCGGCCGGAAAGCGGGTATGCGGGAGTCCTTCGGACGATGAAGTCACACACCAGGGGGGAACGTCAGGTTGGAGGTGGAAAAGAGGCATTATCTCATTAAGGTCACCAGCTTTTGTGCCACCACTCGGCACCGGAGCTAGTCACGTAGACTAAGAATGGTATCTTCACTGCAAATCCCAGATCCTGATATCAACCTCCAAAGAAACGCCTGTTACTAAGTCGCTGCCCCAACCAAAAAAAAAGCGACGCGACTTGGAGACAATATTGTGCCATTTTTCATGGTTTTTTCTTTTCCGAATCAACAGTGCTTTTCCATAAGGGTTCGTGTGACGAAACTGTTGTCATAATGATTACCTTCCGCGGTAGTCCGGCTTCCTTGCCATGTTGACCGGTGGGGGCTCGTCGTCGACGGGGTAGGGTAGCGGGCTGTTGCCGATCGGACGACGAGCTCCACCCATTTGATGCTCCGGAAGGGGTGTCTTGGGAGGTAGCGGCGGAGGGATTCTTGGTAGTTGTGACTGTTGCAGATGGCCATTTGGCGGCGGGCTTTGCCATCTAGGATGCTCGTCTGGACTCATGATGGCAATCTTGTCCGCACCGGCTGCGTATTTGTACTGGGCAGGCGTGGGCGCCGTGACCACGAGACGGTCAACTTCGTCCTCATCAGCGGAGTGTACACTTGGCGGAGGCCGTTGGCTAACGGGCGGTGTTCCCATCTTTGGTGCCATCGGCGAGTGGAATCTCTCGCCAGAGCTCCTGGGCGAGGGACTCATAGGTGAAGGGACGTGCAGGTTTTCCATGCCGGATTCATATGACTGTCGACTGGGCGGTGTGTTGTGCGGTGGCCAAGAAGACGGTATTTCGGCTGGCAGCTCGATGGCAAACGGTTCGCTGGCCTCCGAGTTTGACTTGACAAGTTCGGGAACATCCGGCAAACGGGCAAACCGAATGTTTGCCTTGTGAATCTTGGCCATCTTTGCCGATGCGCCCTGGACCATCTTCTGCTCGACTTCCCGCCTGAGATATTGCCGCGTGCCGGTGCTGATGTCGGCTAGACGGTGCCATTCGTTCATACCAAACTCGCCGACTCCAACCTCCACGTTCAGGCGATAATAGTTGTCGACGCTAACGTTCCTCTTCGAGAGGTATTCCTTCGTCATCCGCTCGTGGATCGCCTCGCAGCCCTCGATTTTTGAGATGAGCTTTCGGCGAGCCTCAGCGAATTCTCCCATGAAGCCTTCGTACCAGACATGCTGGTTGGCGTCGCTGCCCTTGGGCCTTCTGCCGGTTCCAACGCTGACGAAAACACCAACCTCCCGGCCTGGCCACTCGTTCAATACCGCCTCGTCCAAGGCCTCGGGAGCCGGGTTGAAAGTGCCTGCGCCGTCGTCGTGGAAAACAGATTGTCCGATTTGAATCGGTTTGAATGCGAGGCCAATGGCGCATGTTGCCCGACCAGCCTGCCAGATTTTGCAGTCAAATTCTGGAGGGGGTTCCCTCCTAGAGTCGTAGGATCGCAAGATTGCGGCGGGGCTGCCCCTGCGAGAGCCTTTGTACATTGCCAAGACAGCCCTGCACGTGTGTCAGTCGAGGATATTCCAGCTCTTTGCATATTTTCAGCGTTTTCTTTCACTTACGTTTTGGTTCTGTTCTCTCGAGCATCGTACAGTCTGGCGTTCGGGTTGCCGTATCGCGAGTTGAAGGCCGGCCGCGCCATTTGAGCCTGCGGGCTGCGTGCACTGAAGCTGACAGTACTGGCGTTGCTAGTATGCCTGCGAGGGCCCGAGGATGCGGAGTAAGCGCCCGAATTAAGGGGGCTGATCATGTCGCTCTCGGTGCCATCATTGCCCTCTTTGTCGTAGACAGTGTGTTCTCTGACAGCCTCCCTGATGGCCTCCTCGAGTTTGGAGGCCTTGAACAGCGTTGAACGGTAGGGAATTCCGGCAATAGTCTTGTCGGTTTCAAAGACCATACGTGTAAGTCGCACGTACAGCTGCTTGCAAGTCTCCAAATCCAGGCGCAGTCGGCCGAGCATCAGGGCGATGAGGCCTCCAGTTCCGGTTCCGACAATGAGGTCGAAATGATCGCATGGTTTGGGGATTTCGTTTCGGTGAGGTGCTCTTCCTTCTATCTCGACATAGGTACGGTGCATGAGTTCTTGGATAATAATGAGCATCGAGTAGCCGCGGACTCCTCCGCCATCTGTCGCAAAACATGTTAGTCATTTCCTCCGATTGTTTTGTAGCTGTCGCAAGCTACTCTCTCGACCATGTGCGGTGAAAAAGGGTTGGACTGCAAGCCTGACTTACCTAGCGATAAGATGCGGAGAGGAGGGCCTTTGGTGGTGTCCCTCCTCTTGACCCCATTGAGGTCCATGACTTGCGCGGGTTCTCGTGAGTAGGCCAGCTTGATTGCGATCGGCGGGGTATTTTGTAGCTGTGCGAATTCGGTGTTGGGCTCGCGGAAGCTCGTTTCGCGGTCGCAAAGTGACTCTTCGCAGTGGCGGATGGTTTTTCGAAAGAGAAAATGTGTTCAGGCCGGAGGAAGAAAACTAGCAGGTGCAAGCGTGTAAGTAATGGTACGGCAGCGGGAGGAGGGTAGGTAAGGCAAGGTAAGGGTTGCGGCAGGCGGCAAGGCAGGCTAATCACGAGTGGAGGGTGACGCAAGGAAACAGTTTGCGCCCTGGACAGAGGTAGAGAGATGTACCCTGTGCCTGTCCACCCTCGACTGGAGCCTCTTGGCCCTGTCACCTTGCCCACCTGGCGAGAGACTCACTTTTTGGGGGGACTTTTCCGTGTCACTCAGGGTCTGTGAGTGCTGAGCATGTGGTTGTGTGTGTAGCGGTGGCTGGCTTCGATGGTGGCGTAGATGCTATTGCTCTTTGTTCTGGCGGGAAACAAAACGGCGGCGGGAGACGCAAATGTCAAATGACAGCGACGACAATGACAGCAAATGGCGATGGGCGACGAGTGGTTGTGACGCCACAGCAGCAGCGGTACTAATTTAGAAGTGACCCGGGGTCGTTTAAGCGACGACAAGAGTGCGCGAATGACAGGCCGTCCGTTGCACCAGAGCCGGCGTCTTGGCTCCCTCTTTTGGTGTTTTTGGAGCGAGCGGGTGGGATGCGGAGGCGGGAGTTGATTCCAACACGGTGAGGATCTTCAGGTCGTTCCTCCACTATCGTTGAAGGAGCTCGGGGATGGCGAAGCGAAGGCGAGAACCGAGTCGACGATCTTTTGTTATTGTGATGATGAGGACTGTTGCGATTTTGTGCGAATTGAGTGCGCTGATGCAGTTTATTATGAGGGTCGGGAGCATCGGATGGGAAATGTTCGTGGACTGCGTAATCGAACTGGTTGCGCCTTCCTTTTCTTTGGAGGGAGGGAGGAAGGAAGGAAGGAAGGAAGGTCCCTCTTCAAACGGATTACTATGTAAGCAACAGGCAGCTGAGCGGCACGTTGGATAATACTTTACATAGGTATTTACTGGAATCACCTCGCCTTTTACATTATACATTACACACTCTTTTCTTCCTCTGCTCAATCTCATAAACCCAATGAAGTCAACGCACGCAGGCACTTCCCTTGCTGCCAGGGCACCTTCCGGGCCGTCCACACGGTCTTCAACGGTCTACCTTGTTTGACGGTCCTCGGCCGCCAGCAATTTTTCAGACCAAACCCCATTTTCAGCTGCATCATCATTCGCAGTCATCCGGCAAGCTTGTAGTATGTCCGCGGTACAAGCAAGGTCAGCTCAGTTTCTTACGCACTCTATCTGCCGTACTTCGCCAAGACGACCTGTTTCTCTCCAGAGGCTTCCCTTCTTCTACACTCGCCGCCTATTCAACAACACACATCCAATCAACGAGTCGTACACCGCAGGCCTCCCGAGCACCAAACACGAAGCTGGGTGGTCGCACAACTCAGCATTCTGCAGGCTCTTATCCAGACGCGAGATCATCCCGCGCTGTCTCTCGCCTTCGGCCCATACAGAGTGCTTGGATGTCAAAAGCGGATATAAGGCATGCTGCAAGGCAGAATGGCGGACGGACGATACTCGACTACGGGCTGTTTGCATGGTACGCTCCGAAGTACAGAAGACGGATATAGCCAGCAGCCTACCGCACGGGAATCTGGCGGTAACTTACCCGAAACTGGACCAGGAGACCAGATGGTGTCGAAGCAGAATGTTTCCCTGCATCCTCGCGAACACAGCGGCGTCTCGCGTTTCCGCCCAATCGCGGCTCGCAAAACCGCTGCCCGCCGATGACAGCTCGCGGAGCCTGCGCCTCAAGGCCTTGTTCCTTGCCGTAGGATCCCGGGGACCTGCACTAGAACGCTCCTGTTCTTTGGGCTACGAATCCACCGAAGCCATCAGTCGCCATGCTCTTATTCATACTGACACTCATAGTACGACCTACGGATACAGGAACTTCTCTTCTTTCAAAGGACTAGGGGTGCTCTTGGGATGCTGCCCCGCACCTCTGTCTCCATCAGCTGGCAGTCGGCTTCTCACTGACGACGAAGCCTGATCCCGTACCCAAACCCAACGCTGCCGTCTGATATACGAGTCCGAGTTGACGTCGTCCACGACGCTATTGTCAAATGCAACAACCCGTGTCCCGAGGCCGAGAAACACTCGGCATGCTCGCCTTAACGCCGGTCCTCATCATCACTCGAGAAACGAAGAACAGGCACAAGACAAACAGGATAAACAGGACATGGATACCCCACTAGATCCTCGGCCGTCGGGGCCCGCGGTGACCTTGGCGTCATGGTCAGTTTCTGACCTCAGCAGCCCAGCAGATTCCCCCGCATTCAAATCACGGACAGCAAAATCGCATCTTGGCATTTGCATCCTCAACTCGTTAATGCGTTTTACGTATTCCTGTCGAACGGCATTCATACGCCTTGCGATGTCTGACTGACACTGCTTCTGCGGCCTCCCCCGAAAGAAGCAGCTGTTACCTGAGGTGGGCTGCGGTGCGCTAGGCTCAATGCGAGCACTTATCCTATCAGCTTCTTGACTTGCCTTTTACGACGGTATAGCCGTGACAGCTGCAAACTAGGGATCCTTTCTCATGACCATGCTTGCACGTCAGCAACACTAGGTATCATCCTTCAGCTCGACATGTGTGAGAGGAGCCACGGATCCGACACCCTGATTGGCCACAACAGTCCTTCGTACAGAACGACATGTTCGAAACCTGTGGCCCGCGTGGCTGTGCAAGGCTTAGGTATGGACGACTCCGAGGAACACGTTGAGAACATCCCAGTGACCGCTCTCCCACACTTTCCGAAGCTTGGCTCCAGTGTCAAAATCGCCACATATACGCGCTCGTGTGACAGGAGCACGTTGGCCTTGGCTCGTCCTGAATACTTGCATTGTCGTTTGTAGTTCTTCTTGGCAAACGGAACTCAACCCACTCATGTTTCCAGGTTACAGAGGCCGAAGAATTCTTCGCCAAAACTCGAGCGTGCCCGACGACGTTTTGGGGCCGACCCAGAAGACCCGCACGCCGAAATGCGTGACGAGACTTCTTCTCGGCTGAGCCTCGGCGCCACATACCAAGGAACGTTTTCACTCAAGATGCGTGCGCCACCGTGGAACATCCTGGCGAGGCTTCTAGAAGCCGGTTCTCGCATACCGGAGCTCTGGGTTTTATCGAGCAAGCGACCTGCCGCTAAGGCAAGCATCCGCATTTCGACCAGAATTCCATATACATTGTAGAAGCCTCAACCGATTGAGGCCCTCTGACCCAGAACCCCTCCGAAAGACGAACGGAAGTGACGGATGTGGCGAGGACGGGTTGGATCTGAGTTTTCGGCGTCCGGGTGACTTGATATCGCTTTCGGTCCCGTGCCAAAAGGTCAGAGGCGGGCCGTGACCTCGTGGGTATTCCGATGGATGAGAACGCCCAGCAGATGGCGGACTGACGGACTCCGGATGCCTCTCTCCCCGGTGACCCACTCACCGACCGGAGCTCGCCATCGGCCGCTCTCAATATCTCCATCAAGAGTCATCTTCAGCTTGCAGAGCGTTGCACAGTGTTGCGGAGGGCATATCGCAGGGAAGTACGGATACAATCGTTAGGTGTGTATTGCACCCGGGACCGATTGTATCAGTATCGATGATCATCAACAGATCGCTTTAAAGTAGGTGCCTCGAACTGCATATTATGTCTTTTTGCTCATCGATAAGACGATATCATTCAAACGTCAAACCCCCGAGCACAATAAGCCTAAACCAAGGTCATACTCGGGAATTTTCACTGCAAGAGTTCGCATTGAATGAATCGCATATATGCTCCCAGCGTCCCTCCGCACGCACCGGACCAGGACGCATGATTCTAGGCCCGGCTGTGCATCGCACACCACCAGTGATCACCCAGCTTATTCCTAAGCTTCCAAAGCTATGTCCCCTGCTTCCAGGACAAACCCTTCCTCTGGATCGTCAGTGCCCTAGCCGAGGCGCGAACCATCAGGAATGAGTAGAAGCCACAGGAAGCGATCAGTCATGTCCCCACTGCTATTAGGGGTCATGGTCAAGGCGCCTTTTCTCGGGGTTCGATCAGGTGTTGCTGATGATGGGAAATTCAGCTGAAATACGCAATAGCTTAAATATGGTCGGTAGAGTCCAGATTGGCACGCATGGGAAACTTCAAGACCCCCCAAAAGAGACGAGGCAAATAAAAGCCCAAACGACCGGTCTGATGGTGTGCATCCGGCTGCACAGCGAAGATCTTGCCAGCTAGCGCAACGCGTCGTGGTCCCCCTCAGATGGAAGGCTGCACCTGGGACGGGCAAAGGAGCACAGGAACACGGATGCACTGGAACCTGATGAGACTGGGAAGGGCTTCGGTCAATTGGCCGGCGGCGGAGAGGGAGGGATATGGGATATGGTATGTGGTGAGGTGAGGTGAGAGGTGTGTGTGGGAGGGGTGGGGACGCGTTGGATGGATGGATGCAGGCCATGCCTTGTGAAAGTGTAAGTCGTCGGCCTTGCAGGAGGAGTCTCGTTTCGCCGGTTGAGTCTGGCCAGTCGGTCGAGAGGTCGGATTAGGCACATATCTTCTCACTGTACAGCGACAGCGACGACTTTTCCCGGTTGAATGGGTGATTATCTGGACTCCGAATCCTGGCTGTGCCGTTTCCCGTCTAAATATGCTTGTGGGTTGGATAAGGTAGGTAGGTAGGTACCTTGGTAGCATGATATGAGATGGCACAATATACGGGACAGCGGTATGACACTGCGGACGAGACGGTCGGTGAGGGGAGGTGACGGATGACGAGACATGGACAATTGTCGGTCAAAATGACCATGGCAGTAAAAAAAAGATCCATGATGGCGTGTGTCTGTCTTACTGACGGATATCTCACCTCACTCACCACCTGCCCTTTCGTTAGCCGTTGACGGACAACGTGCCTTGGGGGTCAAGGCACGCCTCCGCCCGATGGAGCTAACAAGCCTGCCTCGCAGCATGACTTGAGAGAGACATGTGGTTCCAATGAATGGGCGGAACAGGCTGTGGCTGCAGATGGATGGCCCGTTACTACGTACATGCCAGGCTGCTTGGGGGAGGCAAGGCGTAAGAGGAGGGGTAAGGTAGGTAAGGTAGCCAGCCAGCCAGCCAGCCAGCCAGCCAGCCAGCCAGCCAGCCAGCCGAGCCCAGCCCAGTCCGAAGGAAGGAATTAGGCGAGACGGAGACGGGAGACGGGAGACGGGGAGGGGAAGACTGGATGGACGTTCAGGGAGAAGGTGAGAGGTGAGAGGTGAGAGAAAGCAGCAGGTAATTAAGTGGTTAGGTCGGTAAGAAGCATGAAGTGGTGGTTGGAGGTGCAGCGTAAACAATTGTGACAGCAGGAAGCAGCAGCAGCAGCGCAGCAGCAGTGGACACTCGGACCAAGGTCCCTTCGTTTAAAGTGGCCCAAGCGTCGGCGAGAAGCCGCATACAGCCAATCAGCGCATTTTGTGTCATTGGCCGTAGCGAGGCTGTGGAAAGAGGCTGGACTTTCCCTTCCCATCCGTCTAGACCCTTTGCCTCACCACACTCAGCACTCACACTCGCACCCGCTTTCCGCCGCATTTTCTCTTCCCGACACATCCTTTCGAATCCCACCCGACCATTGTGACGCTTCCATGCTCTTGACGTCCCGAATTTCAATTCAAAATTCGTCGCCCCATTGACTCGCTTTTGTAGATGGAGCAACCGGCCAAGAAACGCCGACTTCTTCCTGCGGTCAAAGAGACTGCCCAGCCCGCCCCATTCCCCAATGAATCGGTGAGCTTGCGCAAATCCCCTCAATTGTCCCTACCTCCTCCGTGCCTTCACTCGTCACTCCGTTCATGCCTCTCGTCGTCTCCATCATCCATCCCGAACCTTTGCCATGATGCTTGAGTTAACCTCTTGACCCCGGAACAGCCTCAGCAACACCAGGTCCAGGAGGCCCCTCCAGCCGAGCGCCATGATTTCGAGTCCTTTGCGAGGCATCTGCAGGATGCCGCCATGTTGATACAGCGCCAGACCGAGCGCCCGCCATACGACAGCGTCTCGGTTCTTCTTTTGCGATGGGAGGAGGATACCTCGGCCGAAGCCGATCTTACAGCCTTGGAAAATATCTTGAGGGACCGCTACAATTACCGAACTGATCGATGGAATATTCCGACCGTCGCCAACCCAAGCATTAAGCTTGGTGTCCAGATGGCCTCTTTCTTGGAGCATGCCAGGAATAACCACCTGCTGATCATCTACTACGCTGGCCATGGTTACGTCGGTGCCGATAATCAACTCTACTGGGCTTGGTGAGTCGAGAATCTGACGGCATCCGGATCTCCCCGCACCATTCTGACCGCTCCTCTACAGCAACAACCGCGAAGATGCCGCAAAGCTGAAGTGGGACGGAGTCCGCTGCTTGTTTGAGGACGCTCAATCTGACATTCTCCTTCTGCTCGATACATGTACCGTTCGCGACATTCCCATGTCTGGCAGCCACGGTATCAAGCAGGCCATTGCCGCCTGCGGTTCAGAACAAACTGCCCGAGAGACTGCTGGAAAATCCTTCACTTACCACCTCATCGAGGCCCTGCACAAGCTTAGCACCGTGGGGAGGCCGTTCAGCATCCCGCGATTACATGAAGAAATCGTCCTGCTAAGGCAACAGGAGAGTGCTCAATCTGCGAAGCTTACCAATGGCGCCAGCAAGAGTCCGCCTCCCCCACCGCACCTCCCCATCGCCTTCACCCTCACTCCCGGCAAGGGGCAGAGCATAAGTCTGGCCCCCTTACCTCCGCGGACAGTTCAACAGTCACCGCGCAATGGCGACGCCGAAGCTCAGTTGAGGACCAAGGAAGATCAGCTCATTGACCCTGAATCCGTCGCCGACCTTCGTTTCGAGGAGGCAAGAGTCCTCGTATGTACGACATTCGTCGGTGATGCCAGCCCCGATATGTCCTTCTTTAATGGCTGGCTTCACAACACCCCTCCCCTGGCCGCCAAGATCGAAGTGGAGGGAATGTTTCTGGGTCCGCCCACAATGCTTCTGATATCGATGCCTCATTCTATATGGAACGTCGTACAGCATGATAAGGTCTGCTGTTTCCTCGGATACATCACTTCACACAACATGATCCATTTGTACCAAAAATTGAAGGGCTCATCGGGTATCAAAGCGACGGCAAAGGAGGTTGAAGATGGTCGTATTCTACTGGAAGCGAGGGAAATGGCAACAAGCACTCCCTCTTTGCATCGACGCTCATTAGACAGCAAAGACGCCGCCTACCACGATACTCTCAACCGTATAGATGCCACGCCCTCCGGCATAGCATACGCCACTGCAGCGGCGGCTGCAGCCGTCGACGGCAAAAACGACGTCGAGGATTCGGCAGAGATGCAAGAAGCGGCAGAGCAGCTCAAGGCTTTGAGCCACGTTCGGCATCTCAGCGATGAAGCACCGCCCGCTCCGGAACGTCAACGACTCCCCGATGGGGCGATGCCTTCCAATCACGAGGATACGAGTTCTCACGAATCCGGCGCCGACGACACGATGCATTCTATCGATGTGACACCAAATTCAAAGCCCAAACAGCGGAGATCTCTCCAGAAAGCCACCCCGAAACAAGAGACCAGATGCACTTTATGCAGCCACGCCCCATTCAAGGACTCATCGTCGTTACGCAAACATATCGCCGCGGCACATACTAGACCGTTCCCTTGCGCCTTCTCCTTTGCCGGCTGTACCAGTACGTTTGGGTCGAAGAACGAGTGGAAAAGACATATTGCCTCCCAGCACCTGTGTTTGCAATATTACCGATGTTCTTCTTGTCCGCAAAGCACAATTGAGGGCAAGGGGAACGAGTTCAACCGCAAAGACCTCTTCACTCAGCACCTCCGCCGCATGCACGCACCATTTGCCATCAAGAAGGCTATTGCTAAGGGCGACAGCAAATTACAAGTCGAGTGGGAGGGCCACGTCAAAGAAATGCAAACAACTTGTCTGGTCACTCGCCGGTCGCCCCCTCAAAAGTCAGCATGCCCGAAACCAGATTGTCAGAGTGTTTTCGAGGGACCTGGCTCATGGGATGAGTGGACGGAACACGTCGGCAGGCACATGGAGAAAGGTGAAGGACAGCGGCTTGGTGTAGATCGGCTGCTGGCTAAGTGGGCCTTCGACGAGGGTATCATTGAACGCAAAGACGATGGTGAGTATCGCCTGTGTGCCGGCAATGGGGCAACTGGCGGCGGCACAGGGAATGGAGGAGACTCGAAAGACTCGATCTCGGTGGCTTTCCCAGAGCCAAAACAAGATGCCGAGGAGGCAGCTGGCGAAACTGGGGACGCCGCCGACGACAAGATGGAGGTGGACAGTTAGCACAACCATGGAGGAAGCGTATGATTTCCGGACGAAGCTGGCGTGGTGCCAGGGCTTTCCGTCGACTATAAACTACGGCGTGTTTTCAAACAATTAGCAGGAGTTAACCGGGAACGACTGATACGAGACATGAACGACTTTCACTCTACTCGATAAACATGTTCGCATCTTGCTGCTTTGGGGGCTCGCATGATCGGTGCCCAAACAGCTAAACGGCTTGCGACGAGCAATATGGAGCGAGACCGAGACGGAGAACATACCCTCTTCAGGGACAGAAATAGGAAAAGGTTTAAAAGCAAATAAAACACAGTCAAGACAAGAGTCACAAGCCTTTCGGGAGATTCTCTCGCATGTCATCGTGCATACTCTGCGTGCGTCCGAGTACCAAGCTTTTTGACGCCCCGGTCCGGACTCGGTAGAGCATACCCCGGCGATTCTCCTCCGGCAGATCAGCCGACGCCCGGTGGAGTCCCAAAATCATCATGGCCATCGACGCCACCAGCGTTACACCAAGTTGCGGGGAAGTCAGATTGAGTGCCTGTGCGATTCCCCAAGTTCGCCCACCTCGTTTGCCTCATTGCAACCTCGGAAACGGCTTTTCTGTCCCAGAAGGGCTGTTGATGGTGACCACATGGACCGCCCGCGACCTCCACTCAGATATTGGCGGACCACTCATCGTCCGGGGGAAAATTGAAGCATCCAACTCCAATTGAAGGAACGACTAATTTCCCGGCCGAGGCAGCCGGTTGCTGTCTAGCTCACAGGCTGAAAGTGATTTTTTTGCTTTGGGGCGGCGACACCAGGCATGGGGATCCCGGGGCCGAGGGTTGTAGTTGACGATGGCGCTCTGTCGCCGGGTTTTCCTGGTGGTGTGGGCTTGAGAAGTATAACAACGGGCGAAGACCTCACGATCTTTCTTCAATTGAGAGTTCTGACTGGGAGTGCGAGCTTTGCTTCATCCAGCGCGATCTGTGGTCTTCCTGCCAGAGCATTGATCTAGATACGCTTATACGGCCAGTCACTCGCCCACAATGCGTCTCATCAACGCCCTCACACCCCTCCTCGTGGGAGCCGGCCTCGCCCAGGCTACGCTCCAGATCATCCCAGGCGGTACCTGGACAGCGGTAATAAGCTACGTTCCCGATCACCCTCAACAACAAAAACTGACATCCCCCCCAAAAGACCAACACGGGCCGGCACATCCAAGCCCACGGCGCCGGCATCACAAAGGTCGGCTCGACCTACTACATGATCGGCGAGGACAAGACCGAGGGCTCGGCGTTCCAGAACGTCAACTGCTACTCGTCCACCAACCTCGTCGAATGGGCCTACGTCGGCGCGCTCCTCTCGCGCACCGCCTCCGGCGACCTCGGCCCCAGCCGCGTCGTCGAGAGGCCCAAGGTCATCTACAACTCGTCCACGCGCAAGTACGTCATGTACCTGCACATCGACAGCAGCAACTACGGCGAGGCCAAGATCGGCGTGGCCACCTCGGACTCGGTGTGCGGCAAGTACACGTACCTCGGCAGCTGGCGCCCGCTCGGGTTCGAGAGCCGCGATATCGGGCTTTTCCAGGATGACGATGGGGCTGCGTATCTGTTGACTGAGGATGTAAGTTTGATGAGTGTGATTCGAGTGGGAATGTGACGGTGCTGATGTGCGGAAACAGCGACCCAACGGTCTTCGTATCGATGCGTTGACGTCTGACTACCTCAACGTCACACGCAACGTGTACCTCTGGGGCGAGAGCATCGAGTCCCCCGCCATCCTCAAGCGCAATGGCTACTACTTCATGTTCGGAAGCCGCCTCACCGGCTGGAACGCCAACGACAATGTTCGTCGCCCTCTTTTCTTCCCTCACCTTCTCCCTGCCCCCTTTCATCTGATCTAACGGGATTTCTCTACAGGTCTACAGCTACGCAACCTCCCTCTCTGGCCCCTGGTCCACCTGGAGAACATTCGCCCCGGCCGGATCAAACACGTTCACTAGCCAGACGACCTTCATCCTGCCCGTCGGCGACATGGTCATCTACATGGGCGACCGCTGGGTCAGCACGAACCTGATGCGCAGCACCTACATCTGGCTCCCGCTGACCATCTCGGGCACGACCATCACCATGTCAGACCGCGTGAACTGGACCCCCAACGTGGCCGCGGGCACGTGGGCCGCCGGACCGACCGAGACGTCCTACGAAGGCGAGTCCGCGACGCTCTCGGGCGGCGCGAGGAGCATCGCGTGCACCGGTTGCAGCGGGGGCGCCGCGGCGGGTTACGTAGGTGGTTCGGCCGGCGGCGTGGTCCGGTTCCCTGCCGTGAGCGCCCAGGCGACGGGACGCACGACTGTGCGGATCAAGCACCTCAACGGCGACTCCAGCCAGCGCTGGGCGACGGTGACCTGCAACGGCGTCCCGCAGACCGTGGCCTTCTTGCCGACCGCGGACGGAAACAGTCCTGGCAGCAGCTCGCTGTTCTGTAACCTGAACTCGGGATCAAGCAACACCATTTCCATCGCCAGCAGTGACTCGTCGTGGGTTGCTGACATTGACCGGATCTTCGTGCCTGTCAACTGAGTTGTGTTGTTTTGGCTGTTGCGTGAACATATGAAACACGAATGCATAATGACAACGAGGAATTCTTTTCAATAATTATATGTATATATTAGGAAAAGGGGTTTGAAGATGATGCGGGGAGCATCTCTGGACTAGTTTATGTCAATAACAAACGGCCCTGTAAGGGGCTTGTCAACCTCGACCGTCTTCGCCGCCACCTCTCTCTTTCCACTCTGCTGTCCGCCGTTGAGAAGCGTGATCTTCGACACCCTGATACCCGCGTCGTAACCGAACTCGCCGTCGACCGCGACCTTGCCGTCTTTGTAGTCGAACGTGATGTGTGTGACACCAGCCTGCTCCAGACTGACGCCATCATCAAGGTAAAGCTGGCCCTTGGCGGTACCATCTCTGTTCACCGCGACCAGGAGCTCAAAGTTCTCCTGCCTGAGCTTGGTGGTCGTCATGGCACTGTTGGCGCGCAGGGGCAGCACGGAGCCGCCGCGGATGAAGAGCGGGATGGTGGTGTAGTTCTTGTCCGTGAGGGTCACGGTCTCGCCCTTGCCCTGGATCGTCTCGTGCGTGTACCAGTCGTAGAACACATCGTCGGGGAAGTAAACGTCCACGGACGTGGAATTCTCCTCGGTCACGGGTGCAACGAGCACGGCGTCGCCGTAGAAGTACTGCAAGTCGAGACCAAACGTCTTCTCGTCTTGAGTGTACTTGTAGAAGAGCGGGCTGATGACGGGAGTTCCGTCGACGGTCTGCTGGTACATGGCCGTGTAGATGTAGTCGAGCAGGCGGTACCGGATGCCGATGGCCCTCTTGGCGCTCTCGGCGACGCTCGGCCAGAGGTAGAACTCCTGCGAGATACTGTCGAGAGAGTTATGGTTGCGGTAGAAAGTCGAGAAGGCCGCGAGGGCGGCCCATCGTGCGCACAGCTGCTCGTTCGTGTTGTCGCCGAAGCCGCAGGCGTCGGAGCCAACCATGGGTACCTGGTAGACGGAGGCGAACTGCAGAAGTTGGGAGATTGAGATGCGGTACTGAGACCAGTTGGACAGGTTGTCGCCGAGCCAGTGTCCGACCGTCGCGCCGGCGCCGGCAAAAGTCGAGCGCGTGATGATGAGGGGACGAAGACCGGGACGACGGGCTTCCATGGCCACTCTGGAGGCCGAGGACATCATGGACCCGTAAAGATTGTGGGTGTCATACATAGCCAGGCCGTTCTGGTGGATGACATCCGTGTTGACCGTCTTGTTGGAGATGCCGCCGCCAGCTGCGTTGGACTCGGTATCCCAAGCGGCCTTGTTGTGGATGGCATACTTTGGAGACAGGAGGTCTCTTCCTGGCAAGCCCTTTTGATCTCCAGAAGTCTGTCTCTCGGCGAGAACGAGGTTGTCGAACTTCTGATCGAGTGGCAGCGTTCTAGGTGATTCTTGGTGCACCAACTCTGAACGCTTAGACTGGGCATCGCATGCTGTACCCGGGGGCTGGAAGTCGCATGGCCATCCTGGTAGAGGTCGAGGGTTTTCTCTTACCGGAGGCGGATCAGGCGGGAACCCAACGGCGGAACCATAAGGATCGTCGCAAGGGAAGTAGCATGGGAAGTTGGAGGGTTCGTTCATGTCGATCCAAAGAGCGTCGATATCAACGCCGCTCTCGGCAGAAAAGAAAATCTCAAACTCCCGATTCCAGTATGTTGTAATGTTCGCTGCAAACCAGTCAGGGAATACTGTGACACCAGGCCAGACTACGCCGATCCAAACGGATCCGTTGTTTCGTAGGAGCCAAATGTTGTCTTCAATGCCTCTCGACACGGACGGAGATTCCTGGTAGGCCACAGCAGGATCCACCATCACGATGTAATGTTGGTCATTTTCGTGGAGCTTGTCGACCAACTGTCGTACTTTCTCGAGAGGGAAGCGTTCGGGATCCAGTGAAAAGACTCTGCAAGTCGTTGTTAGAAATGACTTGACTCTGGAACACCCATGACCCAACTTACCTCCGTCTATCCATGTAATCAATATCGGTCCACATCGTCTCCAAGGGGATCTCGGCGATGCTATAGTTGTAAACAACTTCGGCAACAGCGAAGGCATCCTGGTAGCCGTAACGGCACTGATGGAAGCCCAAACCCCAGTATGGCATCATAGCAGGAAGTCCTGCGACCTCGGCGTACTGCTGCGTAACCTCAACGGGAGAAGGGCCGGCCACAAAGTAGAAGTCGAGGACTCCGCCGAGAGTATTGTACTGCAAATATTGACCGGACTCGTCCGTCTTGTTGACGAAGACGTCCATGCCGTTGGAGTTCAGGAAGAACACTCCGTGAGTGCCTGTCTTGCGGTGCTCGTAATAGACGGGGTGGTTTCCGTAGAGGTTGGCACCCGACGGAATGCCGTAAGAGTCCTGAGACCAGAGAGTACGGACGTAGTTGGTTGTGTTCAGCCGGAAAGGGTCAGAGTGCTCGCCCAAGCCGTAGAGATTGGGGTTGTCAGGCAGTTTGGTCCTCAAGCGAAGATACTGGCTCTCAAAGACAAGACTGGTTCCAGAGGTGTCGAAGAGAACCTCGCCAGTGTCGCTTCGACTCACTGTGAAGGCGAAAGGGCTCTCGGTGTAGTTGAATTTCAACTTGGACCCTGCTTCACTTCCACCTGAAGCATCGGGGCGAGGAAACACAGACTCGGGGACCTGGTACACGGTATTGTTGGCGTCTTGGATCTTGACATGAAGACGAGTGTCTGGGTATCGGTCAGCACCGCTGATGGATTGAACGAAGCTGGTACGAGTATCAGGTCTCACCAGTCTGGTATTCGACTGTCAAAGTCAAGTCCGTCAGGTCTGTTCCGTAGGCATCACAGGGCTCCCCCGCGAGTGAGAGCTCTGCGGTCAAGCCGGTCGAAGAAGTCTGCACATTCGAGGCCTTGTAGCCGGGACATTTCGAGAGAGCATCGTCGCTCAGGTAGTCTCTCCGAATGACAGCAGCCGAGGCTGCCGCGGCAAGAAGCCCAAGGACAGAGAGAGTTCTCGCCATGGTGATTCACTGACAGACTGAGCTGGCGACTTCAATCAAAAAGGTGAAGGAATACCAGAGCATGGCTGGCCGGTGATTTTATAGTCGAATGCGCTTGCAGATCGTCGTTACATTGGTTGGGCAGGCAAATGAACCCCGCTGAGGAGGCATCGCACTTTCCAACCGTTCATCCCGAGAGCTCAGGGGGCAAAGCTTGCTTGCCATGTTTACGTACTTTCCTGCAGATGGCAGAGGGAAAAGTGACTTGTGATAGGGTGGACCAGAAGCATGAACGTCATCCAGACTTTCATCCGTGGTGTTCGGGACTCCCCGGTCACCAGGTAGTATCCAGGGTAGTAAGGTTAATTGGCGAAAACGTCTAATTAGCAAGTGGTGTGACCGAGTAATGCAGCGAAGTAAGGCCGCGTCTGTCGGAATTCACGAGTAAACAGCAGCTTGGGAGCTCTTTCTCTCATGTTTCCCCGCACTCTCAGGTCGGGACTAGGAGTAAGTCAGCAAGCGTGACGATGATGTGCAGATGGTGTTGGAGACGGAGGGATGGGGTGCCGGGGTAGCTTGGGGAGCTGGCTGGGCCGTCATTGGTGATGTCAACCGGAGAAAAGGCAATGGTTTCGTTTCGTTTATTTCTTTTCAAGGGGTCTGGTTCCTTGGCCGTTCGGGTGTAGCCAACGGCCCGACTGGTGGCTTGACCGGATGGCGGGGGAAGCCACTCAGAGGAGGACAACAGCTCGCCCGCCCCGCTTCACCCCGCATCCGCGGAGAGCCGGTGACTGCAAGTGACCCCGGTTCGAGAGCGGAGACTCCGCAAGCTTCTCCCGTCTTCAACGCGCTTGACGCTGCTTGTGTCCGCTGACATCGCGTAGCTGCAGCAGACAAGCCTCGACGAAGTAACCGGCTGGGGCAGGCATGGTGTCGGCCAAACTGTCGGGAGGATCTCTTACATACATCGGTCTTGCCTCCCTAGACCGGTTAGAGAACACCAGAAAGCAGATTCAAGGATGAGATCTGCTTCTGTTCAATTTTGTCGTTGAGAGCATGAAGTAGAATCATTGTCATGACAGGGCCTGGAAGAGTTGAGATTCTGTTCTAGTCATTTGCTCGAGTAGGATTCACCCTTGAGTACCAATGGCTTGCGTACTCTTTACACAGAACTCGATGGAAATCTTTCTTCGGTTGCTTTTGGCCTTGTCCTGGGATGAAAGCCTTTGCTTATGAAGATGAAGGCCCTAAGACAGAGTCTTTTCACCAAAAGGAAGCATCCAACAATTGAGTGTTGAGATTGTTGTCTTATAGAAGAACGACGATACCCTTCTTCCCTGAAGAACCAAGCTCCAATGCACATCAACCTAATCTATCTTTAGTTTCTAGTTATTTGTTTACTGATTCTTGATTGAGAACAAGTTGTAGGACTCACCAGAGTGTCGAGGTCGTGCCTTGCAATGAATTAAGAAGACTATCTTATATACACACAGCATAAAACAAAGACGACTTCTTGGCCTGCTGTCCATATGACCCTGATATATATTGGCTGTCTAGATTCCTGCCTAGTTGCGGCCAATGTAATCATTAGTTGAACACCAAGCGTGAACTCGCTCATTTGACGGCATAGTTGATGAGATGATGGAAAGCTTGGACCGGCGAGCGCCCGCAACCTCATGATGGCATTCAGTGCCCAAGAGGCAGCAGATCCGCCGCGAGACGGAGCAAAACAAACCTTTGAGTGCCTTCTCTCACCAGGCATACCAAGGCCTTGCCTTCGCCCTCTCAACCTTGCCCAAAATCTCAGGGATTCATTCAGAAAACAAAAATCCCTTTCTTGGGTAACCCTGAGCTTGAATCTCGGACTGCTTTCAGCGATTTTCATCTTGTCGCGATCCTTTCGGAGGCAAGTTGCTTCGATATGAATCCTTATTCTTCCGATGCTGACATTATAGCCGAATATTCTCAGATCTTCTGACTCATTCGCCTAGGAAGATGGACATCGAGGGAAAAAACGAGGACAATCGCGACGTCCGTCGACTTCTTTGGCCCAATGCCAATCCGACGATCCAGCGTACGGAGAAGGAAGAAGATGAGCGAAACATAGCTTCCACTGCATCTTCGTCATCCGAGAACCACGCTTTCAACGACATCGACCAGGAGCATGTTACGTACTGTCCAGAGACGCGTCGTCGCATTCTCAAGCCTGTCTCCCGAAAGGCTCGAGCCGGCATAAGCAGTGCTGCTGAAGCCAGCAACTTCAGCATTCCCGGCAAAATCCATGCCGCCAATAGTTTCGTTGAACACTCAGTCGAAATCTCGGGCGGCGGCCCAGCGACCCCACGAAGTTCGCATGTCCAGCCTGGCGGCGGTGAGAGTCCAAGAACCGCAAAGGCCCTTCGGCTTTTCAACCCCGCGAACGCTCGCCACGATCCCAATGGCAAGTATCAAAGTCCCGGCGCGGGTCGCAAGCTCAACTTCGAGCCAAGCCCCAAGCACTACTTGGCTCTCGGAATGAAGGGCAGCTCTACCACCGGGTCGACGATTCATTCTTCCGAGCCCGAGGCTGTGACCCCTCGCAAGACCGGAAGCTCATCAGAGGATGCTTGCGATATGACCATCCCTGCCCGACCTCATTCCGTCAGAACCGCACCGCCAGTCATGTCAGCAGCCAACGAGGAGTACTTCACTCACGATCCCATGGTCTTGGACGACTCGCCATCGATGCGGCCCCTCCGACGCCAAATGGAAGGACTCAGCGTTGGCGCACGCCCGCTCTCGCATCCGGCTGAGCATCCCATGGGCCCTCGCCCTTTCATCAGCACTGGATCTCCCCCAGAGACCCCAACAAAGCAGAGGAGACAAATCAAGAGAGCTCGCGCAGAGTTCGATAAGACCGCCTCCCTCTCAGGCAAGGACATCGCTCGGGAGCGTGAGATTATGTCACACTACGCCGAAAACGCTGATGCGATGAGAGATGAAGTGGCTGAGGATATGGACTACAGCGAGGGAGACGATGATGATGACCAGGAGACTCCCAAGGCCTCGATCCTGAACCGCCACTTGGAGACTTCATGGTGAAGGGTGTTATTTGATTTTGCTGGAGAGACAGAGGAGAAGACAAAAGACTGACGACACTGGAATTTTCTTTAGAACTCGGTATCAATAGTCGCCTACATTTATCAATACTCCGGCCCTCAATCGCTGCATCGGAAGTTGGTGTTGATGGTGATGTCTTGCAGCAAATGCCCTCAGTCAATCACCTAGTGCTGATAAGAGAGCCTGCGCCACGTGACACTGTCCAGTACCTTAGATAAGCACCTAGCTATTGTGGGTCTCTAAGAGCTCCCATTGGCAGTTGCTCTTGCCTCAGAGACACCTACCACTAAGCCAGAAACGGTTAGCGCTCTCCTGTCGCGTCCTGGAAGCACTTTGCGGCTGCCCGTCCCGTCCTCTACACCTGCTGCCTTCGAACGGGATTGAAAAAAACACCACCGCCGCGAGGCTGATTGATTGTCTCGTCCACCACGACCACCACTTTCCGCCTGCTCCGTCGCGACCTGACCCGCTGTCACATTGAAGTCGCTCTTGAGACACGGCCGGACTGCTATTTTTCAACCTGCGAATGCCCCGACCGTATTGAAGAGGCAAATTCGCCCGGGCTCTGCGTCGTGGTTAATAATCACCGTCGTCTCCCAATTGCCACCAATCCTTGATCGATCGCAACCCCGGCATCCAGGAGCGCCCCGACTCGGCGCATTCATCTCGCATCGAACGACGTTCCTTCCGCTTTAGTTGCTCGCGCGGCTTGTATCCTTACGCCTTCCTCCCCGAACTCAGACGGTTTGCCAACCCCATCACGACGTCACACCGAACCAGGCCATCACCAGTTCTTTTTCACCAACCGCAAACATGGCCGACGTCGACTACGAGTACGACTACGATGGCTACGCCGACGAGGATGATACTAGCATTACCCCCGAGGACTGCTGGACCGTCATCTCATCGTTCTTCGAGTCCAAGGGCCTGGTTTCTCAGCAGGTAGACTCTTTCGACGAGTTTACGTCTTCCACTGTCCAGGAGCTCATCGACGAATACTCCCAAATCACTCTAGACCAGCCGAATCCCATGTCTGATAGCGACAAGGTTATTGCCCTTCGCCGTTATGAGGTCAAGTTCGGCACCGTTATGGTCTCCCGCCCATCCATCACCGAAGCCGACGGAAAAGTCACGACGCTCCTTCCCTACGAATGCCGCGATCGAAACCTCACCTACGCCAGTCCTCTCTACGTGAAGATCACTAAGAAGGTCTCCATCGCCGTGGAGAAACCCATTCCCCTGAATGAGCTCGATGAGGACCAGCAAGAGGAGCTGGCCAACACGGGCGAACACCCCACAAAGCTCGAGTGGGAAGAGGAGGAGAGCGGCGAGGATTACGGCGCAGACAAGAACAAGTCAGATGATATGAAGGACATGATCTTTATCGGACGGATGCCCATCATGGTCAAGTCCAAGATTTGTCACCTCAGCAGCGAGTCGGAAGACGATCTGTTCATGCTCAACGAATGTCCGTACGACCAAGGTGGTTACTTCATCATCAACGGTAGTGAGAAGGTTCTCATCGCTCAAGAACGATCGGCGGCGAACATCGTGCAGGTTTTCAAGAAGGCTCAGCCGAGCCCGTACTCCTACACCGCCGAGATCCGCAGTGCTCTCGAGAAGGGCTCGCGACTCATTTCGAGTATGATGTTGAAGCTGTACAGCAAGGGCGATGCGGCAAAGGGTGGCTATGGCCAGACAATCCACTGCAGTCTTCCCTATGTCAAGTCCGACTTGCCCATCGCCATCGTCTTTCGAGCTCTGGGAGTGGTGTCCGATGAGGACATCCTGAATCATATTTGCTATGATCGAAATGACAGTCAGATGCTCGAGATGTTGCGACCCTGTATTGAGGAGGCCTTCTGTATTCAGGACAGAGAAGTTGCCCTGGATTTCATCGGAAAGAGAGGCAGCAACCACAACATCCCGCGAGAGAAGCGTGTGAGAACTGCTAAGGATATCCTGCAAAAGGAGACGCTTCCTCACATTTCTCAAAGCGAAGGCAGTGAGACGCGCAAGGCGTTTTTCTTGGGTTACATGGTTCACAAGCTGCTTCAGTGCGCTCTTGGACGACGCGACACCGATGATCGTGACCATTTTGGCAAGAAGCGACTCGACCTTGCGGGTCCTCTGCTTGCTAAACTGTTCCGCAACATCGTTCGCCGGATGAATCAGGAGCTGTCTGGCCACCTCAAGCGTTGTGTCGAATCAAACCGGCAATTCAGTCTGACGCTGGGCGTTAAGCCGCAGACTCTCTCCAACGGATTGAAATATTCTTTGGCTACCGGTAACTGGGGAGACCAGAAGAAGGCTGCGAGCTCGACTGCTGGCGTGTCTCAGGTGTTGAACCGTTACACTTTCGCATCCACACTCTCCCATCTTCGGCGAACCAACACGCCCATCGGTCGTGATGGCAAGCTCGCAAAACCTCGACAACTTCACAACACTCATTGGGGCTTGGTTTGCCCTGCCGAAACCCCCGAAGGACAGGCGTGTGGTCTCGTCAAAAACTTGTCTCTCATGTGCTACGTCAGTGTCGGTACGCCCGCTGAACCTATCATTGACTACATGATTCAACGAGGCATGGAGGTGCTCGAGGAGTACGAGCCACTGAGATACCCCAACGCCACCAAGGTCTTCCTCAACGGAGTCTGGGTGGGCGTCCACCAAGACCCGAGAATCCTAGTGCCCGATGTCCAAGGAACTCGTCGGCGCAACGTTATCTCCCACGAAGTCTCCCTTGTCCGGGACATTCGCGATCGCGAGTTCAAGATCTTCTCCGATGCGGGCAGAGTCATGAGACCTGTTTTCGTCGTGGAACAAAGCACTCAAGGCATTGTCCCGCAGGGTTCTCTGGTGTTGCAAAAGGCAACCGTCAACGAAATGCGTGACCAACAAGAAAACCCACCTGATAACCCCAACGATAAGATAACATGGGAGACGTTGGCACATAGTGGAGTTATCGAATACCTCGATGCGGAAGAAGAAGAGACGGCTATGATTTGCATGACACCTGAGGATCTGGAGATTTATCGAGCGCAGAAACAGGGTCAACTAATCGAGGAAGACAATACCGAGGATAGAAACCGGCGACTGAAGACGAAGATCAACCCGACAACTCACATGTACACGCACTGTGAGATTCACCCGAGTATGTTGCTCGGTATCTGTGCCAGCATTATTCCCTTCCCCGATCACAACCAGGTATGTCAACTCAATCCTCATACACCAAGTCACGCTAACAATTGCCGTAGTCTCCCCGTAACACCTACCAGTCTGCCATGGGCAAGCAAGCCATGGGCTTTTTCTTGACCAACTACTCTCGCAGAATGGACACCATGGCCAACATTCTCTACTACCCTCAGAAACCTCTTGCCACAACCCGCTCCATGGAGTTCTTGAAATTCAGAGAACTCCCAGCTGGCCAAAACGCAATCGTCGCCATTGCTTGCTACTCGGGCTACAACCAGGAAGATTCCGTGATTATGAATCAGAGCAGCATCGATCGTGGACTCTTCAGGAGTTTGTTCTTCCGATCCTACACAGATTGTGAGAAGCGTGTGGGTATCAACCTGGTTGAGCAGTTTGAGAAGCCATTCAGGAGTGACACTCTTCGCTTGAAGCACGGCACCTACGACAAGCTGGATGATGACGGCATCGTCGCCCCTGGTGTCCGTGTTTCTGGTGAGGATATCATCATTGGCAAGACGTCTCCCATCAACCCAGACAACCAGGAACTTGGCCAGAAGACAACGCAGCACGTCAAGCGTGACGCATCTACACCTCTTCGCAGTACTGAGAACGGCATTGTCGACTCGGTCATCATCACAACTAACCAGGACGGCCTGCGCTACGTGAAGGTGCGTGTGAGGACGACCAAGATTCCTCAGATTGGCGACAAATTTGCGTCACGTCACGGTCAGAAGGGTACAATTGGTGTTACGTACCGACAAGAAGACATGCCCTTCACATGCGAGGGTATCACCCCCGACATCATCATTAACCCGCACGCCATTCCCTCGCGTATGACTATTGCTCATTTGATTGAGTGTCTGCTCAGCAAGGTGTCAACCTTGAAGGGTATGGAGGGTGACGCCACTCCCTTCACGGACGTCACGGTAGACTCAGTCTCGCAACTACTTCGTGACCAAGGTTACCAGTCAAGAGGCTTTGAGATCATGTACAACGGCCACACTGGCAGGAAGTTGCGAGCACAGGTCTTCTTTGGACCGACATACTACCAGCGTCTGCGCCACATGGTCGACGACAAGATTCACGCTCGTGCACGTGGACCTGTGCAGATCATGACCAGACAACCAGTCGAGGGTCGTGCTCGTGATGGTGGTTTGCGTTTCGGAGAAATGGAGCGTGATTGCATGATTGCCCACGGCGCGGCATCGTTCCTCAAGGAGAGATTGTTCGAGGTTTCGGATGCATTCCGAGTCCACGTTTGCGAGATTTGCGGGTTGATGACACCTATCGCGTAAGTCTGTTTCTGCCGAAGTGGTTGATATGCTTTGCTAACTTGCCGCAGAAACCTATCGAAGCAATCATTTGAGTGCCGGCCCTGCAAGAACAAGACGAAGATTGCACAGATCCATATTCCCTACGCAGCCAAACTCTTGTTCCAGGAGCTTCAGTCTATGAACATCGCAGCACGTATGTTCACCAATAGATCAGGAGTTTCCATCCGGTAAGACGTGCAGTCTGGGGTTGGCTCTTGAGAAATGGCGGATCCCCTGTGAGAAGCAGGGGCCATAAGATGCGGCGAACTGAGCAGCAGTATGAGGGGTTATTTCGTTTGGCGTCTTAGATGGGACGGGCGGGAACGTTTGGGGCTTTCCGTGCCGCATTTTTATGGCGGGCGGCAGACTGGCAGATTGCGCCTCTACTGTGTCTGTACTAATGATTTGTACTATCAAAAGGGGATGAAAAAAATAGCAACACGGCGTAGGATATCTTAGGCAGCCAGTTTTAAGAAGAAGAGACACTTCATGCCTAGTATTTTCTAATGTTTGTACAAGTGGCGTGGTAAAAGTACATAATACAAAAAGCGATTCCAACCAAAAAACACCAGGCTGGTTGAAAGCATCCATACATCGGCGGCACTCATGCGCCGCGGGGTATCATTGTATGCTTTTGTTTGCTCTACCACTCTCGAGTGTCGACCCGTCCGCGCCCTTGACGAGGCGATTAATCGTACACGTTTCGTTGTCGATCGCTTCGCAGCAGAGTCGCGAGGCCGCGCGCAATGTCGAGAGTTTCTATTGTCGTAGACATCGTCATGAAGCCCCACCGCCGCCGCTGGAGAGTGGTGGTCCTGTTGCGTCCCGGACCGTCTGCTCTCGTTTGTACTCCTCTTCGAGGGCGCGCTGCATGTCGAAGTCCAGCTGCCGTTCTCTCTTTACGCGCTGCAGCTCCATATCGCGGACGACACCCTGGTGCATTGCCTGTAGAACGACCCGTTTAGTTTTGGAAACGAACATGCGCGGATGTTCGCGGGGGGAAAGCTCGTTGCGGGAACGTACGTCTTTCTCGAACTTTTGCTGGAAGTGCACAATGACAATTGTGCTTGCGGCGAACAGCGACGTCGCTGCGAGGGTGAGTTTTGACGCCCGCGACATGATTTCCGGTAGGGTCAGAGGTCAATTGGACGCTTCTATGGTATGCGCTTCGAGGGGAAACCACGGCTGTCTGGCGGAGAGGTGTGCAAGACGTCGCCGGAGTCTGGAGAAAGTGGTCTCACGTCGGGATTTGTCCTGCGCATTCGGCGGCGGCGGGAATGATGTCGGTTTCTTGCGGTTCCACGATAAGATAAGGACCTTGAATTGAGGAACGGCTAAGTGCATAAGACGAACTCGCTGTGCTAGAGCTATCCAAATGGCAGGTACATGGGTGTAGGTTCTGTCTGGTGGAGGCCCCCACTGCCTTGGAGGCGTGGAATGTACCTCCCAGTGCCCATAGCCACCGATACGTACCGATCTCCTACCTGCTGCACCTCCCGTCACCTCCCAGCGGCTTGCTTCCATCGCCGTCAACATCAACCTCAGCAATACAGCTATCGCGAATCCTCCATCCGACACTTCCTCCGCCCGACCACCCGCGTTCGATCACCGCACGCTCATCTACCCTTCCGACATCTCCTCCTTTCTACAGAACGACCCCCCGTTCGCGACGATCACATACAATGGTGAGGGTGCCCGCTGTCGCGGACGTCATTCCCTCAGCGCGGGCAGTTTGCTGACTCGGTGTACTTAACAGGCGGCTCAGAACTCGGCGGGTATCCAGACCCTCCTGGACGTATGCGAACTCCCTTGCAGCTCCCGAGCTGGAGATATCGTTGCTAACTAGGTCGATTCAGGCTGAACGGGAAGCTTCCAAGATTGTTCAGAAAGGTATACGCCGCTGAGAGACCCTCCATCAACCGAGACATCGCCGCTAACGTATACCAACAACCAGCCCGCGAGTGTAGGTCCTTGAATCGATCGATGCCATGATTCATCCGTGTGCTCACACGTCATGTTCAACGATAGTCCGTACGAAGCGAGTGAAGGAGGCCCGCGACGAGGCCAAGAAGGAGATTGACGACTATAAGAACTCCAAGGAGCAGGAGTTCAAGAAGTTCGAGTCCGAGGTACGGCTGGAGGAACTCACCGAGCATCAGACTGCCGAATCGAGACTGACCATCACCTTCGCAGCACACCCAGGGCAACAAGCAGGCCGAGGACGAGGCGAACAAGGAGGCCGAGGGCAAGATTAAGGAAATTAAGGATGCCGGAAAGAAGAGCCAGGACAAGGTCGTCACCGACCTCTTGAAAGCCGTGTTCGATGTCAAGCCCGTACCCCCAAGCGCCGCATGAAGAGACATCGGACTCTCGCACGACTTATAGACAGACACTTTGACCTCTTTGGGCGCCGATGAGACTACACAGGAGCTTCGCACACACGTAGGGATTGGCACGATCGAGGGAAAGCCGGAACGCAAACCAGCACGATGGCTCGGCGACGGGTACGACCAAGACTCCGCCATAGAACTTTCACGTTCCTGCGGCAATTGTAGCATTACACCTAGCAAATCTGCCCCTTTTTTTCCTTCTCACCTCAGCGCAGAAACTCCATCAGTGTCGTGAGCATCTCTGCCAAGTCCTTATGCTCGGGCTTGTCGAGATCTAAATCCTCCCGGTATTCTTGCAATGTTGCTTTGACGGCAGCCAGGTCTTGGCCGTCCGCGGCAAGCAGTTTCTGAATCCGTTTCCTGGCACCTGCGTCCTCGGCGATGAGCCATGCCAATGTGACATCAATGGCCCAGACGCTGTAGAGGCCTTCCTCAATCCTCCTGAGAAACCATTCGCCTTCTGAAAGCTCGGCATCCTCCGGGCTCATCTTTCTTCGCTCCTTCTCAATCTCCTTGTCCACTGCATCAAGCATCGACTTGTACGTCTTCCTGCAGTCATAGAGTCGGTTCAGTTTCTCGTAGTCCTTCTCCACAAACTTGGCTAGCGTCCGGATTCTCTCGGCAGAGTTGGCGGGGAGAAACCTGAGCAGAGATCTGAAGATGTCGAATAAACTCTCGTTGATCATCCGATGCTGTGTCGACTTCTTGAACATAGTGAAGAGCACCTTGAGTCCACCAGCCTCAACCACTTTCTGACAGACCTCCCCCCTCATGTCGCCGCTGACGCTGTGCACAAGAAGGCGCATCGCTGGTTGCTTGCTCATCTTGCCCTCCTTCAGCATAATCAAGCACAGTTCGATGCCCTCGGCTTCGAGAAACTTGGTCTTGCCTTCCGGTTCGTCGACGATGCACACGAGCGCGTTGAACAGGTTCTCCATGTACTCTTCTTCTTCGCCTCCTTTCTCGGGGTCGCGTTTTCGATATGCTGAGACAAGTTGTAGCAAGACATCAATGGCGTCCAGCTCGGCCAATCTGCGTCGCGTTAACGGCGAGGTGTGAGCGATGATGTCTAGTAGTTCCGTGGAATATTGCTTATTCTGGGATACTGGCGACTCCTTGCGTTGCGCCCTCTCCAGGAGCCACTTGATCAGGGTTGTGTCCTGCCCGACCTTTTCTGCGTTCGCTCTCTTCGATAACAGATTCTCTATGACACCAAGCGCGTGATACACTCCGTTGCGGTCAGACTCGTCGTCCTCGTTCAGACGAGAGAAGTTGGACACGAGCAGCCCAACGAGGTCCGCATTCAAGAGCGCGTCGGCCAGCTTATCCCAGTCCTCGTCTGTTGCGTAGACGTCCTCGTCCGTGAGCTCGCCGATGATTTCCACGGCGTCGATGGCGATGTCAGTGTTCTCGTGAGCCAACAGGCCGACGAGACTGTCCACGCAGCCCAGCTTGACGAATTGGGGGTATAGGTCGGGATGTTCCGCCAAGATGGAGAGGTCCTTGATGGCGGCGTCGAGGTCGGCCTCGCTCTCGATGAACTTCTGCGGGTCGTCGGCGAACTTTGCACGCAGCTCCGCGTTCTTGGTGATGCGCTTCTCGAAGTTGAGGGCCGTTTTCCTGACCCATGCGGCGTCGACCTTTTCGGGGGCCGCGGAGTCTTCGCCGCGGCCGTCTACGTAGTCGAGGATCTCGGATTCCTGCTTCGTGATTCCTCCGCCGAAGAACCGGCCCTCGTCGTCGTCGGGGGGCATCTCGGGTCCGTAGTCGCCGTCGTCGTCGTCTTCGCCATCTTCGGGTGGGCGGGTCGGTCCGGCGGCAACGTCATCGTCTTCGGCTTCGTCTTCGACTTGCGCGTGCCGGCTGTCACTGGCGCTCAGTTTGGCTGATTTGTAGATCTCATCTGGGGTCGCTCGCTGTTAGCTTTCTTCGACAGGCAGCGTCGTATTCGGCGGGTGAGGGTGCTCACTTGGGTCTCGTACTGCGTCAAGTTTCCTCTTGCTAACGCCGCTGGCACTCTGTGTCGTGTTAGCAGGGCGAGAGGTTCGGTCGCATCACCAGTAGTAGACTTACCTTGAATAACTCGTTGACGTCGGTCATGGCCGCTGATTTCAATTGGTATCGCAAAGCCTAAGCTGATTCGAGCGGACAGCGAAATCAACGCGGTTCTTCTTCAACGCCGAAATTAGTTGCGTCGCTGCTGGAATCTTGGTGCAAACAGGGACGCGCGACCGGGTGCTTTTTGGAGCTCTCGCGATGGCTTGCAGCACGGTGGAGTCTAGATGCTGAACAGTACGTATCTTTTCAGCTCGGTGTTATGCATTTTATGCAATATCGGGTATGGCCAGTGCTTGTGGCTGGTGATGGAGTCGGCGACTGGGGAGTGCGAGTTGCCGTTTTCGGAAATGCCGACAGGTCCAGTATCCGGGCGTAGGACTCATCCATCGACATGACCTTCTTACACCTCACTCTTACTACCTACCTACCTTAGTATAGAATCCCAGCGGCTTCACAAGTCACTTCATCAAAATGTCGCCTACTGCTGTGCTCATTCGTCATGCCCAAGCCCTTCACAATGTCGATCATAAGTCATCCCCGCCACGCTGCCCTTGGGCGCTACACGCCCTGACCTTTCCTTACAGGACTATTCCATCCATGACCCAGACTTGAGTGAACTGGGCCGGGAACAATGCCTGGAGCTGCGCAAGAATCTTTCCGAAAGGTTCCCTGACGAGACGGACGCCATCATCATCGTCAGTCCCATGAGACGGACCATTCAGACCGCTCTGCGCTCTCTCGACTGGTTGATCGCGAAGGGCGTGCGTATTCAGGCCGATGCTCGCTGGCAAGGTACGTCTTGTCAGCCTGGACCAGGAATCAGCGGCCCTTTTTCAGGTTTCCCAGATTCGTAAGATTGGTTAATAATCGTATCAGAAAACTCGGCCAAGCCATGCGACACGGGCACTCCCATCGCCAAACTGGCCGCGGAGTTCCCTCAGGTCGACTTCTCCACCGTAGACCCCGTCTACCCGGACAAGACCTCCCCGGCCGGTGCCAAGTACGCCTTCACCAAAGAGGCCATTCTCGGCCGAGCCCAGTCTTGCATCGAGAGCCTCCACGAGCGTAAGGAGAAGCTCGTCTTCGTGGTTTCGCACTCTGGGTTCTTGCGCCTCGGCGTAACGGGATACTGGTACTTCAACGCCGACTACCGGATCTTCATGCCCGATCAGAGTGACGTTCCCGGCAGTGTGCCAAAACTCAAGATGCTCGCGTCGACCGTTAGCGGAGGCCTTGGTAAATCGTGGACCGATCCTGTTGAGATCGGCTCCGACTTACCAGCGTCGGAGGAGCCCCCCAATGGCAAGCTTGACAATTGAGCAGCGTAGACGAGATCTGAGAACCGTTTCACCATGTAGCGTTTGGGCAACTTAACTCCTTAGACGGGTCGTTATCAACAGAAGCACTTTGCATTTTCAAGACCCTGTTGCGTAGAATTATCCCTGGAAGTAAGTCCATTTTGCTGGCAAAGTTGATTACCATACATGAGACGTGAAAACATTCAAAATCACGATGCCTTCACAATACTGCAATGAAAGAGATTTTGCAAGCCGGTTTCCATGATTTCCTAATTCGCAGATTTCCAGGCGGGCAGAGACTCATCTATCAAATGGAGCGTACTGTCGGGTTGTTTACGCCTCCCGCTCCGCGATGTGATATCCCAGCAACGACCTGTTTCTGGTAACTATTCCTGTTCCTGTTTCCCCTCCAAAAGTACCACCCAAAGGTACCAAAACAAAACACGCTTCTATTTTCTCCCAGTCACCCATCCCGAGCTTACGCTCACTTTGCCGCCCAAGACCACCTATCCTCTAGTTCCGTCTCACCACCTTCATCGAGTCATGGAACTTCTCACGCAGTTTCGGCGTCATCAGGCTTACCCGCGCCTAAAACTCTGGCGGTCGAATCCCTGTTTCTGATCTTTTCGTAGTACTCTTTCAGTTTGTCGTTCAAAGACAGGGACTCGATGCCACACTCTTTGACAATGGCGTGCAATACTGGCCAAACGGCAAAGTCGGCCAATGAAGCCTTCTTCCCGGCGATGAAGTCCGCTTCCTCAGCGTAGCCGCCCCATGCCTGCAGCTCTTTCTTAATAGGCTTCAAGTCGCGATTTCCCTCGTCGTCCTTCTCAAGGCGTCGCCACTTGTCGAGCAATGCAAGGCCCTGCTGGAAACGAGTGAACACTGTTGCCAGTTCAAGCTGTGATTTGCTCTTTGTAGAACCATGAACACCATCCAGGTACAACATGATTGCCAGGTCGCCCTGGACAACTGACTTGGCTGCGTCGTTGTCGATGAACTTGACTGGCTGGCTTTCTGGTATCGCGGAACCACCGTTGGCACTAGTCTTTCCGTCTTTCCCTTCCGAGGATGGTGACATACTGCCCTTGGCGTAGGAGATGCCGTGCTCTGCTAACATCAAGGCAATGCGCATATTGACAACAGGATCCACTGACATACAGAGACGCGGCGAGTGATTCATGTGAAGAACGTCGAATCCCTTGCCGTAGTAGTGGTCCCAGTCAAAAGTTGTCGAGTGATTTTCCGTGCCAAAGGCTTGCAGCATCCCCACGGCCTCGGGGGTCTGGCCGTTGATAGTAGGATGGGCCTGATCCTGGGACTTGCCAGTGGCCCCCTGGCCCCAGATCATGGTGCTATCGCGATCCAAGAAGGTGCCGATGTGTCGGAAGGTTAGAGAAATACGCCCGCCGGAAAAGGCCAGTTCGGCGGGAGTCTTCTCCCGATCCATCCTCTTGTCCTGTCTGATAGCGTGCAGCCAGCGCATGTTTGTCTCAAGCCCCATACGGCACAATGAATTGTGTGGTAGCTTCGCGCGTTCGATTTTGCGCTGCTTTGAGTCTGCCCCAGACGGCGTCTCAGTGCTGGACGGGTCCTTATCCCGTCTCTTGGTCCTCAATACCATCGTTCGTTCCGCACCTAGACTGACATTGGCAATGTAAGATCCCTTGACAATATCCAGGGTCTTGTCACTATGCTCGGAGATGTAGTCAGTGCCACCACGGTAGAACTGGATCAGGGCATGGTTAAGCGGATGACCGAGTTGTTTCTCGACCTCTGCCTTGATTTCCAGCACCGTCGGTGAGAAAGGAAGTAGAGGAGGCGACTCGTCAGATGGGTGGCGGTACACCGGCATGCTTCCGTCGGAGGCGACGTCGCCCTGAACGGCTACCAGACGCGGGACTTCTCCACCCTGGTGTGACATTCTCTGCCAGTTGACCTCATCTTTGATTTTCTCGAATATACCCTCGGCAAGAGGCTCAGGGAGAACGTTGTAAATGACAGTAGTGTCGCCCTCGCAAAGTGGTTCGGAAGTTTGCGGGGAGCTTCCTGCTGTGTCTTTCTTGCCGTCCATCGTTGCCTCTGTGTTTTCCGGAGTTGCTTTCAGTTCAGATTGTGGTTCTGTGTCGGGCGTGGGGTTTTTGTCATCAGTGGCAGCCTCAAGTATTTGAGGTTGAACAGAAACTTTCTCCGTTGGCAGAGCAGGCTCGGTTTGCGTGTTCTCGGGATGGCTGCGAGAAGCTTCTTTGGCGGGTGAGTCATCGTTGGCCTTGGGTGATGTTTGTGGCGGCTGTGCATCAGGGTCGACCTCCAGAACATCGGAGATGGTTGCACAGTCCGAATCTACCGTGGATGAACGCAACTTAGGCTTTGCAGCTGATGGTGATCCAATACTGTCAAGGTTCAGTGCAGCCATCTGATCCTCGATTGACTTGGGGTGTGCGGTGTCACCGGCAGGCGGCGGCGGCTTGCCGTCATTCGGCTCGTTAATTCTTTTGGGAACAACCGGTGAGGCTGGAGTGGATGTCCGTGAAGCTGACGCATTCTTAGGCTGAAGGCGTTCGATGACAGCCTGGCTATCCTCAACTTCGCAGCCGGTGACGTCGAGAAGACTCTGTACTGCATTGTTCTGGCGAAGATCGGATCTAAATCCACAACAATTCTCTACAAGAGTAATTTTGTATGCGTACTTCGCGGCATCAACAGCCGTGGCGTGGACTCCGATATTGGTGAGAGAGCCGCAGAGAAAGATGTCGGTCACGAATTTGACGCGTAGCATCTGCAATAACTGGCCTGATTTAAAGGCCGAGTAATGAGACTTGATGAAAGTCACATCCCGAGGAGCGATGGCTTTCTTGACGGCGGCGGGAAACTGTGCTCCGGGGGTGGCGGACCGAACGACCGGTGGGCCGGGCTGGCCGAGGAAGGCCTCGGGATCGGCGTCGGCGATGGCTCCCTCGTCTATCTCCGATTCAGCGGCGGCACCTCGGCGGCGGACACGAGAGGCCAGGCTGGTTGGCTTTGGCATAACATCGGTGGCCAGAATCTTTTCGAGTGCGGATTGGCGAGGCTTGTCGAATTCGGAACACACCCAGATGACTTCGCCAACTTTGCGAAACGCCTTGACCAGCTCGAGAGTGCGGGACACGAGTTCATTGGGCTCCTGGACTGGCAAGGCGCCGTCAGCAGAAAGGAAGTCGTTCTGAAAATCGATGACAAGCAAGCCCTTCCGGGTCGGCAACTGTGGTAGAGCGTTGCGATCAAAGGTGAACATGGTGATGATGGTGGGGACGATATTAGAGTATCCGATGTGAGGGTAATGTCATGATGAGGAGGTGACGATGCGTTAGTCGCGAATAAGAAGTGCAAGAGCGGTAAACGCAGCGACGTGATCAGGATCTAAGAGGCCCAATGTGTGTGTTTTTGGGAGTAGAGACGTTTTCAGGCCGCGACGAAATGTGAAGCTGTGTTGGTTGATACTGGTTTGGTGTTGGTGTTGGTGTCGGTAAGGTAACCTAAAAGGTACAAAGTCTCAGGTACCGTACAGTCAGGTAGGGGTCTCTGGCGACTGGGGTCCCCGCTTCGTTGCCCTCCCACTCGAATCGGATCTCGCCCGATCACCGGCGCCTTAATCCCAACACGTGATTGCGATATCTTGTCTACGCTACCACAGACACTTGTTTCTTCCAATTTTCGCTCCCCCATCTTTGAGTTTCTTAAAGATAAAAAATGATGCGTTTGTTCCAGGTTATCCATTGCAATTCATTGATGAATTCTCCGAAAACGTAACTCAAGACAGGGGGAGCGAAGCACGGAAGAAACAAGCGTCTACGGTAGTACCTTACCTCATCTAAATAAGCACACATCCATTGGCCCCTGCCCTGGTTCCCCCTCACGCATTTTTGTCGGGAAAATGAACCTTCATGATCAAGGACTCGACTGTAGTTATTGCCGTTCAGTCATTGGCATGGTGTGTCCTACATCAGAGATGACTAACGCAAAACCTCCAAAATCTCTGCGAATGTCGGTCTCTCCCCTACCACCGAAGTTGAGCAACGGGCGTGCAGGCCTCTCAATCTCTTAGTCGCTTGCGATGTCTCATCGTCCTTCCCCTTCATGCCTCCAACTTCAAGCAGATCCTCGATCAGGTGACCGAAAGCCAGGACTTCCAGCCTTTCGAAGTCAAAGCCGCTCATATTCTCGTATATCGTCGCCGCGCCGAAGTCGCCCAGCAGAGCGTGCCCAACATCGTTGAACAAGATGTTGTGAGCGTAGAGATCGCAATGAGAAACCCCGCGACTGTGGAGATGATGTGCGGCAGCAGCGATGCCAGCAAGAATCTCTAAGATGATGTCCGCGGACAGCATTCTGCTTGCCTCGTAACGATCTCGCGTACAGGTTTGCAAGGAAGGAGGTAGCCCCAGAGTCTGGTAGTGAGGCGGAATAAGCTGCATGATGAGACCGTGTTTCTCCGGGTGCCCGTCGATGCTAGCCAGCGTGCTGATCAAGTTCTCTTGTGAGCCCGCGGCCAGGCATGCGGCCATCTCGTCGAGGGGTGTTCCATCACTCGTCACCTCGCCCTTGAATAACTTGACGGCCACCTCTTCGACGACGGAATCAGCGAGCATCCACCTCGCCTTAAAAATGTCCCCAGATGCGCCGTGGCCGAGCAAGCCCTCAACCTCGAGGTTGGACCATCCTACCTTGCGAAGCTGGGCTAGCTCTTGTTCCAGCGTCACAGCGCAGCATGGGTTGCCGGCAACGGAAAGAAACGCAAGCTCTGGCATCTCGAATAGCCAGGACGGAAGCTCTTCGAAGTTGTTGGCAGAAAGACGGAGAAGACCAAGCTTTTTGCACGCCGACATCTCGTCTGGGAGATTCTCCAGGCGATTACCGGCAAGCATGCACTTCTGAAGGCGCGTACAGTGGCCGATGGTTCGGGGGAGTGCGTCGATGCGGTTGTTTGTGAGAATGAGCCAGCGGAGCTTTGGCGGGAGGGCGTTTTCTGGGATCGAGGCCATACTGTTCGAGCGGAAGGCCACCATCTCGAGTTCGGGACATGCTGCGAGCTGTTTTGGAAAGACGGCGAATTTGCAGTCGGAGAAGAAGGCAATCTTGAGCTTGCGCAGTTGACTGATCTCATCGGGTAAGCTGGACAAGCCTGTGCTGGAAAGGTCGAGATGCTCGAGGGTATCGGCAAGTTGGAGGATCTCGGGAGGAAACTCGTTCAAGGGCTCAGACAGCTTGAGTTTTTGAAGGTTGAGGCCACGATAGCCGCCCTTTTGCAGGGTTTCCAAGTTTTGCATTGTTACTTCAACGAAAGCAGACTCAGAATAATTGCAGGGTATGCTTCTGAAAGGACCACTAAAATCGAAAGATCGAGTATGGTCTGTTGATGGCGATTTAAGTGAGTGCGGCAAGTGGGAGACGTATGAGTTTGAAGTTGGCGAAGGACAATCAACACCCCTGGGGCTTCAAATTCCGTTGAGACAGGGAGGAAGGGAGGCGCTTGACTCAGACATACGAGCGGCACCACAACAGTAGCAGTTGCTGCGTTTTCTTCTCGCCCAGGAGTTCTCACGCCGAATGCAGCAAAGAGGTGACAATATTCGAGAGAAAAGTTGTCTGCAAGGTGCCTTGATAGGGAATAAGAGGTCAACGTGAGAGAGACCGAAGCAAAGGGCGACGTGGACAGGAGTTGATTGTCGGCGTGTCAGATAAGATAATGAGCGTAGCACAGCCCACTTGTGATGGGTCTTCCATGACTGAAGTGGCTGTCAATCATCAATGAGCTACGGAAGCTCAAAAAAAGGCACTAATCAATACCGGGTAGGAGGCTAAAGACGGGCAAAAAGCGCCATATTGGACCTCGAATGCTGAAGCTAAGATGCACATCACATTAAGGAGGACGGATACTGGTGAATGCTCGAAGCTCTAATCGTACTTGGTAGAAGGAGTGAAGGGGAGGAAATAGAAATAGAAGCCAAAACTGGGAACTATTACGAAGGAAAAGAGAGAGTCAGCTCAAGAGTGTATCATGATGAACGAGATCGAAGTCGTCGCTCAAGAACAACAGTGGCCATTGGGAACCTCACTCATAGCAGCCGATGACGGCTTATTTCTGCCTCAGAAGAGGCAGTGAAGAAGATATCCAAGGGATTCAATAGAGTAAAGACGACATCGGCAACACTGAATGACGACCGCTGTGGTGGGTAAAGTCGCGAAAATACGCAGATCTGGAAGGGGAAAAGAAGTCCATTCTAATTGGGCGAGCTTTTGGGTGAGCAGCGAATTGAGATCTTGGATCTCACCACGCGAGTTTCCGTCTGAGAAATCGAAGCTTCCCCTCAGACACATCCCAGCGCGCATGTTTAAGCGGGCGCGGTCCACTTAGCGCACGCGAGTGAGGCGCGCAAGGACCACCCCCAATGAGGACAGAACCTCCAGTGTCCCTGTCACTTGAGCTGGCCCGGCTCCTTCCATTTTTCTCGCGACGCCAGGGTACGTACCTTTCGACCTCGTCGACAGCTTCTGGATGGGACTGCGACAAACCCATCACAGCAACCCGAAGACTTTGCGACTGCGACTGCGACTGCGACTGCGACCGCTATCTTGAACCTTGCCAGATCCAATCTCGCCGCATAGGTCGCTCGCGCTCACTTCGGTCAAACAGAACTCCCCAGGCTTCCTATGTACCTGCGGCCGCGCTCCGGTAGCAACTTCAGAAGTCCGTTACCTTCGACATGTCCGCGACGCCTTCGCCCTCTGCGGTCGCGACCCCGCTCAAACGAAGCTTGTCCAGAGATGATGAAGAATCTTCTTCGAAACGCCAGAAGACAGATACCGGCTCACCCGCAGAGTCCAACTCGCCAGGCGATGACGATGAGCTGCTGCCCCCGTGCGCAACGAAAATCACGATTCCCTCGCTCGATTACCAAGCAAAAAGCGGCCTAGAACGCGGGATCGGGCTGGCGTTACAACATGTTGGATTCGATGCTGCCACTCCAGAAGCCATGGAGGGCTTCTTGGGGTCGGTAGAGACATGTGAGCATACCACAAAGTCCCCACGATGGCACCTTCTCAGCGCTGACGTATGACATAGACATGGCCTCTTTCATCGAGGATCTCAAACGCGTTTCTCTGGCTGCGCGCCGCGAACAACCGACCCCTGCCGATTTCGAGTCCACTATGCAGCGCTTCACACTCAAGACAAGAGCTCTCAAGCCTCACACTCGTCCTCCTATCCCGAAATCCAAGCTCGCCGTCAACTTCTTCGACCCTTCAATCGAAGATCCGGATGCGCACACTACGTTGCCGCTTCTAGGGGAGGAGTTAAGCGGCAGACCAGAAAAGGAAGCCAAGTCGTACATTCCCAAGTCTTTTCCCGACTTCCCAAGCAAGCACACGTACAAGTACACGCCAAAGGAGGATGACAGTGGAAGGGATCCTCAGAAGACCAGAGAGGAAGCGGCGAAGGCCTCGAAGCAAGGGGAAGAGGCGCTCCGAGGCTTGGTCAGGGCTGCGAAGGTTCGCAAGCAGAAGGAGGTCAGGTCATTGTCGGAACGCGACCCCATGACGAAGGAGCGCTATTCATTGTGGGCTGCGGCTATGGAGGGCTTCGTTAAGAAAGAGGGAGGGGCCACCGGACAGCTTGAAATTGCCGATCACAGCATGATCGTCAACTCCGATGCGCGGCATTTGCGCAGGGAAGTGCAACGCCAAGGGAAAAGGGCTGCTGGCCAAGGCTAGGAGCATGACCATGCGCGCCGGTAGAGGCATAATCGTTCATTGACGGAGCATACGCGACATATTTCACGGAAGGGTGGTCTCGAGATTGGGGGCCTTCTCGAAGGAAGGCTACAAAGGCTATTCATTTTATCAACATACGTACAGCAAGGCGTTTGGGTGGTTCTGGACAAGCTGGAGATGGAATCACTAGGCGGCGTTGTCTCCTCACAAATATCAGATTCGAGGCATCTTTTCACACTAGGTTTACCATAACCGGGCGGCCGGGGGGCGTGGTTCAGCAATAGTACAAAACGAATGCAGCCACCAATGATTCGGCGCTTTCCATCACCTGCAACTCCAGTCGCTCGTTGGGGCGCCAAGGCATAAGTCGGTCCCGACCCAAGTCCCATTTTGCGATGCTGGCCATCAGGTTGCCTTATGTAAGGTCGTGGGTCGACGCTGCGGAACCCAGATAAAAGAATGGACAGTGACATGCAACCTGAACAGACAAGGTGGGGGCCAATCAGCCTCGTCACATAGGTAGCGCCACCAAGTACCCTGATTGGCCAAGCCCCACCACAGCCTTGCCTCGCCTACAGTAGATAATCCGAAGAGGGCTTTTTTTTCGCCCACACACAAATTCCTGAAATCCGCAAGAGCTCCCAGGGTCAAAGGTGTGACCTCAGAATCAACTCCAACCATTCTCACCTTTCTCTCACCACTCAATCGACCTGATTGCCTCATTTCCCAATGGCTGAGCAGTTGATTCTCAAGGGTACCCTCGAGGGCCACGTAAGTTGCTGCTTGCCCGCTGCCAGCGCACCGATCGCATCGCCGTCGCCCGCGCTGGCTTGAATTTTTCGAATTTGGAGAACCACGGCTGACGGTGATGCTTTTTGCAGAATGGCTGGGTCACCAGCCTGGCTACCTCCATGGAGAAGTACGACACCCTCAATCCCCTCATCGATCATTCGCGGCGCTTTCTCGACCCGGCACAAATTTCGCAAACCGATACGACGAGACGCGCGAATGGTTGAAGTTGGTCGAGGTCTTGGTTGCTGACATGTCTTTAGCCCCAACATGCTCCTGTCCGCCAGTCGTGACAAGACTCTGATCATCTGGAACCTCACCCGTGACGAGTCTCAGTACGGCTACCCCAAGCGCTCCCTCAAGGGCCACTCCCACATCGTCTCCGACTGCGTACGTTACGACCCCTCTACGGACCACGCGAAAATACTGCTCCGTCCGACCTTTTTGCGGAACTTTGGGCTGATGGAGGATTGAACAGGTTATCTCGTCGGACGGCGCCTACGCCCTGTCTGCCTCGTGGGACAAGACCCTCCGCCTCTGGGAGCTCGCCACTGGCACCACCACCCGTCGCTTCGTCGGCCACACCAACGACGTTCTGTCCGTCTCCTTCTCCGCCGACAACAGACAAATCGTTTCCGGCTCCCGCGACCGCACCATCAAGCTGTGGAACACCCTCGGTGACTGCAAGTACACCATCACCGAGAAGGGCCACTCCGAGTGGGTTTCTTGCGTCCGCTTCAGCCCCAACCCCCAGAACCCCGTCATTGTCTCCTCCGGCTGGGACAAGCTCGTCAAGGTGAGTTCGAAACATGCCCCCAACGCACATTTCCCTTTCGACATGATGTTTTGCAACAAAAAGTATTTGCTACTTCAGAGCCTGTTCTGCAGGCCATGAGACCACTATTCACCAATGCACTGATCTCGCACCATTCAATCATTTTTTGCCAATGAACTTGCTACGATGGAAATCGAGTGCTAACTCTGGCAATCTTAGGTCTGGGAGCTCTCGACCTGCAAGCTGCAGACCGACCACATCGGCCACACCGGCTACATCAACACCGTCACCATCTCCCCCGACGGCTCTCTCTGCGCCTCCGGCGGCAAGGACGGTACGACCATGCTCTGGGACCTTAACGAGTCAAAGCACCTCTACTCCCTCAACGCCAACGACGAGATCCACGCCCTCGTCTTCTCCCCCAACCGCTACTGGCTCTGCGCTGCCACCGCCAGCAGCATCATCATCTTCGACCTTGAGAAGAAGAGCAAGGTTGATGAGCTCAAGCCCGAGTTCACCGCTGTCGGCAAGAAGAGCCGTGAGCCTGAGTGCGTGAGCTTGGCCTGGAGCGCCGACGGCCAGACCCTGTTCGCCGGTTACACCGACAACATCATCCGCGCCTGGGGTGTCATGTCGAGGGCATAAAAGCTCTCTCTTGGTCTCTCTTCTGGGTTATGGACGATGATGACGATGTGTGGTGGGGAAAGGACTCTGAGATGGTAGATCATGGCGGGCGTCCTAGGCTGGCTTCCTCGTTTGGTCTTTCGGGATGCGCAGGGTCAAATCGATTTGTGCAAAAAATGGGGATGAGACTGCATTGCTGGCTAATAGGTAGCCTACGAAAGGACTCTGGACATGAACCCACGTAACGCCCAAAATCAAAAGATCCTGGCAAACAAAAACATGCTATTTTCTGTTACATTTTGGTGACGCCGACTCTTCGAGCTAGCACAAGTGATCGTGAATGGGTGTCAGGTGTAATGTGATAAAACTTGAGGCTTGGTCTTCTCCATTGCTGAAGCTTTTTTTGGTATGGTCTGGAACACTCGCAGCACGATCACAGTACATCCGGTTTGAATCCCGACATTTCGTATCACAAACATTTGACTGGTAGACATCAATTCACCGCCGAAATCACAACAGACCTTGACCTCAAGCACATTTACATCGTCCTACACCCCGTGCTGAGGTGCTCAAACAGACAGTTCTTATGCAGTAAGTATGAATTGGCTATTTACTGGCCTTGGCAATGTATGTGCCTAAGATGTATATATACAGATAGAAGAAAGATTGGTTGATTTGCTTGGGATCGCAGAGCGAACGCTTCTGGCCAGTCCCATCCCCTCCAACTTCTCCCCTTTCCCCTATCATCTTGAGAAGACAAGGGCTTAGGAAGAAGCGAGTGCGCTTACAATGCTTAGAAAGCAGGCTTGGCGTTCTTGAGAAGCATCTCAAAGTAGGCCTGGTTCCAGGTGCCAGCCTCGGGCGAGGGCTTGTAGGCGTCGGGCTTTCCGCAGAAGGAGTCGTAGCGGACGGCGCTGGAGTCGCTGGTGCCGTCCGACTCACCGCCGGGCTTGACCCACACGAAGGCGTCGGCGAGCTCGAGGCCGGTGCTGGCGGAAGGACGGAGACCGAAGCCGGCGCCGTTGACGTTGCACCAGTTGCCCCACTCCTGGCGGAGGCCCTGGACGCCGTTGCGGCCGGTGTCGACGATGGCGTGGTTGGGCATGCCGGCGGTCTGGAGGGCGGCGCCGAGGAGAGTGACATACTTCTTCTCGTTCTGGGCCTTGTTGTACTGGCCGTCGGGGGAGTTGGCGAATTCACCGGGCTCAGCGTCCCTGTTTGATGTCTGGTCAGCGTGCTGTCCCTACGTCGTACGGCCATACCATGGGCGTATGTGTTCTGCTTACCAGGAGTTCCAGCCAGCAACGTTGGTGGCGATACCGCGAAGCTGGGAGGGGCTGCCGGCGGCCTTGTAAGCCTTGGCGAGCTCCTCGGCACCGGGCTTGAGGTTGTCGTTCCAGCCGAGCCAACCGCCGTGGCCGGCGTCCATGTACATGATGACGTTGGGCAGGTTGAGGCTCTTCAGGGCGTAGGCGACACCATCGCGGTAGCCCGCGGCGGAAGCCTGGCAGGTCGCCAAGTTGGCGTTGGTGACGAGGTTAGGCAGGGAGTCGGGCTCAATGACGAGGGCGAAGGCCGTGTTCGGGTTCGCCTTGATGATCTTGACGATGGGGTCGATGTACTCCGTCTTGTACCTGTTAAGCTCGCCGACCTTGAGCTCTCCGTTGGAGGCCTTGGCAGCGCAGTCACGGCCGGGAAGGTCGTAGATGACGACACCCAGGATGTGGTTGCAAGGGGTGTCGGCGATGGCGGGGGCAAGGCGCTGGATGTTGGCGATGGTGTCACTGAGCCATGGCGGTTAGCTTCTTATAGTCCCTCGTGATCGTATGAGCTTCTTGGATAACTTACGCCCAGACGAAGGATCCGACCTCGGCAACCTTGAGAGCCTGAGTCTTGGCAGTGCCGGTCATGCCCGCGGCAGCGGCCTGGATCTCAGCCCGGTAGAAGTTGTTGGGGTGCAGTGTGTACTTGGACCAGACGTTTGTCTTGGCGTCCAAGCTGACGGCGGAAGAACAGGCAGCGCGGGCCTTGAGGGGTTGCTCCTTGATGGTGGCAGAAGGCGCAGCGAGGGCCGATGAGGCCAAAGCCGCCAGAGTGACAGTTGTGTACTTCATGGTGAGGCAAGGTATCTTGATACTGTTACTCTTGCTCTGTGATGCCGTGGAATATCAGAGTCTCTGGGAATCTGGCCGCGCACGAAAGCCTTTATAGATCTGTATCTTGCCGTCTTTGAGACGAGGAGAGTCTCGTGAACAGTCCCTCTTCGCCATGACTACGATGGGCCGCCTTGGTAGTAACGTCAATCAGGATACGGGCCCGACGGTTGCGAAGTTTTCGGCCTGGCTCTTCCGAGTCTTGGTGTTAGTTGCCAACAAGGGAAAGCCAAGTCTGATGGAAGAGAGATGGCCGTTCGTCAATGGCAAAATTGCAAACGGTCTTGGCCGTACTTTCTCATTGAGGGAATTCGATATGACCTCCGTCCTCACTTAGACGAGCAAACTGTCAGAACAGCCCCGGATTGGCCAGAGGTGATGGAGATCACAACACGGAATGGTGTCTCGATATTTCCTACTATATTATCTGCAACGTCAGCAGAGCAGTACAGTCTGGGTTGCTTCCGCCCTGGCTACTTCAGGGGAGATCGTCTAAACTTACTCGGTTCAAGGTAACGTGAGACCAGGTCTACCTGCGTCACTCGGCCTCTTTGGTCTATATGCACAGGAACAAGTCTTCCGCTGTTGCGGGAGATCTATGCACATAGTCAGGAGCTCGGACAAATTGTAACTCGGGCATGGCCCTTAGAAATGCCCTGCCGTCCCGAATCAAGCTTGGGCGTTGTCATTGGAAGTAGGACAACTCAAAAGTGAACTCACCAACTATCAGAACAAATTGAAACTTTTCGGTGGTGACTGATCACCGAGTATGATCGAGTTAGCCTCTTGAATGCTATATGCAACACGTCCAACCGTTTGGGGACTCGAGCAAAGAGGCAAGTCGTTGTAGGAACTGAAGTGATAGGGGCATTAGCGAGAGCGAAGATGCAAAACAGTATTGGAAAAGCAGGTACAACACACAAATCGTGCCGTCTGCTCTCCTTGGTAGTTAATTCCCTGCATTTCAGGGACTTTAGCCGGCGAACCCCAGATCGGCATCAGGCATTGGGTTGCCGGCGCTAAGCTCATTGCTCAAGCTTCTCTTGGCTGGGTAAAATATCCGAGCAGGGCTGCGCATTTTGGCTGTCCCTCTGAGCAATTTGCCAATCGTTGCCGAATGAGACCTCGCTCATTCGCGCGAAATTCACGATGCATCACGGCCATCTGTTGAAATTAGCTACCCTACCTTTCCTTCACGCCCGCCTCTTTTGGAAGGAGGGGGAGCATGACTATGACACAACAATATTACCCGAATAACTGGTGATCCTCAATCACTGGTCAGTTAGAGGAATGTACTTTTTGCAATATATTTGATATCCTGGGAATCGATTTTCACTCTGCAGACGTCGCATCGCTACCTGGGCCTTCATTTCGAAAGCGGGGTTCGAAATATGTTTTGAAAACGATTGGTGTTCATTGACGGCCATGTCGAGTCCTCTTGAGCGCCGTTGGAGCATGTTTTATGGTGCCGCTTGACAGCCACCGCATAATGATGCTCGACGGAATCAAAGACCACCACCATCTGGGCCCATTTTAGCTGCCTGCACTTCGAGGGTGTCGGCCCGTGTCCTAAGCCAAACTGCTGTCATGAGCGTTTGTAGAAGCTGCCGCTCTGCTCACTATTGAGCGTAGCCACAATTGCGTGGCCCAATGAAGACGAGGGCCTGGTTCAGGATAGGTAGTTGGCACTCAAGGAAAGCACGAGCCGAATCCACGAGACTTTGTGACTATAGGACCAGACAGCAAAGCGGACTTGGCTGTGAACAATTGCTGAAGCGGAACTTGTTTTATGATGTCTCTAGGGCGTGACGTAACGCTGAGCCATGGTCACCTTGGAGTTTACTTCCACGGAAATGGAAGTTATAACCCCTGAGCGAAATCTTCAATCTTCAACCGTAAACTGCGTTCTTCTTGTTCATATTGCCCTTCATGGGCACGGTTCTATATCTTTATGTTACAGTGATGCCAACGGGGACAAAGGGTCGCCTAGGCTGAGCAACGCGCTGTGCAATGGCGAGTGTGGGTAGAAACCTCTTGATACTGCGATCAAATTCCAGGAGCAAGCGTGGAACTTTGAGTGTTTCCGCTTCCCCTTTACATGAAGGGAGGCAGAGAGAAAGGGTAGCCGCCGTTCTTGATACGGAAGACACTGAGGAGGAAGCTGTACATGAGGAACAACACGCCTCCCCAAGCCAAGACGGCAACCTGCTGCGTCTTGGAGTCTCCGATGCGGGGCACCTTGACGGTGAGAGAGATGGCACAGAAAGCCAGGACACCGTCTTGGGAGACGTTAGTTGCAAAGCACGTGAATGCAGGAAGAAATGACTTACAAATGGCAGCGATGATCTGTGTTTCCAAGCCGAACTGGTTCTGGAACCCGCCTGCGAAGTAGCTGATGCCTCCACGGCCGTCGCCGGCAACGTAAGGGACCTTTCGGATGTGGTTGAACATATGTCCACTGGTGAACAAGAGGATGGCGATCAGGCTGACGGCAGCCCAGAGGTTACGGTTCTGGATGATGGGCAAGATGTAAGGCGAGGCCGTAACCGCAACAGTTCCAAGACCGAGAACGATGGTGATGGTGGAAATCCAGCGCATCCAGTTGATCGGTCGCTTGATGGCAGGGTGGGGTCGGTCGGTGAGGTGACGAGCGAGCCAGGCATGGACCTGCTCAGCAGACTGGGGTCTACATATTGTCAGTATTGAGTGCGCTCCTTCGTACAGAGAAGTCTACTGACCCGCTGGTGAAGTCGTATTGCAGAGGGTCCTGGGCAGGAACGGCGTGAGGTCCGACGGTGGGCTGGAACAGCAGGAGAACGGGGGCAGTTTGGAGACCGAGCTGTTTGTGGTCGTGTAAGTGCGGATTCTGTACAATTGCATTTGGTTCGCAACGGATAACTACTTACAGACATGAAGATCTCGCGACCATCAGCGAAGTCAAGAGTGCCAAAGAGGAGGCGAGACTCGCCCTTCTTGTCGCCCTTGGTCCAGGACTTGCCGAGGAGATCCCATTCCGGCTGGAACTCTCTGCACAACTGGCAGCCGAATCGCGACTCCAGGGCAGTCAGCAGAACGGCGACGGTGTAGTCGCGAGGAGAAGCCGTCAGAGACTTGTAGCTGGTATCGGCGAGCTTAATCGGGGAGGAGGAAAGAGCCTTGGTGTGAAAATCGTTGAAGCGCTCTTCCGTGGTCTTCTTGGCGGCGAGGGACCCAGCCGCCAGGAAGGAGGTCGCGGCCAGGAGTGATCGGAGGAAGCGCATGGTGACGATTGCTGAACTCAGATCAAAGTTTGGTGTCAATTTTGCGCGCGCGGTTCTGATGTCCTTTTTTCGTGGCCAATTGGCCTTTGGTGGTGAGGTGAATTCGACGTACGAAACGAGTGGGTGCGTCGCAAGTGTCGTCGTCGAGATCCGGCAGTGTGAAGCAGATGGAGCTCCAACTCGAACTGGACAGCTCTCATCAGCGTCGCCAGCCCACCGGGGTGTGGGTATCTGTCTACATACTCCCTATTCGTGGTTGCAGGTGATGCCAGCCGGCAGAATTCAGATTATGTCAGCGGTCGTTAGGGCGAATCTTTCTGCCGCTCCGGAACGGCCGTCATCGCCCCGCTGTACAGTTTGTGGTTTTCCGAGCACGGACCTGGGCTGGCGGTTTCGTTGGCGTTGGCACAGTGGGACGGCCTGCCTAGAGTGGGGCACCCGAAGAGGAACGATCTAACCGTCTTTGGAATCATGTTTACATCCCCCAGTTCTCCATTCAAAGCCGCGCAAACACACAATACTACACCACTTCAGACTTGACATCGACATCGTGAATTTCAGCCAAAAGAACCAGTGCGGGCACACATATTTTTGCCCTGGCCTTCTAATATCAAACACCGATACCGAATTATCAGCTCCGGGCATATCTTGCGCCCCATACCAGAACTTCTCCGAATCCCAAGCAGTTGACGCGCTTACGCGCCGAAGCAATAACAACATCTACACAATGCCTTGCAAAACGAGGAATATGGACAATGAGGAGGCAAGTTTGATTTTTTCTCCCCCAAACCAGGAGTATCTTGTCTTTTCGCATCCTAACCGTCAATTATAGAGGATGGCAGCTGCCCACGAGCTTGAGCTTAAGCACGAGAAACACATCCATCAGGCCCAGCTGATCACCAAGGACGAGGATACACGAAGGCAGAAGGTCACAAAACAAGTGCTTCTCGACGAGAATTCGACATTACGCGAGCAGCTTGCCGAGAAGGACTCACAGATCCACCAATTGACTGACACATGCGACGAAACACGCGCAGAGCTGGAGTCGTTGAAAGCGACAAACCGCGACCAGCAGACACAGCTCAAGTCCCAAACAAGAGAATTTGCCAACATCAAGGTCGGTCATCGACTCTCACGGAACTGACGCCTAGTTACGATCTAGCGGTTGCTGACAGGCTTTAGGCCGAACTCGAGTCACTAAACAGCCTGTCCCAAGAGTCCACCAAGGTCCTGTCAGAAAAGCTCGCCCTTTCTCGGGAGCTCAACGTTTTGCAACCCGAACTGGAACACTTGCGATCACAGGTGGCCCATCAACAGACCACGATCGCGGAAAAGCTAGCCCTAGAACGCGAATTAAATACGCTCGAAGTCCAACTGGCGGCCGAAAAACGTGCAAGAGAACAACAGGCAACCCAAGCTGAAGGAAACAAGACCGTCGAAGACGAGCTCAAACGAAAGCTCAAGGATGCCGAGAAGAAGCTCACCGCCGAGAAGAGAGAAAAGGAACAATTACAACAACAACTCGACTCCGCCAACGCCGCAGCGCAGTCAAATGCGGGTACCCAGCAGGTTGAGAAAGACCTCATGAAAAAACTGCAAGAGATGGAAAAGATGCTGGCGGCCGAGAGGCGAGAGAAGGAAAGAGTTCGCAAGGAGGGCGAGGTGGCTCTTTCAGAAGCACAGGCACAACACGAGATGCTGGAGCAACGCCTTGACACGTTGAAGTCCAAGTTGCGAAACTCCCAGGAAGAACTCAAGGCAATGCGTTCGGAAGTTGTACACACTACGACAGTACCCACGGCCAAGCCTGCTGCTGCTCCCCGAGGCGGCGCTTCCAAGGCGCAAAACGCCCGTAAGCGACGCGTCGAAGAACTCAGCATGAACGACATGAGCATTGGAACACCAGAGGACATTGCACGAAACAGACGACAGCTGAAAAAGAAGGCATTGGAGCAAACCTTGGTTGGCGAAAAGTCGACATTCTCGATTACTCCATTCTTGGCTAAGAGCAAGACAATTAGCATCGAGGACGCAATCGCCGAGGGCCAGGAGGTCGAAGAGGACGAGGCGGACGTCAGTTACATCCCACTGGCGCATGCAAGTGCCCAGAAGGCGGCCGCAGAGGCGGAGGCTGCGAGTGAGGCTGATCCAGAGATCGAACCCGAAGCTGATGTCCCGACTGAAGAGTCTGAAGAGCCGCCAGCCGCTCCCAAGGCGACCACTGCCAAGTCTAAGACCAAGGCTGACGGAGAACCGAAGAAGGCCCGCGGCAGACCCAAGAAGGCTTTGGCTGAGGCTTCGCCAAATATGCCTACTCAAACTGTCGCTGCTGGCAAGCCATCGGCCAAGTCCAGCTCTCCACTAGACAAGGTAGTTGAAGAGGAGGTCGACGAACAGGAAAATACTGTGCCCGCAAAGGCTGCCGCAGCAGAAAAGAAGACAGCGGCAGCGATAGCACCAGTTGTGCGCGATCAAGAGGTCAAGAGAAAGAAGCGCAAGCTCGCCGGAGATTCAACTACCCTGTTCGATGATGAGGGCGAAGGAGAGGCTCCTATTACGAAGAAACCTGGTAGCAAGGTCGCTATTGCCGGCAAGGGCCTCAGCAAGACACACTTGACCATGGCACGCAATGCGGGTGCGTTTGGTAAGAGAACGTTCTCTCCACTCAAGAAGGATAGGAGAGGTGTCGGAGCTAGTTTCCTGGCGTAGAAGCGGCTATGGACGTGTCATTTTCAAGTAGGCAGGGCTGGGCCTGGGTTGCCAGCTTTGTGATTGCGTACATCATAGCATGCGGGTTGCATTGGCGGCGTTCTGGGAGGCAAAGGTGCCAAATCGGAGTTTTTTTTAACAGGATAAGGATTGTGTACAGATATGGATGCATTTCTCTGAATGAAGGGGCCTTCAGGCGACATCTTCAACGCAAAGATATTCTCATAATTGCCAGGTATTAGAAGTGAAGTGGTGATATGAGATGACCGCCTTCAGTTGACGACCAAGAGTTCTACCCACTGTTTGATTTCATCAGAAGCTCGGGCCAATCAGAGTCTTCGGTCAGCTTCATCTGCAGAAGCTTCACCCAAGCTGGAGTTTACTGCATCAATTGAAATTACATCGGCAACTGATTTCTGAAGAAGTTCCGATCTAGATTCATGTTTCTCACTGTGTTTCATACCATCGAAGCGAATTACACCTTTAAGCGCTTTGTAACACGACTTACGACGTCCGTCCAACTTTGTAGAATGATCAACCTGACTTCATAGCTCACACACCTCAACCCGCCGACCATGTCAACAACAGCCTGTCGCACTCTCCTGGGCGCCTCGAAGCGCCAGCCCACGGCCAAACTCTCAAACTGCTGCGTCCAATTACCTTCAGCGGGTTGCGCTGCAGTCAATCAGACGCGTGCATCGTCGTCCAACTCGAGATGGAAAGCGAGGCAGGGCAAGGACATTTTCGCACGCGAGGCCAAGGTCCAGGGACTCAAGAGCAGAGCTGCATTCAAGCTTCTCGAGGTTAGCATACTCTCCTTGAGCGGAAATAGCTCCATCCAGCTCAAGAGAAGATACCGTGAAGCTGATGACGACGCCAGATGGACGTCAAGTACAGAATTTTCCGCAAGGGACAGACGGTGGTGGACCTCGTAAGTCATCTGCGATATGATTTGTCCCAAGGCAAAACTGAACTCATGTGTCTTGAATCTAGGGATATGCACCGGGTAGTTGGTCACAGGTACGCAGCATTTCAACCTCAAGCCACCGTTGTTAGAGGCCAGATTTGAGACGTATATCACGAGTCTAGGTTGCCGCCGATAGGACGAAACCCTACGGCAAGGTCCTAGGAATCGACATCATCCCCGCTCAGCCGCCAAAGGGCGTCTCTACGATCCAGGGAAACTTTCTCTCGCCGGACGTCCAGGCCATGGTCAAAGATCACCTCGTCAGGCACAAGGACAGAAAGGGCCCCGCGGGTCCTCCATCTCCTTCATCCGAGGGCGAGGAGAGCGAAAGCACCGACGACGACGCGGCCATTGTCGAAGACCAGCCAAGCTACATCGATATGGAACGGACGGCCTCGGAGGCAGAGCCCGAGACGGCCCAGACGGCGAAGGCGAACGAAGGACGGTTGGTGAATGTGAGATTCCCCAGCACTACTCCTACTCCCAAAGAACCAAACCCCGGTTTTGGAAAGGACAGTGAAACTGACAGGGCTAAACCGCAGATTGTACTGAGTGACATGTCAGCTCCTTGGGACCAGACCACCGGCTTTGGCGTGAACAGTCTTAGTAATCCACATCACAGGATGATGAACACGAGCGGCATAACCTTTCGAGATCACGCGGGGAGCATGGTGCGTTTGCGAGGGGTGTTGACCCTGAACATCTCGCACGGGAAAAAACTGACGGTGCGAAACATAGGACCTCTGCAACGCCGCACTCCAATTCGCCAGCGACACCCTCAAGAACGGCGGCCATTTCGTCTGCAAGTTCTACCAGGGCTCCGAGGACAAGGCGTTCGAGCAGAAGTTGAAGCAGCTGTTTGTCAAAGTTCACCGGGAAAAGCCCGAGTCGTCTCGCCGCGTAAGTATTGGGACTGCAAGCATGCCCACGGGTGTTGCGTGAGACTGACTGGCTGCAGGATTCAAAGGAAGCATACTTCGTGGCTCTCAAGAGGAAGGGCTCCGTAACGTTGGAAGAGTTGGATTGAGGCATTCGACGGAGCAGCTTAATGGCGCGAGCACATGTACATCACAAATAGGCGGAATGGGACTGTACGATATGAAAAGAAGAAGAAACCAGCCTCACGGCTGCCCAAGAGATGCCATTCGACGCCATGCGAAACGTGATTGTATAGTCGTCAAATTCTTTTTTGGATTCCTAACCACGCCAGTACCATGCAGAAAAGTTCCCTGTAAAGCACGATGAGAGCCCCTCATCGGCTGTCCATAGCTGTAATAGCGTGTTCCACCAGTGCGACAAGAAAGCGCACGACCAACCCCGAAAACGAGGGAGATGATGATCCGTGAGAAGACCAGCACCACCACCAGGCCAAGGTCTAAACAGCTTAGACCTTGAAGCCGCGAGAGCGTCTGCGACCACGGGCACGCTCGAACTTGCGGCCCTTGGACTCGACGTAGGGCTTCTGCAGAGGTTGTTAGCACACGAACACACGACGACAACTATAGACAGAGGGATCCGGACCTTGTGCTTGTGGGGACCGAAGCCGAAGTGCTTGACGGCCTCGCGGGAGTTCTTGGGGCCGCGGAGGAGCAGGGTGTTGGCGCCGGTGGGGGCGCGGAGGGCGAGCTGGTCGAGGGTGATGGCCTCACCGCCGGCAGCGACGATGCGAGCGCGGGCGGTGGCGGTGAAGCGGAGGGCCGCGATGGTGACCTTGGGGACGGTCAGGAGACGGTTGTCGTCGGTGATGGTTCCGACGATGACGACGGTCTTCTTCTCGTTGCCGTTCTTGATGTTGGCGGCGACGCGGGAGAGGGAGACGGGGGGGCGGTTGATGCGCGACATGAAGAGACGGCGCAGGATGACCTTGTTGAAGTTGGACTCGGTACGGCCTGCACGCGAGGGTTAGCCATTGAGGGGAGGGAGAGGCTGGTCGGTCGTTCGACTTACGGGTCAGGAAGCGGTAAAGCTTCACCAAGAGCTTGAGGTACACATTGTCGCTCTTGGGAGCCTTGCGGTGCGTGCTGCGCACGTGGTGGCGGTCGAGATCAATACCTATAAGCAGGGTGAAGAGCCCCATCGTCAGCCTTTTGGTTCAAGCATGCTCTGAATTAAGGCGGGATATCCGTCATCCAAGATCCCTCTTGTCTTGCCAATCGTCCCCGTTCCCTAAGCCCGAAGCCCAAGGGAAAAGGTTTTTTCGTGACGATTGGAAGCAGCGGAGGGGCAGGAGAGGATTTTTCGCGCGCGCCCAAGTTCGCAGAAAAGCAACAGCAAGATCCCAATGAAGGGTTTGCGTGCATATTCCACTCGCATGTAAAGGCTTGGAATGGGAATTCCTACGTACCCATCTTGTCGTTGGACTCACGGAGGTTGGCGATTTGAGTCGATGGGTGGCCGTGGTTGTCGTCGTCGTGTAGATGGAAAGGTCGATGGAAATTTCGCCGGGTGGATTGGCTCGAAAGAGTGTGGTCGGCTGGCCGGTTGTGCGCGCGAAATTTTGCCCTAAAGTCAGGCCGTAAGGCATCCAAACGTTTTTTTCGTTCGGTGGGGTTGGTGGGTTTTGCTGCGGGAAAGCGGACTGCGGGACGCCGGGACCCTTGCTGGAGCGTCTTACATAAGCTCTAGACTCCAGGGATCGTATCCATGGATCGGTGAAGCTCGGTGAGAACGTTGTGTTATTCGGCCTGTGACTACAACGCACCAGAGTTCCACGATTGTAACCAAGTATGCTGATTAGACATGTTTAAAAAATGTGGCCTGCCGTGATTTAGATGCATGACGGTGTATTGAAACGACCCTGAGTCTAATCTTATGCCAAAGCTATTGAGGTGCTCGCGTGCCACTTCATGGCGAGAGCGATGACCAGGTCCAGTCTCCCTCGACACTTGCATACAGCAACGGACAACTTTCTTCCTGTCCTCTGAATGCCCTGGCTAGTCTTCTTGTTGTTGTAATACATTAAAAACACACTGATGGATGAATTGCCGGCTGCGACGAAGCAACCCGCGAGGCAGTCTCTCTGCCTCATTGTGGCTAATACACAAGCCACTGTCTAGTTAGAAACGCCGCGTGCTCAATCCTGCATTTTCGAGGTCCCTCCGCTTAACATTTCGTGGTCGGGATTGAAGTTGTAACGCGACGTTGTAAGGTGTGATGCTACTCAGATGGAGGCCTCGGAGTTGCCGTCCTTGAGAGAAACCAAAAAGTCGCGAGAAAGTTCAAAGCTGAGCCAGCTGGACGCCATACTCGGTGCCACTTTGAGAAGATTTGGGACGATGCCCTTGTAGAGACCCTTGATGCCTTCTTGCGCAATGATGACCCTAATCGCATCAGTAACGCCCTTGTACTGGTAACCCATGCCCGTCATGGTGTTGATCTGAAATCTTCGACGCAGAACGTCGCTGTTGCAGTGTCAGTATATTTGGTACCATAAACCGCTTTACACGGAGGTCTACTTACAACGGGTATGTACACGTCTGGGCGACGGCACCCGATACAGCTCCGGCCAGTAGCTTTCTGACAGCACTGGGGTTCTTGTCGCCTTCAGGAGTCAGATATTTGCGGACCCATTCGTAGACCATAAAGTTGAGGCCGACCTAATATGACATGTCAATGATGATTGTGGAACCAGTTTCAGTAGAACACCTACGTAGGGGGCAACACCAGCGACAGTCGGGATGATGCCGCGATAGAGAGCAGAAACACCGCCTTCAGTCTTGTACATCGTGCCCATGGTAGACCACATGCCTGGGAGCTCCTTGGGCCTGGCACCCAGCTCAGCAAAAGAGGCAGACTGAATGGACAAGCGGGTTCGCACAATATCAAGGGGGTACGTGAGGAAGACGGATGTGATTCCGGCAATGCCACCACAGGTTAGGCGGGCAAGTGGTGACAAGTCCGCGCCAGGATATTTCTCAAAGAAGTTCTGGCGTTGGTTAGCTCAACATTCACAGAGACAAACAAAGCTTAGGTCCAGCTCGAACAAGGACAGCACAGCAGAGCAAAGATGGGAGATACTAACCCTCTTGTAAAAGTTATAGCTGCCAAACTGGACAGCTGAGTACGGCACAATGCGTACGCAATTGGTTCCATTGCCTCGCATGAAACCCCTCCAACCTTCCTCCCTCCACATCTTAGCGAGACCTTGGCCTACAGAGAGCTTGTATGCGTCTCGTCCAACACTCTGTACTTGGAACAGAATCTTGAGGCGTTCTAACGGAGAAACGACGGTTCGAGAGACGGCACCGGCAACACCTCCGGCGCAGAAGGCGGCGACGACAGGCTGGGAGAACGTTTCTCGTACACGGATCATGGCGGGGAGCGGAGCTGGTTCGGCAGCGGCAGGCACCGCGGTGCTGTTCGGAGACTGTAAGCGCAGTTGTATTAGCGGACTTGCTCATCTCGCGAATTGCAGTAAAACCAGAAGTCAGAATGCGAGGGAATAGACTTACAGGCGACATGACTTCAGACTCTGTTCAACGAGCAGTGCGGATTGGTATGTATCTTTGCTGGCGCAATACTTTGGACGATTGACGACGACCACACTGCTGAACCTCTGAAGTCGCCTGACTGCTATGAAGTTGCTTGCATTTAAGGATCTGGAGGTGTGCTTTGGGGACAGCAAGGGCTCAAGTTCTGCAACTCCGGTGGCAGTGACTGAACAGAGAGAAGAAAGGATGCTTCGAAAGAATGGCCCAAAAATGGCAAAGAAATACTGCGAAGTCTAAAGGAGGCTCGAAGATGACAGCGGACGCATAATCGATGGGGGGTTCGTGGTAGAGGATCGAATTTGGGTCATGTAAGGCAGTCTTGTCGTCGGGGCGAGGGGATGACGGCGTGCCTTGTTGTCGTGGGTATCGCGGGTTTTTTTGGCCGACTCTCTTTCGCCAAGTCAACTTCCCATGTACCGCGGCTACAAAGTACGGGTCCGGCGGCGATCAAAAAGGCAATTTGGTACGGTGAAAACTTTTTAAGTTTTTTTTTGGCCAAAAAACCGTCAACGGGTACCTGCTCGAGGGATCGCGTGTAGGAATTCGAGGGGACGAGGGTATCGTATCGAAAGGCGCGCGTCGGGAGTCGAGGACGACGGATTTGAATCTTTGGAACCGGGATCCAGAGGGAGAAGACGGAGAGTATGCCGACGTGGATGTGACTCGGCGGACAACGGGGACGCCAGCTTTGGAGATGCAATGGCCGTGTCGAATCGGATTTTCGGTGGTTGCTGCAATCAATGAGGGGCGGCGTATAGATGAGGTCGCGAGGAAAGAATTAGCCAGCCGAGAAGGCGAGCGCAGACGTAGACGCAAAGACGCAACAGGCGCAGCCGTAGATCAAGATCCAGGCCAGATCCAATTTCAGCTACCTCCCGTCATCAGCACCCCAGACCCCAGACCGGAGGCCGCCACCTGGCGGAATGATACTTGACAGGCGGCTTGCTCGCAACTCGGGTAGCGCCAGCTGCCAGGCGGAGGGAGAGCGGCTCCACGCCTGTGACAGCTCTGGGGCCCCTCAGACGCCCTTGCGTCGGTTGACGCTCTTGCTGTTATTATCATCGGGAACACGATCCTTAGACTGGAGCATTAACTCTTATCTCAGTTAACTTTCTGTCTGTAGAGTCGCACTCTTACCATGTTCCCCGGCGAGTTTTGTGGCTGCTTCCTACGCCGGCGAGACCGTACCTGTTTTCCGCCGACGAAATATTGCCGGGAAGGAATGAGACGGATACCTGGGGCCGGGCAGTCTCCGAAGAGACCTCCGACTCTCTCCACACAAATGACGACAAACTGGGGGAAAAGAGGAGTGAGTCGGACGCCAGCCAATGCTTGGCACGTCAACAGCGAGCAGTGGTCATGTGCCAGACATGAAGAAAGGAATGTCATGGCAGGTGATGGGAGATAGACAAACCCAGATCACGAGGCAAAACATTGTCGTGGATCAATCTTGTTGGCATTATGTTACTGATTGTATACTAGCCAGGCTTTTCCAATCATATCGCCGTTCATGTTGAATCCAACATCGTCATTTCACCTTGGCAATGGCATATGAGACTGATCTCTTGTTTGTAACTCTTACATACCGTTGTATTCAAATTGACACATAGCAAATTGTTAAATTGGCACTTCACGTTACAGTTAGAGGTTGGTATATAGCCTCCAATCCACACCATCAAATCCCATCCCACTCAGTCGCACACGCTGTTGCACCACTCTCAACTGTCATCTCACTTTCTGGTCGGCTCTGTCCGGGTAACATCGGGGCCATCTCGCCGAACTTCCTGATCCCCGCTCCCGTCTCCGGATCCTCCCTATCAAGCCTCGACACGGGCACGTATACTACGCGAGACAAACCCGAACCTGTCAATCATCTCCCGAAAGACTTCCCTAACATTCACATGAAGCTCTCGGTTCCAATTGACCCGAGGCAACATCACCGTCCACCAGCTTGTGGTTCCCGCGGCTGCGTGTGTTGTTTAGCATTCGTTGTCGTTGAACACAGGATGTAGCTGAGCCGTGACCGGCAATCTACGCCAATTCCACCATTCCACCGTCTCCCTGGCCATCAGGAGAGATTCCGACAAACTCATTTTGGCGGACCAGCCCCATGCGTCGCAATGAACCTACCTCTAGTTTGGAGTATACCCGTGATCACCTACTCACTCAGCATAACGGAGCACGTGTTGATAAATCTCAAGAGATCGCAAACAGGAGGCCACTCAAGGCGCTGTTAAGACCTACATTCAATTTGTCTACAACTACGAAGGGGGTAATGCTATCAGATGGCCGCCACCATAACCTTCATCTAAGCCCGTCGCCAAGACGAAGATTCCGCTCATTATTGATGTCCGATATGCCTAACAAATGTCGATTGCTGCTCGTGTCGTGCAGCTCAGCTCTCGAACGTTGACTTCAATGCCGAATCGGTTGCGTCGAGACTAAAAGCTCCCAAAAGGTGAGGACACTTTACAGAACCAGGTTCAACACACGAGAACCGGGAGAGAAATCAAAAAACTTTTGGCACAGCCGCGCAAGTCCGACAACAAAAATTGTCATGTATACTTATCACTCCGCAGCGACGTCCAGGTCGTCGTGGGCAGGAGGAGGGCTGTCAATAGCTATAAGTGGCATTACTGTCAGCTTGGTTATCATGGCTCGTTGATCAAAGATCATACCCTTCCGGTCATCGCCATTAGTACCGTTCTCACGGTGGTCACGTTCGTCGCGATCGTCCTTAGTGTCCCGGTCACTGTCGCACATGATCAGCATTGCCATTGAACCTTGTTCAAGTTTCAGGGCACAAACCGTCTGTCAGGGCTGCGAGAGCGGTCGCGGGTGTCGCGGCGGTCGCGGTCGTAGTCACGGTCGCGGTCACGACGGTCGTCCTTCCTAGGAGAGTAGTCGCGGGTGCTGCGGCGAGGAGAAGGAGAACGGCCACGACGGGGGGAGGAGCGGCGAGGAGCACGCTCACGGTCACGGCCAGAATCGAAGCGCCATGAGGCAGACGGAGGAGTGCGAGCCCACTAGGACGTGTCAGATACCAAGGTGGTGGGTCCGGGAGTCGCGTGATCATACCTCGATCTTCAGAATGTCATCGCGGCCGATGCGCTTGTTGTGCATCTCATGGTAAGCATCGTCAGCGTCGCGACGGTCCTCGTACTCGACGAACGCGAACCTGCACAATTAGCGTCCAAATCGGGCTGGAAACAGTACTGGAGCTGACTTACAGTCTGCTAGAAGCGGAACGAGGAGCGGGAATGTCGCAGCGGACAAGATGTCCATAGCTACAGTCGAGTCGGATCGTCAGCATCTCGGTACATACATGAGGTCTCGTTCTCGGATTTGTAATTTCCGTTGTTCATCTAGAACAAGGAGTCCGCCGTCGGGGGCAGAGCGGGTGTCTGCATAGTCTGTTCGAACTGCCACGGGAGGCTGGCCAGACCACGGCGGCGCGGACAACGGTCGGCGGGTTGAGAGCGCAACCCGAGCGAACGAGGACAGAACGCATCGACGGGGGACGGAGGACGAAGGAGGCATATTGGATTGATATGCTGACGCGAGAGCAGCGGAGGACGGGAGGGCGTGGACGAGGACGAGGACGAGGACGAAAGCGAGGTGGGCGAGGGCGTGGACGGGGAGGGCGAGGGAAGGAGAGGAAGATCGGAAATCTCGGAAGGCTCTCGCGTGCCGGGTAAAACAGGACGGACGAGGCATCGACGTGGGATTCTCTGACTTCAGTTGACATACCGTTCGAATTCGTGGGCGAGGTCTCGGGCGCGGGTGCCGTGGCTGAAGCCAGTCACGTAGAGGGTGGTTCCACCGCGCGACATGATTGCTGTGTACTGGCTTGGCTGTTGTTTTGTAACGGGGAGATCAAAGACGGATGAGTGAATATGAATCCCTCGTAGAGATGGGGAGTCTAAATGGAAATCAACAAGTGAGGGCTGATGGAGCAGCTCCTTCTGACGGGGTGCAGTATGGGGAGATGGATGCGCGTGGTGGTTTGTTTGATGGTGATGATGATGAAGTGGTAAGAGGAGAGAAGACAGAATAGGTTGGCTCGGGATCGGCCTGGCGCAACAAAAAGATTTTGGTATGGGCCGGGGGAGGAAACGAGTCGGTACGTACCTGCTTTTACCTCAAGACGCTCCTAGCTCAGGACCTCAATGGTCAGGTACGACCCGCGCTCGGAGGCTTATGTAATGATTGTTTCCGCCTAAGGTATCTGAAATGGTGTTTCAACGGGCTACGCTTTCCTCTTGGAGTCCCGACGCGCCCTGTCTAGACGGAATGTCAGGAACACCCGGCCCAATTCGGTGCGCATGATGTCATTGGATCATTTCATGTTGGCACTTGCGGAAACAACTCCAAGGTGAATATTTTACCGTTTCCGCTTACCCAACCAACACAACCATATCAGCTCACAATCAGCAAGATTCAACAAGCACAGAAAGACAACAAAAAATCCAGCTGACAGATTCGATTCTCGGCCGTCTTGGGTTCAGCGCACTAACGGATAGTCCGGGGACGAGCGCGGATGCAAAGTGTCTCTCCGGTTCCGGCCACACCTTGCGACAGCTTGATGTCAGAGAACCTTTTGTCCTAGTACCATACCTTAGTATAGTAAATAGTATGCTCGTCTGAATTTCAGACTGGCAACGAGCAGATAGATGCTCTGAGGCTCGCCAAAGTCTTACCTACGGCAAGCGATCATCTAGGCAGCGTCTACCCGCCTGCGAGACATCAGTAGAGAGACATCTGGGGAAACGCCTCCGTTTCTTCTCCCTTCCTTCACATGCTTATACGGCAAATACGACAATGACTGACAGAGTCTTATTCTCAAGTCAGTAAGATGGCCAAGCCACTTTGCTCGAGGCATATCAGCCGCCAACTAAGAATATTGCCAACCGGGATTGCTTGTATGGAGAGGACCACCACACAGTCTTCATACACACTGGCACACTCGTTTCTCACCTGTCGTTTCCCTTTTGCATTTTTGGTCTGACTTCATAGGAGCCCACTCCGTCCACGTCCACGTCAAGTCGCCTCCCAATCCCCGTCCACGTCGCTCCATGTCCGCGGGATGAGCGGGAGCTCGCAAAGCGCAAACTCTCAAACCGTTCTATCGTCGTATTACTCGCACAACGCGAGAGTCCGCTGCCCCCAAAATGCCCAGACGCTTCCCGGCTTATGGCGCACCCAAAATCGTAGGAACGAATTCCCGGAAACCTCGGCCGCAGTTGATCACTCGCCGACGTCTTTGTCTGCCCATCTCAGATCCTCCCGGATCGATGTCAGAAGCGGACGACCCGCGATGAGCCCGACCGACCCGTAAATCCTGACAACGCTCGGCTTCTCGACCATTTTTTATACCCATCGTCAGCTCCCTCCCACTTGTTCACTCCTTACTCGACGTTTCATCCCGACTCTGTTCAGCTCAACTACGATTGCATTTCTTGGCATATGTTCATTGAGGCTTCTTTTTCGGGAACCACTTCGTGCTCGAACCGAGTCATTGGTAGCCCTTTCGAAAGCTACGTCTTCCCTGCCCGCCCTGTCTGACATCGCCTCCGGTTCTCCGCCGCATCGTAGTGTTACATCGACCGTTGAATTAAGTGTACACGCAGACACACCACTATCTCAACGTCTCATCCATTTTCACGATAGATTACAAGATCGTGGAAATTGACTTGCATCGCTCTTCATTTACACCAGAGCTGTTCTACATCTCATTTCGTTATTATCTGAAGCTGCCCATAAAGACGCGGCCGCATCGCTTATTTTCATCTCAAGTGAGAGTGCATAGTATCGTCGTGCTGTGCCCTCCGGCCGTGCGAAGAGAGATACACAGCAGCGCATTGAGAAACGCTCAACCGCCGGCATGGCAGCTCGGTTGGCAGAGGCTCGCGAATCGCCCCATTCGCTGCGGGACGCATTGCACGCCGCCAGCGGTGGCAAGACCAACTCTACGACGCCATCAGAGACCACTAGCGAGGAGGACTACGACTTTCCAAAGCCCTCGGAAAGGCGTCGTCAAGAAGCAGCGGGAGGACACAATGGCTCGTCTCCACTGAAATATTCATCAGTCCACGACAGGAAACTGTCCCTCGACGGTTCAACCTTATCCGAAGCGTCGAGCATCGACGAGTCCGTGAATGGGGCGTCTGGTCAGAAGGATCTCAAGACCTACGTGCTTTCCGCCGATGACCGGGAACTTCGCGATGTCATCAGGCGGGGCCTCGAGAGGGTACGTATGCCATTGCGCCCTTGTGCCTTTGCTATCACCAGGTGACTTACATGATGTGATCTGTAGGAGAAGGACCCGAAGCGGCCACGGAGGCCAGGCAAGTTTAGTGATTTGGTCTTCACTCGACAATTCTCTACGTTTGACAGACAGAACCAAAAGGCGGCCAACAGCCCCTTTCATGGCTTCTACACGCTGTTCTGGCTAGCCGTGGCTCTCTTCGTCGTCAAGATCGGAGCAACCAACTGGAGAGCCACCGGCAGCCCCCTGGGCACGAACGAGATCATGAAAACCATGTTCAGGCGCGACGTCATTGTGCTCCTGGCATCCGACGGCGTCATGTGCGGCATCACAGGCTTCGGTTGGGTTCTGCAGCGCCTCATCTTCAGCGGCTACCTGGACTGGGACCGCTCCGGCTGGATTATCCAGAATGTATGTCTTCCCCCTACCCAGCCACCGTAACCTCCCTCGACAGCGTTCTCACATGTCTCGCTCAGATCTGGCAGTCGATCTTCATCGGCTGCGTCGTCGGCCTGACCCTCATACGGGACTGGCCCTGGACACACACCGTCTTCTTCGTCCTCCACGGCATCGTGATGCTCATGAAGCAGCACTCCTACGCCTTCTACAACGGCTACCTCTCCACAGCCTACAAGAAGCGAAACCACCTCCTCTCCAAACTGAAACAGCTCGAGCACGTCGCCCCCATCAACTCCCCCTCCGCCACCAGCCCCTCGGCCTCCGCCGTCTCCGTCTCCCACCTCGCGCACCCCCCGTCCGCCGCCGAGATGAAGGGCCGCCGGCAGTCCGTCACCGCCCACGCCCGCAGCGGCCCGGACACGACGGACCTCGACCGCATCTCGCACGCCATCGAGTCCGGCGAGCCCCTCGACGCCGATCAGGTCCGCGTCTTCGAGCGCATCATCAGGTGGGAGATCGACGGCCTCACCGACGAGCTGCGCGGCAAGGCCACCAGCGTCGTCCGCGCGTACCCCAACAACCTCACCCTGGCGAACCACTACGAGTACATCGTGCTCCCGACCGTCGTGTACGAGCTCGAGTACCCCCGCTCCGACTCGATCGACTGGTATTACGTCGCCGAGAAGACGGCCGCGATCTTCGGCATCATCTTCGTCATGATCATGGTGTCTCAAGCCTTCATCTGTACGTTGACACCGACTCATCAAATTTGTATCACCTCCATCTTGCTGACCACGCGAAACCCAGATCCCGTCGTAATGCAGACCGTCGCTATGAAGGAGGTCGGCATGCCCCTGGCCGAACGCCTCCGCTACGTCCCCTGGATGCTGAGCGATCTCGTGTTCCCGTTCATGATGGAGTACATGGTAAGTTGCTCTTCAGCCCCTGAAAACAACTCGACGAAGGAAACTCACACGAGCAGATGGCATGGTATCTCATTTGGGAAACCATCCTCAACACCCTCGCGGAGCTCACCTACTTCGCCGACAGAAGCTTCTACGACGCGTGGTGGAACAGCGGTACGTCGAGAGCAAGGAAACCCATTAAAGTGCGATTGCCTAATAATATCACAGTCTCCTGGGACCAATTCGCTCGCGATTGGAACCGGTAAGTACACCCCTACAGTCTGGCGGTATTCGACAATCTTCTAACGTGCTCCTTTCCCCTGCAGACCCGTTCACAACTTCCTCCTCCGCCACGTCTACCACAGCTCCATCTCGTCGATGAAAGTGAACCGCCACACGGCGACGCTCATCACCTTCTTCCTCTCGGCCTGTGTCCACGAATTGGTCATGTGGTGCTTGTTCAAGAAACTCAGGGGCTACCTCCTGTTCTTGCAAATGTGTCAGCTGCCGGTGAGTTTCCTCCACTCCTGCCTTCTTGGTTGTCAATGACTGTAACCGGTTGTTAGCTCGTGCAGTTGAGTAGAACAAGCTGGATGAAGGGTCGCAAGACGTTGGGGAACATCATGTTTTGGTTCGGCATCTTCACGGGACCGAGTCTGCTATGCAGCCTGTATCTTATTTTGTAACTTTAAGTAGCAATCGACTCGAGGATTATCTGCGAGCGCTCCATACCAACGATCTCGAAGCTGCAAGCTCTGATACCCTCTAAACAACGAGGCAGGTGAAACTCAGGGGATATTCTGAAGGTTTGAATTCATTCAGCCAGCTAAAAAAGCACACTCCGCAAAGCCTCGCCGAAGTTTTGGCCTTTTTCTATCCTCAATATAAAAAACAAAAAGCTCACGCCGCGTAATAACATTCGTCACCGGGGACGTTTACAGCCCCTGCTTCTCCGCCGTCGCCATCAGAGAACCTGGGAGGAAGTTAGCTATTAGTGCTCCAATGTCATGCTGGGAGAGCAACTTACCGATGAAGGTCGTGACCAGGCGGCTGCGGACCTGGCAAATATCCTCGGGCACCAGCCAGATGGTCGCGCCCATCTTTCTCGCAATACTGATACTGAGCTTGGCGTTGAGGTAGGCATCGTCATCAGTGTGGCCAGGGGTGACAAGATCGTAGTCGACGTAGCTGCTCTTCATACCGTTGAGCACATCCAGCAGGAAAACACCGGTGCCAATGGCAGGGTCCTTGAAAGATCTGATGCTGGACGACTTTCCACCCTTGCGCGCCTGGTCGTTGGCCCACTTGACCATCTCCGAGTCCGTGATTTCACGCTTGCCGAGGCGCTGCGCCAGTGTTGACAGAGTTACCGTGATGTCCTTGCGCATCAACTGCCACACCAAGCCGAGCGTCAGTGTCCTTTGGCCGTCAGTGATATCCGCGCCCTGGATACCGACAAGCGAGAAGCGGTTCTGCTTGCCGAGCTCGATGGCGTAGTTGGTGTTCTCGACGGCCTTGAAACGCGACATCTCTCCGCCGTGGGCAGGAGGCTTGTTGACGTGGCGCCAGTTTACAGAGCCCTTGATAACCTTGTCGTATGCCTGCAGAAGTACTGTGCCGTTGCGCAGGTCGTCGAAGAAGGACTGAACGGCAGGCTGCACGTCCAAACTGTTGAGCCACAAAGTGAAGACGCGGGCTTCTCTCTCTCCCTCGGCGTCGAAGTCCTCAACCTCCAGCTTCTCCTCCTCGGTGATGGGGTCGAGAGCAGGATGGTTGTTGAAGAGGTTGGCAACGAAGGCCAAGTTCAGTTTCGGGTTACCGGCAACAAGGGAAGATGGCGTCAGGAACTTGCGGCAGCCCATACGGTCCGCGGTCTGCAGAATCTCTTCGGCTCGCTGCAACAAGTCGCGGGTTTGGAGGGGTGCCCTTGTCGCACCGTACTCGGATCCAATTTGTGCCAAAAGTACAGTGTAGTTCTCGCCATCCTTGATGTCGGTCGAGAAGTTGTTGACCCTGTTCTGCGTCAGTAACAGCCTCACGTAGCTAGGGGAGCTCGGCATACCTCCGGGGCCAGTTGGCCGCCTTCAGATGGTAGTTGAACCATCTAAGGAGAATCTGTTCGGGGGGAAGTCGCAGGAACTGTTCGAGTGTCTCGTCCTCTTCCAGCAAGCGGTACAATTCAGGGTGCAACTTGATATCAATCTTGCTGAGCAAGCCGCGGCGAATGATTTGCCAGATCAGACCAAGAATCAAGTGCTCTCGGCCCTCGATAATATCACCACTGCCAATGTTGACAACCGACAGACCAATGCCCTTGGATGACTCAATGACGATGTTGTTGTTCTCCGTCATCTGGAAAGCGTTGAGGTTCTTGGCCTTCTTGGGGCGGTTCAGTACACGCTCGTCGATGGTGTCAGGAACGCTGTCGTTGATGAGCTTGGCGAGCACAAGACCATCCTTGCACTCGTCGAACATCTCAAAGGTGTCGGTGGGGAAGGGAAGGCGATTGCCAATGTCCGCGTCGCCAGCCAGAACGGCGTTGATGTGGCGAGTGAATTCGGTACGCTCATCCTCGTTGATGGTGTGAGTGACGTTGGCGTTCGATCCCTGGACGTGAATTTTGCCGACGCTGGACTTGGACGCATGACCACGACCGCCACCAGTTGCTTGGGCGACGATGTTGGTGGGAGCAGCAGGACCTGATGAGAGCCGTTTCTGGGCGGGGGAGGACTCGCGAAGCTTCGCAATCAACTACGGGAAACAGTGTCAGCAATGGAATGGTTGGGGGTACACAATGGCGGCAATGGGATGACGTACGGCAACGTAGTCCTCCAACTCGACTCGGCGAGACGAGTCGAGCTCAACCTCCTTGAGAGCCTGTCTCACGACATCGTAGGGTTGACGCTCGCTTTGCTGGGTGGCCTTGATGGTTGTGGCCTCGTCGATGTAGCCCTTGTCGTCGATGTCGAGCTTGCGGAATGCGTCGCTCAGGCCGTAGATCTCGTTTTGGGGGAACTGAGGATACTTCCTGGATGCAGGTGTGCGTCAATATGGGGAGGTCAATCATTTGAGGGGATGCCGATGGTGAATCATGCGGTGCTGGATATGGATACGCACCTCTGGAGCTTGAGAACGTTCATGATTGCGACTGTCTAAGGACGCGCGGGAGAAGAACGAGAGGGAGGAAGCGACCAAGAGGAAGATGTTGTGCGTTGGATGGCGGGAGACCAAGCTGGTGCTCAAGAGTGCGCTCGGCGCAGGAGGGAATCCACGAGATCAGGGACCAAGCGATGTGGTAGATGCGCAGGAAGCTTCGGAACGCACGGACGTCACTGGATGGCAGGTGAGGTACCTCACGGTGAGGGAGGAGGTGATTGTGTGAAGATGGAGTCGCAATGGTTTAGAAGTCGGAGCGATGATAGCTTTTCTCTCGAGAGCAGCGATTGTGCCGAGGGTGGCTGGTATGGTGTTTGTAGGAGAGAAGAGTAAAGAAGCAAGTGTCGAACAGGTACTGTTAGACGATCGTAATGGGCCAAGGGGAGGCAGAGCCAGAAGCGCAGGCAGGGGTAGAGCAAGGCAATGCGGGGGCCTAAATGACACTCTACCTTACTGTAATACGTCTGTACCTACCAGCAAGATTGAGAGAAAAGTGAGAAAGGGAAGACTGGGCAACGGGCTGGCTGTGCAACGCTGGCCTTATTACAGGCTGGTATTTTAGTATTGAATACCTTATGCTTCAAGCGCTGAGCCAGAGGAGCATAGGAACGGACAGACCAAGCAGGAGGAAGGGAATGGCGGGAATGCAAGACGGGTGGGAGAGACTTGCGTAGGTAGGACTAGGTACCTCGCTCACCTGTTTTGCCTGACCGCGATACTTGTTGGCGGGGGCGGGGAGGGGCCATTGATGTAATGGTACAGGCATTAGCTGAGCTAGAGGCTCTCACATTGGGCAGTTTGGGCTTCTGCATCATCGGTACCTGACCTTGTACCCAACTCATTCGAACAGGGCGATGAGGTACATTTCCAGACCCATCCCGACGAGTAACTGTGGCACAGCACCTCGGCTTCACTTATTGCGCCCGAACGTCGCACAGAATACGCGGGAAGCCTATTTCAATGCGGACAAACCAGGTAGCAGTGGTTTTCACCATTCGCTCTCATAAGCACCACCACCAGCCACATCGACTTGCGTAAGACTGTGAGTGAGCGTCGTCATAAAGCCTACGCAACCGCAGGCACGATTCTTACCAAAACCTTCATCTCAACTTCTTGTCGCCGTAGACAATCTTGGCGTCTTCGACGTATTCCAGGCTGCATCTGAAGCCCTCTTCTTTAAATATGTCGCAGTGGTGGCCATTCTTGGTTTCTAGGCTCGGCAGGCACCGAAATAAGCATTCTTGCGTAGTGCTGGTTTTATGATCAAATGCGTTCACGAGTGTCCAACAGACCGAGGATTCCTCACAGCAAGTACACTTTCCTAATCGAGGGAAGGATCTAATACTTTATGTAGTACGCCCTTGATCTTGAACCGTTCTTTCTCTAACTCTGAGTTTCTTGTTATTATTAGCTCCATTATATAAGGTATTTTAACTATATAGGAACGTATATAAGATCAATCTTACCTACTCTACGTTGATATGCCTATGAATAATTAGCCCCTCTAGGTAATGTTCTAGAACGTGCAGATATAATGAGCTGGCTAAGGGTGGTGGAACTAGAAATAGTGATGCCATCAATCAAATTTGCACTGTATAACTCACATAATTTACCGCATATATACCGTGCACAATTTCTACCATACACAGTCCCCGCTCTCCCCCTCCCCCACCTCGAATTTTCTGATCTCGATACCTTCATCGCAACGACGAAGATTTCATGTCAAGCACTACCGGCACAATCCCCGATTCGTGAACTTCAGACCACCAAGCTCCGGCCGCTTCCTTCACTCGTCCAATCGGAGAGCCCTACCTCTGTCCCCCCTCCTCGTTGCTGTAAAACCCTTCGCAGCAGCGTCTCACTCACATCTGCTGCCACTACCACTCACACAAGCAAAACACCATGGCTGCCGTTTGCAAAGCCTGCGAGGACCCTCTGGTCATCAGCATCGAGCCCGACAGCGACGACGAGGGCCAGGCCGGCGAGGAGCCTCAAAATGTTCCCGATGACCTCGAGCTGCCCTGCGGATGCCACTTTCACTGGTAAGCAGAATTCCTCCCCCACTTACACAGTGAGGTGTCATTCATATCGCCAAATCTCTCAAGAACTCACACCAAGTCTCTAGGCAATGTATTCTCGACCAGTCCGCCGAGATAGCAATCTCCCTCAACTGCCCGTCCTGCCAGAAACACCTGCCGACGAACCAGCAGGGCCCTTCCGTCACAAACCCCTTCCTGTCTACCCCCTCCGGCGCCGCCATCCTGACCCGCTACGTCAACGAGGGCGGCCTGCAGGACGCTCTGGACATCCTGCCCAGCATCACCGAGGAGGCCTACCTGGCCGCCAACCCGGACGCCCGTCCCGCCCGCGCCTACCACCTCATGTGCTCCGAGGGCGACGTCCAGGGCATCGTCGAGCTGCTGCAAGACGCCAACGAGGAGCTTGCCGGCGACATTGCCCAGCTCGGTCGCCTGATCCGCTACCAGGACCCCTTGGCCGGGGGAAAGAGCGCCCTTCACGTCGCCGTCGAGAAGGCGCAGGAGGAGGTCGTCTGGCTGCTCCTCTGGATCGCCTCCCCGGTGCCCACCGACGTCTTTCCCCAGTCGGCGCGGCAGGCGGCCGAGGCTCTGCAGATCGTCCGCCTGACCAACGACAACGCCGAGGACATCCGGGCGCTGCGCACTGAAGGTGGCCGGACGGCAGAGGACATCGCCAAGACGATGCCCGATCGCTGGGCTGCGCTTGTCGACGCTGGCATCCTGCGTTCATAGTTTGTTAGGTTCACTAAAATCCAAGATACCCAGAGTTAAAGAGCCATTCGCGCTTAAGTTGTCATCGCGGAGTAGATGAACTGTGTTCTCTCATTATACCGGGATTGCCTACTTAGCCCTTTCTAGTCTACTCTATTTGCGGTCTGCCCGCGATCGGTTGGAGAGGAGTTGCGATAAGATGAAGTGACTGACGTCCTCGTCCGACCAGTAACTCATGTGCGACGCGATTGTGTTCATGGGGTTGAAGTCGAGCACGCTCCTGTCGGACATTAGCAAAGACGAGCTTCGTTTTGAAGGCAGTGTGACTTACTCTTGAATGCTGTAGTCGACCCGTCCGTTACGGTTGAGAGCCCGCACCTTCATCTCCTCCCGTCGCAGCTTCTGCGCCTTACGCTCTGCCTCTATCCATTCATCCGCACCGCCGTCGTCGTTAGTCTTGGCCAAGTCCACGCGTTTCTCCTGAAACTTGGAAAAGAGCGTCTCCAGCTCATCGTCGATAAGCGTCATTTCGTTGCCGCTGATACTGGTACGACCCAGCATAGACTGGGAATCTGCAAGCTGCTTCTTGCGTTCATTCGTCTTCTCTCCAAGTTTCGATGCGTCGGATATCACACCGCTATCTGCAATGTTCGTTCCGGCTCCTGACACTTGCGATTGCGGTTGCGTGGACGCCGAGTTCATCTTAGCCACATCCTCATTGGTCAGGCCAAGACTCCTGTTGAGGATGTTGCTCGCAATTCCTGCGCTCAAGCTGGACCAGAGACCACTGACACTTTGGCCTACCTTCATACCAATGCCGGTGAGGCCTTGCTGCGCCACGTTGCCAAAAATGCCCTTCTTGGTATACGGCAGGACCTGAGGCTTCAGTGTCGACATAGCTGGGGATATGAGAGGCTCGAGACGGTAACTGATAGGGTCGGAAGGATGGAAAACGTTGAAGAGTTGGGACACTTTTGGTGAAGAGACGGAATATGGAAGGCCTGTGATGGCCGACACGCGCTGCGTTGGGGACGTCGGAGCTGCAGTGATGAACGGATCGTCCATCAGGTCAGGGTTCAGAGGGCTCTCCGACGGCAGCGCATGAGGGAGATGGCGTGCTGATATGGTACTTTGAAGGGTTAGTACTTGAGGTAAGCGAAGCAGATGATAGACTCACCGGCCCTTGAGCATTTGGAACAGCCCTACTGGCGATCCTAGACAGTAAAAGTCCTCAACGTCAAAGTCAAACTTCAGCTCGTTTGCTTCGCGATCCTTTGCGCTCTCGGCCTTCTCCTGGGCGGGCCAGAAACGAAGGGCGTTTCTTGGGGTCTCGGGAGCCTTCGCCTTCTCCTTCTGGCGGCAAAGGATATCGAACATGATGGCAGAGCCGAGAGAGTGCCCAATAACATGGACTTTTCCCTTAAATTCGGGGTTCCTTGCCAAGAAGAGTTTGAAGATCCGGTTCGACTCCTTCAACACAATTTCGGCGATCTGTTCGCGATATGCGCTCTGGTAGAGAAGGACGTCAAGCGCCAGGTCGGAGATCAAGGATCTGGCAAAGGCCACGCCTTCAATGGTGATGTCTTCGAGAGATGGGTCTTGAGAAATGTGTTAGTAAAGTCCACGTTACTATTCGGCGCCGACTTACATTCGTCTTCGTCTATAGCACCGTCTCCGATGTCTCTTTCGTTCTTCTTTTCTCTCTTCCTGGGAAAGTCCAGAAGGTGTCTCCAACAAACAGGCAAAACTTGTACCCTGCAGTTCCTCGGACCATCCTCCAGCTCAGAGTTCAAAGCTCGGAGGTCTGCCGAACTGGAATATACCGTCTTGATGTTCTTGCGCAAGATGTTGACATCATGAACAAAATTCACACTCTCCATTCTGTTGTCCTGTCTTAGTACGTGTTCAGAAGAGGTTGCTGACGAGTACTTACCGGATGCCGAGAAGCTGGCCGATTCCATGAGTTACGAGCACCAAGTGTTCGATGTCTCGTCCTTGGGTTTCGCCAAACTGGCCATTATAGTCGTTCTCGATTTCTTTCTCCTCACGTTTCCTGATTTCCTCTTCTTGTTCTTCTTGATTACGGTGTTCAGCGCCCTCCATCAATGAGGATATCTGCCTTTGTAAACTGTTTCCCCTCTCATCTTCATCTTCAATTCGCGAAATGTCATCATTGGATTGCGAGGGTCGTGAAGTTGGTGGCGCGGATCTCCTTTTCAACTTCCTTTGCTCTTTCTCGTCTTGCTGCGCACTGGAACTTGCCTCTGTCGGTGTCGCTGGCTGCTTCTCCTTCTTGTTCTTGGCCACATCAGAGTAGCCCCTCACAAGCTTGACTCCGCTCATATAACCGCCCCCAGAGAATCGTTCGTACATGGTGGAAGTCACCCAAGACAACATGCTGTCAGAGGTCAACCAGGCTGTAGTAGAATCTTGATACGTCGCAATACTGTTCATCCACGCGCCGAATAATCTGTGAGATGATGGCTGATGCTGGTTCTGCGGTGTTTGAGGCTTGTTGTTGCTTTCTGCAGCGGCGGCATTTGATGCAGCAGCTCGCAGGTTATCAGCTGATGCCTTGGGCGTGACATCTTTGTTCTTGGAGTCGCTGCGGATCCGGGGCTTCGGATATTGCCAGGGCTTGACCTTCAGATACCCTTCCTCGAGTTGAGATGCTAGGTTTTCCTCACATGGCCTTAAAGAGGATCCTTCGTCGTAGAACCATGTTCCACGACGGACCTCGTAGACAGGTCCAAGCCAGTAAACAGGCGCCAGTTCTCGTTTCTCAATGTCGACGTCAAAAAGGTAATCCTCATTCACCGGAACGTGCGTCTTCGGTGTCTGGACGCCCTCAGGGCTCGTCTCCAGACTGCTCTGCGTACCATCGTCGTCGGTGTCCCTACGACCGCGTCGAGAGCCCGCGGAAACATTGCGCAGTGATCGGTCAACTCTTCGCTTCTCGGAATCCTCCAACAAGCGTTGATATGCCACCTCTATAGCCCTAGAATCGCCCTTTTCGAAGGGGAGAAACTTCTTCGGCTGAGGCGGGGGCTTGGCATCGTCCGTCGGCTTCGCTTTATCTCGGAGGAAATGCGGCTTGCGCTTGGGCACCTGGCGTCGTAGTTAGCTACCATGAGAAGCCAGCGTTTAGAAAGGAGAGTCTGACATCAGTAGCATGATACCACAGAACGTTGAGAGGAGGGCAATCAGCGGGGTAGCTCTTGATGCTCTGGCCGTATAAGTGGGTGATACTGTGATCGCCTGGACGAGCGGTTGGTGGAGGGACAGGCTGCGGAGGAGGATCCTTTGGGGTGGGTGTCGAGCTTCGACTGCCAGACCATGGATTGATGGAGTCGACCGCGGAGGAGAGGTAGGACTTTTCTGCTTTGCGGTCAGCGCCGCCGGGAGCCATCGTTTGTGACTGGGCACTGGGCCATTCGGGGGTTCTCTGGCGAGAGGACCAGCAGCGGCGCGAAGTGCAGAAAAGGCCGAGGGATTTTTTGCGAGTTCGTCCCCAGACCAGCGTCGAACGGTGCACAACGAGCGCCAACGTGGAAGAGACCGAGGATGGGACTTATATGTGCGTCACTTGCTTTAAAGAAGTCGCCAGGCAGGACGGGACGAGTTGGAGAGGAGTTTCGGGGAAGCTCGAGCTGGTCGGACGAGAGCAAGGGATGCTGGTTTCAGGCGGCAGCAAGAGCCAGATCAACTAGGTTGAGACGGCAAGAGAAAGCAACAGAAAGTAGGGCGACCTTTCTTCGGACAGTTTGCTGATGGTGTTGCTTTTGTGTGGTGGATAGGTGGTCTATGTTCAGACGGACAAGGTGCGCCTTATTGGGCGTGGATCTGCAAGATGAGTTGAGGGAAGAAAACGGTCATCCGGGAAGCAAGGGACGCAGAAATGAAAGCACAGCCCTGGAGCTTGACCCGTGGTCGAAAGTAAACGAGAACATGTGCTTTGTATGCGGCCGTCAACGTGGAGATGGACGCGATGAAGAGACGTGGAGGGCTCCAGTCAGCTGCCTTGCGCATGGCAGGGAGCAGCTCCGGCCCTCAGGGACCCCATGACGCAGCTGTCGGTCCCGTGTAAATGGAATACGGAATACGACGGGGGATCGACCGCCCGCCTGCGCTTTGGCGACTGGTTAATTTCCCCTGGACTTAGCTACGCAGCAGGCGGTCTGGGCCGACCGCGGGGCAGCTGCAGAAGATGCTACCTTGTTGTTCACTTCACGGCAACGATGATTTCGCAGTGCGGTTCTTACTCTGGGAATAGTCGTCGAGAAATCGTGGGGATGCTTCCATTGCATGTTATTGCCTCGGACAATTAAACATAAGGTGGCCTATCGTTCTATCGGCTGCCTCAACGATGGAAGTTAATGCCGTACAAAAATACCTACTGGATAATAGCTAGCCATCTCAGGTAAGGTAGGTAGCTTGATGAAGCTACGTACCGAAGTGAGGGACAGTCGCGCATTCTCCAATCCCACCCCGAAAGAACTCACCCGAAGACTCATAATGAAGCGCGTATTGGCACTATGCCTTGACAGGGTAAACTGTACGTCTGGTACAGTACTTATTCAGAATATCTCACACCGTCCGCGTAAGAACAGTGGAGCACCTGCGTTTTTCGATGGTGGGGTACGACCTGCAGAACGTCCCTCCAGCGGAACTTGACTGATTTCGCCGTCCCTCCGTCACAAAATTTCCAATTCGATTCGGCTTCGTTTTGATTTCGCATCACCACAGCACCCAGCAATACACGTATTCGATGACTTGCTCGCCCTAGCACTCGTCGCTCCGACCCGAACAGCTTCTGCGACCGACAAAGTTGTACCCTCGAGCCATGATCATGACCCTGCAGCGAATGCGAAAATACACCAACATCGATCACGACCGGTAGACTTTAACTTCGACCGACCTCGATCTTGACTCATCTTCAGTCACACACCGCTAAATATCCCCACGAAATACATCGAGTCGCAGTCGCAAGCAACTGTAGACACCACCGCCATGGCAACCACAACCGTCACCCCGGTCAAGTCGCAACTCGTCGACAAGTTGCCCAAGCGATTCAAGGGCATCAAATTTGGCATTCAGTCAGTCCATCCTCAAGTTTCGAGTCGCATACGCTCGCGCTAACCACGCAAATCGAAACAGGTCGAATCAGGATATCGCGAACCAGGCTGTTCTTGAGGTCTCCGATCGCCTCTTGTACGATATTGAAAAGAACAGAGCGCCGTATCAACATGGTCCCCTCGACCCTCGCCTGGTAAGCCTTTAATTGCTGTCGCCTGAGCTGTGTCAATCTGACTTTGGACAATCAGGGAACTTCGAGCAAGACGGGAAAATGCGCAACATGCCAGGAATCACTCCAGAACTGCACTGGTCACTTCGGCCATGTCAGACTTCCGCTACCTGCCTTCCACATTGGCTACCTGCGTTTCGTCATGATGATCCTGCAAGACATCTGCAAGGTGGGCATTTCCACGCTGGCATCAAGCTTTCACCATGGCTGACCTAGTACAGGACTGCGGCAAGGTGTTGCTCACCGAGTCAGAGCGCCGGGCCTTCCTCAAGGAGTTGAGGCGGCCGCTTCTAGACAACCTACGCCGTTCCCAGATCTGCAAGCGAATCAACGAGCAGTGTCGCAAGGTCAAGAACTGCATGTACTGCGGTTCTGTTCAAGGTCAGATCCGCAAAGTTGGCGTTCTCAAGCTGGCGCACGACAAGTTCGTGACCTACAACAAATCCACTTCCGCCAAGAAAGTGCCCCCGGAGAGCAAGATCAAGTTCGACGAGTCGTTCAGCGAAGCCAGGAAAAACAACGCGGAGCTCGACAAGCATCTCCGCAAAGCGATGGAGGACATGAACCCGTTGAGGGTACTCAATCTCTTCAAGATGATCAGCCCTACCGACTGCGAGCTCCTCGGTCTCGACCCTGCCGAAGGTCGCCCTGAGATGTTCATCTGGCAGTTCCTCCCTGCGCCTCCTGTGTGCATTCGACCCTCCGTTGCTCAGGATAACGCCAGCAACGAAGACGATATCACAACAAAACTTGCCGACATTGTTTGGGTCAGCGGCATGATACGATCTGCACTGCAGAAGGGTTCTCCAGTCCAGACTATCATGGAGCAGTGGGAATACCTTCAGCTGCAAGTCGCCATGTACGTCAACAGTGATGTACCGGGACTTCAGCAGCCTGGATTTGGCAAGGCCGTTCGCGGTTTCTGTCAGAGACTGAAGGGAAAGCAAGGTCGATTCCGTGGCAATCTGTCTGGAAAGCGTGTCGACTTCTCGGGCAGAACGGTCATTTCACCTGACCCCAACCTCGGAATCGACCAGGTGGCTGTTCCCCAGCTTGTGGCTAAGAACCTGACCTATCCGGAACGAGTTTCGGATTACAACATCAATAAGCTCAGAGAATGCGTTCGGAACGGACCCAACATCTGGCCCGGTGCGCAGCAAGTTATAAAGAATGACGACGGTGGCTACAAAATCTCATTGAGGTTCGGTAACAGAAACCAGGTCGCCCAGGATTTGAAGATTGGTGATGTTGTGGAGCGCCATCTAGAAGACAATGACATCGTTCTCTTCAACCGTCAGCCGTCGCTCCACAAGCTCAGTATTATGAGCCATTTGGTAAAGGTACGACCGTGGAGGACATTCCGACTCAACGAGTGCGTTTGCGGTCCTTACAACGCAGATTTCGACGGTGACGAGATGAATCTTCACGTTCCCCAGACCGAAGAAGCTCGTGCAGAGGCCATCAACCTCATGGGCGTCAAACACAACTTAGCAACGCCGAAAAACGGTGAGCCCGTCATTGCCGCCACCCAGGATTTCATCACTGCTGCGTATCTCTTGAGCGGCAAGGACAGATTTTTTGACCGCAAAACATTTACCTACATCTGCATGCACATGATGGACGGAATCGTCCACCTGGACCTTCCACCTCCCGCTATCCTGAAACCCCAAGCTCTCTGGACGGGCAAGCAAGTATTCAGCATGATGATGCGCCCCAACAAGGACAGCCCCGTCAAGATCAACCTGGACGCCAAGTGCAGAGAATACAAGGCCAGAGCTGGCCAATGTCCAGACATGGACCCGAACGACGGTTGGCTTGTCATTCGCAACTCCGAGGTCATGTGCGGCAGAATGGACAAGTCTACTGTTGGTTCCGGAAAGAAGGACTCGGTCTTTTACGTCATTCTCAGAGATTTCGGCCCAGATGCCGCCGTGGTAACAATGAACCGTCTTGCCAAACTGTGTGCTCGTCATTTGACGAACCGTGGATTTTCTATTGGAGTTGGAGACGTCTATCCAACCCAGCTTTTGCTCGAGAAGAAGAGCAAGATGATCAAGGACGCAAACAAGGACGTCGACGAACTGATTGACAAGTATAAGAGAGGCAAGCTTGACAAGGCCACTGGTTGCAGCATGGAGGAGACTCTTGAAAACTCCATTTCGGGACTTCTCAGCAAGGTCAGAACTCAAGCAGGTTCTCACTGTATCGAAACGCTGAGCAGAAACAATGCCCCACTGGTCATGGCCAAGTCTGGTTCCAAAGGTTCAGAGATCAACGTCGCGCAGATGGTCGCTCTAGTCGGCCAGCAAATTATCGGCGGAAAGCGAGTTGCCGATGGTTTCCAGGACAGAACACTTCCCCATTTCCACAAGAACGCTCCCCAACCGCCGTCAAAGGGTTTCGTCGCCAACAGTTTCTACTCTGGTCTCCTCCCTACAGAATTCATCTTCCACGCCATGTCTGGTCGTGAAGGTCTGGTTGATACAGCTGTCAAGACAGCCGAGACTGGTTACATGTCGCGAAGATTGATGAAGTCTCTCGAGGATCTTTCCACTCAATACGACGACACGGTCCGAACATCAGGAGGAGGCATTGTCCAGTTCCAATTTGGCGCAGACAAGCTGGACCCTGTGGATATGGAGGCGTCGGCGAAGCCTGTCAACTTTGACCGAACCTTCTCACATGCCGAGAACCTGACATGGGACAATGAGGAGGCTGCCCTTCTACCTGACGAAATGGTCAGGTACTGCGACAGCATGTTATCTGTAGAACGTGCTCGCTACCCAAGAAAGTCCCTTGTCGGAGACTTAACCCTCGACTACGACAACGAAGAGGATAGGTTCACAGACGAGCACGAAGGTGCCAGAGATTTCTTGAGGTCACTAGAGTCCTACGTTGGCAGTCGAGCCAATAAGCTCCGTCGTGTCATGGAGCTCACTGGCCTTACGGCCAGTGCCGACAGCATGGAGGTCGATCTCGACGAAAACGAGGTTAAGGCGAAGAAGGCATTCGCGGACAAGGTTGCCAAGGTGTCGGAGACGACCCTTCGGCTATTCGTGCGACTCTGTCTAGAGAAGTACAAGAAGGCGCATGTCGAACCAGGTCACGCCGTTGGAGCCGTCGGAGCCCAGTCGATTGGTGAGCCTGGTACCCAAATGACGCTTAAGACCTTCCATTTCGCCGGTGTCGCTGGTATGAGTATCACGCAGGGTGTTCCGCGTATCAAGGAAATCATCAATGCCTCGAAGACCATTAGTACCCCTGTCATCACCTGTCCGCTAGTACAGGACAGGGAGATGACGGCGGCCCGCATTGTCAAGGCGCGTATCGAGAAGACTTTCGTTGAAGACATTCTCAGCTCCATTGAGGACGTGTGGTTCGCGGACTCGGGAAATGTTGTCCTGCAAGTGGACATGGATGCGTTGTCCGACATGCAGCTGGGCATTGGACTGAGCGACGTGGCCGAAGCAATCTGCAAACACAAGAAACTCAAGGTATCGAGGCAGGACATGAACATCGGCCCGGGCAGGATAGAAGTCCGCGTTCGTCTGGACGAGTCCGCCAGCTCCAAGAGGTCCGTCAAGGCAAAGCCTGTGGATGAGCACGGCGACCTTTTGGTACGGGCCAACTACCTCCGCAGGACAATCCCGACAGTGGCCATTTCAGGATACCCGGACGCAACGCGTGCCATCATCCAGACCTCAGAACACGAAACCCACACTGTCCTAGTCGAAGGATATGGTCTGCAAAAGTGTATGAACACTGAAGGCGTTGAAGGGCGCAGGGTAAAATCAAACAACGTCATGGAGTGCCGAGATGTGCTGGGTATCGAGGCGGCGAGAACGACAATTGCACACGAAATCGGGGAGGTCATGGGAGACATGGGCATCGACCCCCGCCACATGCAGCTACTCGCAGATGTCATGACTTACAAGGGAGAGGTGCTGGGTATTACACGATTTGGTCTCTCCAAGATGAGAGACAGTGTGTTGCAACTGGCATCCTTTGAGAAGACACCCGACCATCTGTTCGAGGCCGCCGCGGGCATGAAGACGGATCAGATTGAGGGAGTGAGCGAGTGCATCATCATGGGCCAGACCATGTCGGTCGGAACCGGCGCATTTCACGTCGTCCGCCGCCTCGCCCTGGAGAAGGGAGATGTTGGGCAACGGAAGACGACGTTTGAAGATGCGTGGGCGGCCGAGACAACGCTCAAGCGAAAGTCGCGGCGACATGTCTAAACGGAAAACAGGAGTTATCACAGGGCATGGCGTCCATCAGCACGAGGGCTGTATAAATTCTGTAATGGATCCCGAGAAAGGGATTTGCTTTAGTTTTGAAGTAGGGCCAATGGGAAGATGAATACATGAGCTCAAAGCCACGGACGGTATCGAACTTCGCTGTGCAGGCCGAAGTCGGGCCTTGGGGTTTTGTTTATCCTCCGAGGTTACATTTATGGTCAAGCTTTGCCTGATAATGAGCGATTTCCTCCAAGATGTTCATCTGATCACTCTCATGAAGGGTTAGCGCAGCGACATTGCGGGGTTTAAAAGCGCTCCCCACAGGCTTCAACAGCGCAAGTTGGGGTTTAACGAGATGGATTGCGGAGACGACCAGGACTCGGCCAGAAGACAAGGTTCGGTATCCCGGTAGTGGTCCTGGGGCAGAGATGACCAAGCCCCGACTTTATAAAAGAGAGAGGCATGCATGAAGAGGCTTCACCGAGTTGTCGGATTCACTTACGCTTGGCACATCGTCCTTGGTGATCTGTCGGTCACGATGCCATTCGCGCAACGTCTCTTCGGCCTCTCGCTGTGGGCAGCAACCTGCGTCTCGCAGGCTGCCTCACAGGAGCCTTCCACTCACTGTTCAATCGATGGCATCAGCGGCTTTCTCACGCAAGATGACCGTGCCGAAGTCTTGATGGCTGTTCCCATCAGCAACAATGGCAGCTTCGGTGAGGTAGGAAACGTCGCGTACCCCCAGAACGCAACGTACCTCCCTGCCCTCTGCGCCGCGACAATCAACGTCACGTCTTCTTCGACCTCGTCTTACACCTTCGGCCTGTTCCTGCCCGAGACGTGGAACCAGCGTTTCCTCGCCGTCGGCAACGGAGGCTTCTCCGGGGGCATCAACTGGTATGCCATGGGCACTGGAGTCAAGTATGGCTTTGCGACCATCTCGACCTCCACCGGCCACAACTCCACAAGCCAGGATATGAGCTGGGCCCTGAACAACAATGAAACCAAAGCCGATTGGGCTGGCCGCAGCCTCCACGGCTCGACCGTTCTGGCCAAGAAGATCGTGGAGGGGTTCTACGGCAACGCGGCGAACAAGTCCTACTACTCCGGCTGCTCGACGGGAGGACGACAGGGCGTCAAGTCGGCACAGGCCCACCCGGAGGACTTTGACGGCATTCTCGCGGGAGCACCGGCTTGGATGTCCACAAGTCAACAGTTATGGCAGCTCAAGGTCGGCGCCATCAACTTGCCGGAGGATGGACCTGGGTATCTCCCGACGGCCATCTTCCAGGTTATCAGCGACGAGGTCTTGCGGCAGTGCGACACCTCTGATGGCATCGCCGATGGTATCATCATGGACCCTAGACACTGCAACTTTCGACCTGAAAAGCTGCTCTGCACGTCGAGCTCAGCAAACAAGTCCGCGTGTCTAACGGCGCCGCAAGTGTCGACCCTCAAGCAGCTTTACCAGCCATTGATCCAGCTGGATGCAGATGTCCACAACCTGACATACGTCTATCCCAACTTCGGCCTTGGATCCGAGAGCCAAATGCCATCTTCATTCGGTTCTAACAACGAACCCAGTCTGTACGGGACAGACTACGCCAAGAATTACCTCTTCGACGATCTGAACTGGGACTGGAAGGCGAGCTTCAGCTACGCGACCTTTGTTGAGGCAGCAAGACTCAACCCCGGGGACGTCAACGCGGACAACTTCGACCTGTCCGCGTTTCACAGCCGCGGCGGAAAGCTGATCCAGTACCACGGGTACGCGGACGGTCTCACCCCGACAGACGTCAGCCGCGTGCTCTACGACGAGACATGGCTGGCAATGGCGGAGCAAGGGGTCGACTTGGATGAGTTTTACCGTCTCTTCTTCGTGCCCGGTATGCAGCACTGCTCGGGGAGCGTGTACGATGCTCCTTGGTACTTTGGAGGCAGCGGACATTCGTCCAACTTGGAGACGAACGGGCAACATGCGTTCCCTGTGCCCGGGTTGGACGACGCGAAGCATGATGCGTTGCTTGCGCTTGTTGCGTGGGTTGAGGGCGGATCGGGTGTTGATGAGCTTGTTGCAACCAAGTATGCCAACGACACTGTTGGCAACGGGATTTTGAGGCAACGTCCGATCTGCAAGTATCCCGGATACGCTTCGTGGGATGGCAAGGGGGACGTGAGTGTAGCATCAAGCTGGAAGTGTGTTGGATACTAGATGCAAATTAGCGACTAGAATTGTAGATGAAAATTCGATACTACGATATGGTCCCTGAAGTATTGTAACAGCGTTATTTCGGCCACGGCATTCTTGACAGCCGCTATTATTACCACTATTCTTCACGCCTATGGTACCAAATTACCAATAATTGAGGCAAGGTAGATAGGTAGGCATCGTATTAATGTTCAATTTACTCACGTGATTTGAACTTAATGCACGTGCAACAAACGCGCTTCAGGCGCGTGGAAACGGCCTCTATCGGCATGACGACATAGATGCAGTAGCCTAGCAGTACTCTACAAACATGCCCGCGCCAAAGTAGGCAACATATTCACACATCAGATATCAACCTTTTTGTGAATAAGAATCCACACGATCATGTGCGGAAGATATGCTCTGGCCTTGGTGAGCTCCCGATCTCAATACAAGAATATTTAATTCATGTGGCGAGAGACTAACCCCCTTGACAAAGCGGCCGTCGCAGATTCGACGCATGTTGGAAGAGGACGACATGCCTGTCGACGATGCACCAGAGGATGAAGGCCAGGGAGCTCCGCGGCAGACGTACAACTTTGCACCTGGATACCACGGCGTCGTATACCGTGCCGACGTCCCAGATCGTGGCGCTGGCCATCGTCGTGCTCAGACGAGTAACGACCAGGACCAATCAGCAGATGCTCCATCAAAGGATGCCACACACGATCACGATGGCATCAAGTACAAGATGCAGTCAATGCAGTGGGGTCTGATTCCCTTCTGGACCAAGCGCGACCCCGGGTACGCCACGCTCTCCAAGACGATCAACTGCCGCGACGACTCGCTCAGCACTTCCGGGGGCATGTGGTCGACGATGAAGGCGGGGAAGAGGTGCATCGTGGTGGCGCAGGGATTCTACGAGTGGCTTAAAAAAGATAAAGAAAAGCTCCCGCACTTTGTCAAGAGGAAGGACGGCCAACTCATGTGTTTTGCCGGCCTCTGGGATTGCGTCAAGTACGAGGGTGAGCCCGACGCATCTAGTGGCAGTTACTGGATATCTTGTACTGATGCATCGATGCAGATTCTGACGAGAAGCGTTATACGTACACCATCATCACAACAGATTCTAACAAGCAGCTCAAGTTCCTCCACGACAGGATGCCAGTGATCCTCAACCCGGGGTCCAAGGAAATCAAGACGTGGCTGGACCCAAAACGGCACGAGTGGTCCAAGGAATTGCAGGACCTACTGAAACCTTTCGACGGCGAACTCGAATGCTATCCCGTCAGCAAGGACGTTGGCAAAGTCGGGAACAACTCGCCATCGTTCATCATCCCGGTCGCAAGCAAGGAGAACAAGTCCAATATTGCCAATTTCTTCGCCAACGCATCAGCAAAACAAAAGTCTCCCAAGTCAAAGATCGAACCGACCGTTGTGACCACCGAAGAGACCCAAAAGTCGCAAGAAGAACAAACGCAGCCTGTGCCGGACGTGATCGCCAAGGCGGCAGATGATGCAGACAGTCCGCAAAAGACTGGTGTCAAACGAGAAGCTCCTGCGGCGGAGACGGACGACGAGCCGCCGAAGAAAGTGCCCGTGAAGGCGGCGCCTGCAACAAAGTCAAGGCAGAGCAAGATCAGCGCGACGAGCAACGGCAGCAAGAGCCCCGTGAAGTCGAAGGACGGTACTCAGAAGATTACAAAGTTCTTCGCCAACAGTGCGTGATGTTGGCATGTCCATGTTGGTCTCGGGGCTTAACTGGAAAGAAGGTTCGTGGGACGCAACATGTGGTCAATGACATAGGGCTGTGGTGGCGGCTCTATTACGGCATTTTGTGTTTGACTTTCTGGTTCCTTCAGGAATCCGAATGTCGTGAGACGGGATGTAATATATCGTTGACGTCGTTTGAGTCAAAAGCACTCCTGGGCGCTTTACAAACTTCAGTCTGTGATTTCGAGGTTCTTGCGTATGGATCTCGGTGCCCGACAGCCGGCGCGGCTCCAACAACCCGGTGTCGCTCGAAAGATTGAAGCATGCACTTCATTTTCGCGGCGTAGATGACGACGCACGTCCAGACCCGGCTGTACGGCACCAACCTCGAGATCGGGAGGACTGAGCAATAGTCGCGCTTGGGATGATCAAGAACCGCAGAGTTTGCTCGAGTCAAGGCGGGAAGCAAATACCTTTCAAATCGAAGGAATTCCATAAGATGTCTAACTCTCGTTTGGTGATCATACCTCGTTTCTCAGCCGCAAAAGACAAAAGTCTCGTCGACTCAGCCGTGCAGACAGAGTTGGGCCGGCACATTCCCATGCCGGATGATGAAGGCTTCGCGGGGCCGTATCGCCACCGCGTTACGACAGCTTCGTGTGAGCATCAACAACGACACGCGGCTGGTGGTGGTGGTTTGTGCTGTCTCGTTTAGAAGCACGTAGGGCAGGATGTAGCGAAGGACCTTACATGTCATTGGTCTGAATAGGAGGACTCCGATAATCAGGGTTCGACGTCAAACGTGAAAGACGTGTGGCTTGGCCTGGTCTTCGGAGCCAACTTCGCGTCGCGAAAGTATGCTGGGTTGTGTGTGGCGGCCTCGACCGAACAGCCAGCAGGATGGAGGGAGCGAACGGATGGGTGTGAACTGCTGTAGGGGCCGTCCCCTGGCTGATGTCTCGGTGGCTGAAAAGAGGCAGAAGAAAAAAGACGGTCCGATGTGTCTGACGGGTCGGATGAAGCCAAAAACATCGTGAACGCAAAGGATTTGTGCATCTCCTAAGGGGAGTCGGATGCGAGTTAGCAGGGGAGGCCCCGTGCGGGACTCCGCACCAACGGCCGCGGCGGTGCCGATATAGCTGCGGACCCACCCGGCGTTTTCCCCGCTTTGATCCGTCATTGGCCGGTAGTCCAAGGTTTGAGTGACGGGTGGTAAGCTGAATCGTTCTGTTATGCTTGTTTGGCTGCCTGTTGCCTCGCGATGCGTAGAATCGCATGCGGATGAGGGTGATCATTCCAGGGTCTCATCTGGTCGAATCCTGGACGGCTGGGGATGAGGTGTTCAACACGGGGATATGCAGGAATACAGTAAGCCCGTCCAAAACGGCCCTAACATTAAGTTTTCTACCTGCCAACGTCATGGTCGGGAATAGCATGCGCGATGTTCAGGGTCTTTTTGGCTGCTTGACGGCGGCATCCGTGCTTCAAACGTCGACCGAGCGCGCGATTTTGATGCTGCCTGGTATGTTTCCAATGGCGGCATGGTAAGCAGCTAGGAGGTATATTGGAATAGCTCCGAGAATCGGTACCGAGTGATTCACCGAATAATTTCAGTTACATTTGAATCCGCAGACGGGTTTATGGGTTAGGGATCATTTCCTTGAGACTGGCTTGAAGACATGGTAACATTGTGGAAATGGTGTCTGAGAAGTCCATTGTAGACGGAGACGGTCTGCGGCTACGACAAGTATCACGTTAAACAGCATACAACAGTCCCAAGTTGGTCTTACAACTAGAAGATCCGCATGCGCCGAAGAATGAGTAGAAAATGCCAAGCCTTCCGTGCAGAGTTGGCGTCGGGGGTGGATTCCTGATGGACACGAGCACGCCCGAACTGCGTGGATCAATAAGCAGGCCAGCTATTCGCAGGTCAGCAGGTTTCCGTGGGATAAGCTTAATCCAGGGTCTACACAACGCTGGCCTTGCCCGACGCGCATTGGAATGTGCCCCAATGGATGTGGTCAAGAAGCCCTGCGAGACCGGACGGCAGTACTAGCAGAAGCCGAAGTACGACATCAACATTCTTGGTACGGCGGATACCCGCGTGCGAGCATACCCCGACTCCACCTCTGCGTCTACCCGATGGGAATTACTGGGAATATGTTTTGCGCGCTTTTTTTTTTTGTTCTTTCGTGGTTTTGGACTGCCCCCGTCGACCGTTGCCCATCAGCCGCCCGCTTGCCGATGTGGACGCCGACGCCGACGCCGCCGACGCGAGCCCGACGTACCCGAAGTCGAGCGTCTGGACGCTAGCCGGGTGACTGGCTTGACTTGTTTCTGACGATGAGCATTTGGATTCATCTAGGGCTGAAGACTGAAGGCCGTTGCAACTTCCACATTCAACCTGCGTCAGACAAACATTAACCGACGGCGGCTAACAAGTTGGTCATTGCACGCGTGTCGGAGCCGAAAGGGCACCGGTAGTGGCCAGGCTCGGTCACGAAACAAGACTAGGCGCAGGCGGATTGAATCGTCGACAAAGTATGTTGTTCAACGGCAGGAAAACCGAAATAGCACAAGGGATCTTTTGGGTTTGACGATCAGTTCATGCCCTTGACCTTGCCGACGTGAGAAAGTTACCCAGATACCCTTGCCCGGTCCCGTCATGTTTAGCCACAGCCACGGTGGACCGCCACACTTTTCGGAGTGAGGGGATTCGCATTGGCTCATTTGTCACAAACGCAAACATCAGGATTTCCGCTGGGGATTTGAGCTGGAAACTGAAATCTTTTGAAAGAGCCTCAGGGCGAGAATGTAACGGGGGGAAAATGTGTGGGGTGGGATCGGATCGCGCTCACTTTGCGAGACGCCGAGATGCCGGGAGAAGCCCTGAGGTCATGAGGTGAAAAAGAAGTGCTCTGACCCACGTACTCTGTGGATGGCGCAATGTAATTACATAGTAGTCTTGTAGTGAAAGAAACCCCCGGGAAAAGGAGAGAAATGACTGCACACACAGCCAAGCAGCACAACCAACGTCTGTTCAGTGGTTGACACCGCTGACAGTTTGGCCCCGAATCTGCACATGTCAGGTAACCAGAAGGAAAGAAAACCGCAACCCATCACTTACAGGTTGCAGAAATGACATCACAAGGTACGAGACCGAGCTCGCCTTCGGCCCAGCTCGCGCCCTGTATGTACTCGCAGTTCCTGTGACAGGTTGAGATACCACCGGTTGACTTTGCAGGTGCAAAATTTAAGGTGCACCCTGGACTATTTCCGCGGCTGATCCGTATCAGGACTAGCTCCCGCAGTTAAGGCTGTGGATCTTCGCAGGAAGTGCAGTGTCGGGTGGAGGGTGGAGGCAGCCAAGTCCGCGGCGAGAAAACATCACGACACCGAGACAGCAACGGCGGCGGTACGTACCGGACCATCGGCGCTAGCGTCTGGAATTGGGACCCGCTTCATCCGTCCATGTCCACTATTCCCGGTGCGTCTCCGCTCGTTCTTCGGCCTCGCCTTCAAAGTTCAACCCAGTCTCCCCCAGTCCTGTCCAAAGAAAAAAAAAAACACGCGACTCGTCTCCGTCTCCGGCATCCCGGAATCAGATGGGCCTCGACTCCTGCTGCGCTGCTGGAAAACCTGGCATTTGTTTTGCATTACCCTGCATTGGCTGTCTTTAGCCCACACATTCCAAAAGTCTCTCGCACACACACACATATACGTACAAACATACAGGGTGTACGCACACATACACTACACACGAGCACACACGACACGCACGCACCTGTATCCCAGATGTCCTTTACGATGAACGCGCAGTTACGCCGTACACCCACCCACCCTCGGACGGCCCACCCACTGCCATCACTTCGGAAGGGGGGCCCATCGTTGATCAATTCCTTCCCACCCACCCGTTCACCATAGACCGGCGCGGCACCGAATACCGAATCCCAGATGTTCCCAGATGTTGAACGGCTGGAGATGAGATGGTAGCAGGAGCAGCAGCCTGGCTCCATCGGCGGGCACTCGCTCTCTGCTCAGCCAAAGCCTTGACATTAGCATTTGTCCTCATTGGCCCCTGTGCCGTCGCTACGTACATGTCTTCCCCATGCTTCCATGTTCTCCATAGCCTTCTCTTCCTCTCTAGTGTGCATACCCACACAACCCGGTCTGTTCCTACTAGTCTAGGCTCGTCGTCGCATCTTTCTCACCCTCGGAGATCTCTGGCTCATGATATTCTTCCTCCCGACCAAAACATATATATATGCTGGCCCCGTCCACTCTCGCCTCCCAGATTACGCTACTGCCCTCCACCTCCACGCCTCCTCCAACCCGCGGATCCATCCTTGACACTATCTACCCTTTATTGAACTAGTAATCTGTCATCCTCACTGTGATCTTCTTTGAGCTTCATACTTTGAGCTTCACCTGACTGTCTTACACCTTGACTGCATACGAGGCAATTATTTTACTCTCAACGTTGCCATCATGAACGCCACATCACCGGAGATTCCTCCATACACAATGGCTTCAGGATTCCCGTCTGTGGGTCCCGACAACACAGCATACGACCTCATTGCCTCTCAGTTTGCCGCGCGTATCGTAAGTCTAGAATGTCACTCCCGTGCTCAGAATATTGTCAAACTAATGAATCGTTCACAGGTATCAAATGAGAACGGCTACTGCACCCCGTCATCCTTTTGGTCAGGCCCTCCAAGCCCGACATCAAGCGTCGATACCAACAAACATGAGGCCGGCGACTCCCACGATGAGTGTAGCCACTCTTCAACAAGTGCTGGAGAAAGTCTCGCCGATAAAGTATCCTCAAAAGGCAGACGCTCCAACAGATACAAAAACTGCAGCGAGACCGTGCTCTCGGTAAGTTCACATCAGAGACGCTCCTCACGGCTTGTGTGCACAAGCTCACACTTGTATAGAAACGGCGTGCCCAGAACCGCGCCAACCAGCGCGCCTACCGCAAGAGAAAGGAGCAACGACTGGAGGAGCTCCAGCACCAGATCGACGACATGGCGCAGAAGAACGACGCCCTCTGCTGCGCGTACAGGCTCCTGGCGAACGAATGCTGTCGCCTCCGCGCCGGGCAGATGTGCGAGCAGTCGGCCGCGACCTGGAACATGAACGGCGGCGACCTGATTCTCGACGCGGCTGCCCTCGACGCCTACCGCCCCAACCCCATCCCGATCTCAAGTCCGATCGAAGAGTCATACCTCGACTATCCCGCGACTCCCGACAAATTGTGGAGCCCCTATCCGTGAGCACTTCGCTCTGATGACGGAATTGGCTGTGTGTATGCGTGAATGACTTGGGAGTTATGACTTTACGGTTCTGTTTCGGGGCCGGCGTGGTTTGGGCGAAACTCTTGGTAGATTATGCTTAGGGGGTTCGCGGCGTTGAAGGGAAAGCGTTGTTTACTTTTGGCGGTGGAGTAAGGGTTTTCTTTCCACTTCACTACTATGAGTAATACAGTCGGACGTAGAGTCACGGCGAAGATCCGGCAGCAATGCCATCAGCACTAAGTGCAGCCTTCAAGCAGTTTTGGTATGAACAATCAAAGTCTGTTGATCATCTCAATTGTCTCCCAAGTGCCTCCGTTCTTAAAAGACTGTGACTTGAAATATCTGAGCTGGTTCTCATGATGTGGGCATCAGCATTTTGCCACGGCACCCCCTGGGATGATGTAGGTAGTCGGCTTAGAAGTGTCAGTGACTTCCACCCATGACAAGGTAGTTGGAGCGATACTCACCACAGGATAGTATATGTTGATCAGAATGCCAGGCTCATTGCCCGTGTAAGCACCCCTTGTCGAAGTCAGCTATCATGTCGTATGTAATGCAGATGCAGTACTCACGGAAACCTAACAGTCGGAGAGAACGAGCCTCTGCCTGATCCGGTGACCCTGATCTGGGCGCACGAGATGTAGAACTGGGCTCCGCCCTTGGTACTGGCCGAGTGCAGACCGATCTGTTCGATACGGAGGAGATAGTCCCCAGGGGCTGGCGTCACCAGGTTAACTTCGTGATTTTGCACTAAAAAAAGAGATAGAAATCATCTCAGAGATTGAACATACGAGTGCACGAGGGGATCTGAAAGTTGAACGCGGCCTGGTTCGACGCCGGGAACTTGATCTGGCCATTCCCCGTCTGCGCGCCGAGTTCCCAGATCTTGGCCCATTGCCCGCTGCCATCATACGTAGTCACGTTGGTCGACCCCGCCGGCGAAAGCCATACGATGACGGGACCGTCGTGGTAGATGGACTGGTCCATGACGAAGCCGACCTACGCATGTCAAATGTCAGAGAAACCAAGACGCCGTCCGGGTTGAATCTGCCGTCTGAATGACGGCGGTCAGGGGCAGCAGCACTTACGGTCGCGCCCGCGGAGACGGTGGCGATCTGCGTCTGGGGGCCCGACGACAGACCGCCGGCGTTGCAGACGATGTCCTTGCTCGAGACGTCGGTGACGGGGCTGTTGTGGTTTGTGTTCCTGCGCACGTGGACGTATTCGCCTGTGTTGACGCCTCCTACTACGAGACTGGTGAAGCGGTCTGATTCGTATGTTTGTCAGTATACGAGGAGATGCTTGATGGGTAAGAAGAGACTAACAGTGGGCTGCGGCTAGATCGCAGAAAGCCGCAAAGGCTGCTAGGAGCAAGATGAAGGAACCCATGATGGACTCGGAATTAGTGAGAGGATAGGTTCACTTTGAATTTTGATCGAGATGCCGTGCCTCACAAGCAGCTACCATGACATATGATGCGGATGACGGGAACGGCATGTATAAGTATGCAAACTGATATTGCGTCTATCGGTGTTTTGAGACTTGTGACTGCCGTGAACTGCGATCCCTCTAGCCCCGAAAGCTGTCCGCGGAGAACGATTCCGTTGGTTGCCTGATTAGTCGGGAGGATGTTGTCCAATGTAAAGTGCCGAGACGTTAGGATCCAACCTCGTTGAATATAACCGGGGAAATCTTCCGTGCCACAAAGGGCCTGGCCTCATCCTTTCATTTCAGCCGACTGCGACAGGCGTTCTCGAGGAACAACTTTCGCCAGTCAGTCATATACATCCCAGCCATCTTTAGGTAGCCTTGTGATCACTATTTAAACTGATGTGGTGGGATTTCATCTGTGATATTGAGCTTCGAGGCTCTGATGCATACGAGGGCCAATCGCAACCCCATGCTAGGCACTCTGCCCCTAAACACCGAGGGCAGTATTCGTCTTGGAGTGCGGGCCGAGGTTGTCCAAAAACTTGGCCGAACGAATTCAGTGAAATTGAGTGCATCCTCGAGGGTTTCGTAGGCCAACCTATTGGCGGCCTCCCGGACGGACGGCAAGGGATTTCAAGCAGTAAGTCACTTGCAATGAGAACAGAAATTGTTCATCAATCAATCCATTTTCTCAGATGCGACTTTCGTAGATACCGGAGACCACCCAAACCACTCTGCCTGACAAACTTCCAATCAACAGTCATCGAACACAGTAGTAAGTACACTGTAAATCTACCTTGCTCAAGCCATCACTTAGCAAAGCCACTACAGACGGTCAGCATACTTAGTAATAGACGACAAAACATCGCAGAAACTCACCTCCTTGCCGCCCGGAACGGTGTAAGAGGTGAGGCCGTTGTAGATCTAACAAAGTCATTAGCATTCAGCAAACAGTACTCAGATGACCTCGCGTACGTTTGCGGTGTATCCTGGGTCCGTCTCCTTGAAAGCACCGGGGATATCCAGGGTCGGCGCGAAGGAGCTGGCAGACGCGGAGCTGCCTGTCACGTTGATCTGCGCGCAAGAGATGTAGAACTGCGGAATGCCGGCCGGGTACGGGTTATGGATGGCGAGGGATTGGATGCGCAGGAGGTACTCTCCGTTGGGAAGGCAAGTCGGGATCTTGTGCGAGTAGATTTCTGTTGATGTCAGTTGACGGAGTCCAAAGGGTTTGGAGGCTACTCATACGCGACATGGGCCATGTGGCCTGGCCATTTGAGAAGGTCGGCCCGAAGTCCTTGAACTTGGCCCATTTCCCGGACCCGTCGTAGTCCTGAACATGAGAGGGTGCCTTGGAAAGGAAACTGGAAGGTCTCAGTAACCGTGCTTCATCAGCTTTTTTTGCCGTACTCACAGAGAGATCGGGCCCTGGTGGTAGACTGCCGTGTCCAAGGTGAAAGAGAAGGTGTCACCAGGCTTGACCTGGGTCACAGTCGTCTGAGCGCCGCTGGCACCGCCCTCATTGCATCTCAGATCCTTGGATGTGAGATCCGTCACAGGGGAGTTGTAGTTGGTGTTCTTACGAATGTGCTCGAAAACACCAAACTTTGTGGAGCCAACGCCCAGTTGCTGGAAGATGTAGTGTGCACTAACATCGGAGATGGCTACCGACAGCACAGTGGCGAGAGTCAAGAACTTCATGATGGCAATAAGTTTGGCTTATCTGGAGAGGTCTGGAGTGAAAAGAATCTGGGGAGATATTGGGAGACCAGAGGAATGGGCAGTGAGGCTGCGAAGCTGCATTTATGGTCTTGGGCAAGACAGCCACGAGGATTGATGAAGGTCATCATGGGTCATCTGCAAGACTGAGATGTGGGACGGCTCGGAGCGAGTGCCTCCTTGATGCTACACTGAGATCAGTCTCGGCAGTCGGGGTTTTTCGAGTATGTAGTAGACAACGCTTGCTTTTCCATATTCGGTACCGTTGGTGATAGCGAATCGTTCATCGCGGATTAAATTCCCTTGCAGCTGGAGATGAGCCGGTTGGTGCGTTCTCTTACCAGCAATATGAACGCGGCTTGTTGAGGTATTAAGCGGTACGGGGTCTCTGGAACAGCTCTCACTTCAACTCTTCACAACAATCTAGTTTCTCATTTAGCATAAAAGCCAGGTGCTATAGTCATCAATAGCTTCACGAAGGGAAGGTGATTGATACACGTGACTGCGATGTACAAAGTATCTTTTCCTGATTAATAACTCGACTGCATGACAGAAATGGCAGGTTGTCTCGTAAGATGGCGTTACATAATCACTGAACAGCGGCAGTGCACGGAGCCGCACAGTTGTCTTGGCTGTCGTCGCATCGGGCGTCGAATTAGGGGGCGCTGTAGGCTAACGCAGCGCAGCGCAAGTCAAACGCAGACAGGCACACTGCACAAAGCAAACACCCCCCGTCCCGGCCTCCTGGATCCAAGGAATCTGTCTGTACCTTTCCAATGCGGCGGAAGTGGCAGCGGACTGGCTTGGTAGATCAGGTCGACGTCTCTGGCTAGACTCAACTTTCTTCACCTTAACACCCGAAGGCGCACAGGATGCCCTCACCTCCGGCCAGCACAACGACCTCCTTTCCGACCGCAGGTCCGTCGCGGCAACAGCACCAGCAGTACCGAGACCCTCAGCAGCAGTACCAGGACCACCACCACCACCACCTCCAGAACCACCAAGGATCGTCACAGACTTACGGATACCAGAAGCAGCACAGACTGTCCAGGTCCTTTCCCACCTCTACGAGTCACTTGGCCGCCCCTCGCTACCCAACCCCGACCGGCACACGCTCCGACCGACAGCAGGCTCCGGTCTCATCCTCGCTTGGACTTGGTTCTCGTCTCGACACTGGCTCTGGCACTGGCACTGGCTCTGGCACTGGCACTGGCTCTGGCTCTGGCTCTGGCATTGGCATCGGCATTGGCACATCCTTCTCGCGAAAGACCCCGTCACCTCTCCCCCGAACTTCGTCGCTTCTTCCACCCCCACAACTCGCCCCGTCGCAGTCCTCGACGACCCAGTTCGATGCTTTGAACCCCGACGCCGCCATCGATCCCGACTCGTACCTGCGAGCCCGACCGACAACTTCTCATTCCCGATCAAGCAGCGCTGCTCTGTCGACTGACGGTGTCAGGAACCTGAATCGCTGGTCTGCCTCCACCGCTTCGAGTCGAGCATCTGGCCCGAACCATCACGCATCCAGTTTTCATGCGCGCCGTGTGAGTGTGGATGCTTCCTCTTTCCTCGCAAACCAGTCACCGCAAAGACTTCCGCGAACGAGACGACGATCCAACTCTAGCGACGCCTCCCGAGGTCCATTTGGCGGTGGGAGCAGGCTGCGCGGGTACTCTCCTCCAGGACCGACACGCGCTGGGGGTTTGTCGACTGTATTCTCGACCAATCCTTTGGACTATACCCCTGCGACTGAGCCGACCGCCTCGAGTGCGCAGCCGAGTGCATCTCGAGCGTTCGGGGGTGGCCACTTTGCTGAGCAAAACCAGCCCTGGGATGCGTTCACCGGCCAGGGTCGGAGTGGATCAGTTGAACAGCCGCCTCGTACAATGATGCAATCCGATCGAAATGGAGAGGCCTACGACTCAAGGGGCCATTCCCGTAATCGTTCGCAGGCTGCGAAGGGGAGTAGCGACACCACATCCTCGAGGCGTAGTGACAAAGGCAACAAGCCACCCTCTCAAAAAGCCATGCTTTCGCGAGCCCTGCAGAAAGCGAACACCGCGGTCCAACTAGACAATGCGCAGAACTTTGAAGGCGCACGGCAAGCCTATGCTGAGGCTTGCGAGTTGCTGCATCAAGTCTTGGCGAGAACATCCACCGAGGAAGATAGGAGAAAACTTGAGGCAATTGTAGGTCTTTTTGCTGAGAACTTCTCGTAATCACGAGTGCTAATTGATAACAGCGTCGCACATACACTAGCCGCATTGAAGAACTGGATCAAATGGCCCCAATCCAGGTTCCAGAGGGGAAAGCACTGCCTGCCAGACCCGAGAGTTTAGGCTTACGACTAAACCCCAGCCTTCAGTTTGATGATGATGACGATCTGGAGGAATCGGGTGGCCTCGAGACTGCGGCATTGAATAGGATTATCAAAGATGGGAGTCGAAGCTCACCTAACTACGGTGGTTCTGGGTTGCCCATTTCACGAATGCAGGGGCTTGCCGAGCCGCCAAGGAGCATTTCGGCAAGGACTCCTGAACAATATCCTCTCCAATCCTCGTTCTCACGCTCGCCACTTCGAGAACGCACCTCGGACGACCATCTCATATTTCAGATACCTACAGATGATGCGAACTTGCCCCCGCCGCTCTCACCTCGTAGGCCTGCTTCACCCAAGCTTGACGGCAGAAGTAGTCCCGACGCGCCTGTCAGGTCGGATTTCTCTCTTCCTGCAACCCGTATAGGACAGAGCCCAAAATCCAGACATATCCGAGACACGAGTCGTGAATCCAACTCATGGCTAGACCCTATTGATGAATCAGGGGGCTCGAACTCCTCCGTTCATTCTCGTTCATCCTCGATGAAGGTGCGGCGGAAACATATTCGCGCCCCAAGTGGTGCTACCGAAGCCGAGTTCGATGCCGCCTTGGACGCGGCTGTGGAGGCAGCATATGACGATGGTTACGAGCCCATGGACTTTTCAGACCAAGAAGCTTCCTACGTCTCTGACGACCAAGTTGTGGCGAATGCTTTGCGCAAGGTGGAGCTAGCTAAAGAACGCGTTCGCCAAACAGAAAGAGAAGTCTTTGAGCAGGCAAACGGGAGGGACCAAAAGCCACAAGAGCAGCCACAATACGATGGAGACGTAACGCATGAGGATTTCTATGATGACGGTTCCTCCGATGAGGAAGAACGCATCTTGGAGGAGATGACACGCGGGTACTCCATCGATGACTTCTCCTTCACACAAGGAACACGCCAACCTCCAGCACGAAACTCTGGCTCCAGTGACGTTGCCCATGGGTCCTGGCAGATGCCTTCGTCCTCGAATACCGCGGCTGGCGGTGACGTCTCTTCATCACCAACCGATGCATTCGCCGCGGCAAACTTCCCCAGAGCTGGCAGCTTTGCGGCGCCACCTCCAGTGCAGTCGCTGCCCGAGTTGCCAGCCAAACCTACTCTGTCTGGAGCTGCGTTTGAGCCTGGACAAACTGTTAGGAGCAGGCGAATGTCGGGCCAAAATCCAAAGCAGCTCAAGATCGAGACCACCAAACTTTCCACATTCGGCGATCCCGGGCGGCGGTTCAGCGTTGCGCAGCCGAATGACCGTGATCAGGGGGTCGATTTCAACCGTCAAGATTCTGGTGCCCCGAACGGCGGAAATGGGGCGATGTTTAGACCGTACTCGCCCCCTGAAGGCGTCAGTCCAACTCAGCCAGTGCCTCCGACGCCTCCCCCTCTTGGTCATCGAAGTCGCGACAGTGAAGATTTCGCTGGAAGTCATGCCGGTTCTCCAATGTTCAAACCGACGCTGAGGAAGAATTTCTCATCTAACAGCTTGAGAAGCATGAAGAATAGGAACATGTCACTATCGAATTTGGAGGACGCCTCAGATATGTCGCCAGGCACGCCCCTCAGCAGCGCGTTCGGTATCAACGGCAGACATCCGCCACTGCCAACACCTCTAGCGGCGGCATTCCGTGACAAATTCTCGTCAACTTCTGCCGGGGGCATGTACTTGTTTGATGACTCTCTTCACTCCCCGCAAAGCCCTGGATCGCCGAATGAGGATCAGGTAGATGCCCCGGCGTCGCTGGAACCATGCCCAACAGATTATATGTTGCGGCCTTTCTGGCTGATGAGGTGCCTGTACCAAACATTGGCTCATCCTCGAGGTGGATATCTGAGTAACAAACTCTTTGTCCCCCGGGATGTATGGAAGGTAAAAGGCGTGAAGATCAGGAACGTGGAAGACAAAGTGGCGACTTGCGACTATCTCACAGCGGCGCTGCTCAAGCTGGCGAGGGTGGACACTTTGGATGCAGATGCTGTGCTCGAGGAGATGCAGTCGCTAGAGAACATTTTGGAACAGGTTCAGGCCAGTCTGACCCGAAAACTGGGAACAGAGGTTGGCGTGCAGACCTCCAACGTTATCTTCCGGGATGCTTCCAACTCAGCCGAGATTGAAGCGGCGATCAATGTTCCGCGCTCGGCGAGCGTAACGGGCAAGTCGTCTTTCTCATGGCGAAGGTTAAGGTCCAAGGGCTCGGCGGCAGGGTTGAACAATTCTTTCAACGCGAAAAGCGCTGGGCCAGACAGTGGCAAGGAGTCTCCCACGTTAGAGACATTGCCGATGACAGAACACCCGACGAGCAAGCCTGCAAAGCGAGACCCAACCAGCGCTCAATTCACCGGGCCGAACGCAAACTACATGGGTTCACTTGCACGGCTATTTGACGCCGCTCAGACAATTGGTAAGTCTTCCTGATGGAAATCTGTTCATTATAATCAAACAGAGCGTATACTAACGCAGTGATCGCAGATCAAATTGCTCGTCAAGTTGAGGATCCCGGACTCAGGCACGCCGACAAGACACAAGTCGGGCTCGAGCTCTGCACTAGGCACGCGGCCGAGTTCTTTGGCTTCTTCATCTGTCGATTTGTTCTGTCCGACCTCAGCATGTTGCTGGATAAGTTTATCAAAAGGGGAAGTGAATGGGTGCTCGCATGAGGTGATGACACATGAGTCGCGATACGAACTGTTCATATGGGAAACTGAGGGCGGCATGATTTGAGCGTCTGATAGAGCGTATGCATGAAGCAACGTGTTTAACCTATGCATTGGAAGTGGCGAGGTGTTCTTGTTCGAACGAAGCCGGATGCGTATAATGGCGATGAAGTTGATGATAGTCTTGGGAAGGCCACGACGTGCACAAGATACCTTTTTTTTTTCTATCTACCCACAACCCCGTACCTAAGCAAAGCTGTATCTACTCAAACTAGATATCTAATCAAAGTATGGCCCGGCGATGGCGTCGATGACCGGAAATGTTTCTCGTTGCCTGAGTATTAATTAGCCTCGGTGAGCGTGTAGGTATAACTCGGTCTAACATCCAATCGGAGGTGTAATGGACTACACCGAGCCCCACATGAGCTTCAACCGTTCGGTCAAGCCTTTCTCTGGCGCATGTCAAGCAACGACGACACTCGACAACCAACTTTTGGCTCTGGCGCTTTACGAACCCCGAGTCGGACTCGCTCGATGCCGAGAATTCCAACTTGATGCGCAGCCCCCCAGCGACAGGCGTGCGCTTCGTGCGGGACCGTCTGGTCGGTGTTCCACGCCACTTGCGACCATTTTGCACCCCGAATTCGAGTCCGTACCGCCGTCACATTCTCGCCCAGACGACGAGGACGACGCAGTCCTCACAAACTTCAGCATGGAACCAAAATTCTAGTCGAGCATTTCACTGCGCCATACCGTTACTGGCGAAACCTCCGCCTCCTTCCCGGTCTGCTCTGGCCCTGGAGGAGCGCATCCTAGCCATCCCGATCGAACGATATCGCAACTTCTGCATCGTTGCACATATCGACCATGGGAAAAGCACACTTAGTGACCGCCTGCTCGAGATCACCGGCACCATATCCGCCAGCGATGCGAATAAGCAAATTCTGGTACGCCTCAACACCCAGTACCCTGTGAATACTCTTAACTGACCGAATCTCTTGCCATCCTCTAGGACAAGCTCGACGTAGAACGAGAACGAGGCATTACCGTCAAGGCCCAGACTTGTACGATGTTATACAATTATAAAGGCGAGGACTACCTGCTGCACCTCGTTGACACGCCGGGACACGTTGATTTCCGCGCCGAGGTGACGCGGTCCTACGCAAGCTGCGGCGGCGCCCTGCTGCTTGTCGACGCCAGCCAGGGCATCCAGGCCCAGACCGTCTCCAACTTCCACCTCGCCTTCGCACAGGACCTCGCCCTCATTCCCGTCGTGAACAAGATCGACATGCCGTCCTCGGACGTGCCCCGCGTTCTGGAACAGATGAAGACCTCGTTCGAGCTCGACCCCGCCTCCGCGGTGCTGGTGTCGGCCAAGACAGGCAAGAACGTGCCAAACATCCTGCCCGCCGTTGTGGAACAGATCCCCCACCCGGTCGGCGACGTCTCGAAACCCCTGCGTATTCTGCTGGTGGACTCCTGGTACGACAACTTCCGCGGCGTCATCCTCCTCGTCCGCGTCTTCGACGGCCAGGTCAAGGCCGGCGATAACCTCGTCTCGTTCGGTACGGGGCAGAAGTATACCGTGGGCGAGGTTGGCATCCAGTACCCGAACGCCGTCCCGCAGACCGTCCTGCGCGCCGGCCAGGTCGGATACATCTTCTTCAACCCGGGTATGAAACGCATCCAGGACGCCAAGTTGGGCGATACCTTCACAAAGGTCGGACTGGAGGATACCGTCGAGCCGTATCCTGGTTTTGAGGAGCCGAAGCCGATGGTTTTCGTCGCCGCGTTCCCTACGGACCAGAGCGACTACACGCGTCTCGCGGACAGCATCAGCCAGTTGGTACTGAACGACAGAAGTGTCACGTTGCAGAAGGACTACTCCGAAGCCCTGGGAGCGGGCTGGCGTCTGGGGTTCCTCGGCAGCTTGCACTGCTCCGTCTTCCAGGACCGTCTGAAGCAGGAGCACGGCGCCAGCATCATCATCACAGACCCCACCGTTCCGACGAAGGTCGTGTGGGCTGACGGATCCGAGACTGTCTATCAGAACCCGGCCGAGTTCCCCAGCCAGGACGAACACCGCATGCGTGCCGCGACCGCCTATGAGCCGTGAGTATTCACCCCCGTTCCCACCGCGTCAGCGAGAAGCCGTGCCTGACAACGGCGCAGATTTGTATCCGCCACCATAACCCTCCCCGAGGAATACCTAGGCCGCGTCATTGAATTGTGCGAGAGCCAGCGCGGTGAGCAGAAGAGCCTCGAGTTCTTCCACACGACGCAGGTCATTCTCAAGTACGATATCCCGGCCGCGCAACTGGTCGACGACCTTTTCGGTAAGCTCAAGGGCGTAACGTATGTTTAGACTCCCACTCCGTTCTCGGGAAGCAAAAACTGAAGAGTCGGAAAACAGCAAGGGCTACGCGAGTCTGGATTACGAGGACGCCGGATGGCGACCGAGCCAGCTCACGAAGCTGCAGCTGCTTGTCAACAAGCAACCCGTCGACGCCATCTGCCGCGTGATCCACACGTCCCAAGCCGAGCGTCTGGGCCGGCAGTGGGTTACCAAGTTCAAGGAGCACGTCGATCGTCAAATGTTTGGTGAGTTTCTGAATGCTTTTCTCTAACAACCCTCCCCCCCTGTAACGAAGCCATGTTCAAAAGGGAGCTAATCGTCCGGCGTTTCCAACAGAGGTCGTCATCCAAGCGGTGGCCGGACGGCGTATCGTCGCCCGCGAGACCATCAAGCCGTTCCGCAAGGACGTCCTCGCCAAGCTGCACGCCGCCGACGTCACCCGTCGGAAGAAGCTGCTCGAGAAGCAAAAGGCCGGCCGCAAGCGCCTGCGTGCCGTCGGTAACGTGGTCATCGACCAGTCCGCTTTCCAGAGCTTCCTCGCCAAGTGAGGTAGGGCCGGCGTCGTGCCATGCTGTTCATATCGCGTCGGCTGGCTACTCTGCTGTGGCCGTGAGTCGGTCAGCAACATGCCTCGTCCCTCTTGTGTGTATAAACGTGTAAAATACCATTCTATATAAGATACCAAATCTAGATGTTGCGGCATGGTCTTCGTTATACATGGTTGTTCACATGGGCAATCACTCATGTTTCATAGTTTCTGCGGCTGACATTATGCTTTCTAAGTCCAGGGATATGGATATAATCGTCTGGCATGAAGGATGGCTGGCATGATTTGCTAAAATTTCTGCAATGGCTACCGTATATAAAACATGGATCAAAATATGGAGAGGCACAACAGCTCTCTCGCGGCCTGGAAGCATTCAAGGCCCCTTAACGCCAAAATGGAACATTGCCTTTCCCTCATATTCCGGGTGCATCAGTGCATGTCCATCGTCCCTTCATGAAACCCGGGCCTGGTAACTCGGCCTAAGAGCGGACATCCCACGGCAGCGGGTATGTGCCTACCCAGTCGGCCACTTCCGACTTGAGCTGAACGATCTCGGGATCCGTTTCTCCATCACCGAGGTGCTCCATGAAGTGTCTCAGCAGACCGGGCTTCTTCTCTCCCTTCTCCTCGGCCGCCTTCTTTGCGCTCTTATCTATGCGGACGGCGATGGTGACGGCCCGGTCGACGATATCGGCGACACGGCCGAAGTCCTCCTCGCTGAATCCCCTCGTCGTCATCGCCGGGGTTCCCATGCGCAGACCACCCGGCACCAGCGCTGACCTGTCGCCGGGAACGGTGTTCTTGTTGGCTGCGACACCAACGAGCTCCAGTACACGCTCAACACGGCTACCGTCGATGCCTTGCGGCTTCAGGTCCGCCAGGACGAGGTGGTTGTCGGTGCCGTCCGAGACGAGTTTGTAACCCAGACCTCCCTTGTCCTTGGGCGCACCCAATCTCTGAGCAAACGCCTTCGCGTTGGCCAGAACCTGGGTCTGGTATGCACGGAACTCAGGAGCCTGAGCCTGCTTCAACGCCACAGCCAGGGCGGTGATGGTGTGGTTGTGGGGGCCTCCCTGGTGGCCGGGGAAGACGGAGCTGTTGATGGGTCCTTCGAGGTTGTACATCTCGTCCTCCTTCTTGGCGTTCTGTCGGCGCACACCCTTGCGGAAGAAGATCATGGCACCGCGAGGTCCTCGCAAGCTCTTGTGGCTGGTGGTGGTGACGATGTCGGCGTAGCCAAAGGGACCGGGCATGACCTTGGCTGCTACCAGACCAGAGATGTGAGCCATGTCGGCAAGAAGGTATGCGTTGGTCTTGTCGCAAATCTCGCGCATGCGCTTGTAGTCGATAAGTCTGCTGTAGGCGCTGGCTCCGGCCACAATGACCTTGGGGCGGTACAGCATGGCCAGCTCCTCCAGCTTATTGTAGTCGATTTGGCCGGTGGTCTCGTCCAGCCTGTAGGGAACGGTTTCGAAGTACTTGGAGATGGCGGAGATCTTCTTGGTTGGTGTTTGGTACCCGTGGGAAAGGTGACCGCCGTGGGGCAGGTCCAATCCCATGAGACGGTCGTGGGTGTTCATCAGGGCGGAGTAGACGTACAAGTTGGCGGGGGCACCGGAGAGAGCTACAATTTGAATTAGCAACTGATAAAGGGAGTCACGGAGTGTAGAGCAGGCCATGCGCACCCTGTACGTTGACGCCCCATTGCTTCGCATCAAGGCCAAAAGCCTCAAGCGCTCGCTGCTGGCAGAGACGCTCTGCTTGGTCGATGAACTCGTTTCCGCCGTAGTATCTTGCGCCGGGGTAACCCTCGGAGTACTTGTCTGTCCAAAGCTGTCAGTTGATTCTTCCAACGGAGTCTACTGGTGCCGGAAGTCGCCTACTTTGCATCACACTGCCCAAGGCATCGAGGACGGCCTGGGAGGTGAAGTTCTCGGAGGGGATAAGGTTGATAAAGTGCTTTTGTCTCGTTTTCTCCTACAAACATGTACACTATCAGCGACAAGACTATAAACGGCATAGAGGGATCGCGCGGCGAGCTGGCATGATAGTCGAGTATCATGGACGTTGGCGGAGGCGGGGCTCATTGGGTTGTTATTCGATGTCCCCGTACCTTCTCGATGATGTCAAAGACGGCCGGATCGGCTTGCTGTAGTTTGGCAGATAACAGCTGAAGAGCCAGGACAGTCAGTATATCGTGGAAACGAATCTGGGAACAATTGCAGAGTTGCGCAGCGCACCTGTTGCTGACCCTCGAGGCTTGTCGTCGAAATGCATCTGCTCACGCCACTCGCGCGAGGCAGAGCTGCCGGAGCTGCCCCTCTCGGCAAGCATCGCAGGGCGCGAGATGCGCCTCGAAAGACGGAAGACGACATGGTAAACCGTTGGCGAGATTCGTAAGAGGAGAGGGGGAATCGACTATCGTGAAAGCGGGTGTCGGGCGAGGTGAATTGGAGGAAGTCGTCGAGAGCGGTAGGCGACGGCGAGCAAGATGGTCTTAGTCCAACACGGGAGCTACCTCACTACCCCAGCTGGAAGGCAAATAGACTATGATGTACATGTAGCTACGCACAGTTTGGTGGGGGAACCGGTACATATGGCAAGGGGCTGGTCATCGCTGCTCGGTATCTCATCCGTTGGCCAGCGGTTAGGGAACCGAGCTGGCTGGCGGTTGGCGCCGGCTTCGGCTCCCCGACATCACTGTGGTTCGTTCTTTATCAGCTTATCTGGACCGCCGCGTCCCCCAGGAAAGCGCGGTGTGGAGAAGCTGTTGTTGGCCCGAATGGCAGCAGGGCGCCAGCTTGGAACAGTAAGCAGGGCACGGCCCCTCGGTACGGGCCCGCCAGGATCCACACCCAGCTTCGGCTTGCCCTTTTTTACGCGGCATCGCGGCCGAAATTTTACTCTTTTCCTTCTTCTCTTCTTCACAACTAAATTGGAGATGACGAGCACGCTGTCTACATATCGGCTCTTCCGCTTCGGCGGGTGCATGCTGAAATGTCCTGGCACACCTCACCACATTTTGAGGGACAATTTGAAACAATCTGATCCAATCCATGGTTGTCGTTCTTGACACTCTTTTTTCTCTCCCTCCTGGACGGCCGGACGATGGATGGGGGTCCCATTTCAAAGCGCGCTTCTCTTTTCGCCCGACGCACAAGTGTGGTCAAGGTATCCATGGTCGTGTCTGGCCCGAATGTCATTTAAATGGATAGATTACTTTGCTTGTGTGCTATATTCAGTCGCGGTCATTTCGCGCCTGGGCTAGATAGATGGCGTCGGCCACCTCTACTTCTGCCCTGTCCGTGAATTCCTGTCCAAATTTCTCTGTGGGCTCAAGTCCCGGGCGCACCAGGGCCATGAACCCGCAGCATAGCATCATGCAAGGGTCGACGGGGCTTGCTGCCCGTTGCGTCACTGCACAAGATCACGATAATTGACGAGTTTCCTGGCGTGTGAAATCGGGCTGTTGATGGAGCCCGATTCGCCGAAATTGGGACATCGTCGAGATGCCCAGTCCGCTGTGTGCGCTGTTGTGGTGATATTCATCGCTCCGGGTCTATCGTCGAGTCCACTGCAGGGCGACTACAGCTCCCCTCGTGTGTATGGTTCACGTCGTGCTCAATGCCAAGTCAGACATCGATGGAATCAGAGAATTGTCCAGGACGCGCCGTTCTGAATTTTATGCGGGTTGACACACAAACAATCAGGTCACGCAGAAAGGTCTCACGCAAAAGATGCCAAATGTAAACCAGGTAAAGATTGCTGCTGCTCATTTTTCATGCCCGTTTTGCCATGTCATCGATTTCCATTTTTCAACTACATGCCAAAGCCCTGCTGCGACATTAGGACCAGTAGGACGTAAAAAAAGAAGACCCAACCCGATGACTCCGAATGCAGCCGCCTAAGGACCGAGATCGAGATGTGATCGTCTATTTGGTCTTCTCCTCGCCCTCGCCCATCAGAGCGTTCCGCTTCGCCGCCACTCTCTCCTGCTTGCGCTCGCGGGCGGCCTTGGTCTTCGCACGCTTGGCATCCATCTCGTCCTTAAGAGCCTTCTCGCGGGCCTTCTCGGCCTTGGCACGGTGAATCTGGAAGAGGAACGTCAGCGTATTGTCCGCCTACCCGTTAAGGGATTCGGCCCCTGGTGGGATCTGAGATGTCATGACTTACGTGCTCAACGAGAGCACGCTTGTGCTTGAAGGTGTTACCCTTGCTGGCGTGGTAGAGCTCGTGGTAGAGGTGCTTGTCGATCTTGCCGGAGGCACGGTACTTGACGAGGAGACGGCGGAGGACACGGAGGCGGCGCATCCAGAGGACTTGGCTTCATCGGGAGTCAGCACAAAATCTCCACAACAAACACGTGCGGCCCGTGGTATAGCTTTTCCAGAGACATCTCGGGGGCAGAGTATTACGCCCAGCCCGCGAGACACCGCCGCAAAGATCTATCCCACAAGCCGACCGTTGGGAGTGTTGGTGTCGACGAACCTGGGCATACGAGCCTCGGCGGTACCCTTGCGCTTACCGAAGCCACGGTGGCGACCGATGCGGCGAGCGAGGTTCAGCTCACGAGCACGGGACCTCGAGTGCATGGTGACGGGCTTGCGGATGATAAGGCCATCGGAGATGAGCTTGCGGACGGTCTGGCGGGAGTTGGCGTTGGAGATCTCGTTGACCTCGTTGGGGTCGAGCCAGATCTTGCGCTCACCGCAGCCGATGACCGACGCGGCGAGGCGCTTCTGAGTTCGCAGATTGACCCTGAAAAAAGCAGTCGCAATCAGCCTTGGTCCCTGACGGTGATAACAATTGCATCTGCATCCTCCTCCATCTCCATCCGAGTTCTCAGTCGTCGTGTGTTTCGGTTCGTCGCCTCCGTATGTTCCGGGTGCCGCAGCGACCGAGAATCGGCGTCCCCGGTGCACATAACGACGGAAATCTCATTGGGAATCGGAATTGCATGCAGTGGTATGTGCTGTCGTGATAACTTACATCTTGAATGTTGTCCTAGTCGATGGTCGTACCTACCGGGGGAGTCGAGGAGTTGGAAAATTGAGAGGGGTTGACGCTCGAATATTTCTCTCAGGAGGAAAGTCAGAAGCGGTGCGGACTGCGAGTGGGGCCAAGTTTGGAGCCAGTGTGTGCTAAGCGAGGGCTCTGAATGATTCATGCCGTCACGTGATGGGCCAACACAGCTCAAAATATTGGTACGTACTGGTCGTTCGTTTGCTGATACCCATTCTTTTTTCTAAGAACCCTTGGGTTCGTATCTTATCGCGGCACTTCAGACAAACCAACCAAACAAGCCCGGTCTGACCTTGAAGAGTTCAAAAATTATCATCGGGAAAGCTGTGACCTTGGTGGGTCACTACAGGAGGTCACCGTTGAACTGTCAGATGCTTGAAAACAACTTGTAACTTTTGTAGATTTCATCATCCGTCCGACATCTCTACAGTATTTACTTGCCAAAAACGTCCTCGCCAACATCCACCTTGCCCACGCTCCAGATCTCCTTCTCATCTTCCACCTCGTCATTGGACAGACCCAGACCGCCCTGGCCGCCCTCAGCCTCTCTACGCTCCCGTACCTGAGCTCCTAGTCGTAACGTGACGCGCTTGAAGTAGTCTTGCATGCTCCTCTTCGTGTTTGGCGGCAGGTTGGCGCCGTCCATAAATTTCTCGAAGACCTTGCTCTCATCATCTGCTACGTTGAACAGAGCCACAAATGCTGCCTCTGCGGCCAACTTGACAGGGATGACCGGGTCTCGAACGCTGGAGAAGATGGGTCCCGCCAGCAATGGCAAGTGCGGGCGAACCATATCCATGTTGACGCGGCTCATGGTTCGAATGATGACCAACGCTAGGCGGCGAGAATCGACAGAGTTGCCTGGCTGAATGACGCCTGCGAGCGCCTCGAAGATCTTCTTATTTGAGTCGAAAGTCTTGGGTGACTCCGAAAGCAAGTATTTGCCTGTGGCCAGGATGAGGTTGTCGGCGATGAAAGGCTAAGTCTTGTGTTAGCAGCTTAGTGATAGGCAGAATCGGTCCACTTACATGTTTGTTGGACATGCCCTGGCAGAGGAGATCAGGCAGGTCGTCCACCAAAGAACTTTCTAGGAGGCTTCGCGGGGACTCGACCAACACGGCATTCAACGCAAGAGCCGAGGAATGGCTCAAGTGATTAGTAACTACCCGGTTCTTCAACAAGCCGTTGGCCGCCTCCTCCGGCACGTTCTTAATCAGTGCTCCGAGCAGCTTGGCGTTGGTGATTGTCATTGCGTCGTCTCTTTCGTCTGTGTCCATGTCGATGAGACCCAAGACGGCAGCCCGTGACGTCTCTCCCATGTTCGCACCTGCCTTGCTGATAACCTCGTACAAAGCGCTCAGCATGGCAGTCTTGACGCCTGGGTCCGATGTCTTCGATCCCGTAACCAGTTCGGCAATCAGGGGATCAATGCGTGGCGTGTACTTGATGAGCGTGCCCAAAGCCTTGGCTGCGCGAGCACGGAGAACCTCGCTCGATGTGTCTGCCAAAGACTTTGCGAAAGTACGTTGCAGCTGGGGCAGGAAAGGCTTGAGTGCCGTAGGCATCTTCTCCAAAAGGTTGTTGAGCGTCAGCAAGATAGCAGACTTGACATCCGTGGATCTCTCGGACACAACACGAATAAGAGGACCCGTGATCTGAGTGACAAACGGCTTGAGAGATGCTTCACTCGTCCGGTCGACAATGTCAGAAATGGCAAGGGCGGCTTGTGTTCTCTGCTCAGGGGTACCGTTCATGAGACCCTGCAGGAAAATCGGCAACACAGCGTTGATACCCTTGGGAAGCTCAAAGCCTGGCAAATTGACACCAGCAACTCCAACTTGTTGAAGAGCCTGCCTGGTGGAGGTAACCAAGCCCTCCATCTCCTCCTTTCGAAGCTTCTTGGTGAACTCGCTAAGCGCAGTCCAGGCTCCCTTGACCACGTCCTGGTCTCTGTCATCAAAGGAGTTGAGCAGTGATCGGACGATATCCTGGTTGTACCGTGAGTAGTCCACATCGGCTGCGGCGAAGAACTTGGCCAAGTGCTGGGTTGTGATAGCACGTCTGCGGTGGTCGTCGTGCTTGGTGAGCTGGAGCAAAACATTCATGACAGTGTTCAGTCCGTCGTACTCATCGATAGACAAGATGACGGTATCGAACGAGTTCTCGAGGTCTTCTCTCAAGGATTCATCCTCGCAATTGATGATGTTGTCCATCAAAGAGTTGACAATATTCGGCAGACGACGATTCATGGCACCACCCGCGACCCGAGACAATGAGGCAAGAGCCTTGGCATTGAACGCAGAAATGGGAGGAGTAATAAGCGTGGGAATGAGGTTGGGGAGGATGATGTTGGAGCGGGTGGTTTCGGTGAGGAGCGTGAGCAGCGCCGACAACGCATTGTCGGCATTCTCCTCGGATCGCAGGAGGTTGAGCAGGTACGGGAGAACCTGGTCCACGGCCCTCTTGCCAAGGATCTGCTGCAGGGAGTCGAATGCCTCCGCCGCGGCTTCTCTGACGTCTTCATCCGAGTCGGTAAGAGCGGTTCTGACAACAGAGATGAGGGTCTTCTCGTGGTCCTCCAAGGCGTCTTCAGAAGCCGATGAAATGAGCTCCTTGAGAGCAAGACAGATACCCTGCTTTGCGTCCGTGTCGGTTGATGTCTGCAGACCCTCTTCGAGAGTGGGCAGCAACGTAGACAAGACTCCGTCGCCGGCCTTGCGGATCAACTCGCCAAGAGCATTGCTGGCAATGACCTTGTGCTCCATGTTCGAGCTTCCGAGACGACGAATGATAAGCTGAGTAAGAGTCGGGACCAGCTCCTTGAGGATGCGAGGGCTGGAAACCAGTGCCTTCCAGACACTGATAGCAGCGGAACGGACGGCGTTGGCGGTATCGCAGCGGCAGACGTAGAGGGCCGAGAGAATCTTGTTTCTCTTGTCTTCTCCAAGGGCTTCACGAAGGGAAGCTCCGGCCTCCTTGGCGCTCTCTTCGTCATCTTCGTCATCCTCCGTCTTGCCACTGATACCGGTGAGGTTGAAGAGCAGGTCACCGACGAGCTCAACGGAACTGAGACGAATGCGGTAACTGTCGTCGGCCAAACCACGCTCGAGCTCGGGAAGCAGGAGATCAACGGCGCGGACAGCGAAGTTCTTGACGAGCAGACGACCAGCCCGAAGAGCAGTCTCGCGGATTGACTCAACATCATCGGCAAGACCAGACAAAATGGGCGGAATGATTCTGCCCAAGTAGTTTGCGAAACTGTTGCCAAAGCATACAGGAAGGAAGATGAAGAGGGACATGAAACCTTCCCGAACGGCAGACTTCGAGGACTCGACATTCTGCAAAATGGTAGGAAGGATCTCTTCCAGTCTGGTGGTTCCCAAACCTGCGAGGACCTCGCTGAGAGCCTGGGCGGAACCAAGACGATCGCCAGCACCATTGTCTGCCTTGAGGGTTTGCATGAGCCCGGGAATGAGATCAGGCAGGGCATCTTCGCCCAGTTTCTCAACCAAAGAGCCAAGGGCCCTGGAGGCTGTGGCACGGGTAGTGGGAACAGGATCGACAATTGCGAGCTTGAGTCCTGCAACGAGAACCGGCAAATGGGAGATCAAGTCCTTGCGCTCGGTCAGATGGGCAAGACTGCCAATGACCTGAGCGGCCTTGCGTTTGGTGTTGGATCGGTCGCCCAGACCGCGCTGCAGAATTCTGGTAACCAGAGCAAGCGAGGGAGAATCGAGATAATGGACGAACTGGACCTTGATCAAAGCGTCCAAAGCCTCGTCGGTGTACTTCGTCGGGTCGCTAAGGGCCTTGAGGAGAATATCAACCAGACCCTTGATTTCAGGATTGTTGATGACCTCGCCGAATCTCTTCAAACTCTTATTTGCGGCGGAACGAACCTCTTTGTGACTGTCGTTCAAAACACCAGTAAGAGGAGGAATGATGTCAGGAAGACTCTGGGCCAGCTGGTGGGGGTCAAGGTAGGCCATGGCTCCAAGCAAGTCGCAAGCTCCCTTCTTACTGCGCCATTGGTCATCATCCAAGCCATCCAGTAGGGTTGGCAAGATTTTCTTCACACCGTAAGAGCTGAGCTTCGCGAAGCAAGCTTTTGCAGCAGCCAGGCATGAGTCGCGAACGTTGGCGTTCGCATCACCGAAACCAGTCAGCAGTTGAGGGACGATCTGGATGACATATGGCTCAAACAGACGGCCGAGGATTGTTGACAGCAGTTCGTAAGCCAGGAGGGCAGCTTCTCGCTGGTTGACCTCCTTCTTGTTCTCTATGGCCCCTCTCAGTGTCATCAGAATCCGCTGCTCTTTCAGGGATGAGATACCGCGGCCTTGGACTAGACCGGCCAGACCATAGGCAGCGCCTCGTTGCTCGGCATATTTCTTCGAAGTCAACAATGTCTCGAGAACTTGCTGGAAATACTTTGATGATTTATCGCCGTATGCACGAGTCAGAGGTGGTAGGCACTCCGCAATGGCGTACTGAACAGTCTCCGATGGCGTGCTGAGGGTCGCCAGCAGTCTCTCGATGACAATAGGAAGCTTGGAGTCGCCTGGGTTCAAATGACGAGCCAGGGCACCGTACATGATGATGACGGCTTCGTTGACACGGTCCGCAGCTTCAGAGTTCTTGTCTGGGCCCTCGAGCGTACGCTCAAACACCTTCATTAACTTTTCAACCATGCCCTTGCCGTGGATGTCGATCGCGCGAATTGCCGCATCGAGCATCTCGCTGCGAACATTGCCATTCTGATCACCCAACGGCCCCCTCTCGATGAGGAATTCGAAGAAAGGGTCAAGTTGCTGTTTGCCCATGTGTGGCGCGAGCTCCTTGAATGCGGATCCGCGGCCGTGTCGTGCCTCCCACGGGTCTGCGAGATTGGTCTTCTTAGGCATGCCGTAGGCGTCCAACTCAGGAACTCGCGGCTTGGCCAGCTCAACATATGAAGCCTTGAGAGTTTCCAAGATTGGCTCAAGAGTCGACTTGTGAGCACCGCAAGCCTCCGCCAGCGACCGGGCAGCAGCCCTTCGGAGTTGACCATCAACGCTGTCCAGGTAGGGCAGCATCTTGGCCGGAACCTCGGGGGTCAACTTGAAGTCACTCTCCTCCCATATTTCGCGGCCCAGCTCGATGTTCTCCTCAACATCATCATGGCAAGCCAGCCAGATTTCATCGGAAAAGTCAAGGTCGCTCATATCAACATCGGAGCTGATTGCCTGCAACACAGTGGTTCTGACGCTGATTTGGGGAACAATGGTTCCTTTTGCCAACACTGCGATCTCCGCGGGAACCATGTTTGGTGCAACGCATCGAACCATGTCGGCAAAACAGTCTCTGACAACCTTGTAGTGCTGAGTGTATTGTTGCATGGCTGAAATGAGGGATGAGAGTATTTGAGCTCGAGGGATCGCCTGGTCCTCGCAAGTGATGGTGTGGAAAGAAAGGATTTCGATAGCAAGGACCAGTTGCTCGTCGGGTGATGAGCCAAAACCACCACTCTCGAGCACGGTGAAAACAAGCGACAGGGCGTAGATGAAGGACACCGTGTCGAAAGGACGCTGCTCACCAGCGAAGCGCAGGCGATAGAGCACTCTGGTCACAAGCTCGTCAACAGGCTCTTGTTTGTAGTCCTCAGGAAGTGCAGTAACGCCACGAGCACGCAGCGTCGCAATGCCAACAAATTGTTTCATCGCGCCGAGGCGACTGGTAGTACGCTCGGAGCAAGCCAGGTAGGCAAGAGACGCGGCGTCACCTGTGAGTAGACTGGCGCCAGCATCGATCACATCGAGAAGAGCCTTGATTGCAGGTGCCATCCAGTGAGTAGCTTCAGTCGGCGGTCCAGTTGCGAGGCTGTGGACGATACCGATACCACGGAACAGCCTGGCCTCCAATCGACGGACTGACTCTCGGATACCTGATTCTTTCTGAAGCTGGGCCTTCACCTTAGCGGCCTCATCTGCGGTCAATTTCTTTTGTTGGCCCTTTTTCTGAGCCAACTGCTCCCTCAGCTCCGCCTCCCACTTCAAGATGTCGTAATCCTTATTATTCTTGTCGGGGACAGCTGTCTGAGCCTTCTTTGCAAGAACATCAACGAAGGCAGTTCCCTCGGGCGTCCGGAAAATGGCAGCTTCCACGGGGCCAATGCTTCGCAGTTCCTCGGGCTCCAAGTCCTGCTCAATGATTTGTACAATACGAGTCGTCATAGTGTCTGGTGCCACGAAGGCAAGCTCAGCAGCGGCGTTGCAGGCGGCCTTTTTGACAATATCGGACTTCTGTTCGATAGACGTTTTGTCAGTGATTTCTTTGATCAGGTCATCCTCCAGCTGGCGTGCCAGGTCTCCTGGGTCCTTCTCAACGCGCAAGCAGAGCTCGATCCAGCTGGCTCGAGGGACCAGATCCTGGCGAGCGAGGACGAGAAGCGAGCAAAGTTGCTTGCTAATCGCAGCCTGAACAGCGTCCTTTTGGCCTTCTGGTATATCCTTAGGACTGATGCAAATTGTACGCAGAACAATGTGGAGGTTCTTGCTCTCAGACTTGGACAGAGCTGCTGCGCTATCCTTGTCACCCGCCTCCAGAGCTTCAAGCCAATGCCAGATGCCGCCAACGACGGCCTGGGAAACCAAAGCTGGACGGCTGGCATAGACATGGGACAGACTGTCCATGGCAGCTTGGCGGGCCTTGGGGGTGGCCACTGACGAGCAGATGATGAAGATGAAAGCCTCGGCCCAAGCGATCGACACGGATTCGGGAGTCTTGTCAGACAAATGCTCGGACGCAGCCGACAAGGCGCGGGAGAACCAGATGAGTTCATCTTCGACAGTAATTTTCCCGTAGACGCGAGGGTTCAGCAGAAAAGAAGGCTTCGGCTCCAGAGCGAGACAGTGGTTCGTGATGGAGATTTTCGACAGTGATGACTTGACAGCCGCAGAAACATTGCTCTGCTGTGACCATGAAGTAAGGGTTGTGACGATGAATGCGCCGACAGTCAGGTTATTCTGAGCGGCTGCTAGAGGGTTGGCAACGACCTCGTTGAAGGTGTCCAGAAGCTTGGGCAAGACAGCCTCGGCGAACTTGATTGCTGCTGGAGAGAGCTCACCCGAACTCTTTGAAGCGTTGAAGATCTCACCAACGCGAAGGAGCCAGATTCGACGTGAGGTGAGCTTTTTGTCCGAAACACCCTTGATGCATGTATCCACAACCGGCTTCGCGACTTCTGTGTCATTCTGTACGAGGTACCCAGCCGATCTAGCAAGAGCCGATGTCTCAACGGTAAGAGCAGCCTCATTTCCTTCTTTGGCTGACACAGCGGCCAAAGCTGTAGCAATCTTGTCGGCTGTAGTTTTGGAGAGGGGAACAGCATCGAGCATTTCGCAATGGAGGATTCTGTGGTCTGCTGACGCCAACTTTCCGCCTTTGACAGGGGCAACGATTTCTTCACAAATCTTCTCCAGAGCCTTCTCATCCCGACTTTGAGCTGCCAGTGCGTTGAAAGCCTTGACGGCACCACTTCGAGTATTGACATTGCTGGATTTAACGTTGGACAGAATCGGCTTCAGGAGCTTTCCTAGCAAGATTTGCGCAAGATCGAATTCCTTGGGAAGGCCGCGGACCAGAGGGATGGTGACATCGCTGAGAACGATCTCGGGGGCACGCAATAAGCCTTTTTCCAAAGGAGGGATCACTTCCTTAGCAAGTTCTTCGAGGCTCACGAAGTCGAGGAAGAAGTCGCGAAGACCTGACGCGATATGTTCAGGAATGGCAGTGCGCGAGCCAATGATTTCTCGGGTGTAGAAAGTGAAGTATTGCGGCTTTTGGGACTCAAGGAAAGGCTTGACAGCGGGAATCCTCGAGCTCACGCCAGCAATGATACCGAGAAGAGGCGCGTTCTTTGCAGAAGGCTGCGCAGCCTTGGCCGTCAGAAGTTGGACAGCATCCTTGAGGGCCTTTTCGGGATTCTGGTGTGACGTGAATAGCTTGCGCAAACCTCTGCGAGTTACCACGATTGCGGAATTGGCCATTTCCCTCTTGGCAGCAGGCTGAAGGCACTTCTCCAAAGTATCGGCAAGACCCAGAAGGATCTGTGAAGCCAGCTTGTCCCATTCGGATGTGCTCGCGAGGTGCTGCATAAGCAGACTGCACCATTCAACCAGGACGAAGGCATTGCTGGCGGCGATTCCCTGCTTTTGCGACTCTGCGCGCACGGCAGTAACGAAGGCGGAGAGAACGCCAGAGTCGAGGCCCTTGGACAGGATGGCGGAGAGACATTTCTGTACGGCAAGTCGGGAGGCTCGGTCGGTGTAGAAGGCATGTGTCCAGAAGAGTAGCTGGATAAGTTTGCGGACCAAGGCCGGGTCGATGTCTGCGCCGGCAACAACAAGTCAGCTTTGAAGGCCAATACGATGGGCGCATGCTAGGTTGAAATGATAATAGGGAAAACTACCTGTGTTGGATATTTTGTCCTCAATGGTCCGCAGATGAGGTATCCTGACGGAGGTAGAGGATGAGGTCAAGGCTGCTCTAGTGGCAGCGAAGTCGAGATCGGCGGGGGCAGAGCCGGAGCCATTGACGACGACTTCAGTCATTTTGGCGGGATTGGGGCCGTGCAAAAGATATCATTGGGGGCGAGTCGACCAGCAATGCGGTCGACAAGCAGTATGTGGCGGAAGGGTTTGCACGTAAAGAGGATGAACTGGTTGAGGCCTGGGAGTGAAAGTCGGATGAAGTCGCCGTTCGTGCCAAAAAACGAGGCAGAATTGGATGGCAGTTGAGGCCACTTGGGGTTGGGGTACCTGACGGAAACATGCGAGGGGCGGTGGAATCAGGTCACTTCAGCCGGGCAAAATAGGTACCTCACTTTCTACACCTCAGTGGACGACAGCTGCAGCTCCAGCGATTTGGGCAAGGCGACAGTGAGGTCAAGCGCCTGATGCCTGACATGGGATGCGTCCCGTCCCTCTAGGGTTGTGTGGCCCAGCGCTCACACTGGCGGGGTTCAACCCAAATAGGAAAGCGGTCACGGCGTTGTCAGCTTTTCATGGCGGGGCAACCCATGACACCTCACTTCAGCTGGTCAACTCCGAGTGGGTGTAAGATGGTGAGAGCTCTTGACTGATGATTCAGGTAGGTACGTCAAACTCAATCATCATTTCCAAATAAATTTTAATTTTGATGATTTCAGTTTTTTCAATCTACATCATCAATCGACTAGAAGAGTGAGTGAGTCTCTTGTTGCACGGAAGTCGGCGGCAGAAAGAGCTGGGAGCCCAAGCTACCTAGGTACGCCGGTGACTCAAACGGTGGAAGGGACAAAAAAAAAAAGCACTCTCGATTTGCACCTTCACTTCCATGCCCTTCTTCCCTTGCCAACGGAAATACAGCCAGCAAACCATACTCGCTCCCTGAACCAACGCGTCAAGTTGGACGATAATTGCTGCCACCACACGACACCGTTGCGTCCTACGGACACAAACATTGTTGGCCAGAACTCTGGCTCCTGAAAGAGAAGCGCCAGAATCCCCGTCGCCCCTCTGAACCTTGCTTTATCCACACCTTCTTATTTTCCCTTGTCTGATGGCCTCGTGCGGATTCGAAGAACCAATCATCATCACCTCGATCCCATGCCAAAACCTTTCTGCGGATCTCGCCTCTCCCATGGTCGACCTGCACAACATTCAGGGTCGGGCCTGATTAAGGACATTTTATCAGAACAACAAACAAACACCATCAGCCACAACCCTCGCACCTGTTTAGGAGCCGAGCCCACAGTTGACATCACTCTGCCATGCCCGCCTTTCTCGACACACATTTCCACCTCATCCACCTCCACCCACGCAGCAGTTGGGTGCCGATAGACTCAACATCGACTCCATCCGTACCTGACTAAGGTGTCTGCAAACCGACCGGCTCACTCAGTCACTCACACACTCACTCAACTAGCTCCAGCTCGTTCATTCGCGGGGACCCTCAACCACATCCAAGGTGCTTTTTTCGACTGCCTCAAATTCGTTACCGTTCCGCTTCTGACGTCCCCGGCCCGTCCCTGTTTTCCGCATTTGCCTCCGTCTCCGCATCCACTCCGCCCTTCGGCTCGGCTTCCACCTTTGTTCTTCCCGACTAATTTGTTCTTCCAGCCCTGCTTCATATCACGACCTGAGGGGAAGGAAGAAAAGATCACTTACTACGGCTGGGTGTCGAACGCCGACCCGACATCACGGCTGTGACTGCATTGCTGCTTCATCCCATCAACCTCTGTCCTTAGGCCAGATTTGACCTGACAGACACCGTTCTCACTTTCCTGCCGCCTTTCACCCACCCAGTCCGCAATGGCTGGAGCCAAGAAGAAGAAGAAGCCCGCCGCGAACCCGGCTAGAGGTTTTGCTACGACATCCGTTGCTTCATCCAAGGCTCGGGCCGAACCCGCTGAGGGCTCCGAGATTGCCGCTTCTGCTCCGAATGCCAACGCTGCCGCCTCATCTCAAGACGCCGCACCAACCGCCGCTCAATCAGCCACTGCCGACGACAAGGCCGCCAAGAGTACATTGAGTCCCGAAGAGTATGAAAAGCAACTCGAAGAAGACGAACTGCAGCTCCTCGTTGAGAAGTACGCTCAGAAAACCAAACGTGATGCTCAACGCCAGCGCACACGTCTTGAAACCGACCGACGACTTCTCAGAAACCAGGCTGATTCCGTCAATTCGAGAAAATGGTTACCCCAGGAACTCATGGACCAAGTTCTTGACCTGATCCAGGCCGAAAGTCGCTTCGCGTCTTCAAGTGTCTCGACCGAGAGCTCAGTCAATGGCAAGATGTTGCCGGAGGAAGAACTGACTATGAAGCTGTGGACTCTGCAGCAGACCCTCGCCAGTGTTGGCTTCCCCGACGAACGTGTCCAATCCGTCATACGATACATCCTTGACATTGCTCCCAATGTACCTGCAATCGCCAAGGACAGTCTCTGGGGTCTCGAGGAGGCTCTTGACTGGTTGGCTAGGGAATGCCCGAATGACGAGCTGCCGGATTACGAGGGCCGAGGTCGACATGGGGTGAAGCCTTTTGGTAAGCCATGCGTTCATATGTGTGCAACTATGCCGAGAAAAACTGACGTGTTTGTGTAGAAACACCTGGTCAAAGCCCGCTGCCCTCAGGTGCAACTACCCCAAGAGCTTTGGAGTCTGATAGTCGTTCAAAAGGCGGCTCTTCTTCCAAGAATGGGGGACCTGGCAGCAAGAAAAAGAAGGCCGCGATGACGTGTGATAGCGACATCGAACCCGATGACCTGCTGCCTGTCTACCTGGAAACAAAGGCCAAGCTTTTTGAACTTGAACGCGGACAGCAAGAAAAGAAGAGGCAGAAGGGTGTTAAGACGGATGGAACTGAAGAGGAAGAGATGATGGCCAAGCTTCGTGCTAAGATCGGCAGAATCGAAAAGGACGTTCTGTTTGATAGGTTTCCCGCCGAGCAACAGTGGAAGACCCAGAAAATTGTCTTGGAGAAGCAATTGGCAGAGGCTAGGAAACAAAGAGCAGAAGAGGAGGCCGCAAAGGAGACCGAGGAGGACGCTGAAGCGCCAGCTGTGTCCTCCGATGGGGACGTCAATGACGAGGCCGCTCGCATTGCCGCCGAAGTCCTTGGGGAAAGCAACGACGATGACGACGGACTCGCTGATCTATTCGCCAACCTGCCGGTGACCGAGGTTGATGCGGCTGGTAAGTCGACTACCGTGGTTAATGGCGCAGACGGCGTGAAGATCACGATCCGAGATTTTGGAAAATGGGCTGGCGTTACTCCCATGAGAGCTCTCGAAGAAGCGTGCCGCGCCAGGTGAGTATCAACACGCACATAAACATGCAGAGCTGACACTGTCACAGAGATGCCTCGGTGAAGATTGCCTATCGGCTCATCTCAGAGGTTCCCTTTGCCAACCGTCATTCTCTTTCGATTTCCTGGACGAAAGCTCAGGAAACTCCACCGCCATCTCAGGATGAAAGTGTCGACATGATCACCTACCCAACAAGCTTCAACTTCGCCATGAAATCAATCGCTACCCCTGACAAAAAACAGTCGGAGGCTTACGTTGCAACTTGGGCGCTGTTCCACATATTCGGCATCTCGACCAAGGAGGAGAAGGTTGGAATGAGATTGCCTGCCGTTTGGCGTGAGCTGTGGGACGAGCTCGCCTTGACGAGGAAGAGCCTTTTAGATTCGAAAGATCGAGAGGCCATCCGAGAATTGCGAGCGCTCGTGCGCCAAAGGCAAGACCAAGAGCTTGAAGACGGCGTAATTCTCCAAGGAGCATTCAAGGGAAGAGGCGGCGCTCGCAATGGTAACGACAACAGGGAAGAGGCTGGCTTGGATGCTGTCAAACGGCTTTCGGGTGGGCCCGAATATTACCAGAACATCTGGGCTCAGAAGAGCAGTACTCCTCGATTTCAGATGATGCTCCAGTCTCGCATGCAGCTCCCCATGTGGAACTTCAAGCAGCAAGTCACAGATGCCGTCGACAGAGAACAAGTGGTCATCATCTGCGGTGAGACTGGCTGTGGAAAGAGTACGCAAGTGCCGGCCTTTCTGCTCGAACACCAACTGTCCCAGGGCAAGCCTTGCAAGATCTACTGCACTGAGCCACGCCGTATCTCGGCCATTTCACTGGCAAAACGCGTCAGCGAAGAGCTCGGTGAAGGGCGTGGTGATTTGGGGACATCCAGATCCCTAGTTGGCTACTCCATCCGCTTGGAGGCCAATACGTCCCGGGAAACACGTCTGGTGTATGCAACCACTGGCATAGTCATGCGTATGCTGGAAGGCTCGAATGACTTGCGAGAGGTTACTCACCTTGTGCTCGACGAAGTACATGAGAGGACTATCGACAGTGACTTCTTGTTGATCATCCTGAAGAAGCTCATGCTCAGACGCAAGGACCTGAAAGTGGTTCTCATGTCGGCTACTGTTGATGCCGACCGCTTCTCCAAGTACCTTGGCGGGGCACCGGTGCTGACTGTTCCCGGACGAACATTCCCCGTTCAGGTTCGCTACTTGGAGGACGCTGTCGAGACGACTGGCTACATGGTCGGGCAGACCAACCAGGAGAAGATGGTGGACTTGGACGACGAGATGGTAGATGCCGAAACCGACGGGCCCAAGTCAACGTCCGGAGCAGACCTCTCGGCTTATTCTGCAAAGACGAGGTCCAGTCTTGCTCAGATGGACGAATACCGTATCGACTTCGATCTCATCGTGCAGCTCATCGCCAAGGTGGCATCTGATCCTCAGTATGTGGCATACAGTAACGCAATCCTGGTCTTCCTGCCCGGAATAGCCGAGATCCGTACCCTGAACGACCTTCTTTCCGGCGACCCTTCGTTTGCTTCCAACTGGCTCATTTACCCCCTTCACTCCACCATCGCCACAGAGGACCAAGAGGCCGCATTCCTTGTCCCACCGCCGGGCATCCGCAAGGTTGTTCTAGCGACCAACATCGCCGAAACTGGTATCACAATCCCCGATGTCACCTGCGTCATCGACACGGGCAAGCATCGAGAGATGAGATTCGATGAAAGGCGACAACTGTCCCGTCTCATCGACACATTCATCTCGCGAGCAAACGCCAAACAGCGACGCGGACGAGCCGGTCGTGTCCAGGAGGGTCTTTGCTTCCACCTCTTTACGAAGCATAGGCACGACACCGTCATGAGCGATCAGCAGACGCCCGAAATGCTGCGACTCTCGCTTCAAGATCTGGCAATCCGAGTCAAAATTTGCAAAATCGGTGGCATCGAAGAGACCTTGAGCGAAGCCCTGGACCCTCCATCGGCCAAGAACATCCGCCGCGCTGTGGATGCGCTCATCGACGTCCGCGCCCTCACAATGGCTGAGGACCTAACACCCCTCGGCCACCAGCTCGCGCGACTGCCTTTGGACGTGTTCCTCGGCAAGCTGATCCTCATGGGCGCCATCTTCAAGTGCTTGGACATGGCCATCACCGTGGCCGCAATTCTGTCATCCAAGACGCCCTTCACGGCGCCCTTCGGCCAGCGTGGCCAGGCTGATCTTGCTAGGAGGGCTTTCCGCCGGGGCGACTCGGACCTTTTGACCGTCTACAACGCCTACCTCGCGTGGAAGCGAGTCTGCCAGTCAACCAGCGGCAAGGACTTCCAGTTCTGCCGCAAGAACTTTCTCAGCCAGCAGACTCTCGCCAACATCGAAGACCTTAAGGGCCAGCTGCTCGTCTCCGTAGCAGACTCAGGCTTCCTGCTCCTGACGGACGACGAGCGGAGAGCGCTCAACCGTCTGCGGTACGGCGCCAACTCACGCGGTCGTCGCCACCAGAACTTCTTCGACATTCCTCAGCGCGTCAACACCAACAGCGAGAACGACGCCATCACGACGGCCGTCATCGCCTGGAGCTTTTACCCTAAGCTGCTCGTCCGCGACGCCCCGGGCAGCCGTGGCCTGCGCAACGTGGGCAACAACCAGTCCATCAGCCTGCATCCGTCCTCCGTCAACAAGGGCCACAACGAGCTCAAATTCCTGTCCTACTACCACATCATGCAAGCTAAGAGGTTAGAAATGCTTCCCTTGAAAAGGTCTAACTTGAACGAGACGCTGACATGTGCGAATTACAGCGTCTACCACGCCCACGAAACAACAGCAGCAGAACCCTTCGCCATCGCCCTCCTCTGCGGCGACGTCCGAGCCGACGTAAGTTCTCCATTCCCCGGCCAAATTCCAAACAAAAAACACTGACACTCTTCCCTCCCAGATGTTCTCCGGCGTCCTCGTCCTCGACGGGAACCGCTGCAGGTTCGCCCTGCCCGACTGGAAGACGATGCTCGTCATCAAGGTCCTGCGCACCCGCCTCAGGGAGCTCCTTACCCGCTCCTTCAAGCAGCCCGGCAAGTTGCCGACCGCCCAGCACGAGCGCTGGCTCGCCATCTGGCAGAGGATCTTCTCGTCTCAGCAGCAGCAGCAGCAACAGCAGCAGCTCCTGGCCAGCACCATGGACAACGGAACCTCCGGCAAGGCGTAGTACGCCATGTCGCCCAACCGTTGATAATGCCTCCCTGCAGTTGTTAAGCAAGTAAAGAACCATACCATCACTAGATTTGCCCAGAAGCTAGAGTCCGTAGATAGCAACGGGGATCGTTGCGGGTAAGATACGAAACGGAAAGCTTTCTAGAGAAGGAATCATCCTCACGATGGATGGGAGATTCTAAAGCTGGCACAGCAAAGAAAAAGAAATGTGTTTGACGTTTTGTAGACTGTGGCAGATGGGGAGCGATCGGATATCAAGACGCGTGGAGATGTCATGAGGAACCAAGACAAATTAGACACAGACTCGTGAACCAACCTTGTCGCAAGACAAAGCTGCTTCTTTTTGTAGCATTGGTATGGAAAACTTCAGATCATGTACATCTAGTCACAAAAAGAAGGCAATTTCAGTAAAGACAATGCTAGAACATCTGAGCTGAGCTATGTGAGCTGCTGCTAGCGGTGCATTGCGATCATACAATAATGTTAGAACAATTACACTGTGATTGCGCCAGTCCATACAGTAGACAGATGGACAGCCAAGATATAAGTTTTTTTGGGTGGTGGTGACAAGAACAGGTGAAAAAAAAAAGACACATGATATTAGCCACTGGCGTCAGTAACTGAGCAACACAGTTGTACCATTACGCCCGAGCAAATGCAACGAGAGAGTTTCATATTTCCCATTCCCTGGAAAACGCCGTAAGAATTACTGCTGGTCTTCTTGGCCAGCCTGCCCGTTGCCGTTCCTCCCCGCCGCCGCGCCGTCTTCCTTGGCCGTCGTTGCCGACGCCGCCGCCGCATTAGTCCCCAGGAGCATCGCCTTGAAGTCGGCGTTGCTCTTCATCGGTTTCCGTGTCTCCCCCGCCGCGTCTTCGCTACCACCACCGCCGGCGCCGTTCACCTTGGCCTCAGCTTGTGACTTGTCCGCCGCGCCCGCAGCCCCCGTCTTCGGGAGGAAACCCAGTCCTCGCTTGGCGCCGCCCTTGCCCAGCACTGGTCGCTTGACGGCCGTCGGCGGCGGGATGAAGGCGGCTCCGCTGCTCTTCGGCGCAGAGGACTTGTCGCTCTGCTTCTTCCCGCCCGCGCCGTAAACGATCTTGTCTGTGCGGAACTCTCCCTTTGAATGCTTCAGCTCCTCGACGGATCCTGTCCGCAGCTTGCGGCCATCCAGGACGTAGCCGTCGAGCTGAAGCGCTGCGCGGCCGGCGCTGGGCTCGTCCTCGAACTCGATCTTGGCGCCCCCGTGACTGGGTTGGAGGACGAGACTCTTGAACCCTGCAATCTTCTCAACTATTTCTTTGACCCGCGCGTCGTTGACCGTGTCGGGAATGTCCAAGAGAGCAATCGTCCGCGAAGCGATCTCGGCCCGATTGGGCCCTGCTTGACGGGCCGAGTCGCCATCCGCCATAGTTTCGTCACCTTCCTCGTCCCGACTTGGTGCTGGAGAGGCACCCTCTTTCGAGGCAACGGCTGTCCTCTTGAAGTTGCTGGGTGTCGAGATCTGCACTGTCATGATGCTATTACGCAACTTGGCCTTGTCCAGCTCCTTGGCAGCGGTCTGGGCCTGTTCCTTGGTTTCCATTTCGACATATGCCACGCCATGAGCCTTGCCGGCCTTGTTCCTGGGTATGCTGATGCGTTTTACGGCGCCATACTTGGAGAACACCTTTTCGATATCGTCTTCGACGGCAGCCGGGTCAAGGCCGGTGATGTGGAGCTCACGCTGCTCCTCTATGGCTCCTTCGCGCTTCTTTGCCCGAGACGGGTCGGAGTACATGGCCATTAGTTTGAACTTGCCGTCGAGGAGAGTGCCGTGCTTCTGTGTTGCCTTGGCAGAGGCTTCTCGGTCGCGGAACGTGATGTAACTGAATCTTCGGCGCACGTTGCCCTTCAGGCTGGGCATTCTGATGCTCAAGATCTTGCCGCAATCCTCGAAAAGCTTGGCGAGGTAGGTCTTGTCCGCGGTCGGAGGGTAATTTGTGACATAGACAGTCAGATCAGTGCCAGGCTCGACGCTGATCTGGGCTGTCCCAAAGTACTTCCCGTCTCTGAGAAGTGCCGATTGCGCCTCTTCCGGTGTCTTGAACTCTACCATGACGGTCTGGGTGTTGTCTTGAGGGTCAATAGCGGGGTCCGTTACGTCGACGATGTGGCCATACTCTTTGAAATACTGCCGTATTTTGGTCTTTGTGGTCTCGTTAGGGAGCTTGCTCACGAGAACTGATGTGTTCTCGCGATCCCTCTTCAGACTCTGCTGCTTCAGCGCTGCCGCCTCCGCCTCGGCGACATCGTTTTTCGGTCTCTTGCTGGCTGTTGCATCGGCAGCGTCAGCCTCCTCGTCTCGTTTCCTCTTCGAGCTGGAAGTGGAGTCGTCGTCGGCCACTTGGGCTGCGTAAGCCGCCTGCTCCTGCGCCTGAGCTGCATAGTATTCTGCTGCCTGTGCAGCTTCTCTCTCTCTCCGCTTGACGACCTCTTTACGCATTTCATACACCGTATCGATGGCGATGCGTACTGTACTAGGCAGCTCATAATCGTTGCAGTGCTGCACGTAGACGTCAATGACTCTCTCCGGCCAGTCTAGGGACTTTCTCTTAATCGCCCTGCCGAGCACGGCTGTGGCCACTGAGGGTACCCTGAGTCCAATCGCAGCCGTCGACGGCGTCGGGCTGCGGTCCTTGCCGTTGGATGCGAAAATCATCATCTCCCAGAGGTAGTAGTTTAACCAGAAGTCGTAGCTATCGGCGTAGAGTTGCTTTTCTGCTAGTTTGTGCCAAAGACTCCTTGCCTCGTCAATGTTGCGTTTCTTCTCGGTCAGGTACTGGATGTAAATGCGCTCTAGGCGGAAGTTGGGGTCGCCTCTGTAACTATCACCGTAGCGGTGCTTGGCCTGGTCGACGAACTCGAGGGCAGCGCGCAAGCCCATGTCGGCAACATCGACGTCTTCGTCGTTGGCGTTGAGATCCATGGCCTTCCGCTTGAGAAAACCGCACCAGGCTGCGTACATGTCAAGAAGTGCGGCCATACCGTTCTTGTACAGTTCAGGGTTACTGGTTGCCTTGTGCTTGATTTGTTCGATTTCGTTGAAAGGCAGCTTGGCATCCTCGGCGGTGAGAATGTATCGGGACCAAATCGCTCCAGACCACGGGCAGTGATCCACAGCTCGCCGCAGGACATCGACCATGCCCTGGGGCGACTGTGCGTACGTCCCAGATGTTGAGAGGAATCGCACATATTCGTTCCAGGTAGTGTCGTCGAAGGCGAAGACGCCTGTCAAGGCCCTGGCATAGAGACCTCGACAGAGGTCGCCCGTGGCCTCGGCATGCTTATTGCTCCTCTTGCTCTGGGCGCACTCCCAATCAAGGTATTCCCTCAGAATGGCGCGGTACTCGTCTTCCTTGCCCTCCCGCTGGGCCTTTCTCAGCTTCAACTCGAACATGTCGCGGTCTTCGGTCAGCTTCTTGGCCTCTTGAGACTTGACGGTGATTTCCTGCATGGTGGATTCCCATGCAGCTTTGTTATAGGTGGACAGGAACTCGGAGAAGGCTTGGGCGGTGTCGTCACGGGTGACGTGAGGAGTTGTCAGGCGGTCGTTGTAGAGGTAGGTGATGCGCCGGATGCCCTCGGCGGTGCGGGTACCGGCGAGCATGGCGCGCTCGAGGGAGATCCATCGGTCCCATAGCTCGTGGCTGTCGCTGATGCGAAATTGAATGGATTCGTAGCCCTGCTGCCAGAGGCTGAGGGCGGCGTTGAGAGAGAAGAGCTCGCGGCCCATGTGACGTTCCTCATCGGACCAGGCAGATTCGGGGGTCTGGCTGTCGACGTAGAGGGACCAAAAGTATTCGCAGTAATCGCGCCAAATCTTGACGCTGTTGGGCTCGGCCTCGATGGCGAGCTTGAACAGTTCGATAACGTGAACGCGCTTTTCCAGGTCGTTGGCGTGTCGTCTGTTCTCAGCGACGTAGTCTACCCACTTGTCCTCCCCTACCGGCAGGGTCGCCATCTTGGTGCAATGGAACGGTCGTCAACAGACGAACCATGGGAGACTCGGCGATGACGGGTGGTGTCGTATTTTTTGCTGCTGCTCGACTACAGCGCTCCGCGAATAGCAGAGGTGCGCAACGAGCCAGAGACGTCGGACGGCAGCAGCAATGGGGTGCGCAGTGCTCAGGCAGCTGAGTAAGAGATTGAGCTTCGGAAGCTTCCCGTCGGAGGCGAAGATGAAGACAAGATGGCAATGACGATGGCGACGGTGACGGCGACAGCAGCTGCGACGGCGATGCGACGGGTCAATGAGGCAACGCCAGTTGCGGTTGCTGTATTGGTACTGGCTTGTTGCCGTCGAACGATTCGCGGTACAGGACAGGCAAGGGGTTAGGAATGCTGGGGAAAAAAGTGGCCAGCAGAAAATTGGTTGCGCCGGTGGTTTGGTGCGGTGCGTTGCGGTACGGACGCGCGAAACAGAAGATACCTGAGCCGACCTGAACACCAGAGGCAAGGCGAGGTAGCTTGGGCGAAGGAGGATGAGAGGATAGGTACCTGACGGGACGGCAAATAGCAAAGTCCGCAAGGCCCTTCGGGTTTAGTAAGGGCCAGGTGTGAGTGGAAGGAAGGTGGTGAAGGTTGGGAAAGGTAGCCTTCTGACCCCAAGAAGCAAGCCGTTCGTCGATCCTCAGGCGCTTTTTTTTATTTTTATTTTTTGTCGATGTTTTTTTCTCAGAGCTAAGTCCGGGTGATGCTGACCGCGAGAGGTAAGGTCAGGTCAGAACTGGGCGTTCGGCACGGTACGGCACCTGCAGCTGTTAAGATTTGGCCCGAGTCGATGCCCCCGGGACAGGGCTTCCGCCCAAGGTAGGCAGGCACCTTAGTGTAGGTACAGGGTGCTTATTTGAGGCGGCAATGGCACGGTGTAAGTTATCATGGTCGGCACGTTATGTCTAGGCGCCGCTTTTCACTTGTTTATTTTTTTTCTCCCTCTTCAATGGGTCAAAAACAGTGGTGTCTCTCACTGGTGATGAGTGACGACTGACGAGAGAAATCGTTCGGGAGGAAGCTTAGCTCCTGACGCATCGTGGACCAGTGGATTTCAGCACCCCCGAAATGCAAGATGGACTGTGGGGTTTTAGGGGAGGTGGCATTCGGCGGCGCGCCCACCTCGTACTGTGAGCGGCGAGCATGTAAGGTTGAGGCACGGACGGGAAGCCGCAGCGCAGCGACACGGTCCAGCTTCATTCCAATCCAATCGTCACTGACATCAAACGATTAGGTAAGGCTTGGTCACCTGACTCCGGGAGTGTTACCTCACGCATACGTAAGGAAACGGAAAATTCTTTCCTCAGCACCCGGCCGAAAAGTGAAGGGACCGGACCGGGACCTGCCATTTCCCAGGATGTAATCATCTGCTATGATTACATTCCTCACCACGAGAGTACAGACAGGTTCGAGACGCCCAGTGGCTGAACTTTATCTCGTTTGTCTTAGCAAAACTACTCGTATCTCAGATTGGGCAAGACACGCACCAGTCGTGACAACCTCTCACCAGCGGCGCCGTTGACTCGCTCACAACTCCCTTTTCTTCAGGTACCTTACCTAACGCGGCCGGCTATTATTGGTAATGCCCGTGACATCTCCAGCCGCCAACATCCTCTGACGGGATGAGGTCATTGGCCTGTCGCCCGACTCGCTTGCCCAAAACGACCGTACAGTCCGCAGGGCACTGTACTCCTTCTAGCTGAAGATAGCTAGTCATGTTTTTCGACCGCCAACGCTGCCGCCAAGTCATGCTCGTCTTATGTCAGCCGGGAAAGGAGAAGGACCCGGAACTAGCTCCGCTGAGGTCCAGAACCTCGATGCCTCCAAGACGTACATCACTTCCTTTACTTCCATCTTATCAGCACGACCGCTATCGCAACTCGCTTCATCGCTCTGTAAGCGGTCGTATTGTTTTGAAAACCAGTGCGCATGGTGAACTTTCCACAAGAGATACAATTCATCGACCGGCCTTCAAGTCACCGACCGAACGACCTACCTGCCTACCTACCTTTCTATTCCGGAGGTCTCTCTCCGGAGCGGCGAGGTACGAGGACCCGCATTACTCCGGTTCTTTCACGGAGTCTACCCATTTGCCTCTTCTTGCCCGTGGCATGGTCGCTACACGATAGAACAAGGCTGTTCACTCGCATACTCGATCTCGTCATCCTGTCACCAAGATCGTTCTTCGTCCGGTTCTCTGGCCTGCGTCGGCCGCGATGCCTGACGAGGGTTGCTGCCCCTGCCAAACGTGCACATCGCTCTCTCCAGAGTTTATTACTCCTCTCACTCTGAAAATTTCAATGTTGTCGCTACCCGCTCCGTCTTCTCGATCCTCAGCGCGCCGCGTTCTCCGCCGAACAAAAAAGACGTGTCGCATGACGAATTAAGTTGGCTGATCGGCTCAGCCATCAAACCCGAGACAGGAACGGGGGGCCGCCCCAACTCGATGGTACAGGGTTCCGGAGTAGGCGACCGTTGCAGGTGCCAGAAACGCTCACTAATCAGCCCTGTCCGCCCATCTCGGTGCCCCTGGAGTGAGGGTTACATTGGCCCTCGACGGCTTCATGCGCAGGGGGATGCCTGTCCTCTCTGTTGTCGACGTAAGCAGAACATGAGAGGGGGGACACTCACAGGAGGGTTGAGAGTGATATTTGTTTTCACGATGACTTCCTCATGCGCATGGCAAACGTACCTGAAGGTCGCTTTCCACTCGCTTGTTTGCCCGTTTTTGTCCGGAAAGGCACGCCGGCGAACCCGTGAAGCTGAGTCGATGGCAGCCCGCATATGGAGGGTCGAGGCCAGTGAATCTAGGCCCGACATCAAGACCGGGACCACAGCAGCGTGCCAGATGAAGGGATCGCAGAAGCAAACTTGCCAAGGAGCATGCCCCGACAGGCCGAGGACGGCGGAAGCATGTGCCTTGGGCCGCGCAGTTTGCTCGCGATGCGGTAAACCGAGGCGAGGATGAGAGGGGACGATTTGCCGATGAGAACGCAGAGAGGAAGATCGCTCTTCGCAATCCAATCAGCAACTGGCCGCGACTTGAGGAGAAACGACTGATAAAGGCAAGGTAAATGTGCTAACAGTCGGGTAGATGCCCTTAGCAGTCGAATAGTGAAGCCGCGATTGACGGGGATGGGATTCCTGAAACGGGCACCAGGAATCCCGATGAATCCCCTCCTTCGGCATTTAAGCTTCGAATTGGCTTAGCGGTCGAGAGAGCGGTGTCCTGCGGTGGGTGAAGACGAAAAAGACACGAGAGTTGTGGTCGTCGATGTAGGTGCGGTGTCGGGGGAAGCTGGATGTAAATAGCAGGTGGTGCAGATGGCTTGCAGAAGTGTGGGCGAAGTTCGGATGGAAAATACGAGACCACCTCAATCCCAATCACAACAGATATCGGACGAATGCTTGACCGACTTTAGGTGCAAGGCGCGATGAGCGGCACGCGAGAGAGGTAAGCAGTTTACTTCTACTGCCGATGACCTTACCTTCGTAGAGAGGGGAAGGGAGGTGGGTGTTAGTCCAATGTTTCGCCATTGAAGTGCTTGTCAACTCGAGGCAGCTATGGTTATTATGTAAGACTGCTGCGGTATCTTGAAGCAAGGAGTTGGATGGTTCGAGTCTCTCCCGCCCTGGCGACTCCCTACATGTTAACTATATGAGAATTGTATCGATGCGTCATTTGATTCATCGAGTCGACTTCTGACGTAGCGATCAATATACAAAATGTTCTAGAATGACCCCATTAAAGGAGTTCGCGTGTTGGGGGCTGCTCTGAAGCAGGTATCCCGACTACCTTACTTCACTTGAGGTAACCTCACAGTTTAGCAGCTGAAGCTTTGGTGTAGTGACAAGCCACCTCGTGAGGGGACTGTCGTCCCGACTTCCGCTGTTCATGCAGCCTGGTGGAACGTGGAGCTTCCTGCTTTCCCTTTCGGGACGTAGGCTTAATTTTCGTCGTGAACAACACGTTGAGGCCTCGACAGAATTGAGCGTTGTTTTCCGGCTACATGGCAAGTTTTGCTCTACTGATGTATAAGCACAGGTAGCAAGCGCAAAGAGGCCAACGATGATCTGAGCCATTCCGAATCTGAACTTCTTTTCCCAACTCGAAAGTCCCGCGAGGGGATGTGCGGTGGCTTGCGACGGGACGACGCTAGTCCCCGGTGCAGATCATGGTCGGTACCGCTGGATTTGATTTTGAGTCCGACGCTACTGTTGCAGTCGCTCTCTCGCTGCCGCCGTCGCCGTCGCCATACATCTGTACGAATGGCTGACTGCGCCTCCCAGCGCGACTGCTGCGACGAACTGCACTGGGGCCATACACCCCCTGGCCGACGTGCTGGTTGGATCTCCTCCGCCCAACATGTCGACCGGGTCATGTCAGAGATCGGAGGGGGCAGGTCGGTTCTTGCGCGGCAGACTCTTCGGGGACGACATCGAGTGCGCTGATAGGGCGATGGAGGCTATAGAGCCGCGGGTTAAGGTGCGTAAAATGAGCCAACGTTATGCGCTGGGACGGGCCTCGTATGTTGGCCGTGTATCTGGTTTGAGTATTCGTATGTTCGTGTGATGGGGTCTTTTTCATTGCTATATGTCCGCTGTCTTACAACGGCTGACTTTGGTATCTTGAGGTGCCTGTCTTAGAGATTTTAGTTGACAGAGACATGGGACGAAGCCTACCTGAGCTGAACTAAAAAGACGGGAAAGTGTCAGCGTGTCAGTGTCCATGAGCGTCATCCCTGGACCCCATTTCCATCTCGGCATCCCCTGTCGCGGGCCTGCCATTCAGCGCGGTACCTAGCCTCCCTCAGATCCGATCCAGACCCAGTTGGTCTTCCGTCCGAATGTGACCTGTCGCCCTAAAATGGATGTGCTGCAGGATGGGATGCAAGTGAAGTTGCAGAAGACTCGACGTCGATTCAATGGTCATCCGTCACCTTACGAGAATGTAACTGCCATCCTCAACGCCTTTTCCGTGGGAAAGAGCAGGGCATGCACATCGCACATCGGACCCTTCCCTTCTCGTCGTGTTTCCATGCCGTTTCCCGATTTGGAAACTGGACAAGTCATATACATATGGCAAGTTGGCACCTACCTTAAGGCAAGGTAAGGTAGTTTGTCAAGACGTCTCTTCCCCTCGATTTTAGCCGTTATTTGAAAAGGCCAATGCCTTCAGTCTAGCGAACGTCCCGACTACTAGTCTATTTAGTGCTCAGCACACTCCCTCTTCTGCCTCCTTTGGCATCTTACTACAGTTGATCGTCCGTCACTAGACGACGCCTCCAGAAACACGTTTGACGCGACGGCCTCCAGGGGCAATTAAACCGAGGACGCGACGGGATCTGGCAGTCGCAAACACATTCGGGGAATAAAAAAACTGCAAACTCCAAACTCTCGAGGAAAGGGGCATCCCGGGTCTTGAACTTGCTGTGCCTGTTCCTGTTCCTGTCTTCTGTTCTGCCTTGATAGGCGGTTAGCTGGGAGGTCCCTTTCTGCCTTTTTTTCGATTCTCTCCTGGTTTTCCGTCTTCCTCCTTATCTCCTCGCCTTTAAAGACGAGAGGTGCCTTCCCAGAGACTGTGTCTCGTGACTTTTTGACCGCGGTCGTGTCCGTGATCCCTTCCTTCCTTCCTTCTTCCCCCCCTGGCTGGCCTCCGATTTCCCTCCACTTCCTTCCCGTCGGCTCGGGTATCCCCTGCCATCCCAACTGCCTCCTTCCTAGCACTAACCCCCGGCCCCTTCTGCGCTCTCCTACCCAAAAAAGCAGTGCAAAGGCGCAAGCAGGTGGCCCCTGTCCTCTCATTGTCTAGTCCCTTCCGCCAGTGTTCCTTTTTAACATCTCAATATCCCTTCTTCTCCAGTGCCGACCTGCCCTCCCTTCTCATTCCCTGAGCCTCATCTACCGGCTTCTTCCCTTCTTGTTCAATTCTCCTTCCACGGGTAGGCCTTGCCTCTTGTTTTCTTCCCATTTTCGCTTCTTCTTGTCATTAAAGTAGCTTCTCCAAGGTACATTCGCTTCTACCCCGCCGGACGCCTCTTTCTCTCTTACATTCTTTCCATCCGCCTCTACCAGTCCTCCTCACGACTTCTTCTCGCCCGAGTTGACTCTCTTGTCACCAATCTTACCGTTCCGGCCGAGACTCAAACCTCTCATCGACTCGTTATTGGGCCATACTTTGTTGTCCCAGACATCGCAGCCTCCTTACCTCTCAATATTGGCCGCCTCTGCTCATCTTCTCCATCGTCACTTAGACGACACTCCTGTCTCGTTATTTCTTTTCTTGGCTCCTCGAAACGCCCCTGCGTGTTTGAGGCTTGCCTCGCCACCTCGACTCCTTCACAAGCCACCAACAACACCTTCAGCTCTGCGCAGCTCACCACCGAAATTACCACTTCGACTTCGAGACAGACCATGACCTGTTGTGCGACGCTGTGACGGGTCTGGTCCTACGCACACCAGTGTCTCAAAACATCCTTCTGTCCACGCCATATTCCTCGACTATCCCAACCTTCTGCCACGCGTCCATTCCTTCTCAACTTCACCAAACACCACGTTCAACGTTCTTTTCCGTCATGAGGCGTCGTATCTGGCTTCACCTCGTCGCTTCTGCCGCCCTTCTCGGTCGTGCCTGCGCGCAGTTGGACACGCTGCCGCCATGTGGTGTAAGTCCATCCTCAACCTCGTGTGTCTCTGTCCATAGAACCGTTTCTGCAGATCTTCCCTGATGCTGCTGTGGCTTATCGACTGGAATGAGATGATTCTCCATAGGATCAAATTTGGGCATTGGGCTGATTCGTTTCCTTGTAGATTTCCTGTGTCAACACTGTCATTGCGAAAGGCTTTGGTTGCGCCTCTCAGGATAATGCCTGCCTCTGCAAACAACAGGACTTCGTTTTTGGTGTTCGGGATTGTGCCTCGCAGTCTTGTGGTGCGGACGTTGCGCCTAAGGTGAACGAATTCGTGACAGCTCTCTGCGCAAGTAGGTTTTCACAAAAACGGGTGAATTGGTGAGCCACTGCTGACATCGTATGTTAGCTGCCACTCAGGCTCCTCCTGCATCGACACAGGCACCCGCGTCTCAGCCTCCGTCTTCGCCGCCGGCACCAGCAACAACCCCTCCGCCAGCACCTCAGTCAACTTCGCAGCCGCCTCCGCCTCAGGCAACAACAGCCAAACCCAGCGTTGCAGAGACTCCCTCATCTCAGCCCGTCAACTCACCACCGCCATCTGCGGCGAGCAACTCTGGTTCCGAGGTCGTGCAGGCTACTCAACTTCCCACTGCTGCACCCACCACCTTAGTAAGTCAATTTCAGTGAGACTCGCCCATGAAGCGTTTATTGACTGAAGACCTTGTAGTCCACATCAACCAAGGCTACTACGACCAAATCCGCAACATCCACTTCCACCGGGTCTCCACCATCACAATCTGGATCTGCGTCAGACAGCGATGCAGAGAAGGTCAACGCTACTGATGGCCTCTCTGTGCCGGCAAAGGCTGGCATTGGCGCGGCCGCCGGAGTAGGTGTCATCGCCATCGCTCTCGCTCTCTGGCTGCTGATAAGGCGCCCGAGAAACCGGACACATTCTATGCAAATCTCAGGTCCCATGCCTGGCTCCGGAAGGGACTACTCGGGTGGAATTGTCGGCATGACTGGAAAGAACTTTTCCGAGTTGGAAATGCGGTCGCGAAGATATGAAGACATGGTTCCGCGCCAGACGCCAAGACGCATGATCTGAAGTACTCGTTCAACGTGTCGCGACGAGTCACTGCTTCGAACGCAGCGGACACATGGATTTGATGGAACCTCAAGTCTTCCTGACGCGGTCACCTGCAGCATTGCCTTCAGTGCCAGATGCCAGCGTGTCAGTCGGAAGTTTTGGGGTTCGTCCAATTATGAATTATGAATGACGATTGTTTAATGTATGACTGGGGTGCGCCGAGGGCAGGAGCGCGGTCATCAACTTGCTTACCATTATACCAAAGAGGAGAGCATATCCTTTGCACAAATGCGCAACGTGGACTTGGGGAGAAAAATGGCGTAAAGGTTTCTATGACGGCTTTCATTGTACATATTTATACAGTTTCATTGAGTGATGTAACACGGTCCTTCAACCAACTTCAAGTATCAGGTACCCTTCATGCGTGAGATTGAACATGTTTACCATGAGTAGTAAGGTCTCTGTGCTGTCACAGGTCGGTCAGGAAGGTGAACCCATGGTTTCCTCCGAGCCTCCTTCGCCTTCTTCTCATTGTGCTGGCGCATTCTCGTCTTCTCTTCCTTCAATACAACCGAGATGCCTAGAAATCAAGCGGTTAGTCGATTGCGCAGAGCACTCAGGTCTCATAGGCAAATGTTGAGGCAGAGCTTACTGGTTGATGGCTTTTGAATAATGCCGAAGCGGCCTCTTCCCTTGTAATCCATCTCCTTGGCTCTCCAGGGACCTCTGCCCACCCAGGCTTCGGCAACGTAGAGCCTCGTCGGGTCGTCGATCTTCAGGGACTTGCCGTCCTTGGTCTGGATCTTGATGGGCTCCTTCAACGGGTTCTGGCCGGGCTTCGCCTTGCCGAGACCCATGCCGCGGCTGACGATAGCCAGGTCCCGCGCCTCCTCCAGCTGGTACTTGACCTCGGCGGCCATCTTCTTCTTGGAGTACGTCATCTGCAGGACGGCCTCGTCGACGGTCTTGCCCTGGATCTGGCGCGCCAGGTGGACGAGCTTCTTGACGCTGGTCTCGAGGAAGGGGCTCTTTGTCTGGACCTCCTTCTCGGTGCGGGCGATGAGCTCCTGACGGGAGACGCGGCCGTTGCGGCGGACCATCTGGATGACCTTCTTCCGCTCCCAGCGCAGGCGGCTGCGGGGGTCCGGGTCGACGCGGTAGGCGATGGTCTCGGCCGTCTTGACCGAGCTCTCGGCGCCGCCGCGCTGCAGGCCGCCGTCCTTGGTCACCTCCTGCATCTCCTCCTCGAAGATGGAGCTGGAGAGCTGGGCCTGCTGGCCCTTGGCGAAGCGTTCGCGGACCGCGGGGTCGTCGAAGTTCTGGCCGCCCGTGAGGTTATCGTCCGCGTTGGTCCTCTTGCGGCTGAAGAGGTTGGAGAGGCTCCATTTGTTTCGGACCTGGGTCGCCGGTCGCAGGGGGAGGAGGATCGGTCGCGGGGACGGTCGGGCGAGGCATTGGAGTGTTGAGGGAGCTGGCGATCCGAGATGTTAGCTGAGATGGGCACGGGACGGGCTGGTGATGGGATATCGTGGTGGAGTCGTTGTCGCTTCGTGCGGGAGGTTGAAAATAGGGCAATTGGGACGTACCGGCCGAGGCTAACCTCCTCGTTGGGAGGTGAAGACTCATGGCTGCTGCTGAGGGCGCTGGTCGATATACCAGCGAGCTTCACTTTCACCCTTTGGCGGAGAAAATTGCTAGGGGTGCCAGGCTCGACGTCGCGACGGGTCCAGCACGGGCCGGCCAAAATGGTGATTAGCCGGGGTTATGCCGAGAGCCTGTCGTCCTGCGTCTTACATAATTGCACAGAAGTCGGGCAGCCAACCAGGTCGAGGTAAAATCAAACACCGACGGCTTAGGTAATGACGATTTCGCGGGAAGGTCAGGAAGAAGACGGCGGGATTTCGTCCAAGACCGTCACGTGATGACCCCATCGCGCGAATTCATCAGACCATTCGCAGCTAACCCGACAGGCCTTCAGCATCACCAAAACCACCACGAACTATCGGCCCAATTCGATTCCCACCAAACCCCCCCACCAAACTCGAAAACCACAATGGCCGGCGCTACTGCTGTCAAGCCCATCACGGGCGTACGTCTCCCAAATCAACTGCCCTCCGGTCGGCCCAGCGGAGGAGGAAACGAGAAGGAAGTCGTGGGCTGACGATGGATGACACAGATGCTGCGACGCAACCTCGTCCTCGACCTCGGCATTGCTCTCGGTGAGTTCTTTTCCCTTGGGATCGCTGCTCGGGATTTCGGACGGTTCACGCGCACGTCAATTGGGTTCCATTGAGCGTACGCCGGCCAGCAGCTCCGTCATCCCTCCCGGCTGCCCCCGCTGCTCGCATCCCGGCCCGGAGAGAGAGAAAGAGAGCCCCCCCAGCTAACCCGCATCGCAGGTCTCGGCTTCGCCATGGCCAACGTCTACTGGTACGCGATCACCGCCCCGAAAACCCCGGGTTGAAACCCAGACAAGAAGAATTGCCGAGAAACTAAACACGCACACGCAACGAGTAGGTACGGCTTCCACATGCCGCGCACGAACGCCCGCGACAGCTACTACGCCAAGCTGGAGCAGCAGAAGGCCGAGGCCCGTGGCCAGAAATAGACGAACGACCACGACCGACCGACGACGAAAGACGAGCGATTGGGACTTGAGGATGGGGGTGTGAGGAACAGAGAGAAAGACGGGGGGCGAAAGTTTGTTAGATTTGGCGACGACGAGAGGGGGACGTTTTTGCGGTCATAGACAAGATACGGGCTTCAGCAGCTGGTTCGACCGACCCCGATTGTACCATATGCACACCAGCAAATCGAGTCGAGAAGGTTCTACTTACGTCGAGGGATGATGATGATGTTCGCATGTCTGATATGTCGAGGCGATGAGAGATTGCTCATGTCGCTTTGATGATGCGGTCGTGATATTGATGTGGCCGATGCTACGTCTGGGTCATTTGACAGTCCAACTATGTGCCCGTGAAACACCGATATCTGTGTGATTCAATTGATGTCTTGATATTCATCTCGCCTCAGACGTCACTCCTCACCCCACGCCTGCGACCACTGTTGATACGTCCGCTGCTCACCAACACCGACCTGTCCCTTGCCCTTGCCAACCTCTTTGTCCGGAGTCGCCTGGCTGCCCTTAGAGTCGACTTTTGCCGCTGCGCTCGGTCCTTCCCAAGCTGTGGTCTCAACCGTGAAAGTGCCCTTCTTATCCTGACATCTATTGACGAGAAGGGTTAAAAACAAGTTTCTCACCAGCAAATTTCAATCAAACAAAAATCACCAAACAATTCCACGAGATATCGTATTTGCATCAAAATCAAGAAAAAAAAAACGGGAGCGAAAAACACGAGGGGACGTACTGTCGGAAAAACCGCTGTACGGGCCAACACCCGACGCGGCTGTCGCGGACTTCGGGGTTCTCGACCATGCACCTGTACTGCGTCATCACCCGCAGCGCGCACTTTGACAAGTTGACGTCGGCGCCGCCCTCGAGCTTGCGCTTCTTGCCCTTGAGGTCCGCCTGCACGCGCCGCGGCAGCTCCGAGGCGTCGAATACCACGCACGGCGGCGTCATCTTTTTCGGAAAGTGAGTGAGGCTTGACGGCGGGGATGGACGGGTCGTGGAGGACGGAGTTGAGGGGCGGGAGGCTGCTCCTCGAGGCTAAGGAGAGTTCCCTGGAGAAGGTGCGTACGGCGGTGTCACACGCGAGGCTGGAGTTTTCGACGCAAGGCGGCAAGGGTTCGTGATGGGGTGATGAAGGGTGGTGTGGTGGTTGATGAATGGGTCGAGGCTTTCATTTTTGGTTGGGGCATCAAGTGAGAAGCTTCTGGGCCGTGGAGGAGCCGAGCGGCTCAACACGCTCACCACCCGCCTCATCTTCGATCACGATATCATGTTGTTTTACGATCCGCCATCATTGATCCTTTCATTCATCACTTTTTGAAACGGAAACTCACCCATCACGCCTTTGATACGACAGCAATCCACCCATCTCTCACAGACAGCAATCCACCCATCTCTCACACACATACACATCACACACATCCGGGCGCTTCACTAACAAACCCAACTCAGATACTCATCGCCGTCCGCGCAGAGGTAAAACCACAAGCAGCAGCAGCAGCAGCACCGTCCAAGAAAAAGTCACGCCCGAGTTTCTACCCGATCCCGATTCTAAACGCCCTCGCCGTCCGCAACTTCCGCGCTACCCAAACCATCCCCCTCGCCGTCTCCGGCCGCCACCTCCCGCTCGTCTACCGCATCGCCTCGGGCCTCGCCTCGCCGCCTCACAACAAGGCCCTCCTCATCTTCGACATGGAACACCGCTTCGACGCCACCCGCCTCACGTGCGACCCCGCCGACCTCCGCCACATCCACGTGCACCGCCCGGCCCGCCGCGCCGTCGCCGGCGGCAGCAGCCCCCGCATCACCCCGGACCGGCTCCGCGAGCTCGTCGCCTCCGTCGAGAACTGGATGTCCTACGGCGACCACCACAGCGGCGACCGCGAGTTCTGGGGGTCCATCGTGGTCGGGGCCCTCGGCGCCGGGGACGTCACGGCGGCGTGGAGGGGCTGGCTGCGGGTCGAGCGCGCGGCCGTCAACGGGTTCCCCATCACCTTTGGCGTGCGGGAGGCCATGGCCGACCGGGAGGCGCGGCAGGAGGCCGTCGACGCCGCGCCGTGGGCTGCCTCCTCGCGGTGGGGGGACTTTTCTTTCACCGAGGCGCATCCGGCAGCATCCTCGGAGGAGACGTCCACAGAGACGAGACAAACGTGATGGCGGGGTGCTTGTTTGTTTGTGGAGGAGGATGCGGAGGAGGGGGCGGGACAGGAGGAGGAGGTGTGGGTGTGGAGAAACTGAAGGCATGTAAAAAGAGTCCCATGCAGTCTCACCAAGGACCTTTTTCGCAGCAACCGGGGACGCATTGGGAGAGGAACATATTCTGTCCGTTTTTCTGCATTCACGCCCTCACATCACCAAACATGTTCGAACCCACCGTAACCCACAAGATCCACCGGTGCATCGCATGTCGTTGAACGAACGACCGCTCGCCCGCCGTGGAGTCGCTGTTGTGCGTCGTCCTCCAGAGGGGGATCGGCGGCCCAGGTTAGCCGAAGGGAGGAAACATGCGCGCCAGAAACCAACGAGAACCAAGGCCGGGACGGCCTTGGCGTGCCCTTGCAGCAGGGCCACGGCGCCGCGAGATGACGGAGATGTGCAGCGCTGGGCGAAATGCGCGGCCGAAAACGGGGTAGGAACAAGATCCCTCCCTCCCCTCCAGCCTCCTTCGGGATGCCTATTCCGGACTTCCTTCTTTTGAGGAAACCATCGAGGGGTACGGAAGTACATCCGCCCTGTGTGTGCGGCAACGGCGCGCATGTGGTTGTTGTACCTTTTCTGGCCAAGATTCCAACGTGGCTTTCGGGAACGGCAACAAATCGCACGACGGACCAAGCATTGTTGGCGCTTGGCGAATTAGATGAGACGGATCGGCGGAAGTATCACAAAATGTACATCATTTCTTGGAAAGGGGGAATTAAGCGGCCAAAAAGGGCCTTAAAGTTTGAAATTTTGAAATCCTGGCGTCAAATTGCGCCTGTGTATCATTGTTCTTCCTCAGCTTTTTCCGGCTGAGCTGTAACTATCGTCTAACATGATGTAGATTGTAGTTCGTGATCTTCGTTGATCTTGTAGAAACGCCGATTGGTATCACAATTTTCCCAATGCATATGAAATAACCCCGACAAATATGAAAACCCTACGATGATGAAAGAATCGAAGAAATAGAAAATAAGACAGAAGAAAAGGTCATAAATCGCTAGCTCTCAAAAGATCAAAGTTGCACCGTTGACAGACGAAGCTCATCCCAGGATAGGCTGGCTCCGCTCCTCGAGGGGAGTGAACAGAGCGCTGTCCTTGTCCTGGAGCGCCTTGAGGCACTCCTCCTCGCCGAGAATGTCCTTGCGGAGGGAGGAGACGACCCTCTTGCGGATCTCGCGCTGGATGCCGTAGCGGACGGCGTCGAGGACGGTCGGGACCGTCGCCTTGGGCTTGTAGGCGGGCTCGGTGCCGTCCTGGTAGACGCCCGTCTTGACGAGGATGCTGTGCCACTCGTTGTCGGCGTGCTCGTCGAAGAGGTTGGTGCCGCGGATGTCGCTCTCGGGGGTGTCGCCGACGAAGTAGACGGTGTCGGGCGGGGCGTCGAGGCCGTGTTGCTGGCGGCGCCACTGCTGGAGCAGGCGGGTCGCGAACTCGAAGGTGCTGACCTGGGGCTTGCCGAAGGCGTGGGTGTGCAGCTTGCCCTTCTTCTTTGTGACGTCGCGGAAGATGACCTCGAGCATGCGGCGGAGGGCGCCCATGCCGAGGCGGACGTTGTCGTGGGCGGCGGACCAGACGACGTCGTTGTGGGAGAAGTAGATGGGCGGGCCCTCGTCCATGGTCTCGGAGAGGGTGCCGAGGCGGCCGCCCTTGGACATGGCGAGGTCGAGCATGATCTGGATGTCGCCGGCCCAGTCGCGGGAGTCGGCGAAGACGAAGACGGCCTCGATGGTGACGTCGGAGAAGTCGCGCTCGCGGGAGTTTGTGAGCTCGTCCGGGGTGAGTTTGCGGAAGGGGGTCGTGGCGGAGTTGTGCTTGATGATGTCGCCCGGGGTGATGACATCCTTGAAGCCGTAGCCCTCGGCGACCTGGCGGCACTTCTCGCCCTCGCCGCCGACGACGAGGACGGTGTTGAAGCGCTCGGCCATCTCCCTCATCGGGGTGTGGCCGCAGATGAACTGGGCGGGGGAGATGTCGATTTCCATCTGTTTTGAGAGGTCGGCGCATCTCTCCTCCTCGGTCTTGCCGCCGCCATTGGTGAGGAAGATGTAGGGGCTAGCAGATTGATGTTAGCTGAATGTCATCCGACATGAGGTGAAGTCACGATGATGGTCGGGTAGTTGTGGAGCTGGATGGGGAGAGAACCACAAGTCCACATGTTTGGTGGAGGTTGGTTGCATGGTGGTTGTGGGCACTTACATCTGGATTCCATATTCGTTATCGCCGTTCAGGACCTTCATGGCCTCGACGGCCTCGGGGATGGCGCGACCGCCGCGGATGAGGACGCCGTCAATATCAAAGGCGAAGGCAAAGCTGTCTGCCACGGGGGCATCCACGGCGTTGTTGGGAGTGACCGGCGACAGAGCGCCGGCGGGGCTGCCCAGCGTCGACGTTCCCGGAGAGCCCGCGGAGCCGTCTACCGAGGACTCGGGGGTGCTCAGGGCCAGGTTATCGAGTTCCTTGCGAGCGGCGACGAGGCCCTCGATGAAGCTGCCGGTGGAGGAAGCTCGGTGACTGGGAGCCATGTTGGGTGGATGTGATGTGTGACTTTGGAGATCTGGTTATACGAAAGACCACTGGTCTTGTATTGCGGCGATGAGAGTTGAGAAGCAAGCAGGAAAAAAGCACAAGCTTAATCTTGCAAAGATCGAAGCTGTTTGAAGTGCAAGAAGAATTGTAAATGGGATGATGAGAGTGAGACTGAATCAAGTTCTCGAGCCCCGTCCGGGGAGCCACCGGGTTATATACTCTCGACATGAGAGCATCTTGACTTGATGCTGACGTCTCTCTCTCTCTCTCACTCTTACACGCACCTTGTTGCGCAGCTGGCCGACGTGCTGGGAATACCTGACGTCCATGGTGCTCCGCAAAAACCAGGCAAGCGCGGGTCCTTGTTGAGGAGGTTGCAAGGAGTGTGCAGTGATACTTCCTGGGACGAGTTTCTTGAGTCGTGCATGGCCCGTGGATACGCGGAGGCGAAGTAGCATGAGAAGTTTTTCTGGATCCCTTCCTTTTTTTCCTGCTGCCCTCCTCCTACGTACAGAGGCGGCGCCGCGCCCAGCGACTGCGCTCCACATCTGGCGACACAGCAACTGCACAAGGTCCTTACCTGGTTGTTAAAAATTCTGATCATGACAGGATTGGCTCTTGGATGGGATTGACTGCCCGCCATGTGGGCGGGCGGCGCGTTCGAGAGCGTAACAAAGCGGAACGACGGCGGTGAGATGGAGATTGGGAGTCGCCGCAGAGGCGGCTGGGCAGAATATTTCCGCAGCCAACGAGAGAAGAAGAAGCCGCCAAACAAGGACGGCCACAGCGTAAAAGGCGTGCGGAAAAAAAGGCTCCATCCAACGCCTGTGAATTCGTCAATGTCAATCCGTCATGGTGGAGACGTTGCTTTCTCTGCGGTGGTTCCTCGCTGCGACGTCTTGCGGCTGCTGCAGAGCAAGGAGAGGCCTTGATCCCAAGTGGGCTCCTCCCCCTTGGACATTGGCACCGAGAAATTGATAACCCAGGGAACCCGATGCGGCAGCGATCGACCCCCCTTGCGCGAAAAGGTGCGGTCGACCTTGGCGAGTAGCACATGCAAGCCGCCGTCAACGCCCGTTGGACCCTGAAATAAGCAGAGTTCGACAACGAGGAACTTTTCGGGTTGGGGCGATGCGGCTCGCGGCATGCTGCGACTCCCCAAAACAGCAATGATGGGTTTGTGAGGGATAATCCAAGATAGTCAGGGCCAGGCGAACAAGCGAGGAAGAACTGGGAGGACTGCCGGCCGACTTTGCCTCTCGGGCCAACGCAATCGAAGGAACTGAGGAAAAGTTCCAGGAGTTTGATCCGGTACCATTGTCGAGTATCCGTACTCCTGCGTCTTGTTTCGCCCGGACGAGTACATGCTGATACTCCCACCTGAAGGACAAACAGACAAAAGTTAGCCCCTCCTTTCATTGCCCCTCCCCCTCCTCTCTCCGTGGTGTGTGTTCTCATTGGATCTTACCGAAGACTCTTATCGACGGTTCCTTGAGATACGGCGCAACTGTTGCAGGGATAGTGCCAGCAGGTCGCCGTGATGACACAGATGACGGCCCACAAATGCGAGAATGCGATTGCACCATGAGGTGAGGACGAGCGTATTTTTCCCGGTGTCAAAAAGATTGGGAACTCTGTTGTACCGGCTGTGTAGGGTCGATATCGTCACTGCACTCGCACCGTGGTGGGTGGTGGCACAAGCGGCAGTGGGGGCAGGTTCCACCCGAGCGGGACCGGAGAGCCCGCAGTGACGTCAGATTGGTGGGTCACCGACTCGCGGCGGACGTTCAAGGATAAGGCGAAAACCGAGTGCTGTGACTGGACAGAACGTACGGAAGCGGCTCCGCAAGACGGGCCGAAGGAACTTCCGCGGCGGTTGGAACCTGACGGCTTATGTAAACGGCCTCCCCTGAGCGGCAATTCAACCGGGCGTCAAACCGGGGGGCGGTCGGACCCGGAAAGCCTCGGGCTCAACCCTTGACACCGGCTTCGCATGACAGTGCTTTGTCTCAGCACGCCGTTATTAACTAAGCATGGCGTTGAAGAAACGCACCAAAAAAGAAAAAAGAGGGAATTATGGACAAGAAAAAAGAGACAGATGCTGGTCCTTGGTGCGCTCAAGGAACGGCCTTTCTCTCGCTACACCCTATCAGAGACTACCGTGTCCTGACTCGGCGAATGACGTCCGTCTGTGTCTTCTCCATGTCGTCGCGAAGAGAACCACAACATCTCCAGACCATCCACATACGCACGCTGTACCCGCCGCCATGGGCACTTCGTTCGGTGGTGCTGTTGCGTCCCTCTTTTAAAATTTGGGGATGAGGTTTGGCTGCTTCCACCCTCCCCGTTGCGTTGCAGGTACGTTTGTTATCTCGGAGGTTTGAAGGACAACACACATTGGACCGGTCGAGATGGATGAATGGAAGGAAGCACGTACACAATGCATTGGTCGACATCGACGTTGTGTTCTTCCCCATGCAATCCACCTCCGTGTGGGTGTGTAACAGACGCAAGACGCGAGCAGGCTGTAAGCATGTAGCCTACCTCGATGATACTCTCACAAGAGACAGAGACGCCTGCCTGCCTTGCCTTGCCTGCCTGTTACCGACCACTTGGCGCATTTCTCCTTTCCTTCTGTATCCGCATCCCGTCGCTTTCCCTCCTGCGCGTCGCCGTTTTCTTCCTGCACGGCTACGCCATCGGTCAGCTTCGCCGAGCCGAAGTCAGGACGTTGTCCGAACGAAAAACAGGCCGTCGTCCGGCGCTATTGCCAGTGCCTACCGCCGTCCCGCCTACCGTCTACCGCCTCGCGCGCTAACTCGCCAGGCCCAGCCGCATTGCGATGCCGTCACCGTCGGCCGTGGCTGTATGCACGCCCCCCTGCCCCCCTGCCCTCCCTTCCCAACACGAACCCTTGCAAAGAGGGCTCACACCCCTCTTCCTATCCAGTATCCACGATTCCACATCACTGGCCAATGTGCCAATGCCTTTGGCCTTTGGCATTGTAGAATGGGAGGCCTGTCACTGTCCTCATCAATCAACCTGCCGCACGTATCAGCCAGGCACTCACAATGCGCCTCACTCGTTGCAACTCGCCTGGGCAGAAAATAACATCGACCATGACAGGCATCGCCATGGGTGTATCAGAGTAAGGATTAAAAAAGTTCCAGGCGCTTGTTTGATGTCCTTCCCTCCGGCCTTTTCTTGGAGAGGCTGAGGGCCAAACCCACCCTCTCTCGGCTTGAGATGAAGGAGGGGAATGGGATCAATGGGCTGGCGTGACTGGACAGTCAGAGCACGCCAGTGGATTCGAGAGGGACACCGCTCACTTGCTAATAATCAATCATACATTCGTCCATCCTTGAGGCTGCGTTTCACCCTTGGTGATGGGCGGCGCAAGTCGGGTTCCTCGATGGTAACCTTTCTGCGTCTGCGTCTACGTTGCCATGGGGGGGTGCGTGCTTGCGGTACTTTTTTATTCCCTCATTCATCCTCCTCATCCATCGGTCCCGTCATAGAACATATTCCCTCGGCTCCGCGCCTCTGTCACATTTCCTTTCCTTTTATATGTACTTCCGTCATCAAATGTTCCCCGGGCAGGGTTCCCCGACATGAAAACGCTAAATCAAAAACAGGCCAACCAACGGTGAAGATGTTTTCCTCCTCTCGGGCGCTCATTGGAGGTTGACGAAGAGGCCGCCGTCGACCAGCAATTGTGCGCCGGTAACGTAACCGCTGAGCTCCTCGCAGGCCAAGAAGACGGCCGGGCCGGCGAGGTCGGACGGCACGCCGGTGCGACCCAGCGGGATGCGGCCCTCCGTGTAGGCCCGCTTGGCGTCGTCGGCGAGGTCCTCCTCGTTGAGCTGGGTCTTGATGGTGCCGGGCAGCAGGGCGTTGCAGCGGATGCCGTGCTTGCCGAGAGCGACGGCGGTGCTCTGCATCAGGCTGAGGACGCCGGCCTTTGTGGGGGTGTAGTGCGTCTGCAGGCCGCCGCCGACGAGGGCGGAGATGGACGAGATGCCGATGATGCTGCCGCCGGGGGGGCTCTGTGTGCTCATGTGGCGGGCGGCGGCCTGGACGACGTAGAAGGCGCCGTCGAGGTTGGTGCGGACGGTCTTGGTGAAGAGGTCCGGGGTGAGGTCGAGGAACTCGGCGAAGGTGCAGATGCCGGCGTTGGAGACGCAGACGTCGAGGCGGCCGTTGCCCGAGTGCTCGACGGCGAGGGCGACGAGCCTGGCGGCGGTCTCGGGCTCGCGGACGTCGCCGACCTGGTGGGCGAGGCGGCCGGCGGTGTCCGGGTTGGATTTGCGGAGGGAGGCGGCCTCGGCCTCGAGGGAGTCGAGGTGGACCTGGTCCTTCTCGAGGCCCAGGTGGTTGACGACGACGTTGGCGCCCTGTTTGAGGTACTCGAGGCAGATGGCGCGGCCGATGCCGGTGGTGCCGCCGGTGATGATGGCGGTCTTGCCGGACAGGAGATTCGTTGGGGCCATTGTGTTTGTGATTGTGAACGCCGTGTAATCCGCGATCCGTGAAATGTCGTCGGGGAGCCGGAGGAGGTGAAGTTGATTTTGTCTCGGGGTGCGGGGTTTGGTCTTGGACGGCAGGGTTGCCGGAGGATTCTCGTTGGTCGGGGCGGCGCCGCGCACGATGAGGAGAAGGGTAGAGAGGGAGGGGTTGAGAGACGATCGATCGTAAGGTAAGCCTATCTGAGACTTCCGAGGAGGCGAATCTGAGATTGAGCGACGGCGGCTGGATCGACGAGAACCCGAGCTTTTGGGAGGGCGGTTGGATTGGAGGATTGCCGTTAGGTTGTGTCCGTAGCTTCCTCTTCTCTCGATTGTCTGTTTTGCGTGACGTGACGACGCGTGGTGTGAGCGGCGAGTTGGAAGAGGGCTTATTTGTATAGCTGGAGTGGACGATCGTGGTGAGGTACCTCTGGTATTTGGGGTGGGTGGTGGTGGTGGAGGAGGACGAGGGGTTAATGTCTAGCGAGCGCGGTTCTTGGAGTACCGATCAACCGAGCCCACTGATAGCTGTGCAAGCCGGACCACACTTACGATGCGGTTGGAATTGAGGTTGATGGTGTGGAGGAGGTTGTGGTGGGGATGCGTGACATTCATCGGAGATCTTGGCTCAACAACATCCCGTCGCCAAAGACGGAAAGGAACCGGTATCGTGAGTCTTCAACTCACCTCACTTATCGGATCTTATCACACCTCACTCAGAATGGAACTTCCAAGAAAAACACAACTACAGAGTGTCAGCTGCAGCTGCCGCAGCGATTGCTTCAGTGAGGTCCTCCCCGGCGGACGGGGAATGGAGACGTGGAGCGCTGGAGAGGACGGGTGCGGGGCAGTGGATCACTGGACCCGCGTGTCCCCCTCACCCCGCGTCCTCGGTGCACATTACAGCGAGCCACCCCACCAAGCATGCCCCGTCCATCGGCCTCACACTTCCATCGTCTCTGACCCTCCATGCTGCTGGCAACGTCTTCCCTCTCGGAAATCCCGGCGTGGTCGTGTCTGACTGAGTGACCCGTCATGAACCATCGTCTCAGGTGTCAAGTACGTCCACCTACGTCCACCTACCTCCTACACCCAAGGGAAGCTGGTCCGGGAATTCCAGGAACGCGTCGTCTTTTCAAGCTGTCATCCTAAAATATCGGGACTCACGAGCGCGTCATCTAAAATTATCCTGGACCAGTGACAAGGACTTCGTGGATTCCGCCCTAAGATCGTGGCGCTTTATCCACTCACTCAATGCGTCTCACATGACAAAACTACGTAGGTCTAGGTCTTCTTACGGAAGAAACATGTGTTGTTCTCAAATATTGGGTCAATTCGTGGTTGCGGCATTAGGAAGACAATTGCGCCAGTACTCGAGGCACTCTTGCGGCCTTGAACCTTCCTGGAGATGTTCCTGGAGATGTCGCTGAAAATAAGTGTTTAGCCTAGCCGCCCGTCGCCCAATAATCTATAATCATCGCGTGTCGTGAGCCTTTATGTTCCATGTTCCTCAAGCGCCGTTCGTGCCGTTCGCCGCCGCCTGCTCTTCCGCCGTCTTCAAGGGCCTCTCCTGCTCTGTTGTCAGTCTCAATTGAATTAAATCCATCATGGACAGGTCAACTCACAATGTTGGTGCTCAGCAGCGCCTTGCCGGGGATCAGCTTAGACCTCACGGCCGGGTTGAGCGTCAGTCCGAAACCGGGCTTGTCCAGGTCCGCGGTCGTGAGGTATCCCTTGGTCGGGATGGGCTCGTCCAGGAACAGGTCGCCGAACACGGGGAGGACGCTCTTGCCGTCGGGGGAGTTGGCGAGGTACTCCTGGAAGGGCGTGTTGGGCTGCGAGATGACGAAGTGGTAGCTGTAGGGACCGCTGGCGTGGGGCACCACGGGTATGTCGTAGGCGGCCGCCATGGCCGACACCTTGAGCAGCTCCGTCAGGCCGCCGAGCCACATGACGTCGGGCTGGATGATGTCGAGGTTGCGGCCCTCGATGAGCTTGCGGAACCCGAAGCGCGAGTACTCGTGCTCGCCCGTCGTGAACTTGATGGTCGGGTGCGCCCGCTTGATCTGCTCGAAGCCGTCCGTGTCGTCCGGGGACAGGCACTCCTCCCACCAGTTGATGTTGAGGTCCTTGCACGCCTCGGCGATCTCGATCGTGTACGGCACGTTCAGGCTCATGTAGCAGTCCACCATGATGGGGAAGTCCGGGCCGACGGCCTCGCGGTGCTTGCGGAGGAACTCGACGTTCTTCCTCAGGCCCGCGTGGCCCTCGTCCGGGCAGTAGGGGAGGGGCACCTTGCCGCCCCAGAAGCCCATCTCCTTGGCCGCCACGGGCTCGGGGCCGGTGCAGTAGAAGTTGAGGCGCTCCTTGGTGGCGCCGCCGATCAGCCTGTAGACGGGCTCGTTGCGCAGCTTGCCGAGGAGATCCCAGATGGCGAGGTCGATGACGGAGATGACGGCGAGGGGGAGACCCTTGCGACCGTAGAACATGGAGCCTCGGTACATCTGCTCGAAGATGAGGTTTGTGTTGCGGGGGTCGGCGCCGAGGAGGAAACGCTCGAAGTGCTGGTGGACGAGCCAGCAGGCCGGGGGTCCTGTTTGCAATTGATCGGTTAGAATATTGTGGTTACTTCACCCCAGGCTGGTCCTGATCATGGAGGATAGCAGGGAAGAATAGTAGATTTGGGATGTTCGTACCTCCGAAGCCCGTGGCAATGCCGACGGTGCCGTCTGAAGACTCAATTTCGACCAAGAAAGAACCCAGGACGTTGATGCCCCAGCTCGTTCTGGAGTTGCGGTACTGCTCCCATCGCGAGCAGGGCGTGGAAATGGGGCTGTCAATCAGCCTGTTCATCGTGATCGTCAGTCATTCGATCTCGACATTGTGAGTTGGCGCAATGGCCGTGAAAACGCCAGAAACTCACCAGTGGCCACCCTTGACATTGTGGTAGTCGCCGCCGGAGCCGACGCCGCCGATGACAAACGTCCTAATCTCCTTGATGGAGGGGAATGACCTCACAGACGCCATCGCGTCGTTGTTTCAATTCCCTGTGCGATTAGAGGTGAAAGGGTGGATTCGGAGTGAGGAGACGAGAAGGAGGATGAGGGGTTTCAGAGACGAGAACGGCAGACACGGGAAGACGATGGAAGAATGAACAGCTGAGGGGAGGTTGTGAGTGAGGGGAAGTGGAATTAGTCGGCTTCTTTTAAGAGAGGCGGGAGTCAGGTCAGTCGGTCTGCGGCGCGCGGGACGAAACACACGAGCCGAAATAAATTATTACCAAGAAAATAAAAACACACAGCAAAATACGACATCAAATCAGACGGAACGTAGGCCGCCCAGGGAAGAAGCAGCTTGGGTTCGAAGCCAGCGTGTGGTTCGTTCGCGCACGACACGACGTGCTCATGTCAGTGGGGGTAAACCCGAGCAGTGCTCTCGTGGTGAGCGGTGGACGGGAAGGTTTTTCGAGACATCGGTGCCAGATGCACCGACAGGCGGAATCCGTCGAGACCGGCATAGAACCTCGGAATTGCAGCATGAGCATGGTTGTATTTGAGAGGACCCCTCCTCAGCCTCTGGATGATCGGTCTCCATCTGCCGGGCTCGGCTGGCCAGTAGCATCGAGATTGGATCCCATACTGCATAGATAGGGGCCATCTCGCTCGTGCGGGTTGGAAATAACAGTGTGATGCAGCAGTAGTAGGTACGTCGACGAAAAAGACAAGCTTCTCCTAGGCGTTGCGGGAGGCTCGATTAAGATTGAAGTATGGTCCGTTGCGGAAAGTCAGCATGCGCCTGCCGGCCTGCCAATCGGACATTTCAACAGGCGTGCCGGGGAAGGGTGCGGGTGGCATGGTCTTTGTGGTGATCAACGACGACTGCAGTTGTGCTACCGCAGCAAGAAATCGTCGAGGGGTCTTTTTGGTGCAGATCAAAGTACATATGCGGTGAAACACGGATGCTGAGGCTCTATCATCCAATAGCCCGCTGGCCACGATCCGTCATCCCATCAACCACAATAGCAGTCATGGTTGGGCGGGACGGCAGAGGCCGCACCGCGTGGTGATTGCGCCAGAGTCAATTCCAACGAGTGCAGGTTCTTGTGTCATGCAGTTTCGTGAGAGTGAGATGGACCACGGCAGCACTGGCTGTCTGGAATCTGGTAGAGAGTGAGAGACACAGCCGAAACCAGGTCCAGTAGGTATGGAGGGGAAACTCGGATGAATGGGATAACTGCGACCGAGACTTGCCCCGAGTTTGGTCCGGGGTGATCCTCAGGCAGGACCACCGTAAAGTGGAGCTGGAGGCGCTCCGGCCACCTCACGCCGTCTCCACTCTTCGTCCGGCACCGGTGGACCTCGTGCGGCCGGTCTTGAATCGCGACATCGTGCTAAGCACACCTCATGGTGAGGTATCATGAATGGGGCGGTCCAGTGCGCTGCAAACACCCGGGTGTTGCTCTCGCAGCATTTGTGTTTCTTTGCCCGTTTTGCTGTGAACATGAAGGCCCGCAGGGCCCAACTTCCCCGGATTTCTGAAAACCCACGAGATAGAGCACCGTCAGGGCGAGCAACACCATGACTTCAGAGAAGTTTATCTGGAATATTTTTTTGAACTGACCCTGAGTTTGTCGACTTCGATGCCTGCTTTTCTTAGAGTCAACATGTGAACTACATACTTAGGATTGGGTCAATATTCCCCCAGTATTTTTGTACTCATTTGTGTATGCTGATTTGTGCCATAAACACGTAAGATGAATTCTCCAATTTGCCATTATATAGACGAATAATTTTGCCGATGATCCCGTCAGAGAATGGGTTTCCATCACAGCTGGTATGCTCACGTGAGACTTCTTAGATAATCCATGTCGCTTAAGGTAAGCGCTGCCCTCGGTGAGCCGGTTGGTCGTCTCCGAAGCCCAAGCCACCTCCACATTTTGACCACTCCGCAATATTTCACGAGGTCTCATTGGACAACTCACCTCACCTCCGCATTCTGACGGGATCCCCTCAGTCAGTGTCCTCGGGTTGTGCGGGTTTTCTTTTCTTCCCCACACAATCCATTTCCATTGTGCCATCCCCAACTGTTCAGCCCTTCAGCTGTGAGAGCCGGCGCGGTCAGTCAGTGCACACACATATCGATCTCGTGGACGCTGCCCCTGACATTTGGGGTTAGCGATTGATTCTCCTGTGCCGAGGCAAGAACAGGGATATCATATCGCCTTAGTCTGAGGGAAGAAGCGAGCTGTGCACCTCCAAACGCGAGAGAAAGAGAGAGTAAATCAGTTTGCGATCAACAATTGCGGAGGCTGTTGCTGTGTTTTATACATGCAATAGGGAGTGTCGACAGTCGGATGTGTTTGGATCATACGGACATCTGAAGATATACCTACTACGGTATTCATACGGACACACGGATTGCTCCAGATCGCCTCATCAGTAAACACGGCATCTGTCCAATCCCAGACGGCCATTTCTTCTCCGCCTCCACCTCCGCTTCTTCTTCTCCTCCCCCAAATTTCCCACCCCTCACGATTCCCTGTCTCGCCTTCCTAACCCCCGTCAAGCCCAGACTGGTCTTCACCGGCGTGGCACGTGTGGGACGAAAAACAAAATACCCCGAGCCTCCTCTCGTCCTTACCCCCCAGCCTTCCGTTCCTGTGCCCTTTTTTCCCACCCTCTGCTCAACATTACCCCGAGCTTCCCAAGCTTCTCCCGAATCCGCTTTGCGAATCGCACAAACGCTGCCAAACTTCACCCCATTCCCCTTCGTTACGCGTCATACCCAACCATCCTGCCCTGACGCCCGCGCCCGCCTTTGCCCTGCGTCGAGCGTCGACGTTGGTCGCCTTGCTTGTCTCGCATCCCCCCGGCCCTGCGTCTGGACTATTGTCCTCGGGCCTGATTCGCCCTGCGCCTACCCATCTGTCCGTTCTCTCATCTTCCACTCTCGCCTCCCGGAGTACTGCCACACCGAAGGAACGACTTTGGCCCCCGAGGATGCAGCACAACGGAGGACACGCTCTCAGCAGCCGGTCACCGCCTGCAGCCAACACCAAGTCTCTTCAGACCCAGGCCCAATCTCAGAGTCAGAGTTTAAACGACTTGGACTCTGACGACGGCGGCCAGTTGAATAGCGCCGACGAGAACGACCTCGATCAGGACGATCAGGATGTTACCCGTCTTGGGAAGCGCAAGAGACCCATATCTGTCTCGTAAGTCGTTGCTCCAGTCCTTCCATTTCCCCTTCTGTACTGTTCTGCTTTTGTCCCATTTCATCACAACCCTGCCGCCGTCATTTCAACCTTGTCTCTACATCTCTGTCTTGCAGTGCCTTGATTGTTCGACACAGTCAGGCCTCTGCCCGTTGTCTGGGTCTCTTACTATCTAATCCCCCCCACACCTCGCCGCCTCATTCTTGTTTCTACCCGCCTTTTTGTTTCTGATATGCCACTCGTGCTCTGCCGCCCCTTTGTTTCCCCATGTCTCCGTCTCCCGAGCATGTGCCTTCCGAGCAGAACCCTGAAGCTAACAATCCGATCCCAAGGTGCGAGCTGTGCAAGCAGAGAAAGGTACCGTGCCCTGGCCCTCAGTTTCCTTTTCCGTCCAGAGTCTTTCTTTTCCTTCATTTCCGTCTCTGCGGCAGTGTCATGTCACCACCCGTCTATCCTCTGTTGTTCAACACTCTGTTCGGGTCTGATACACCCGAAGTCGTTCTCATCCTATGCTACTCTCCGTCTTTCGAGCTTTGACAGGTGCGGCTGCTGACCTGCCTTGACTCATCAGGTGAAATGTGACCGCGGACAGCCCTCCTGCGGCTGGTGCAGTCGCAATGGTGCTCTCTGCGAGTACAAGGAACGCAAGAAGCCCGGTCTTCGCGCCGGTTACGGCCGCGAACTCGAGCAACGTCTGGACAAGCTCGAAGAGATTCTCAGATCTCACGCCGAGATCCTCCATGCCACTCTAGCATCTAACCAACACAATGGCGCTGCGCCAAGTATACGGAACAGCAATCCGAGTCTGCCGAGTGACCACGGCACCCCACGGGAGACTGCGAACCTATTTCGGCCGTCCGAGTCTATTCGGACGCCACAGGCTGAGACTGCTCTCTTCCTGCAGAAGCCGTCCACTTATCCACCCACCACGCAGTCCATGGAGTTCGGCATGCCACCTCCTACTCCCTCTATGCACGAGTTCCAGGGACAGATGCCCATGACTAGCATGCCCGCGCCGAGCCATGTCACGGCCATGTCTCACCCCAGCAGTGCCGCTCAAGAGTACTATGGAACGAATCAAACGCACCTTCACTCACCGGATGTCCCGATGGCTCAGAGCCAGACCACGACCACGCCAGATCAAGATCTCCCTCCCTACGACCTGCTCTATGCTCTCGTCGACCTGTACTTCAAACACATCAACACATGGTGTCCGATTCTCCACAGGAAAACGACGTTAGACTCGCTGTTTGGGCCATCCACCCTGGAAGAGACTGACCGCATTCTACTCCACGCCATCGTTGCTACCACCCTTCGATATTCGTCAGATTCGAGGCTCACGGAGGAGAGCCGCCAGCACTATCACTCTATATCCAAGCAAAGGGTCTTGTTGTACGGCATGGAGAACTCCTCAGTCAAGTCTCTGCAGGCTTTAGTTATTCTGGCTCTCGACTTGGTGGGTAGCAGCAATGGACCTCCTGGGTGGAACATCATGGCTCTGATTACCAGGTCGGTCGTCCAACTTGGCTTGGCAGTTGAGAGTACCTCGTTTTCGGTTTCACCCAACTTTACCTCGATATACACGTTGAGGGCCATGATCTTACCCGAGCCCAAGGACTTCATCGAGGAGGAATCCCGACGACGACTGTTCTGGATGATCTACCTTCTGGATCGATACGCCACGTTGGCTACCGCATTTGAGTTCGCTCTCGATGACAAGGAAATCGACCGAACTCTGCCTTGCCGGGACGATTTATGGATCAAGAATCAAAAAGTCGAGACGCGATGGTTCCGGACACAAGACCACCCAGAGGACACAAACCCCGAATACGACATCAACAAGCCCGAGAACCTCGGGGCGTTCTCATATTACATTGAGATCTTGGCTATCCTCTCCAAGATCCACAAGTTCCTCAAGCAACCTGTGGATATCAGCGCCCTCAGCGACGTTGAGCAGTGGCAGATGCGCTACAAGGAGCTCGACAACATGTTGACCTCCTGGAAGTTTGGTCTACCCGGCGAGTATGGCAACATGGCCAAGTTGTTCCAACCCGGAAACAAAACACTTAATTGTGGCTGGGTCATGCTCCATGCTACGTATCACACTGCCGTCATACGCCTGCATTCGTCAGCAGCATACCCAACCACACGATCCCCAATCTTCACGCCCTCCTACAGCGCCTCGCAGAGATGCCACGGTGCAGTCGAAAACATTGCTGCACTGGGCGAATTCGTCGTCAACAATGGACTCCTCGCAAAGCTGGGGCCTCCTTTCGCCTTCACTCTCTGGGTGGCATCCCGTTTGCTGCTCGTTCACGGATCTACCGTGGAGCACAAGCTGTCACCTCAAATCCAGTTCTTCGTGGAAACACTCCGTGAGATGGGGAGGTATTGGCCGGTGGCTGCCCGCTACTGCGGTCTTCTTCAACGCGTTTTGGACGAGCACCGCGATAGTGAACGCCAGGGAGACGGCGTCACGCCCAGTTCGGTCAAGATATTGGCCGACATGCGGCGAACTGCATTCGACCTCGACTTTCTCATTTCTCGGCAACCTCGTGCGAACGGCATGCCCAATCACAGCCGTCTGCCAAGCGTAACTCCAGCGCGCACGCCGGCGCCTAACGAGCTCGAGTACCTGGACGTGTTCGACTTCTTCAACGTGCCTCGTCTGCCCGTGGGCAACGAGAACATTGCCGGAATACAGCACGCTGTCGGGGCCAACAACGGGCCAAACGGGGCGTCTGCCGGCGTGGACGGCGGCAGCGAGAACGGCGGCTCCAACGCCCCGGCCCCTACGGGCAACGAATTCAACATCACGAACTTTATGGTCGACGCGAACAGCGATTGGCTCTTCAAACAGGAGGGGGCCAAGTTCCTGTCTTGAGCTGCGCGGATGTGCATTTCCTTTACATCATGCATCCCTGAACGGGGGAAAAGAGCGATGTCGATTAGCGTGGTACTGGTTTACGAACTGTTCTGGCGATATAAAAGCATGGCCGAGTAATGTCTTGAGGATTTGTTTTCCGCACATGGACTTGATACCTGCCGGGTAGTAGCTCGGCGAAATGATTTGCTTCGTTGATGGGTGTTTGTCAAAATGTATGTATGATAATGACGGAGACTCGTCATGATATGGTCTTGATGAGGAGGGCTGGTGAGGAAAGGCAAGGGAATCAAAAGATAATGTGCTTGATTGATGAGTTTTCGATTCTCATAGCGTGGAGATCTCGTGAGACGGGAGGTATCCGAATAGCATAGGTGAGAGATGTCAATATTAGCAGGCCACCTCAGTCCTTGTTTGTGCTGGCCCTAGCAATTTGATTATTTACAACGTCCAACCTCATGCAAGCGGTTCTAGGCGGTCAATGACCCGAATCAAGCATACGTGCAAAACATCTTCCAAGAGGGTCACCAGCGAGTATCACGAGGTTGAACATGAATGTGGAGTCACAAAACCCACGATACACGAGTAGGATGGCCAATGGATACTGAAAAGGATAACAAGAAAGAAGGGTATATATTCATTACCGGACAATGGTCCAGATCCTAGATCCGCGCGAAAAAAGCACAACTCGCCGCCCATCGTGGAGAGCAAGCAGTCGCAACTTCAACAAACGCCCCATGATGCATCCCAGAAAACGCCTCAAGCAAAACCCACGACAGCCCGGGCAGGGTCCTGTCTCGAACGACACAAAACTCAACCGCAGCAGACGCTAGGTTCCTCGATACCGGGCGCTTTCGGCGTGGTGCGAGCGGTCGGGGTCGTCGGCAGCGCCGTGGGCGCCTCGAGGGTAACCCGCACGACGAGCCAATCGCACAGGAACTTGCCGAGCCCGGCGCCGATGATGATGGAGATGATGAGGTAGCCGTTGTAGTACATGGCGAGCAGCATGACGATGTAGGCGAGGCCGAAGGTGGCGGCGTGGATGACGGAGCGGATGAGTTGTTGGAGCGGGGAGGCGCGGAAGACGAGGGTTTGGGAAGCCGCGACGACGGCAGCAGTAGGGGTGGATTCGGAGTCGCAGCACGAGGAGGTTTCTTTGGGGATGCGGGATTGCAGCTCGGCGGCGCGGGCCTGGAATTGGCGCTGGATGAGGGCGTCGTATTCCTTGCCGAGGCGGCGGAAGATTTCGAGGAAGACGGTCAGGACGCCGACGCCGATGCAGGAGGCGGCGAACATGCCGGCGTTTTTGATCTGCCACGATTCGGCGAGGAAGCCTGGGGGGGAGCGGATGATTAGCACTGACGTCCACGGGTAGCAAAGTCGGGAGAGAGCCGGTGGGCTGACGTACAAGCGTCGATTGTGTACCAGTTCCAGAGCATGGACATTTTGCAGTCCGCCGAGGAACCGCCCATCGATCCGTGGTCCATGATGGTTTGTTGTTGTGTGTGTGTATGCGTCGCGGCTTGCGAACGAGGTGAGGTTATTTCGGGTTTCGGGGCTGACTGCGGTCGGGAGCTCTGAGGTTCACGGAGAAAGGCCGGGGTCGTTGGTATGTTCGGCTCGGGCGACGTCGCGGGAGAATGATACGGAGGGGATGGATGTTTTTTGTTCGTCCTGAAGGGTTGACGAGGGTGATGACGATGTAGTGGGAAGATAACGTCGGTTTGTTCAATACAAAAGACGATTACGCGAAACTGCCCCTTCCAAGCTTGGATCGGGACCGGAGTTGCTAGTTATCTATACGAACGGCAGTTCAAAGACATGCCGGCTAGGTAGGAATGGCGGGCGGATGAGAGAATAAAACGCCCCGCATCAGCCAGCAGCAGCACAAGAGAGGGAAAAGCACGGGCGACATCGGTTCATCAGCGCAAGCATCAACAAGGTGATGGGCAAGTCTTGGCCCGAGGGCGATGGATCCTGGTCAATCGAGGTTGGGGTTTGGAGGGGAGGGGGGGCAACTCGATGAGGGTGTTGTTGCGCAAGTTTCAAGAGGGGGCGGGAACAAGGGTTCAGAGTCGAGTTATCGAAACGAAAAGGGTGCAATTGGCGGGAGTCGAGGTCAGAGTTTGCGAGGGCTTAACTCGTTTGTAGAGAGGAATGCTGCGTAAACGGTAACTACCATTGCGAACACGCCAAAGCAAGAGATACTGGTGAGAGAGAAAGAGACAGTTTCTGGCTCTTGCCAAGTCGAACCAGTTGCCACCGCGCCGCGAGATGAGTGCAACGGAGGACCCTCTAACTTGCTCACGCTAAGCCGGTTCCGACGTTGGAACGAACCGTTTGCTGGAGGCCGAACCCCACGCTGATGTTCGTGAGCTCTGGGTGAGCAAGTTTATTGCATGGATGTCCAGAACTACAAAAAAGCTGGTGTCTCCAAGCATTCATAGCTTGGCAGGTGTCAAAATCATCTCACCTTCTTTCCTGAGAATCAGACTTGGCCCTCAAGGTGCTCAGTAATTACTTTTTTCCCCTCCGGAACAACCTGCGCATGGACCCTGCCACGTGCGGCGGTGACTAAGCTGTTAAATCGTTCCCTTACTTTGGCCCTAAAGAGGATGCAGAACCCGCCGCGGCGCCCCGTGCCCCGTGGCCCCCGCCTTCCCTTCCGCTGAAACCAGACCCAAAAAGAATTCTGAGCCTCAACTCCACCCAATGGGACAATTTCCATCCGTGCCACCCCGGGCCCGTCCCTTTTTAAGTGGGCCACGCATCCCGGCCCGGACCCGCTTTCCGGCAGAAACTTGCTCAAAGATGCTCAACCTGCTCACTCCCTTTCCCGCGCGCCCATTCTTTTTTTCCACCTTGAGCATCCTTCGACTCCGGGCCAAGTGGCCTCCCTCAATCTCGCTCGCACACATCGTAGGCGCGTCACTGGAGATGTCAAGTGTTGGCCGTGGATTTCCTTACCTCATCCTGTTCAATCCCAAACAGGAGATTTCTTCTTACGTGTCTCGGCCGGCCGTCTGCGATTAAATTAATTTGCATGCTCTTGGCCGCCTCGAAAGGCAAAGCCCGATCCAAGTTTTGATCCAGATCTAGTCTCTCTTTTCTGTTTCATCGGCATGCGTCGTCCACGGCATCAAGGCATGTCGTCGTGGTTTTGTGCTATCGTGATCCACCCGCACCAACTTACACCCCCGTCCTCGCCTTGAGCCTAAGCACCTAGCACCCGGCACCTTGCCCCCGGCTCTCCCTCCGCCGCGGTCTCGGGCTCTTCTAGATTCTGGCTCATCACGGCTCGCCCATTCCTGATGACAAACTGCAAACTTGCTCAAGAAGAAACGCAATAAGCGGGTTGCTCATATGGAGAACCTTCCCGGACCCAAACACCGCGCGGAACCGCTGCCCCCAGACCGGAAACATCAAATACCAAGACCCTTACATTAACTCACCTACCCTACCCACGTTGCCTCCCTAGAAACCTTCTCAAATCCCGCCTCGTCCCGTTTTTCCCTGCAAAGGATGTGACGATACTTTGTCACCGGTGCCACATAGTCCGTCTTGCCTTAAGAGTATCCGCGCCGCCGGTCGTCGCTGTTCGATCCATCGCCCTACCCACGCCTCTTGTTTGAGAGAAACAACCACGTATCCAGCCCCTCTCGAGTGCTGCTACAAGTAATATCAATGTTCATCACCGAGCACGCACTACTTCTTTATTACATCTAGCTGCCCTCCTTTCACGAACACAACACGAACGTCTGACGGCTTACACTGAGCGCGAACAAAGGAGTTGTGGTCGCGAATTCGACATCCATACATCACCGGCTATCCCGCCTCTCCCCGGACTGCGCTGCGAGACACTTACACGGCGCTGAGCGCTGACGTCTCACGCCTTTCCCGACGGCCTCGATCATCTCTCCCATCTACGTCCGAATCTCATACCCTCAACATGGACTCTCATCTCAAGGGCCAATTGGCGGCCCGCCATATCCAGAACCTGAGCGAGGCGACCTCATTAGAACCGCACTGGGGTTACGCGGATCGAGCCGTCCCATGCACGAACGACGCAGGGTCCTGCGCGTACCTCGATCTCGTATACGGCTCCCACGACTTGGGCATGCTGTACGTCGGCGTCATGTGGGTGATCATCGGAGGCATCTTGCTCTTCTGGGCCATCGGGAGGCGCGCCCTTCCTTCGCTGTCCGAGGAGGACGTCCTCCGCGCCGCCCTCCTCGAGGACACCCGCGCCAGCAAGAGCTTCCTCAACCGCCTCCGACAGACCGCTTCGTCAGCCATGAACCGTTACCTGCTCCCCGACTGCCTCCGTCCCATCTTCGGACGGACCACCCGTCTTCAGGTCCTGATCTTGACCGTCCTCGCCAGCTATCTCCTCGTCTTCTCCTTCGTCGGCATGATCTACACTACCTGGGTCACTCCGGTCAAGAAGATGCCCGGCGTCTACAACACCCGAACCACCCTCGGCCCCTGGTCTGACCGCCTCGGAATCCTCGCCTACGCCTTGACGCCGTTGACGGTCCTCTTCGCTACCCGAGAGTCGATCTTGTCTCTGCTCACTGGCGTGCCGTACCAGAACTTCAACTTCCTCCACCGCTGGCTCGGGTACATCATCGTCGTCCAGTCGAGTCTGCACACCATCTCCTGGCTCATCGTCGAAGTTCGTCTCTACCAGCCCCAGCCGACGGTCGCGGTGGAGTGGATTTCTCAGCTGTACATGATCTGGGGCTGCATCGCCCTCTTCTTCCTCATGGCCCTGTACATCCTCAGCCTGCCCCCCGTCATCCGCCTGACGGGCTACGAGTTCTTCCGCAAGTCCCACTACGTCCTCGCCATGCTCTACATCGGAGCCTGCATCGGCCACTGGAAGAACCTCGAGTGCTTCATGATCCCCTCCCTCGTCCTCTGGTTCCTGGACCGCGCGGCCCGCGGCATCAGGACCGCCCTCCTCCACCACAACTTCATCGAGGGCAAGGGCATGGGCTTCTCCGCCGCCCAGGCCGCCATGACCATCTTCCCCGACGCCGAGGACGGCGACGTCGTCCGCCTCGACTTCGACCACCCCCACGACGCCTGGAGCATCGGCCAGCACTTCTACCTCTGCTTCACCGAGAGCAGCATCTGGCAGTCCCACCCCTTCACCCCCCTCAACGCGCCCGTCACCGTCAACGGCAAGACGACGCACTCGTACATCTTCCGCGCCAAGGGCGGCGAGACCAAGAAGGTGGCCGAGATCGCCGCCCGCAAACTCGCCGCGGCAGCCGCCGGAGACAAGGGCGCCGCCGCGCCCACCACCCCCGTGATCCTGACCGGACCGTACGGGGACCCGATCCTGCGCAACATCACCTCGGACGTCAACATCCTGTGCGTCGCCGGCGGCACCGGCGTGACGTACGTCCTCCCCGCCCTGATGAGTCTGAGGAAGCACTCCCCGGCCTCGCGCAAGCTCGAGCTCGTCTGGGTCGTGCGGCACAAGAGCGACGCGGCGTGGATCCAGCCGGAGCTCGACGCCCTGGAAGCCGGCGAGGGACCGAAAGTCACCGTGCGCATCTTCGCGACGCGCGACGCCGGCAGCTGCTGCAACGCCCGCCGGTCCAGCAAGGCCCTCGAGGCCGGGTCGGACACCGGGTCGACCTCGGACGCGGCGACGGAGAAGAACCAGCCTCGTGTGTCGACGCTGGCCGTCGACGGCGGCGAGACGCCCCGGCACCCCGAGCTGCGGGTCGTCGTGCGCGAGTTCGTGGAGGCCACGGTCTCGGGACGGACGGCGGTGTTCGCCAGCGGCCCTGGTGGCCTCATGTCCGACATGCGCGTGGCGGTTTCCGAGTGTAACTCGGTGGGCAAGGTGTGGAAGGGAGAGGAGCGGTATAACGTGTGTCTGATTCACGACGAGCGCATGGAGCGGTGATTGATGTTGGATACGCGTTGGGGATTCTCTTCAGATTCTGTGCATACTTTTATTTTTGATACCACTTTATGGTTAGGCAGTGGACCGGCCAAAATATACCCCAGCGTGTGAGAATGACACGGTTTATGTTTTCAAGAAACCTCCTTCATCCAATGAATGCTAGAGTCGTGAACTACAGGCTCGTTTGTGAATTGTAGTGAACGTACAGGACAGCACGTTGGGCTAGACATCGCAGCCTTTGGCATCTGTCCTACTACTTGGGATGCGCTTCATCGTACTGTAAGCAGCATTCCTATATAAGCTGGAGATAGTGGACGAACGGCTGTCTGAAATCATAACTGATGTGTAAAAAGTCTCTCCTGATTTCGTTGTGCGAAGAGCTTCTAGTTCGAGTATCAGGTCGATCGCAACAGAAAATATTTCGCAACAAGAACGCTGTCCAAGTAGACTTGTATATGATGTTCTACCTCCGGACAGGAGTCAAAGTACACATGAGCGGCGGCTTATTCCAAGTGTTAAACGCCTTAACATGCCTCAAATCCCCCTCGACGTCCCACAAGTCCTCCTCCCCGGGCGCCACCGGCGCCCGCTGGATATCGAAATGCCAGAGCAAGTTCGCCAGGATCAGCCTCAGCTCCAGATAACTCAGGTGCCTTCCAATGCACCCCCTCGGCCCGAGCGAGAACGGCTGGCTCGCCTCCCTGTTCTCCCCCGCGTAGGCGTCTTCGAGCCACCTCTCCGGCACGAACTCGTCCGGGCGCGAAAAGTTCCCGGGCGAGTGCGTCGCGGCCCAGCTGTACACGGAGACGGTGGTGCCGCCCGGGAGGTGCTCGCCGGCGACGGCGTCGCCGCGCGCGGGCACCGTGCGCGTGAGGCCGGTGGGCACGGGCGGGAAGATGCGGAGGGCCTCGTCGATGCAGGCGTTCATGTAGGGCAGGTCCTGGAGGCGGAGGAAGTGCATGTCGGCGGCGGAGGGGAAGGCGGAGCGGATCTCGCGGGTGAGGCGGGCGTAGGCGTGCGGGGTGCGGGTGAGCCAGAGGGTGAGGCCCGAGAGGAGGGAGGCGGTGGTCTCGGAGCCGGCGACGATGAAGAGGGCGCTGTTGAGGATGATCTCGTTGGTGGAGACGCCGCCCTTTTCGTTCTGGCGGAGGATGTAGTAGAGGAAGTCCCTGTGCTCGCGGCGGAGGCCTTCGTCGATGCGTCTGTGCATAAGGGGGTTAGCAATGTCAGTGGCAGATGTTTCCTCTCGTTCTCTGGAGGAGACTTACTTGAGACACTTCTCCCGGCTCAGTTCTAGATGACGGAACCTCTTCTCGCGGAGATCACTCGGGATGAGCCCGACGAGAAGCTTTTGCAGGACGCTGCCCGTCTTGAACATGCGCCTCGTCGCCTGCTCGTAGGCCCCGGCCTTGATCGTCTGCGTGATGAGCGACACCCAGGAATGGAAGACGCCGTCCTTGAGGCACCCGAACGGCTCGCCGAAGGCCATGTCGCCGATGATGTCGAACGTGGTGAAGTCTGCAACCGTCAGCGAAAATCCGTCCGGATGCATGATGTTCATCTTGTCAAACATCTGTTCTTGAGGCACTTACTGAACCAGTCACAGATGTTGATCGGTGTCTGGGTGGCGGAGTACGGCGTGAGCTTGTCCACGAAGAGGTCGACGTAGCCGCGGATGATGCTCTCCTGCTCCAGCAGCGCCTTCTGGCTGAAGGCGTGGGAGAGGGCTCGTCGCTGCCGCGTGTGGTTTGCGTCGTCGGCCATGGTGAGGGTCGTGGAGCCCGGGAGGTCCTGTACGGACCCGACGCTGGGTGTTTTTGGTTAGTTGGGCCGTTCTGGGGCGAAGGCTTTCTGCTGGTCGGGACGCATTGGATTTTATCTCACTGTATCGCTGCTGCAGGTTAGTTTTGGGATAGCTTGGGTCGTCGCTAGACATAGACATACGATCTTTGTGGAACTGAGGATGGCCTTGGCGATGCCCGTAGATATCTTTCCATGCTTGCGGGTCGGTGAAGGCTAGCTCATTTGGCATAATCCGCACTATCGGGCCTGGAAGACGTCAATTTCGTGTCGATGAGCCGGAATCTCGCGTCATGTACCATATTTCAGATGCAACTGGTGAACGTCGAATGGCCACCGGCCTCGAAACAGTCCCCAGATGCTGTACACCTATGCGCGTATGAAATTCAGCGGGAGACTGGCACAGTCAGTTACGATGGAAACCAACCGGCGAGATCTTTGCGAGGAACGGCCCGGGATACTTCGCAAGAGGGTGAAGGTATAGATTATAGACGCATCTCCACGTGGCGTATGCCAGAGCCTGCCAACGATTAGATACCTCATCGAAACGGAGCAAGATAATGCCCCTTACCAGCAGTGCGCTGACCAAGAGAGACAACGAGGCCAATTCCATCAAGTTCGTTCCCTTATCACTGTAACTCATTATGAGTGTGTTCTTGCTGCTCACGATGGATCTGGGTTAGTAGACAACTATGGTTGTGAGACGTCGTCCTGAGAATGAAAGGGCAAGTCCACGGCAGAAAGTGAAACTTGGCAATTGACTGCTAGATATATGGTCTCTATTAACAATGCTAAATGCGACGACGAAGAATGAGAAAAGAACGAAATGTAATTGGACCCGGGCCGCGGGCGCTGCGAAGCGCAGAGGGGAAATCGTTATCCAGGTGCCGAAATGGGAATGGTTCTCGAAACGTTTTCCAGACCCAGTTTCAACGTCCCCCTTCGATCGATCCCGAATCTACCGGGTGGAACGTCTGCGATCCTCCAGGCATCCTGAAAGGCCCATGGTGTCTATACACCTATCCCGGCCAAATCGAGAAGTCGCATGGACGTGCGTTGTGGTCAAGGACAATTGTACCGGACTTGGTCCGTTGGGTCCACCTCGGCGATCGGCGCCGGAAGGTCCACCCGGGACCGGGGGAAAGCCGTGAGAACGGGTAACGACGGGTTTCTGGTCGGCGAATGACCGTCAGTTGGGATAAAAAGCGAGACAGTAGTGTAGAGGAAATACTAGTCTTAGTGCAAATAATGACATCCAGGATTGTCGGTAGAAGCCACTGAACGATTCGCACTGAAGGGAGATGAAAACGTCTTTAGACATACAAGACGCATCTTCGATCTACCGGTATTTCCAAGGGGCAATAGTTGGACTGCAGATATACTGGGAGACAGAATAGCGCGGGTTTAATCATATGTAATGTCGGGCAAAAGGCGAAGTGTGACAGTTATAATGTGCATTGTTAGCGAGGTTATGCCAACACGGGACATATTTGAATAAGAGTGCATGAGTCAATGTGCTGCAATTGTTCTAAAGCTTCTATAATAAACCAAACACGCTAAACTTTGAGCTATCTTCTTAACCGATTCGTTACTGGACAGACCATCACTGTGCGTGATGCTTAGCTGTGTTGGCCATTGCCGTTGCAGAACGGGATGGGGTAGGTATCGCTGCTGCACAGGCGGATGACGCCCTTGACCCAGTTCATGCTGCCGTAGGACTGGCTCTCGTACGCGTCGGCGGTGAAGGGCGAGACGGCCGGGCTGTCGGTGCATCCGGAGAAGACGTTGCCCTGGACCCGGCGGACCCAGGGCTGGCTGACGATGACGCCGAACTTGCCGTCCGGGACCTGGAACTCGAGCGAGCTCTCCTGGGAGGAGGACCAGGTCATGTCGAGGTTCATGCCGAGGGAGAGGCCGATGATCTCGTCGCTGCCGAAGGTGATCTCGCTGCCGACCTCGAGCGTGTTGGCGATCTCGTAGCCGCTCGAGACGCCCGCCGTCGCCTGGCTGTTGCCCTGGCCCGAGACCACCGGCGAGATGGCGACGTCCCAGTTGAGGAAGCTCTCGTCGGATGTGACCTGGACCTCGGTGCTCTGGGCGCAGCCGCGGCGGACGACGCCGGGGGTGCTGGTGAGGTTGTGGGAGGAGGAGGAGGATGACGGGGCCCGGGCGGCGATGGCGGCGGCCTCGAGGGCGTCGTAGGCGGCGGCTTTCATGATCTGGGAGGAGCCGTCGTTGTTGAGGAGGATTACGTCGTCGGCGGCGAGGGTGCGAGGACGGGGAGGCATGGCGCTGACGGCGGAGGCCAGGCCGAGGAGGGCGACGAGAGAGTGTGAAATCATTTTGATTGTGAAAGAGTGTCGATGTTGTTGGTTCAAAAAGAGTGACTAGGTTGTTTTAATTCAGAAAGAGTGACTGAAGTTGGTGAAAAGAGCGTGGAAAAAGAGTGTAAGTCCCGTCTCGGGTAGTTGGAAGAAGCTTGTGTAGGTCGTTGCTCAGAGTAATAGAACTATCTACACCTCACGGGAACGTCAGGCTGTTATAAGCCCACGACAATACAGTCCTCTTCCTACCCTTATGGCCATCCCTACATCTCAGGTCGAGAGAATCCCTACAGTTCAGGTCGAGAGAATCGAAGCATATTGCCCAGCTGTAGTGTACAGTGGACCAGGAATGCCTCTCCTGCTGTGAAAGTTTGGTACGGCTCACATCTCCAAAGTCAAGATAGGATCAAACTCCGTATCGCGGTGGATCGTAAGACTGCCCCTATCCTCCACTACTGAGGCTGAAGGTCCGTGGCATACTCCAAGTCTCCAATGAAGGCACGCGGACATACAACCCGATCTCCGCACCTGCCAAGATGGAACCAGAATTCGTCCTAATCCGGTGCGAGGCCGAGAAGTCCCAAAGCCCTGCCCAGGCCCTGCAATCTCACTTGGTATGGGGAAGATGTCCATTTTTGGACCAGAATCTGGCGGCTTCTGCCCGCGCTTCCGCCCTAGGCGGGGATCGATCCAGATACACGAAGAAGCTAGTCGCTAGTGAATCGGTGATGGCCACGCTCGTCGATTTCGCCTGGGGGAATGCTCGGGACTTGATCACGCTCGCTCCTGCGCAATGCGGTCTAGGTCGTGTCGCAACGACTTAAGCATAATGGCAATTTGGCGTTGCAATACCGCAGATCGAGGGCAGCAAAAAAACTGTTTGGCCCCCGAACCCCCAAAGTCCCCAAGGATCCATAAATCGTTTGGGCGCGACTGAGCCGATTGGGTCGAGGTTTGGCACCGAGTCATGAAGAGTCGTGCGGCTCTCCGGACATAACCGTCTGCTGAATTCTCGTCTCAGGTGTCCCTTGCCGAGCTGGCAATCAAAAAAGGTCCCTTGGCGGTTAGTAATATCCCCATATGAGTTTGTTTATACTCAAATTGTGCTCAATGCAAAAGCCAGCGTTCGGAAATGGCGGTCACGAGACTCTTGGCTGCCCGTCCTGCACTGCCACGCACAAGGCGCCCACCGACTGAGATAATTCCTGACAATAAGGAGACTTCAGCATACCATCATGCTCGTCCGCTAGGAGATCGCATGATTCTTCCAAGTGCGTAACGCTCGCAGTGCGCTGAGCCGTAGACAAGGCGACACAAATTATCCTCGCTGGGCATGTCTACTCACCTGCATTGATGTTAGCTGATGAAGTTGTGAGTTTTGAGCCGATTGAAAATATTTTAGAGATGTGATGTGTGCAGGACCTAGTCATCTTTCGGAAGGATCCAGGGGCAATGCGGGCCGATGGCGACACGGAGCGGATAGGAGTGGTCCGGGGCATGGGTGGAGTTCGGACAAAGAAGACCTGAGGCAGGTATTGATTCGGGGGTGCCGAAGCGGACCGGGGAAAAAGGGGTATGTGGATACAGTTTGTCCGGGAATCGGAATGACCCACACAGGGGCGGCTTCCGGTCTTTTGTGGATACATGGTGTATTTCTGCCGGAGTATCGGAACGGACCAAAACGATTTCTTTGCCGCCCCGTTCTTTGCCGCCGGTTTTTCGGAAGGTCTGCGTGGGGCATCTTTACCGCTCGATTCGCCGCATATGCCCCCGCTTGCTGCTCCGTATTTACGGCGTGGTCCCGTGCTGGCGGAGTCGGACCGACGACTCGCGGCGGACCGGCTGGGGGTGATTGCACTCGGACACCGAAATTTTCAGGTCGTAGGTGGCCTAATGACCATGCGGCTTCTCGAAGGTCGTGCTGGACGACCGCAATGCGCTCTAGCAAGAATTCTGCGAGCTCATCAAAATTGGAGTTTTGGTTGTGACGTTTGAAAATATTGCTGATTGCCTTCAACGGCCGCTGAAGTAAGTTTCGGCAGGTCCACAAAGACTTCATGAGCATCATGGTGAGGCTTTAGCAAAATCTCAAGTAAGAGAGAGAGTCGCCAATTGAGCCGTCAGGTGGTTGATGACAGCCTGATGCAGCTGGAGTAAGATGTCGCGAGGACATGCCAGGCTGCCAACAGCTTGGCGGACGGCAGACGGACCTCATCGACGGACCAAAAAATCGCATCGAAGAACGGCCGAAAGAGTCAGCGGGAATGTGGGCGACCGGCAGGAGCTAGCGTGGGGATCTGCTGAGGTTCGGAAAGGGTGGAGACAGACGACCGGGATGAGAGTCAGGGTCCAGGTCGCGGGGGAAGACTGAAGACTTTGGAGGCGATGAAGCAGGTGATGGGTTTTGAGTGCCCGACGACGCTGAACACGACGACTAGTACAGGTCCAGTAGAAAAGCGTGGCAACGGCGTCCTTTGGACGAATGTAACGGGCGACGGGTGATGTTGGAAGACAAATCAGATCGCAGGGCTTTATTGGTTAAGCTCAATTACACGTAAAGCTGCTGACGTCTTCTAGCCCAACTGCCGTTGCCGTCTACCTGGTGAGAATCAGCCCAGTTGTAAACAATCCACGCGGCCAGAGAGATGAAAGCTCAACATTGCAGAATTTTTTTCGATTCTGAACAAAAGTTGAGTTTCAGCGAGGACAAGAGCGCGGTCGAAATGATGGAGCATCGTGTTGGATCGAAAATGAAGGCTTTGCAGTTCTGAAGGAAAAAGATGCGAAAGAATTAGCGGTGCGAAGTGACATGGGCCAAAGTAGCGAATCAGAGGCGGCGACGCAGAGTTGCCGACGGGGCGGAGAGGGTCAGAGGCTTGCAAACGGGCCGAACAGCACCCAGTTTCAGACGATGGTGACTGGGATGACCTCGACGTGGACGAGCCGAGGCCAGGCGGTCGTAGCCAAATATTTCGGTGAATGGAAGGTGGAAAAGGGCAAGGTGCTCTTCATGAACGTTTCGCCGTGGTGTTTGGAACATGTCTTTGAATTAAGTGGTCTCGGGGAAAGCCAGCAGGTGTGACGAGGAGCCTTCCTTGGGTGCCACGAGGATTGAGAAAGAGGAAAGTGCAGGTAGAGACCATGTCTAGAACTGCTTACCTAAGAAAGATACATGAGACTTCATTCGGAAAGACCCACCTTTCCCGCAAAATGTCAGAATTCCTGCCATTTCAACGAGCCGCACTTTCTCTTGTCCACGACAGTTGCGGCAATCATGGCCGTGATTTTACAATATTCTACCTATTTTTACTACTGTATTGTTTTAGAAGGCTCTCCTAGCTACGGAAATATCTCTACTGTATACATACGACACAAGAAGCAGCTACAAAAGTTGCGCAGTGTGACATCACCGCGCCAAAAACAGACGCAACCTCGTCAATTTCGAACCGTCCAGTACGAGCCCACACCACATGATCGGTTCCTTGCTGCAATCCCCGCTCCTCTCCATTCTTCCCCCATTCTCCAGAAAACCTTGCCGTTGAGTCGGGAGACTGAGTCGCGGGGAATGGGGAAGACGGTCCAAAAAAAGTTTTTCGTCACCTGCCATGCAGCAGCCATTCTGCGCTTTGTTCGAGAACGTTCAACGCTCGCTGAATTACACGATCCACACGCGTGGAAGCCATCAACAAACATGGTCAAATCTACTCACTTGCAATTACGTTATGTCGACCGAAGTTCAAGCAACAAAATAAGCATCGCCATGCCAGCGGGTGCCGTCTTGGTGCTGTGCCGATCAGTGCCAAGTTGAGATCGCCTGGCTGGGCCAACTCGCTCATGTGCCATGGCCATGGCGCCTTGGCATGGCCTGCATCGCAACCCTCTCGCCTCGTCGTTGGATATGTTTCGAATACACTTGGGAGACGCCGACGAGCAATCAATCAGAACTAGCCGTACTGCCCCAGGTAGACGCGGGGCGGGACGGATGCTTGCCGCCAGCGCGCGCCTCTTCTGCTGTCAACATACCTACTTTACTGAAGTACCTTCACCCTGGACAGAAAACGACCTTCTGCTGCACACCCTCTTCAAGCTTTGCTCCGAATTTTGGCACCCTTGTCCTTGCTCCATTTGCCCCGGCTGGGGTTCATTGTCGGGGATGATGGGGGGCCCATGATGATGGAGCTGCCCGGACAGAGGTGCGTTCCTGACCACAACAATGTTCCAACCCATTTCTCTGACCTTTTCTTAGACGTCCAACTAGGTAGCTGATACCTCGCTGTCCACCGACTAGCCGCCTGGGTGGTCTGTACTTGGTTCCACGACTCGGCCTCCCCGCTGTGTGTCAACCAGCCTTCGACGCCAGCAGCGCGTCAAGTGCCTCCTCGTGATCGACCATCGTCCATCGGCTCTTTCGTGGCCTGTTCGTCGCCTCTCCACCTCATTTGTCTGAACTTGACGCCAATGAGCTGCTCTCCAGGCACTGGCCCTGCTCTGCCGTCCATCACCCATGGCCTAGCACTGCATACCAGACAACCGACGAAAATGCTACGAGTCCACCAGGGTGCTACCAACTTTGGTACCGTCGTACGAGCTCCCCCTCACGAACTTTGGGGAAATGTGGGAGCTCCCATGCCACATTCTGGGGAACTTTATATACCGACCGTTTCCTCCCATCTTTTCCCCAGACGCGTTTTACTCCTCGTGCTCAAGCCTCTAGCTGCCCAAGTCCCAACCCGTCGACTTCAAGCGTTGAGACACTCCATCTTTCGCTGTTCTTTCTCTTTTCTCATAGCAAATCTACCAAGCCAGGCTCATCATGGGTATCAAACCAGCTGGCGAGCCCGGCAAGGCCTGGCCCGCCATTGCCATCGGCTTCTTCGTCGCCTTCGGCGGTCTTCTGTTCGGATATGACACAGGTACTATCAATGGCATCCTGGAGATGGTACGTATCGTCCGCTGTTTTACAGCCTCAACAAACAAAACTGACCGTTCTCTTTCAGTCCTACTGGCAACGCCTCTTTAGCACCGGTTACGTGAATCCGGCTGGAAACCCCGACGTCTCGCCCTCCCAAGAATCTGCCATCGTCTCCATCCTCTCGGCCGGTACCTTCTTCGGCGCCCTGGCTTCTCCTTTCCTCGCCGACACCATCGGACGTCGCATGGGTCTTGCCGCCTCTACATGGGTCTTCAACCTCGGTGTCGTTTTGCAGACCATTGCTGTCGATATTCCCGTCTTCCTTGCCGGTCGTTTCTTCGCTGGCTTTGGTGTCGGCTTGATCTCCGCACTTGGTGAGTCTCGATGCGGGAGTCGGAAGACATCTCATACAATACTAACCTGTTACAGTTCCTCTGTACCAGTCCGAGACCGCCCCCAAATGGATTCGTGGAGCCATTGTTGGTGCCTACCAGTGGGCCATCACCATTGGTCTGCTGTTGGCTGCCATCGTAAACAATGCCACTCATCTCCGCCAGGATACCGGTTCCTACCGCATTCCCATTGCTGTTCAGTTCGCCTGGTCGATCATTCTCTTCGCCGGCATGCTTGTTCTGCCCGAGACCCCCCGTTTCCTCATCAGACGCGGCCGTATGGAAAGCGCCACCAAGGCTCTCGCCAAACTTCGCCGTTTGCCCGAGACTGACCCCGCCATTGCTGATGAGCTCGCTGAGATCAAGGCGAACCATGACTTCGAGAGCAGCATGGGCTCCGCAAGCTACCTCGACTGCTTCAAGCCCCCTGTTCTGAAGCGTCAGTTCACCGGCATGGCCCTCCAGGCTCTCCAACAGGTCAGACACCACTAGGCATGTTCCGGAATGAAGATCCACTCGCTAACCTCACTAACAGCTCACGGGAATCAACTTCATCTTCTACTACGGCACCCAGTACTTCCAGAACTCTGGTTTCTCCAACGGTTTCGTCATCGGCATGATTACCTCGTCAATCAACGTCGCCTCAACCATCCCGGGCATGTACGCTGTCGACCGCTGGGGCCGTCGTCCTCTGCTTCTCTGGGGTGCTATTGGCATGTGTATCTCGCAGTTTCTCGTCGCTATGCTGGGAACTTTGACTACCGACCAAGATGCCAGCGGTAACATCATCGTCCTCAACCTGCCCGCTCAGAAGGCTGCCATCGCCTTCGTGTGCATTTACATCTTCTTCTTTGCCTCGTAAGTACACCTCATCGTGCTTCCCAACACACCATCCACGCATAGAGTGCGTGGGTTGGTCCGTAAACAACCGAAATCGACTGATGACTAACACAATCACAGCACCTGGGGTCCCCTTGCCTGGGTCGTCAACGGCGAGATCTTTGGTCTCAAGACCCGTGCGAAGTCTCTGTCTCTGTCGACGGCCACCAACGTAAGTTTCTTCTGTCTGTTGCATAGCGTGTTTGCAAACCACTAACTTGACTTAGTGGCTCCTCAACTGGGCTATCGCTTACGCCACTCCCTACCTCGTCAACTACGGTGACGGCTACGCCAACTTGCAGTCCAAGATCTTTTTCGTGTGGTTCGCCGCGTGCTTCCTCTGCATCGCCTTCGTGTGGTTCTTCATCTACGAGACCAAGGGACTCTCCCTTGAGGAGGTCGAAGAGCTCTACAACGAGGTCAGCGTTGCCAGCAAGTCCGTTGGCTGGCGTCCGACTCAGACGTTCCGCGAGCGCACCGGTGCCGAGGCCGACAAGGCGGCTCCTAACAGCGATGGTGACATTGCTCATCACGAGAAGACGGTTGCTGTCTAAGCGTTTACTCCATGGAGATTGCATAAGTGGCCTTCGCACTTATGGATACGCGTCCTCTGGTGACGCGCGGGGAGTGAGAAGATTTAATGCATATACCTTTCATGAGATACCACGATTTATTTTCCAATAATATATACCTCAAATCATGTCATACTCAAATGTCTGTTGACTCAATAATACTTGCACCCGATGACCCACTGGACGACGGAATCAAGGACATGCATCCGGGCACTTACTCGTTTTGGTGCGAGGCCAAGCCGGCTGTCCAGCCGAAGAATCAGCGACAACAGTTAAGTCTTGTGCGATTTCTCACCGGTCTACCATTTCTCGGTGTACTGAAAGACGCTGGTCCTTGGATTTCTGCGGCCTGTGAACTTACAGTGCCTCAAACCCTACTGGTTGCTTCTCTTTCCAGGTCCCAGGATTGATCATTGGGTTTTTCTTATTGGATTTTACTACACAACGTCTCTTTCCCGGTCTAGCCTAGCCATCCCCGAGTCTGTCATCCATCCCACCCGCCCCAGTCCACCCACACCCGCCATCCGAAAATGACGCGAAGTTCTACCATCCCGAACCCCCCCGGCCCCATCTCCCGTCTCCCGCCCGGCTCTTGCATCCGGATTCCTGGCTCCAACCTCCCTCGAAACGGCAACATGCCATCAGCCCCCAGCCAATCAACGACCCCGTTCGACCATGGCAGTTCGATATACTCCTGGCCCCCAAAACCCCCGTCGCTGCATCACCGGCTCCCGGCAGTGATAAGGGCAAATCGTCGGGTCCTCGCCGGGCGATGTTGTGGGGGTTCATTGGCTGGAACCGCCGTGCTTTGCCCGGCCAGATGGCTTCTTCGCCCGCTCGGCCAGCTGGACTCATTTCCTGCATCGTGTCAATCATGCGACCTGCTGACTTTTCTAGCCATCGCCGACCCGGTTGATGGTTGACGCCCAGCGAGGTGTTCGTACCGAGTATGAGCTAGGTACGGTGCTAGATTGGAGTGTCCGTCTATAAAAGGGGCGTCCATGAACGACTTTGATTTCCGCCTTGGTGCAGTCTTGTTCTCATTACGATATTCATCATCCTAAAACTGCCCAACCGCAATTCAAAATTATAGCTCTACCTCGACAAGTCTCTTACGTTCCATCTTCTCAAAGTAACAAAATGGCCTCCCGACACCCGATGCCAAACACCTACAACCACCCGGCGCCCAAGACCAAGACCGCGTCGTCGACGTCGACGTCCTCTACCTCGGACGCGATCAAATCCTTCTTCACCATCGCGCCGTCGTATCCCATCATGCACTCGTCCACGTCTCGATACCCTCTGCCCACGGCCCACGCGACTGAGTCGAAACAGGCAACAACTGATACCTCGCGGAACGAGCATCGAGATACGCAAGCACAGACGCAGACGCAGACGCAGGCGGGTGTACGGTCTTCGGAGGATTCGTGGGATACCATCGATCGCTTCAAGGAGGAGCAGGAGAGACGAGGTTAAGTCGACAAACGAGAGGATGAGGCTGAGGTTATTCGGACGAGGTGGCACATTGTCCGCAACGGTTTTCTTTGTTCGGCTCGACGTTTCTGCCAGCCGGTTTCGTTCGTTCAAGTGTAGCAATCAATGAGAGGCCTATTGTTCTCATCGCCCGAACAAAGAATGAGGTATCCTGGATATTTCCATGAATGCTTAACCTCATGCTGCCGTTTTTATGCCCTTGATGGTGGCATGTTTGGCATCATCAATCCTCGTGAATGACACAAAGACCAACTCGCCCTTATATATGTAGACTGTGGACGTGTCGCGGGCCTTTCAATGGCCAACTTGAAATTCAATCATCTCTTGTTGATCACTAGGAATCAGTGCAATCTCATCACTTCTGCCATCCGGTAAACCGCAAGCCACCATGTGCATCAAACATGTCCAGTTCTTCGCCTGCCCCTCGAAAGACGGCCGTGCAAAACACCACTGCATCAAGAGCAACATCCTCTGCTCCGAGCACTTCCCCTGCCCGGAGCCGCAGTGGGAACGCCGCACCAGCGAGTACCGCTACATGTGCCCGAGCTGCTCCGGCGAGCCGCCCGAGGTCCCGCGCCAGCGGCCCGCGACGGAGCACTGGGAGCGCGACAACTCGACCGACGACGACTGGGTGCAGTGCTACGTCGACGGCCTCTGCAACAGCGTGCTCGTCTGGGGCTGGGGCCGGCAGCACGGGCGCGGCAGCGGGCTCGAGGACACGGTCTCGGTGCGGCAGATGACGCAGCTGTACCCGTCCTTCTTCCTCGAGTGGCGCTGCAAGGAGCGCGACCACCGGCCGTCGCAGTGCACGTGCGAGGCCAACGGGCCGCTCGCGTACCTGTACAACCCGGCCATGGCGGCGAGGCGGCACTTCACCAACGAGACGGCGTCCGAGTTCGCGACGAACTCCCACGTGCAGGGCGAGCTGGCGCGGCAGTCCTTCGCCGACGTCCACCGGCGCCTGAGTCGCATGTGCAGCCGGGGAAAGCTGTACTTCGAGGACGGCATCGCGCGGCAGCCCTTCTTCTCGGGCGAGGGGGTGGCGAGGCGGAGGTCCACGCTGGAGCGGGTCGTCAAGAACGCGTGGCGGGCCATGGAGGACGAGCTGACCGCGAGCGCGGATGCGAACGGTGAGGGGTGGACGGACGCGCATACTTTGATGGAGGAGAGGACGCGGAGGCGGATGAGCCTGGTCAAGTTCATGGGGGAGATCGCGCTGTACGACAACGGCTTCTCGATGGCGCGGTTCTGCCTCGTGGCCGAGCGGCTCGCGAGCATCATCCAGACGCCGCAGTGGCGGGGGCCGTCGCACGTCATGAGTCTCGAGAAGATGGCCGACGTGGCGTCTGCCGTGCAAGACGGCGGTAACCAGCCGGACTCGTTGAACCCCTTCGGCGAGTTCACGAAAAAGGCAGTGGCGTACTTCACGAGCAAGCGCGAGACGTGGGCGAAGGAGATCCGGAACTACACTTCGAAGCGGATGCTCTTCGACAGCGCCATTGAGCCAATGAACGACGCGGCGCTGCAGGCGGCGGTGAAGGACGGGGTTGAGGAGGAGTGCGCCGTGTGCTACGTGAAGTTCTGGGAGACGCCCTCGCTGCGGCCGCCGACGCCGAAGCAGACGCCCACGGCGGCGAGTCCGGAGCAGAGGGACACGTTGGCGGGGCGGCAGCAGCTGCTGGTGTCGCAGGCGAGCACGGCGACGACGGGGTCGCACATCTCGAACCAGATCCGGCGGCTCAAGTGGGACGACGACCCGGACGTGCAGCGGCGGATATTCGGGGCGAACGCGGCCGGGGTGAGCATGTTCGACCGCGGGGAGCCGCCGGTGCGGCTCAAGCATTGCGGGCACGTCATCGGGAGGAGCTGCCTGTTCCGGGCGTGGGTGACGGAGGCGAACGACCCGGACGAGAGGCCGTCGTGTCCTTTTTGTCGGGCGGAGCCGCCGATGGGTGTGTATCAGGTTGTCGAGGCGTTTCTTGGGGACGGAGGGCGTAGTTGGCGGTTCCCTACGCGTCTGCTGTCTTTGTTGAGCCGATGAGGGTCACTTGGGTATTGTCATTTTTTGAACAGACGGATCTGGCGTTGGCGGGCATGTGAGAAATTAGAATCAATCTCTGTGATATCTGTGTTAGTCACTCGCTCATCTCGAAGTCATCGTCTGTGTGGTCATGCGAGGTGAATCCGGGCGTAGGAGCCTCTTCGGTGCTCCCGGGACCAGGCTCACGGCCGTTATCCAAGCCGCAAGCGAGATATACGGCTTCGCGAGGTACAAAGTTGCCGAGTGCGAGGGTCACAAGGTTGGTGAAGCGATGCACTTCGGAATTAAGCCGCACGGAAGGATCGATGTCAAGGAATAATGGCGGATGCGGGTAACCTCGATGTTATCGGAAGGCGAACGACGGTCGTACGATGCCTAAAAGTGGCTTCAGAGTCGACCGACAGCTATTGTCGTGTGATGCCTCGGTGTAACCTCTCGAAGACAAAGATGAACCCATTGTGAAGTCCGGATGCTGGCGAGCTCTCGGTTGAAGGGAAGGGAAGATTTGAGGTGGGCAGAAATCATTATGTTGCTCCTGACGTTCCTTGAGATGGTGAATCGGTGGGTGTGTATTTTGAACCGAGTGCGAAGTGACAGACTTCACCCGTCTGCTGTGGTTGGGTGAGCACGCGATCATGATAATGACTATGATCACGATGTTGATGTGTTGTTGAGGGACGATGGCTTGGGTGGACGGTGTGGCGCCCAATATCGAGAGCTCGGACGACAAGGATGGGCCAGTAAAAAGGTCAATGTAGCCCGGGCTCGGTTGCAAAGCTATGGGATTGGTCGGAAAATAAGTCCTTTTTACGATTGGTTCGCTTATTTCAGCAGGGATATCAGAGAGTGGGGTCTTTACCGGCCGAGTGGTGGAAATCTTCGCTTAAGAACCCAGTCACAGTCTACCTCAGCCAACCAACAACCCGTCACCCGTCAGAGCAAACAGCATCCAAATGAGTTGCAATGGATGCCAGAATGAATCTCTGGGGACGCGAAACTCATCTGACATGGACCGAATGCGAGTCTAGACCCAACGTTGCATCTGGGTTAAGCCCGTACCTTACTTACCCTTACCTCCTGTCGGTCTGACATGAGCCCCCCCAATGGAACTTTGGGCTCAACTCAATCACAGAAAGCTGGTTGACTGGCTTCACACGGAGCAACTGGAATTCGATGACGAGTCCATGGCGCACAGCGGGGCCGTCGGCGCCGTCCTCAGCCCGCCCGTTTGAACCGCTTGCTCCCGTGACCATGACGGATTGTTCTCGGACAATCGAACTCAGCATGACACATGTTATTCATCATTCTGATTTTTTAACTAATTCCGCATTTTCGTTTGGTCAGGTATCTATTGTTTTCTTTTGCCGACCAACCCCCTACCGCTCCCTGTGCCACCCATATGCGCACATCTCTTCAAGTTACAGTCAGTCATCCGGATCCTCTATTCAACTCGATGGCTTGCAGGATGGGCTTTGGTCTCGTCCTGGAGCTGTCTTGATTCGGCAAAACACCCGTAGTGACCGTTTCTCTCAACCACCCCGGCCCGCCGAGCTTTGCTTACATCCTCACCCGCTGCTACGGCCGTACCGCAGCACGTCCCGGCCATATATCACAACGGCGCATGGCACGTTTGCTTCTTTCCTCCGCAGCGTGATCCGATCTGAGATTTTCTTTTCTTCTTCCTCTCCAACCCGCAGGTCACTACCACACTCGCAATCCGGCCCAACTCTGCGGTCTCGGGGGCCTTCACCCAACTCGCAGTCCCAATTCACCCGCTCACCATTCACGAGCGACCAACAACACCATCTGCCGTCCACTCACATCCAAACATCACCCACCCTCCTACCCATATCCTCGGGTGAACTGGGGGCCGTACCGACCACAACTGCTGCTACGTCCGTAGCCCTCCCGTGTGGCATACCCGTCCGCCTGGCAGCCACCATCTCCAGCAGTTCGGCCGGGCTTGCGTCTCCTGCGACGATAGCTTCTCGCATTCGCACCAGCTAGCGTGGGAGCTGCGTGGCATCCCGGACACATTCATCAACTACCTCTGCAGTTACCTGCAGCAACAACACCATTTGGCAACCGGACCCGAGCTTTTATCAAACAGTTCATCATTGTACTTAAGATCCCGATCTGCCACTCTCACTTTCGCCGTCCGGTTTACATCTCATCGCAACTTCATCCCGAATGGGTTAGGCAGCCGCAGCGCACTAACAACAAGTCAATCAAAATAACTCAGAGGAGCCGCTAGTCGCCGCCGTTATTCCTCATTCATAACATACGGTCCTGAACGTAACGCAAGTATCGCCAACGACCTCATTGAAAAGGCCTTTGGCCACACAGCTTGTGAGTTATTATCTGGCCCTGGCAATTCAGCAAGCTTGAATGGCGTCGCCTCATGGCTGTGGTCAAAGTTCATACCGTCATTGTAGAATCCTGCTAACAATGCACCAGGAGACGAGACCCCGATATTTGAGTACCCAAATCATAACACAATATGACCGCAGGAACCGCCAGGCTACCGGCGGTAACCGTTCTTCGCACCGCTGAAGACGAGGAAACGGACCTAGAAACCTTCCGAGAAAATCGTCTCAAAGGTGCATACGATGAGTGGCCAAATGAAGCCGGAGTGAGTCTCACCCACCACAGCCTCACCTCCCAACACCATTGCTAAACATACCTCTAGTTTGACGGACTCACAGAAGAGCGCGGTCCCATCGAGCTCAAAATCCAAGGAGAGATCCCGGCCTGGGCCGCCGGCGCATTATACCGAACCGGCCCGGGCTACTGCAAAGTCGAGGACACGCCGAACGGAACTTACTACATCTCCCACTGGTTCGACGGCCTCGCACACACGCACAAGTTCGACATCATCCCCCCGGAGCCCGAATCGTCCGGCAGCACCCGCGTGCTCTACTCCTCCCGGCGCCAATGCGATGAGCTTGTCAAAGAGATTCAGACCTCGGGCCCCCAGGGCCGCTTCACCTTCGGCCAGCGCCGCGACCCCTGCGTCGGCCTTTTCGGCAAGGTCATGAGCGTCTTCTCCAGGGGCACCGGCCCCAACGTCTGCGTCGCCGTCAACGCGAACGTCCCGGGCCTCACCTCCTCGGAGAAGACGGTCCAAGGCCCCGCCGCGCCGGGACACCGCAACGGCGTCCGCAGCGTCTGGCTCTCCACCGACGCGAACCCCCTCCTCGAGATCGACCCGGACACGCTCGAGCCCGTCGGCACCGCCCGGCAGGACAAACTCCACCCGGACCTCACGGGGCCCCTGTCCTGCGCGCACGCCCAGCGCGACCCCGAGACCGGCGACATGTTCAATTTCAACCTCGGCTTCGGCCGCACCGCCACCTACCGCATCTTCCGCGTCAGCGCCGCCACCGGCAAGACGGAGATCCTGGCGTCCATATCCGAGTCCCAGGCCCGGCCCGCCTACATCCACAGCTTCTTCCTGTCGAAAAGCTTCGTCGTGCTCTGCGTGCCCTCGACCCACCTCGGCCTGAACGGCCTCAAGGTCCCCTGGGAGCGGAACCTCCTCGACGCCATCGAGCCCTTTGACGAGTCCAAGAGGTGCCGGTGGTACTTCGTGGACCGGCTGCAAGGGAAGGGCCTCGTCGCGACCTTCGAGACGCCCGCGGGCTTCTTCTTCCACTCCACCAACGCCTTCGAGGAGCCGTCCGCAGACGGCGACGGCGTCGACGTCTTCTGCGAGGCCGCGAGCTACCAGAACCTCAACATCCTGACGAACCTCTACTACGACGTCCTCCTCAACCGGGACGACGCGGCCAACAAATTCTGGCAGCACGGCGACCGCGTGAAGAACGGCTACGCGAGCCTCCGCCGCTACCGCTTCCGAATCCCCAACAACGAAACCACCGAAAACGCGCCACAAGAACCAGAACTCCTCCTCTCCATCCCGGCCCCGCACGCCGGCGAGCTCCCGACGATCAACCCGGCCTACCTGACCCGACGCCACCGCTACGTCTACAGCCTCTCGGACCGGGGCCTCAGCACGCTGCTCGACACCATCGTCAAGACGGACGCGGACGCGCGGGCGGCGCTGATGTGGCAGTGCCCGCGGGCGCACACGCCGGGCGAGCCCATCTTCGTGCCGCGGCCCGGGGCGGAGGCGGGGGCCGAGGACGACGGCGTGGTGCTCAGCGTCGTGCTGGACGGCACCGCGCAGAAGAGTTACCTGCTCTGCCTGGACGCGCGGACGATGACGGAGTTGGGGCGCGCCGAGTGCGGGTTCGTCGTCGGGCTGGGGTTCCATGGTATTCACGCTCCTTCGGGGCCGGGGATGAGTTGAGTTAGCCTCGTCTTTGACGGGGGTTTGCTGGTTGCTTTTGGTATGATTCATGATGACGATGAAGAATGATGGATATGCATCATGTTTTCTCCGGTGTTTTGGCATTTCTTGGAGGCAAGACTTTGGGAATAGAGAGGTTTTCGTGCACTTGGGTCGGCAACTTCTGGCATACTTCTATGGATGTGGACTCTGAGTTGATGGCTGTTCTCACGTTCTGCGATACGTGGTTTACAATTGTCTTCTTGCGCCGAGTAGAGTAATGTTCATTTGATGACTTCACTCAGACGGCATTCCGTTCTGCCGGCATCTGGCTTGCGATAATTACCAAACACGACGTGAATAAGACCGGGTCCAATCGACCAGCTATGAGAACATCGTTTGATCATCCGTTGCATCCAGCGTGAATTAAGGTTATACATATAACTAGGATTATATTCTAATAAAGTCTGTAATACATCTCGTAACCATAACCGGCAGCTTTGCCCTGCTGACTTCTGATGAGACCCAGTGTCGGTAAGCTGTTCTCACCGCTGGTGTCCTATATCTGTTGAGTAATAAATTGTGGTGCATCTCATTGGCATCCCTTGGAAAATGCCCTCAAAATAGATGTTCAATGAAATATGTGCCGGGTAACAAAGGAAATGCGATCAAAGAATGCAGGTAAGGCTCAATGCAGTAGGGTATCTCCAGCTCCCATCCTCGAATGTCCCAGATTGCCAAAACGCCGCACGACCCAAGAAACAAACGAAACAAACATTCAGAGCCCCGCCGCCCGATAGAAGATGAATGGGCGCATGTCAGCTCATGCAAGGAAAGTCAATCCATGCTTTTCACTCCCCAAGCCCTTCTCGCAGAGCATCGATGTCGACCAGATCCGGACACACTTTGCTGGGAGGGCCACGCCGCTGATGAGCTGCCAAGTATTCCTGAAAACCAGGTATGGCACCTGGCTGGTTGATACCAGGCGCCCTAAGAAGATCTCTTTCCTTCTCCTTCTCCTTTTCTTTGGCTTGTCCGCTCCGTCTGGATGGTGTGGGCGTAGGCGTCGGTGTAGTAGACCGAGGAGGGACTGAAACTCCGCTACCACCACTCCATGGCCGCCAGCTTACCCATCTGCCCAGGCCACCCGAGTGCTGAGAATGCTGAGAGTGGGCGCTTGATGGAGATGCGCCTCGGATGGGCGTTGACACGATTCTTGGCATGGGCAGTCCCGCAAGGCTATCACGGAGCATGGCGTCACTCCTTTTGTCGCTTCCACGCGAGATGGTTGAGCGTGCGGTGACGCCCGTGAAAACAGCATCAGCTCCACCAAGCGGGCGCAGAGTCATTTGGCTCGGTCGAGATTTGAGCGTATGAATGTCCAGCCCTCCAGACAGAGACATGATCGACTCGTGAGACACTGCACGGTGCAAGCGCCTCGGGCGCAGTTCGTTGTCTTTATTGAAGGACACTTCCGTATCAGTTTCTGTCTCCGTCTCAGTGTACTCGTCGTTGGGCGCCAGGAGGCCAGGAACTTCTTCTGTGCCGGTATCCTCCCTTTCTTCTTCAATTGTTGCTGAAACGTGCTGTGTAACATGAAGTGATGGTGCTGCTGGTGCGGCGGGGGATGCCACGCTCAGAAGTCTAGCGGGAATAGAAAAGCTTCGTATCGATGCCTCTGACGGTCTTTTGTTGTGTGACATCTTCCAAGTAGGAGACGTCGGGTCCAAACTCGTCGTTGGGGATGTGGGAATATCCATATCCAGCATTGGCCTGTCGAACATTGACAACCGGGGGTTTGACTGGGGAGAGCTGGGGACTGATGAAGGTGCGAATTCCGATGGTTGCTCAGAGAAAACGGACCATCTATTAGAAGGTCCCATGGAGACCGTCGAAGTCGATGGCTTGTGAGAGTGGGCTGTTGCCGGGGTTGTTGTCTGGGAGCGCCATGCCGGTGGGGGTGTTGATGATCTGGAGATACTGGCAGGCGAGAAAAGTCCAGGATTCAGACTGTGACGCTTCTTTTTCGCTTTGGTCTTCTCGGCGACGTGGTAGTGGTGGTGGATATGCAGTTCCTGAGATACGTTTTGAGTCACTTCTCTTACTTCGGGGGCCAGCTCTGCGCGCAACGTTGACGCTGCGCTTGCGTCCTCCTCATGAATAGGCTGATGGGACATCAGCTGATCCCTCAAAGCCTGTATTTCGTCATTCGAGTTGATGAGCATTTCTCGCAGCTCTGCCATGCCCAGTTGCAAATTTGCATTGTCCTGGAGCAAGTCGCGTACGAAATGCGAGACCACGTTGGGCGCAGCTTTGCCTGCATTGAGCGATTTGGCAGCGGCAGCCCCCTTGAGGCGTCCGGCGGCGGCGTTCAACTCTTTCTCCATCTCCCGTTGACGTTCCATACGACCAAGAACCTCGGCGTGTCGCTCGCGCTCCTCCTTGGCTTCCTGCTCCATGCGTTCCAGTTGCTCCTGGAGATCAGAAATGCCCCTCTCGGCTTTCCTCCATCGCTGCATCGCAGAGCGGGCCTCGGATTCCGTGGTAATGAGGGTGTTTTGGAGCCGCAGCTGCTCCTGCTCCAAGATTGCGATATGTCGCTCCATCTCAGCAGCGCGAGCTGCGGCACCCTCGAGGCGACGGACCGCCTGCTGGGACGATAAGAGGGTAGCCTCCAGAGTCTGAATGTGGATGTCGGAGTCCTGGACGGTATTATTGAGCATCTCGAGTTGGTCCAGGAGATTGCGGTTCTCCTCCACGGTCTTCGTGTTCTCGGCCTGCAACTCCAGCTTGTCGTTCTCCAACTGCTCTATTCGACTTGTCAGGGCTAGGCGGTCTCGTTCAGCGTCAGCCATGTATGCCTCGTGGCGAGCGAGTAGGGCCTGGAGCGCAAAAGTTAGTGGCATGTCGACATGGGTGGCACACGTTATATACGAAATGGATGATGTCGAAGGAGGAGAGCAAAGTTTGCAACGTGAAACCATACCAGGCTCCATCGTCTTGATATGAACCACCAAGAATGAGGTGTCGGAATGCATTGAGATGCGACACGGGATTAGGAAGGCATGCGTGGAAATATTGGAATGTTTCTCGGCTTCGGCGGGGAAGAAGGACGGAGGAAAAATGTCTAGCAATTACGCACCTTGCCGAGCTTAGCAGCGGTATGGACATCTTTTTCGACGGTATCGAGAACGGTGCAGCTGTGTTTTAAAAAAGCACAGTCGTCGCGACCACAGCAGCAACGAAGCTTTGAGTCGCTGTGGGGGTGAGTTGCGGAAGATGGGACGAAGTCTGCCATGGCATCGGCGTCGCGAGATGGGTTGTCGACGGTTTCTGCCATCGTTATTGCGGCGGAGGAAACGTCGCTAAGATACGGCGGACAGCATACTGAGCTCAGACGAGAGACAGCACAGACACGGAGTCGGGGTCGGGGTGCCGAGGGAGAGCGTGGGGAAGAGCTGGCGAGGTTTTTCGGTACCGTACGGACGGCCGTGTGGCTTTCGAATGGAGACGAGGGGATGAATCGATCGTGGGAATGAGTTCAGGTGAGTTTGGTGGAATTGTGCGAGTGGAGGGTAGGTTTATGTCGATTTGTGGTTGTTGTGCGCGCGTCGCAGTCGCAGGCGTGTCAGTGTCAGGCTCTCACGCGGCGGCGGCCCAGCGAACCTTGTGGTGAAAAGGTATCCGATAGCGTCGGGCTGGGTTGGATTGTGTTCGTTATCACGATGTGGGCGCGTCTCCGATCATTGGGGCCCTCTCTGGGGTGGTGTTTTCGGCGGATGTCTTTTCACTGGAGAAATGTGGCTCTCGATGGCTTGAAGCAGGCAACTCCGACAGGGGAGAACCCGGTGTGGTGGGGGTTGACTGCAGTTTCTTTTGCGAGCATGTGGTCCGAGCCGAAATGAATCTCATCAAAAGGCGGGAGAGAAAAAAACAAGATGAGGATTGCGAGACGTAGGGCACAGGTTGCGATAACGAGATGAGTTTCTAGTCGCGTAGGTGTAAGCAATATCAACAAGATGGTAGGTAAGAAGGGGGAGCAAGTATAGGAGTTCGTCCGAGAAAGGACAATCGTGCGCTAAGGCTACAACGAGATAGTTTGGATGAAATAGATGTTCGAAAGGATGCGATGGTGAGATGCCGCTGGGACCTTGAGGGACCTGACTGACTGAAGACGGAAATGACGAGGAGGGGACGGGAGTGACAGCGCACATGGCCGCCAGGCTTCGCGCAGGAAGGAAGTACTTCGAAGGTGCATCTTTTGAAGTGCATTTGCTGCACAATCAATTGTACTATTGTCTGTACCTGCATGTACCCTTTCTTTTCCTGTTTTCATCCAGCGCCAGCAGCCTCAGCTAGAAGAGTACGTACCCGCCGACTCACATGGAAGGCACAGAATTTAGAAACGTTCGCGTCCAACCAAAGACAGGCAGGCGCATCCTGCCCAAACAGACCTGATCGATTGCCGTCGTTTGGCGTCCACTTTTTGGGCCTGCTCTTCCCGCCAATCCAGGAACGCCCAGGTACGACCCCACCTGCCAAAATTATCCACGCTTGCCCAGAGACCTAGCCCAGATTGTGTAATGAGTGACCGGTGAGTCTCTGCCTCACTCACAGTCCTCACAGTTGTGCCAGCCGTGTTCCGTTTCCAGACCTGGCCAGGTATTTACAGCGAATAAGACGCGCAGAGGCTACGATGACGTTACTCAGCAGGATATGATCTGTATAATGGATGATGGCCACAACTTGGAGGCCAACCTTCACACCACCAGCCACCATCATAACTTCTGCTCATTGCCAGCTCGTCACGGACATGGCCTTTGCCGTCTAGCGTCATTCAGCTGGAAACTGCCCAATTTGACGGCGCGTCCATGGCAGGTTAGTCCATGCATGTTTGACATGACGCCTGAGTCGATACTTCTTCATTGACATTGGGATATCCCCGCAACTGACTTTTCGATTCATTCCTGAGTCGGTGCGTGAACACGCGCGCTCGTGTCAGGCAAAAACAACAGCGCGAAAATACAACATCTAGACTCCGTCTCGGACTACCCGAATCAAGTCATTCAGTGGAATTTGTTTGGGTTGAACTTCACAGCTGATATGCCACCTTCTGCCGGTGATTGCCGTTGGTGAGCGGCCCTCAGAACATCAATCGCGAAATCGCTCGGAACCAATCATCGAAGACACTGTAGAGCATCATGGGAAATATCCAATTGGAACTCGGGTGTCACCTCCGCAATAGCACGCAGTGATCAGTGACAGTTCGGTGACATCCCCGGTGAGGCCTTCGGTGGGTAGCTCGGTGAATCCCTCACCTTGAGCCCACCTCGGCCAGGCGGTGCGCTAAGTGGATCCTCCCGCTGCAGCTCCGGCCGGAACACTGAGCGCACATTGGACGACGTCTTAATGAAATCGTCAAGTGTCAACTTCCAATATCCATCCGCTTTCAACACAGTCGCCTCAAATATCATCTTTTCGCATATTTTTCTACTCAACTATTGACGGCTTCCGCCAACAATAAAGTCTACCGCCAATCGACGACGAGGTGGGCAATGTCGCCGCCCCCTGAAAAACCAGCGGCAGACGCCAGCAAAACCGTCGTCAGGGGCGCCTCCCTTCTCATCATCCTCCAAATCGGCTCTCGCGCCGTCACCTTCATTGCCAACCAACTGCTTCTTCGCTTTCTCACCGCTCAGCTGCTCGGCGTATCAACACAGCTCGAGGTTTACTACCTGTCGGTTCTCTTCTTCGCCCGGGAGAGTCTGCGCGTGGCAGTCCAACGCCAGGAGACCCGCCCTAGCTCCAGCAAACGAGATGACGAGCTCAAGACTCGAGTAGGCCGCGAAAGCCAGGCCGTCGTCAACCTGGGATATCTCGCAGTTCTTCTGGGGTTTTTGGTCACGATTGGTCTGGGATGGCTCTACCTCTCATCCGCCGACAATGTAACACGCAACACCCCGAATTTCCTCCTCGCCCTCCGCTTGTACGCCGTTGCTGCCGTGCTTGAGCTTCTTTCCGAGCCCTGCTTCGTTCTCATGCAGACACGACTGCAGTTCGGCACGCGTGCATCGGCAGAGTCCATCGCTACCTTCTTACGTTGCATCGTTACCTTTGGCAGTGCCTTTTGGGCGTCAAGAGTCGGCATGGAGTACGGTGTCCTGCCTTTCGCCGCCGGACAGCTTTCGTACGCCCTCAGCCTCTTGATCGTCTACCTTTGGTCGGCTTCACGACTTTCATCCACGGATGGTTTCTCGCTCCTTCCCAAAAGTTTGGGCTCCGGTCAAGAATATGTCGCCTCCTACTTCTACCGGCCGACCGTCAGCCTGGCCTCGAGCATGATGGCCCAGAGCCTTGTCAAGCACGTGCTCACCCAAGGCGACACCTTCCTCGTCTCCATCTTCTCCACGCCCAAGTCTCAAGGCGTGTACGCTCTAGCCAACAACTATGGAGGGCTGCTTGCTCGTCTCATCTTCCAACCCATTGAAGAGAGCAGTCGCAGTTACTTCAGCCGTCTTCTCTCCTCGCAGGACACCAAGACCAGCAAGCCGCCCAAGGAGAACACCGGCACGGCCAGTCAACACCTCCACACCCTGCTCAAGTTCTATGTTCTGCTCTCCGCAGTAATTGTGAGCATCGGCCCCGTTGCCGCCCCGCCGCTACTATCTCTCGTCGCTGGCAAGCGTTGGGCGAACGAGGGTGCCGGCGACGTCTTAGCCGTTTACTGCTACTACATTCCCCTGCTCGCCATCAATGGTGTCGCCGAGGCTTTTGTGGCATCCGTGGCGACCGAGGCACAGGTGCACCGGCAATCAGCCTGGATGGGCGTCTTCTCCGTCGCTTTTGGATCGGCAGCCTTTGTCTTCATGCGCGTGATGGATCTCGGAGCTTCGGGTCTCGTCTTCGCCAACTGCATCAACATGCTTTGCCGCATCGTCTGGAGTCTTGCGTTTATCAAATCGTACTTTGGCGCCTTTGAAACGCCATTTGAACTTTTTACATTGCAGCCTAACGCCGTCACTTCTATCGTTTGTCTGTCCGCGCCACACATTATCAGACGCGTGACTGGTATTGCCCCGGGAGCTGCCACCTCATTGAAGGATCTGTTCGCCATCGGCGTGGCCTCTGTGCCAGTCGTCCTGTTGATGTGAGTTCTCCATCTTCTATCTGGTCTCCCTCTTCAGATCTAACAATGTCTAGTCTCTTTGCGGAGCGCAAGTTCCTCATGCAGTGCTACAAGTCGGCCCGCAGACCGAGTGCTGCATAGCCGCAGTTAGATAGCATATCTAGATAGACAGCCGTGTTCCCAAGAAAGGTTTTTAATCATCAAACGTAATCTTGGTTGCCTTCTTCGTCATGTCAACGTCCTTGAAGAAGGCGCCGTACGTGTCGTGGGTCTTCTTCTTGACGGTCGTGCCAAACTTAAAGAGTTCGTCAGGAACCGGCTGGTTGGCACCCTTGAGAATGTTGATCAACCTAGTCGCTTGTAAGTAAACGTTTTGAAAGTCTTTAGTTGAGCGTGCAACTCACGATCCAGAATGAGCCTTGTCCTGCTGAGTGAAGAAGGTGATAGCCTCGCCAGTCTTGCCAGCGCGGCCAGTTCGTCCGATTCTGTGGACGTAGTCCTCGATAGTCAGAGGGAACTAGCAATTGTTAGAACGAAACGCCAGTTCGGGTGCGTGAGATGGAACCTACGGTGACGTTGATGACAAGCTTCACTTCGGGGATATCCAGACCACGGGCGGCGACATCGGTGGCAACCAAGACGGGCGTGGTGCCCGTCTTGAACGCCTCCAGACTCCGAGTGCGCTGCTCCTGACGGAGATCGCCGTGGATGCCGCCGACGCGGATGCCGCGCTGCTGCAGGAAGCCCTCGACGCGCGTGGCCTCCTTCTTGTACAGGCAGAAGACGAGGATACGGTCGTTCTTCTTGCTGCCGGCCTGGTGCTGCTTGAGCAGCTGCAGCAGCCTCTGCTCCTTGGCCCTGGGGTCGATGACCTCGACGCTCTGCGTGATGCGCGTGTTGGCCTGCAACTCGACGGCGCCGCTGGCCGTCTCCTTGCCGCTGGAGCCGATGGTGATCTTGACGGGGTCGACCATGAAGGACTCGGCGAGCTTGCGGACCGAGGCGGGCCACGTCGCCGTGAACATGACGGTCTGGCGCTCCTCGCGCGGGGGCATGGCGCCGAGGATGCCCTTGATGTCCTCCTCGAAGCCCTTGTCGAGCATGCGGTCGGCCTCGTCGAGGACGGCGAAGCGGGTGTTGCCGAGGTCGATGGTGCCGTCGGACATGAAGTCCTTGAGGCGGCCCGGGGTGGCGACGATGATGTCGGCGCCGGCGCCGCGCTTGAGCAGGGCGCGCTGGTCGTCCTTGGAGGCGCCGCCGTAGATGCACACGCAGCGCAGGCCGAGGAGGGAGGCGACGTGCTCGAGCTGCTCCTGGGTCTGCATGGCGAGCTCGCGGGTGGGGGAGACGACGACGGCCTTGATGCCGCGCTTCTTGATGCTGGAGATGGCCTCGACGAGGGGCAGGGCGAAGGCCATGGTCTTGCCGGAGCCGGTCTCGGCGACGCCGATGACGTCGCGGCGGGAGAGGGTGAAGGGCCAGGAGGCGGACTGGATGGGGGTCGGCTTCTTGTAGGCGGAGAAGGGGTTCTTCTTGATGAGCTCGGTCTGCGGGAGGTAGGAGAATTCCAGGATGGGTCGGAGGTCGGAGGACTTGTTCGTGGGGTCCGTGACGGTGATGACCTCGGCGGTCATGAAGGCGTCGATGTCGGCTTGCGGGAGGCCGGTGAGGGCGGCGGACTGCGCATAGTCTGCGCCGGCGAGGACGGTCTCGGTGGGCTTGTCGCTGCTACCATTGCTCGCGGCCTCCTTTTCCTGTTGTTCCCTCTTCTTCTTCTCCTTCTTTTCCTTCTTTTGCTTCTTCTTCTCGGCCTTGTCGTCCTCGTCCACGTCCATCTTGTCCTCGTCAGCAGCAGCGGGGCATTCCTCGGCGGACTCCTTCTTGCTGCGCTTCTCCTCTTTCCTCTTCTTCTTCTCCTCCTTCTCCTTCTTGCGCTCCTTCTTCTCCTTCTTCTTCTGCTTCTTCAACTCTGCGGCCTCGTCGCTGTCGACATCGCCAGCGGCAGGAAGGTCCTCGGCCTTTTGCTTCTTGCTGGGGCGAGCCTCGCTGTCGGCGAGGGAACGTTTCGTAGCAGCCATTGTGTCGATTTTGGAGAGTTGTCGCTACGGGATTGACACTTGCGACGCTGCGGTTCCCCAAGAACAATGGTTTTCGGGTCGAGGCCTTGGGAAGGGAGATCGGACGGGCGCATCGACGGCAAGAAAAAAAAATTGCTTATCGATAGGCTTATCAGTACAAGCCAGCCTCCGATAAGCCGATAAGCGAAGACCACTCCAGGGTCCTGCGCTACGCCCGTTTCGGCCGAGACACAGCAGAGAACACTGTGACTCGGGCCGGCCCCGCACCAGAACTGGAGTGCGAGTCCCACTCGGGCTTTTCCACCTTCCTTGATCAGTCTCCACGCCTCCCCGCCTCGCAGCTCTACTATGGCCCGCATCACCACTCACTTTGGCCTTCCCCTCATTGCCAGCTGTCACTTTCTGAGAACGGGGGACCCTGTTTGGGTCTGCTCAATATCTCGTCGAGTCGGGTGTACACATCGTCCTGCCGATGCAGGCATCCCGGACTGAATGATTACCGACAACCAACAATGACTATGGTCTTTGGGACTGCACCGGTGATCTGTTCTAGAGACTGGGATAACTACGCTTATGTCTGTGGCACGACGAACACTGCCTGTCTGTCTGCGTATCCACTATCAAAGGTTTCTCGACAGCTCGCAGATACTCCCGTTACCATGACTCTGGGAGCATACGGATCAGGATAACAGATGGTCACAACAGCCCAAACTGTCCCATATCCCGCGAGACTTAAGCGAAGCTCAACACGTTCATCCAAAGTCCTTCCTTTACGGTGGTTCACGGAGGTCGGGTACGGATACAGATGTTGCTCCCCCGGCCGCCGTAAACCAGGCCAACAGCATGTCAGCCAATAGCGTCCTCGGCGTAAGCAACACGGCCCAACCCTGCAAGCGGGAGCTAGCCCATCGTCTGCATTTCTTCGAGCTTCTTCCACAGCAGGCACAGATCTGTAGTCCAACCCTGCAGCGTCCCGCCAATTGGGACCTACTTCATTCCCCCATGGCGAGCTGCTCGCGGTATCACATCATCCAGCCCGTGGAGAGGCCCGGCCATTAGCGAGGCCCATGTCACACACAGCTGACAAGTGCGGCGTTGACCCTTGCTCTTATCTTCCTTCAACGGATGGCCGTCCACGTTGCGCCTGAACGTTGACAACGCGGTGCCCCACGGGGGCGAGGTAGGGAAGGGAAAGAGGAGAGGTAGAAAATGGTGGGCTTCCTCCCGGTGGGGGTGGATGTGCAGAGAGCCTCCGCGGCCGTCCTATCTTCGCATCCAACATCCAACGGGAATCACTATGGAGAGCTGCCAGGTGCAAGGCAAGCCTGAGCTGTACGGGCTGGGCCTCCGGGTGGCTTTCTACATCCAATGGTTCGGGGCAATCATCGCGGAATACCTCGAGGTCGCCGGCCTACCTGACATACGCTTCATCGGCCTGCTCCTCTCCACGGCCGCGTTTCTCGGTCTTGTTGTGAAGGTGTCCACAGAACCGCTGGAGCCCGCCGACATCTATATTGTCTACCTGCTGGGGATGGGCGTTTACTTCTTCCTCGTCCCGCTGTACATCTGGAGGGCATTGACCTGTTTCAACCCGTACTGGAACCCGTTCAGGTGGGCCAAAGAAACGCCCAGTCCCGCCTTCAAGGGCCTCAACTTTACCCTGCTCCTGGCATGGACTGCCGTGGGCATCTGGTTCTGGTGCTCGTTCGTCCCTGAGAACTCCTGCTCGCAATCTCAGTACGGCTTCTTCTTTAGTCGCGTCAGCCTCGGCAATAAGGCCTTCATCGCCTTTAACGCGCTCCTGTGCTTCATCATCCTGCTGGTCTGCGTGTTAGTACTCCTGCTGAAGACGGGATGGAAGGTGCCGTTCTGGCGCGAGAAGCGGAAGAAGCGCAGAATCAAGTAAGTCAACCACCAAAGTACAATTATCAGACTAAACCGCTGACGCGAAGTGCCCCAGGCGGATGCATGTCATGGTGGTCAAGGAGCTCAAGACGCTCAGCAACATCGCCGTGGCCGCGACACTCACGGCCGCCGTTGAGCTTACTGTTGCTTGGAATCACATATCAGACGTGAACAACATCTCCGACGTCGCCCAGATCTTCCCTCTTCTCGTCAGCGCCGGGTTCCTGGTGCGGGTGATGTTCCTCCACTTCGCGGGCGCGAACGAGGCGTCGGATTCTTCCTCTGATGAGGAGAGTGATGGCGGGTCGAATAGTTACACGACGGAGTCGCAAGCCGGGCCGCCGCCGCCACCGCCTGTTCATCCTCGGAAGTAGCGCCGTGAGCTGTGCCAGAGAATGGGTGTGTTGAGAGTGAGTTCCGATCATGTCTTACGGTTATTGTAAGAGTGTGGGTTCAATATTGATACTCATGTCGGTAGTCTAAGGTATTTCGAGATATAAGACGAACACAATATATCATTGAAATTTTCCAGTACGACTCTTATATCATTCCGTCAAATCTGAGAACGAACTTTCCTCCTCTTCCTCGGAAAACACATCTCATCCGGAAGCAACTCCTTCTCATGAACCCCCCTTTCCAAAAAGTCCTCATAACTCCCAAACCCCTCCGCAAACGTGATACACCGCGGCCGGTGCTCGCAGCAGAGCGTCCTGAGCGGACAGTCCACGTAATGACCGCACGGCATCCACGCCACGCACCCCTTGCGCCTGTTATTGTACTCGGGCGACTCGACCGTGACGTGGCTGGGGACCGTACAGAGCGGCTTGTCGCACAGATGGGAGATCTGGGTGTCCGACGAGGTCTTCAGGCCGGCGGCGAAGACGACCATCTCCTGGAGGGTGCAGAACTTCTTGGCGCCGTCGGAGCTGACCTGGGCGTAGCCGCCGGGCTTGTTGGGGGCGAGGGTGCTGAGCTGACACCAGCCGTCTGTCGTGACGTCCATGTTTTGGAGGAAGTCGAGGGCGGCTTGTTGGTTGGTCGAGTACTTCTCGTATGCTCTTTTCCTCTTCTTTACTTGGAGATTCTAAAGAAGGTTAGTTGGCTGAAGTGTTTGTATTGTTAAACTCACTCGTTTCTTCCCGCGGACCGGATCGATCTCGGCGGGCACCAGGGTTTCTTCCGATGAGTTGCGGTAGTTTTCCTCCAGCTCGAAAGGCGTATCATTATTGGAATGAGATTCATCCTTGGGGAGCTTGCGTGACGGGCACTGCATCCTCCGAGAGGGCACTGAAGGCGCCATGTTTGAGTATGAAGATAGGTTGATGGCTGGATCTGGGTGATTCAATACCCCTTATGAGGTGTTGGGTTGATATATAAAGCAGCCATCATGATGCGAGCGCCATATGGTAGTGATTCTCATGATGCAATGTCGGCTTCATTTGAGTCGATCACTCAAGTTCTCAACCTTGACCCAGTCGGCTCATCTAAGTATGTAATATACTAGCTATCCACGTTGACATCCGGTCTGCAGAATTATCCTGGGACAATATGCCATAACCGCTCACCATCTGCAAGAGTGCCTTGGTAGCGTGTCAATCAACTCAACTTACGCCCACAGGACTCCTTGTCACCGAGCTGCCTCTCATACGTTTCATCGCCAGCCACCGCAGCGAAGATGCATCTCAAATCACACCGCCGTCATTGAGGATTAGGGCAAGGGCAACGAGGTTGCCTTCATCCCGTCAATCACCACTTGAAAGAGCCTCAAGCTCGCGTCCGCCGTTCCAGCGGAAAGAAAAAAGCAACGACGATGACGCCGTGCAGACCCATACGGCTGCAGAAGGCACCCTGGTTTGAAGCGATCGCCAGGGGTTTACAGTGCTTGCATCTATAATTCTTTCTGTCAAAATCTCGGGTAGCTGGCGGACGTGTGCTTCACCACCATCCATTCCTGAAGTGAGCGAGGTTGGTGATTGACTCAACACTCACCAACAAAACGCTGCAGAAGACTTCAATCTCAGCAGTCGATGTGTCCGTCGCCCGAGGAAATGAAGTCGACTGTTCAAAACGTCGGCCGAATTGCCGTGGTCATCGAGACTCAGGGCGCTGAAGAGGTCCGCCGTTCGGAGATACGGAAGTCCTCCCGACTCAGCCAATTCAGCGAGAGGGACTTCGGCATTGATGCCCGTGGCCGTTGTCGGTCTCGTGCAGGTTGGGCGGATATGACGGCTGGGCGTCGCAAGTCTCCGGGTTTAACCCGAATGCACTCTAATCGGCTCAACGGTGCCTCACCTGGCGTAGTGATTGACCTGAGTGACTCAGAGCAATGCTGCGCACATTGGCATCGTGATAATACACATCTCGCACTGCGCAAGCTGAGCATAGTCTGGCGTTGGCGAACATCTAAGCATGACACGGGCTAGGTCGTATCCCTGGAGATGTGATCCCGAGATCAATCTGGCCCCGCAGTTCCAGTCTCACGATTCGCTTAGATTCGCGGTTCCTCACCATTCCTCTGTCGGTTCACCTGAAAAAGCGGCAGAGGGGTAACAATTGTGAGGCGTTATTTTGTGGCAGGACAAAATCTTCTTGCATTTTGTAATGTCTCTGTCGAGTCACAAATAAAGGCAACTAGATAAGTGGTATTTTAACACTGTCGTACAACCCTAACCCCTTGGAAAGCCTTGTGACTAGTAAACTGAAAAGGCTTGCGTCGTGGCAGCGTTGGCCTTCACACCGCGGGGGGCCATCGCGGCCGTAGCGGAGAGCTTTCATCCATTTCGAGCCCTGCGTAATCCATATTTCCTTCCCAAACTCCAATTTGTTTTTGTTGAAAAACGTTCGCAACGACGAAGAACTTTCGACCCGGTCAAAATGACTGCCAGATCACGAGGCCGCACCACACACACCACACACCCCCTGATGGCCTCAACCCCTTGTAGCCAAACTCCTAAAGACAAGTGACGAACTAAGAAAAGACGTGCATGGTTTATGCCGATGCGGCGGCGGCGGCGGCGGACTCGGTCTTGGCCTCGGTGCCCGCGAGGTTGGTGGGCTTCGCGTTGGGGTTCTTGGTGTAGTAGTCGGAAATGGCGGCCTTAATGGCGTCCTCGGCAAGCATGCTGCAGTGGAGCTGTTGTTGTTTGTCAGTTATGTTTGCTACACAATATGCGCCACACAGACAACAAAGGGCGTACCTTGACGGGAGGAAGCTTCAGCTCCTGGGCAATTTCGGTGTTCTTGACTCGGCCGGCCTGCTCCAGACTAAACTCATTTGTCAGCGTTGATCAAAGGGCGCGCAGTAGGTAGGGCAACTAACGTCATGCCGCGGACGAGCTCTGTCAGGTAGCTGGAGGATGCGATGGCGGAGCCACAGCCGAAGGTCTTGAACTTGACATCGGAAATGGTGTTGGTCTTGGGGTCAACGCGGATGTTGAGCCTGCAGCAGATTGTCAGCGTCTAGTCCAATGTTCGTCGTAGTCTGTGTTGGAGCGCTGAACACAGCGACCGTTCAAGCACCGGATGCCATGCCGCACACAAATGATATTTCAACAGTGATTTTTGTGATATCGGGGGTATTTCTCGAGAAAGGCGTCTTACTTCATGACATCACCGCAAGCGGGAGCACCGACGAGGCCCTGGCCGACGTCCTGATCGCCCTTGGGCATGGAACCGACATTTCGGGGGCGGGAGTAGCTGTTTAGCCACGGTCAGCACCCTTTATCTTCCAAGTGTGATATCCGGGGTCACATACTGGTCGAGGACCTTCTCGTGGTATGCCCTCGTCGCGCCGACGGTGACAGCAGGTGCAAGTTGGCGGGCGGGAGCGGCGGAGGGGCGGATGGAGGTGGTGAGGATCGCACGGGAGGCGACGCGGAGGGATCTGGAGAACATCGTGGAGGTGATGATTTTTTTCGTCTTTCGTAGAGCTTCGTGTGTAGAGCTTTTGCAAGTGTCGCAGAGTTGTCTGAAGTCGTCAAAGTCGATTCAGGATGTCTGAGGTATGTCGAGATGATGTGGTCGACGGAATATGGCGAATATAGGAATGTATTGAGATAGAGGGCGGTCGCAGAATTGAGGGCGCGGGAGAGGAGGCGAAGATTCCGACCGGGGATAAATGGAGAGGCCTGGCAGTGGCAGATGTGACTTGCGGATGCGGGACTTGTGACGGAGAACGATGGCGATCTCGGTGGTAGCAAACGACAGCTGCCAATCAGAGCTTTCAATGACCATGCATTAAGTCATGGAGAGCTCGCTAGGCTCGGCGCCTCGGAGAAGACAAAATTTCGTCCGTCCCCACTTCTCCGAAGGATGAGGCCTTGATTGGCCGAGATAAGCCTTGATCCCTCGGCTTATTCAACCCTCGACCCTCAGTTTGCCAGTCCCAGCCAGGCCCTGTCACGTTTGTTTGCCATTTTACCAGCTGGCTGGGCGGGATTTGCTGTTCTGGTGGAGCATTCGCCGGGGCGGCAGCAATTTGTCATTGTCCTCGTCAACGAAAGAAATTGGATCTGATTAGATACGCCGTGCACCTCCGTCGTCGCTGTCGTTACGTACGTGACCCACCCTCGTTTCTCCTTTTTTTTTCTGGTCCCCTCAAAGTCCGGGGAAGTTGCTTTGAAGCATATGTCAAGACAAACTTTCCTTATATCAGACAATATGCACTAAAACAGTGATATAGGACTATTAGGTACCAGCTAATTACCCCACTCTCTACGTAATCGCCTCTGCCATTACCTAAGCTGCCAAGGCGCCTGAAGCTTTGGCACCTCTCAAGCTTACAGCAGCTTCTAGAGCAAGGCCAGGCACCGCGCCCTGCCGTGACCGGGATCCTACCGCGGGGCAACATCAATCCAGCCCACCATCTGCATACAACACCAACGGCTGTTCTACTACGCAGTACTTTCTTCACAATCTGAGGTACACTATAACTAAACTTCCTTTACTCGCGCCTCCCTTGGCGTCTCATCCTACCTTTCATTCGACCAAGTGAAGCTGATCCCTCAAAACTAGCACCCGTTCACGTTTAACCCAAAGAAGCATCACGACATCGCCGGAGCAGCAACGACAGCTTCCACCATGGCGTGCCCGCACCTTGAGACCATAGGCTCATGTACGTCTTCTCTCGAAATTCAATATCGCGTCGTGGGCTCCATGGAACTCTCCCTGACTTGCAATAGCTCTGCAACCGCCGGCCCCATTCCACTCCGTTTACCGTGAGGACTGCACCCAGTGTTTCGACTCTCTGGTAAGCGCTCTTCCACTTCCGTTGTCCTAATGACATCTGCTGGCGTCTGGTACTGATTTGGGATATGCAGGATGATCCTGCCGGTGTCGATGTCTGCCTCCAGTGCTTCAACGGCGGCTGCGCCGGCGACCGCAACCACGCCCAGCTCCACCGCCAGCTTTGGGACCACCCCCTCGTTCTCAACATCCGCCGCACCCGCAAGGTCGTTGTTCGCGATGAACCTCCCTTGAAGATGTCCAAACTCGCCATCGCCGCCGAGACCGAAGAGGACCGATTTGATACCGCAACCACTGTCAAGTGCCTCGATTGCAAGCAGGATCTCGACAAGACAAGCGACAAGCTCGCACCCCTAGTCGACGGCATCATGAAGGCGAACACCTTCTCCCGCAAGGAGGAGGTCAAGGCTTGGGAGCAAGAGTTGACTAGCTGCGAGCATATCCTGCTGATGCAGCAGTCAGAGCCGCGGACCATCCAGTCAGGCGATCTCGGACACTGCTCCGCTTGTGATCTGAAGGAGAACCTATGGCTTTGTCTGGAGTGCGGAAACCTGGGTTGCGGACGCAAGCAGATGGGTGGCGTGGACGGCAACTCCCACGGCCTCGCCCATTCGACTGAGTCTGGTCACGGCGTTGCCGTGAAGCTGGGTTCTATCACCCCGGAAGGAACGGCAGATGTATACTGCTACAAGTGCGACGAGGAGAGAATTGATGGAGACCTAGGTCAACATCTGGGTCACTGGGGCATCATGCTGGCGGATCGACAGAAGACGGAGAAGAGCTTGACGGAGATGCAAATCGAGCAGAATCTGCGCTGGGATTTCAGCATGACCACGGAAGACGGAAAAGATCTGAAGCCTCTTTTCGGTGCTGGTCTGACCGGCCTCAAGAACCTCGGAAACAGCTGTTATTTGGCCAGCATTGTCCAGTGCTTATTCGACACACCCGCCTTCAAGAACCGGTACTATCTGCCTGGCCGCGATCTGCCCGCTGTTCAGGAACCTGCCGCGGACTTGGAGACGCAGCTGCGCAAGATCGCAGACGGTCTGATTTCGGGCCGCTACTCGAAGCCGGACTCGGATCTCGTTGCATCTGACCAGTCTCCCGAGATCACCTACCAAAAGGGATTGACACCTGCCATGTTGAAGCACTTGATCGGCAGAGGTCATGAAGAGTTCTCTACCATGCGGCAACAGGACGCATTCGAGTTCTTGCAGCATATCTTCAAGCTCGTTACCCGGTCCCAGCACCCATCTGACCTCGGCGACCCAACCCAGCCGTTCCGCTTCATCTTGGAGCAGCGACTTCAGTGTCTCGGATGCAAGAAGGTGCGGTACACCACTAACGAGCAAGACAACATCTTTGTCGACGTGCCCCTGGAGAAGATTCCTGCAGCCGACGGAGCCGAGACGAAGCCTGACGCCTACAAGGAAGTCACCCTCAAGGAGTGTCTTGACCACTTCACGGCTGAGGAAGTTGTGGAGTTGACGTGTTCTGCATGCGGTAGCAAAGATGGCTACACCAAGCGTTCTCTGTTCAAGACGCTCCCAGATAACCTCGTCGTCAACGCTAAGAAGATGGCAGTCGTCAACTGGGTTCCCGTCAAGATTGACGTACCTGTCATCGTTCCGGATGAGCCGTTCCTTCTTGACGACTACCTTTCCCATGGCCTGCAGCCTTCCGAGGAGACGTTGCCGGAGGAGGCTGAGAGCGCTCCGGCGTTTGTCGCCAATCCCGAAGCTGTTAGCCAGCTGGAAGCGATGGGCTTTGGCCGGAATCGCTGCGACAGAGCTCTGCACGCCACTGGCAACTCTGATGCCAATGCCGCGATGGAGTGGCTCTTCGCACACATGGAGGATCCCGATATTGATGAGCCGCTGGTGCTGAGCGGTGGCGCTGCTGCCGGAGGCGGTTCGGCAGATCCTGAGAAGATTGAAATGCTGGGAGCCATGGGCTTCTCCGTGCCTCAAGCCAAGAAGGCACTCCGCGAGACCAGTGGAGATGTTGAGCGAGCCGTTGAATGGCTCTTCAGTCACCCGGAAGACCAAGGTATCTTTGACGACGACGAGGCGCCTGCCGGAGCAAGCGATTCTTCTGCACCCAAAAAGGAGGCGGGAACCGCAGTCACTCCTGCCAAATACCAACTTCAGTCCATCGCTTGCCACAAGGGCACAAGCATTCACGCTGGGTATGTTTAGGTGCCACTTAAAGTTTGATAATACTGTACTAACGATGATTGCAGACACTACGTGGCCTTCATTCGCAAGGAGGTCGACGGGCACCCTTCCTGGGTTCTGTTCAACGACGAGAAGGTTGTCGAGGCGGGGGAGATTGAGGAGATGAGGAAGTTTGCCTATGTCTATTTCTTCAGCCGAGTGTAGGCAAGTGAAGCGGCAAAGGCGTTTGGGGGGCGGTGTAACGATGAAAATGGGACAGACATTCCTGCCCAATGCTTACGGACGGCACGTTGATGTTCAATGCGTCAACTGGTTTATGGGAATAAGGTAGCATGGTGGGAGCGGCGGGCGGTAGATGAGCAGCATGCATGAATGACATAGAAAAGGAAAAGTCGAGGTTACAGCTACAGGGTCGACAATAGTAGAGAACATCTCTTGCAACCCATCAAACTTGAAAATCAATTACTGGAGACGTTTTCGTCTTCGTAGATTTCCAAAACCACAACGCCGAGACGCCCCTGCATGCCGTCGTCAGGCATGACTCTGTCCAAAGAATCCGCTCCGGGCGCAAAGCAGGTGAATACGTGCCCAGTCCCATCGTGCCTCATAGTATTACATGTCTTCACTTCCAATGTCTATCCTGCTCACTCCGCGAGACGGTAGCTCACGAGAGTGTCAACGCGATGGTTGCTCGTGCTGAAGCCGCGCAGCTGGACGCGCTCGCCGTTCTCGATCTCCTTGGCGTCGCTGTCACCCCACTCGACGGGCACCTCGCTGTCGGCATCGGCGTACACGAGCACGTTGAAGGTGCAGTCGCCGGCGAGCTGGGGGAGGAAGGTCACCGAGGCGGTGATCTGTCGGAAGATGGCGGCGATCTCGTCCTGGATCTCCTTCTCGGTCTTTTCGGGTGCGGGTCCGTCTGCTGCTGACCTGTTTCGTCGCGCGGGTCAGCCTGAGGGGGGAAATCGAATGGAACGGAACTCGGAAGCGGAGCGAGTTGAATGACGGGGAAATAATGGTGTGACGTACCCTGGTGCGACGTTTTCCTGATCCGTTGCCTTGGATCCCGACTTGGACTTTGACGATTTCGACTTGCCGAAAATTTGCACCTGCACGGCCGCGGCCTGGTCAGCAACGGGCTCTCGTCTCGACTCGCTGCCGAGTCCAGCGGATTGTGGGGTAGGGAATCTCTCTGACATCGAATTGCCATCGCTCCACGTGTTCACCAGTATCCTTGTTCGTGATGACGATGACGAGCTTGGAGATCTTGCCGCGGAGCATCCAGCGGTCCAGCTGGCCCATGATCTTCTTGATGTATGCCCTGACCTGGTCGTCGGAGGAGACTGCGGTCGGCGGGGACCTTCGTTAGCTTCCGTTCGCGCGTTGGTAGTCGGTCGGGGGGTTCGAACCTAGCATGTTGAGGCCATATTTCTTGACGCTGCGACGGGGGGTATCAGCACCGAATGCGAGGAAAGCCAGCGGGCGGAGGTGGAGAGGTAGGGGATTGTCCTTACGCGCTGAAGTCTTCGGCGGGATAGACGCCTCTTTGGAAGCTGGACGAGGAGTTAGTCTATTTCACGGGCTGACGGTGATGGCTCGGGAGCGTACAGGATCGTGTGTATCGAGTATTGGAACTGGAGGAGAGGTCAGCGTGGTTGTGCCTTTGCGCCAGACAGAGTTGGTTCTACGATAAACCGGCGGTGGCATCGAAAAGGAGGGGTTGTACTGACGAATTCGGCGACCAGCTTTGCGCTGCCCTTGAGGGCGAGCTTGTGCACCTTGGACTTGTCGGATTTGTCGTCGGCGCCCATGGTGGAAGGTTGGATGTGATGTCGGGTTGTTGGGAGAAGGTCGATTGACGGGTGAGGCGACGACGATGGGTTTGTTTACTTTTGGCAGTTCAGATTGCGTTTTGGCGGGGTGATTTGCACAGCTGAACTGCCCCCCCCTGGACATGTGCTCCGTGCCCCCGTGCAGGCGGTGACGGGAGGGGCCAGTGGAGGCGGGCCGGCCGTACGTACCCACCTTTTTTCAGGCCGACAGGGCGTGGACCTCCGACGGCATCCCGGAACTGTCCAAAAACGGAGATTCAGCACCTCATCTTGTCGGGTGAATGCGAACTATCGGAATGCAATTCACGTCAATCGTTCAAATGTACTCATAAGGAGTATTGGGATGGTCGTGAAGCAGAGTAGACACATAACTCGCACGACTGAACTCCGACAACAACAGTTTCTTGGACACGATGCGTCTCATTCGAGAGGATGGGGAAGCTTACGGAGATAAATTTCTTCACAAGGCCATCTGATCACACCTTGGTAGCCAATTCATAGTTATACTTCTGTATGAAAGTTATAGTTGACTTAGTATTTGGGACCCATTCCACTTACAAGCCTTCCAGGTTCCATATCAACTGGCGGAACCAGTATACGATGGGAGTCAAACAAGGTAGAACATGCTAGCAAGTATTCAAGATAACCCTCAGCATTAGTAGTATATCGGAGAATACCTATCTCCTTCAGCTCTCTCGAAAGACATTAAAAGCTTTGCTTCCGCTGAATTCATTTTTCCCTTTTCGATGTGGTTTGTCTACACTCAACCTACGACCTCTCTTTACACCGGGAGGAACCACGTCTTAACCGACTTACAATTTCACTTGTTCAACAACCATCTCAGACAACTACTCCACACGAAACATCGACATTCACCGATCAATATGTCGCATCCAATGAGAGAGACTCTCCTCAGGAGATACAGCCGAGGCAAGATCATAGATCTCTGGCCCTATCCCAATCCCCGACCACCATACGGCAGTCCCAACTTTCCGCGTCTGGAGCCCAGCTCATACGATGCTGAGCCGGAGCTTAATGATGAGTTTCGAATCATCGTCCAGGTCGAGGACCACATCGCAGTCGCCGCTGACCGCGGGAGCCAAATCGTACTGGCCAGAGTCGTGCACCTGGGAAAACGTCGCCATCCCGACATGAGATGCGAGGGAATGCCGTTGCCGTCCCGCCCGAAGCCCGATTACCCAGTCCATACGGACGATCTCATCGCCCTCAACTTTTTCGACCACGCCTTCTTCAAAGGCTCGCCATCGATGTCACCCGCTCAGAGGGCCGATTCCTGCTTCGCCCGCCAAGCCTACCCGCTCAGATACCTGTACGAAGCCGGAGGGAAGAGATCGCCCCCGGGCCACAAAGGCGACTTCGAGAAGCTCACGGGTGGTCGCTGCATCGTTCCCGAGTTCTACGGCACGTGGGCCACCTTTGTCGACGACGGGGCTGGCCAGCGGAGATTCGTCTCCGTCGTTGCTACCGAGTACATCCAGGGCAAGTCCATCGCCGACATGTGCGATGAGCTTTCCTATGTCTCAGACAATTACCTGATTCCTCGCCCGCGAGCTTTCTTCCCGAGATTTCGAAGCGATGAAGCTGCGACACTGCGCCTGCACGAGGGTACACGGCTGGCCATCCTGCAGGACGTCATCCGTCAACTGGCTAATCACATTCATCTGGGCGTCAAATACAACAACATGCCTCTCAGCGCCTCCGACATTGTCGTCACCATGTACGACAAGAACGGACAACTTCTGGACAAACCCCGCGCCGTGCTGTTCAAGCTCACCAACTACGAGGTATGGGAGACGACGCAAGACCACCTGGACTCGCTAGAAAAGTTCGGTATTGATAGCCCCAACCACGGCCGCGACACCCTGGAGATCACGTCTCGGCCGATACACCCGTACGAAATGTTCTGCGCCTATTCGGTAGTTGAGCTTGCTGGGTGGTTTCCCAGCTTGTGGATGGAGAATCCCTATATGTTCGACGCTTGGCTTCTCAAGGTGTTCGGGGCCTTCGAATACGGCGATCACCGCAATAGCTCTGGGAAGTACTCGACCTTTGCGGAGCTGGACAGCATCGAAGACCCGGCGATGGGCGAGTACGCAGTGCAGGAAGAGAAAGAGAGAAAGGAGCGCTTCAGCAAGGCTATCGCTTGCTTCAAGAAGTGGACGGCCACCCAGGCTTGGCCTCCGTTCATCAAACCCGCCGATATCGTTGCCATCCCGCTCAGGTGCCGCGAAAAGGTTGAGGAGCGTCGCGTCCCAGCTTGGAAATTTCCTGCGGCCGCGTCTGCGTCCGTTGCTCTCCAGCCTGCCGTCGCTCTCGCGGTGCGTCCTACAACGATGCTTGAAGATAGAATCCGGTGAACGATCGGCCAGAGCCGGGCCGAGGCTAGATCCCCGATCAAACGAGAGACTCGAGGCGATGGCGATGGAGGCAGTTGGAAGGAATCATCTATCGGCCGCAGTGTAGACATGCGTCGACCCTCGCTGCACTAGTCTATGGCGTTTGGGATATATATGGTGTGTACGTGACACTAGGTTTCGTCAAACGCGGCGCATACACCATTAGGTAGAGTAGTAAAACAGAAATCAAAGATAGCCATGTAACTTTCGCTTGAATTCACCAGTCTTAGTCACGTTGCATGAGGGAAATCAATAGTGTGTAAGAAATATTCAACACAGGGGTATATTCATTATAGCTCAAAATGCAATCACGAAGTGATTTATGCGAGGGAAGCGCAAGTAAAGGGGCTGTTGATAGCGCCAGTTCTGAACTTGTGCATCTGTGACGGAGAGTTAGCGCTCTGCTTGATACGTGGCAAGAGGTGAGAGAACTTACAATCTCGACGATACTGGCATAGGTACCGCAGACGAGAACGATCATGCCGATGACGAAGCAGAGACCGTTCAGGGCGGTCCTGACCAGGTTGTGGGAGGCGAAGGGAGAACCCTCACGGATGAGCATGAACCACATCATGGCAGGGAAGTAGAAGGTGAAGCCGGAGATGAAGAGGGAGGAGCTGATGGACAGGAGCTCGGAGAAGAAGGGGATGGCCTCGGCGATGATGAAGGCGACGACGGTGATGATGGTGATCAAAACCAGCCACGTGATCCAGCCCATCTTGGTGTTGATGAAGCGGTTCACGGAGTCCTTGTAGACACGGCCGTGAATGTAGCGACCGACGACGGTGGTGTTGATGGATCCCGAGATGAAGATGACGGGCAGACCGACGCCGAAAGCGATCTTGGAAATCAGGGGACCGGCAGACAGGAGAGCGGGGGACTGGACGTCCTGGCCGACGAACGCGTAGATGAGGGCACCGGTGAGGGTGTAGATGAAGATCTCAATCAGACCGAGGGCCCAGATGGACTTCACGTAGTCGGAGGGGGTGTGCATCTCGTCCATGAAGGAGAACTGGCAGATGGCGAAGCTGTACGCGAAGACGATGTTGGTGATGGCAATGAAAGCCTCTGCGAAGGTGAGACCCTCCTTGGGCCACGCGGACCAAGCAGCAGTGGTGATGCTGTCCTTGTTGATGCCCGTCGCGATCATGGTGATACCAATAGCGAGGATGATGGAGACGAAGTCGATGTATCCCAGGATGGCGACCTCGGCGAAGGAAGGCGGGATGGCAAGGATCAGGAGGATGATGGCGGAGACGACGGCGAAGACGATGGAGCAGGCGCCGTTGTCGGTGATGTTGCCAAAGGCGATGGCACCGGTGAGGGTGTGGGAGCTAACCAGGAAAGTCAACTGCAGCGCGAACATGACACCGACGAGCTCGTAGCCGAAGCGGCCCATCATCAGCTGGCCGGCGTCGGCGTAGTGCGAGACGTGGGGGAACTTGAGCTTGACCTGACCGACGACGTCACTGGTGTAGATGGCGATGAGACCGAGACCGATGCAGAGGATGACGCCGGCGACCATGCCGAGGGTGGCGAAGGCGGCGGGGAGGGACAGACTGCCGAGGGCGATGGCCTCGACGATGAGGACGACGGTGAGACGCTTCCAGCCGAGGCGGTGGAAGTGCGCGCTTCCCTGCGCGGCCTTCTGCTTCTCCAGGTCGGCGCGGTTGAGGTCGGTGACCTCACCGACGACCTCGCCGGGGAAGACGGCATCGCGGGAGAACTGAGGGGCGACGACGGCGCCGTCCGACTTGGTGTCCTTGGCCTCGACGCCGCGGTTCTCTCTAATCTGGTCGTGATCCATGTTTGCGAGCGTGGTGGTTGAGTGTGTAGTTTTTTTGACTTTGGTGTTGCGAAAGCGTGGAGCCTTTGTAGGGCGCGCAGGAATTTTTGAGAGGGCTGGTGTCGTGTGGGTGACGGACCAGAGAGGTTGTTAGTGGTGGTGGCGTTGCAGCACGAGCACACACACACACACACACACACGCTTGAGGATGGATGGCGGACCGGGTTGAGCTGGTCGAACGGCAGTTGAGAGAATGAGAGACCGAGAGAGACAGTCAAGCGCCGGTTGGACTGAAGACGGGAGAAAGCAACTCGAAAAGATGGGAAGATGGGAGGAGGATATATGGTGGCAAAGGGCGGAGCATCAGGACCGACCCCGGAGTCAGACCGAGGGCTCGAAGCCTCGACTCGTCGAGTTGGAATGAAGGCAACGCGACTGGGCCCAGCACACTTCGAACAAGGGTGCTTATCTATGGCCCCCCGCGATCTTGGAGCGGTGACACCGGCAACTACGAATGCGAGTGGGCGGGAAGGGATGGAGGTTCGTCAGCCCGGGTCATTGATATCAAAGCTCGTCCCATCCCCGTCGATTCCGTGCGTTTTGATTTTGCGGGGGAATAGACCGTTGCAGAGTTTCCCCGCGAAATCGACCAGCGTCCCTGAGATTCCAGACGCCGTCGAGCGTGCCGAGTTTCCCTGAAAGAAAGCAATGACTTTTGGTTCTGCGTTGTCACGAAAACAAGGTCGCGTCGAGGGCTCCCAAGTGCGTGATGGAACAAATGCGGGACTGAGGCAATTCGACAAGTTTTGCCATCGTAATAGAGTGGATTTTCTGACCTCTCCTTTACATAATGGACCCAGAAGCAGAGCCGCAGAGTGGCCTCACCTTGCCCCTTGAGTCAGTCCATACCCACGATCAGCCCCGAAATACGACCGGCGGCACTGGGAAGAAGCCTGGCATCGCCAGGATGTGATGGTCGAGTTGCCAATCCGGCTTGTGGATGTTGTCTCTTTCTCTCTGTTCGACGGCGATGTTGTCTGCCACGCAGAAACGGCTCGAGAGGCGTCCTTGAACTTCATCGGACGTTGGGCCAAGCGTGTGAGGCTCAATTTTCAGATGAGGAAAAAAGCCAAGTTCACGATTGCCGAACAAGGGGGGGGCCCTGAGCCGCGTCTTGGTGCAAATCTTTCATAGGCTGGCCGCCCGCGTTCCCGAGACACGGTCGATGGTTTTTTGCAGTGTGCCTGAATGCACTATGCCCGTCGTGGTTGCAATGCCGGTTACCCGCAGAGGGCTGCAATAGAAAACGTAATAGCGCGGTTCCTGGTCCCGTAGAATCCCGACATCCTTGAGTCGTGATCCTTGCCGATCCCACCGTCACGGTCACGGATTGGGAAGGCTTCTAGAAGATCGACTGCAGTGCGGAAAATGCTTGTCGACGCCTCCCACGTCGTTCCCTGCCGGCGCAGAGGGCAAATCCCCTGCAAATCTCATCCTCAGCGCTGTTGGCGACGCAAGATCTCGAACCGCGGGGCCTTTGGGAGCATCCATGTTCGAGACTCGAAAGCCATGAGCGCGGAATGGGACCGGCGTAGACCCTTTTTTTTTTTCGCTCTTTCTTGAGACGCTGTGACTGGTCAGTCGCGTTCGACAGTGAATAAACTGACATACTCTCATTACCAACCACAGAGATAATGGTTTTGGGGCCATGAAGGCTCATTAACCGGCAGGTAATATTCGCCGAATCGACCGATATGCGAGGAAGCGGTGGCGAGGCTAGTTTCAGGATTAGTTTGTGAGCGGGACGGAACTGTCGACTCTGACGTGACAGCAGACTGGCGTCAGCGCTGAGCTGTAATGCCTTGGTGAACATTTGCTGATCGACTGCGTTTAGCGGCCATGAAGGTTTGCTCTTGCATCACAGACTCGGCCGACCGTGCCGCGAACCGAGCACGGTCTGGCAGCTCGACGCGGCTTGCGACGGGCTTTTCTTCGCTGCTCGACAAGGGAACGAGAACGAGGACAGGGGCACAAGGAGTGGTCCGAGGGGGCCCAGGGGAAAGGGGGGCTTGTCGGAGTTGGGGGTTGGGACGAAGCCATTGGCAATTCCAATTGTGTGATGGAATCCGGGGTAAAATTGCGGGGATGGGGCCAGTTGTCGCGAAAAAGGGAAATATTGAGCGCCGTGAGCCCTCATTTCCTCCGTATTGGCAACGCACTTCTTTCCGTTGCCCTGCGGTGAGCCGATGACTGAGTCGTGCCACTTCCGCCTCGTTTCAGCCGGACGAACGCATCAACGGCCGAGATTGCTGCAGTACGGGACATCCCGGTCATATCTTCGCCGATGAGCGGAACGGACATGTCAGGCAGACAGCATGCTCCGATCCGCGCTGCTTTTGAGGCGAGCCAATCCGGTGCTCGTCATTTGACTGCTTTGTTGAGCTGCTCCTGTGTGCTATTGCGCTCCCACTGGACCCAGATCTCGTCCAGCACCGGCAGGCAAAATCTGTCCAGCCAAAGAAAGCCGGCGAGCAACTGCTGCAGACTTTGTCGGTCGCATCGATCCGGTGGCAAGATGTCTCTGGCTCTGTCCAAGACGTCGTGGAGACGACATGTGAACCACTGGCGGTCCTCCGTTGTTCCGGAGCCGACGATACCAACGAAGAGCACCCACATCAGAGTGGCGTCATGGGAGACCCAGACGAGGGCGATCGAATCCGCATCGTCCAGCGCGGCGCGCAACCTCGCCACGAGAATGCGGACCATGTGCCCGGTTGTGGGAATCTCGCGCAGGACGGCGTAGAGGAAGACCTGCGCGGCCGAGACGAGGACGAGGAAGCGTTTCTGGACTGGCGTGGCGCTCCGGCGCTCCACGTAGAGAAACTGCAGAATCGAACTGTCTGCCGTGTTCATGACAATTCTGATCGTGTCCGCTGACACCGACCCCGCCTGCGAGAATATTGCCTGCCTGAGCGTCGTGAAAATCTTACGTGGTTCATTGCTCTCGCCGGGGTTGTGCCCTCCGAGTTTGTCCATGTGACGCAAGGAAGGCGTCATTGCACGATTCACGACTGACGATGGCAGAGACACCTGATCCAAGGTATGGAACATTGGAAACTTGGGTATTCTTCCAAGACCGGATGCTACCTGAATATCGATCCTGTAAGAGTTAGGTGAGCGGAAGTACCGGACCGGCAATTGGGAGTCAAGCTTACCAGTTGATGCAGCGACAAAGAATATAGTCGTGCCTGATCGTGTCTGGTCCGCCTCGAGCTTCAATCATGGCATAGAGCCCTGTCAAATGGACATTCGCCGCATCGAAATTGCCCTGAAACGCCTGGTGGCTTGGTGTCAGCGCTGCGTAGCATCAGGATACACTCAAGACAGACTTCGACACTGCCGAGCATGGCCACGCCGGCAAGAACCGCGAGATCCTCGCTTGCACTCCGAGCAGACTCTTGAGATTCCAGACGGTTCCTAATCATCCGCATTGCCTCTCCTTTCTGCCGATACCCTTCGCGCTTGAGCCTCAGATCGAGCAACGGCATGGCTTGGTTGAGAAATTCAGCTGCCAAAGACAAGGTTACACGCATGATGAGAGCGCTCTGCATGGCGTAGGGAAACCATGGTCTCTGCGTGTCTGTTGTGGTCGAATTGAGATTGAACCTCGTGATGACTGCAAGTCAGTCATAGAACACGAAGTGTCTGGGCGAGGTGCGAGCAGGGACGCCACTAATCTTACAATATTTGACGAGGGAGTCCACGGAGGGATTGCTCGGAATGGGCAATGTGTTGAAAGGATCCGCATTATCGCTTCCCAGCCTTTGAATCCAAGGGGGCAGCGGAGAGGGCGGTATGATTTCAAAGGTGGCTTGAGCAGGCTGGCGAAAAATGAGCGAGGTACCGCACGTTGATGTCTGATGGGTGGAAGTGACCGCGTACACGAGAATCTGATGAAGTTGCCTGTTTCCCGCGTTTTTGCGCAGGGCGACTGGATGTCCCAGACAGCCTGAAACGACCCTTCAGCTGAGATTTGTGTGTGATGGTACCCTTGGATGTGAGAGCCGTGTTGGCGCCTATTTCGGATGGACCCCTTTGGATCGCCGTGCGGATGGCATGACTCCGAGTAGCTTTGTCGGCAGGCTGGAAGCTGCCCTCTTCATCGCCGAAGGTGACGAACTTGTACTGAGGAGTTGAACACATGGCAGGGCGGCGTCAGCTGGTTGTAAAACCATGTATAGCTGCCCTGAATCCGGAGGAACGATCGACGGAATGATAGCCGCGTCGGATCGGGTTCCGGCCGGAGCCAGAGCCGTCACGGAGGCACTCGGCTCGGAGCCGTGCCCTTGGTCCACTGGCGATTTGCTTAGTCACTCACCGACCAGATCAGGTCGCCGCGCTCCGTGATGGAAAATCGTATGTTCAATATTGGAAGTTTAGTCATCGACTAAGAACACTGCCAGTGATGTTGAGGGGAAGCTAGGGTGACTAAGTAGAGTAGGTAAGATAAGGTGCGAATAGTGGCATGCATCGTTGGCCAATCAAACAGCAGCGCTTACTTGAAAGGCGGGGACCAACTTGACCTGATTTGATTGGCTCAACGCATGTGACTTTGAGTTCGTCCGTCCCGCATGTGTCGGTACGTACTTCTTGGTCACTTTTCGTCCGTCTCGGCCTCCGAAGTCCGAAATATCTGTAATCACAACAAGACGCCGCCATCAATATGCTGAAAACACGGTGGCTGACGAACCCAACGTTGACGTGCTGGAAAAATGTCAAATCCTTCGGTTGGTGACGATTTATCTGTCACGGTCAAATCGTCGACCATACAAACTTAGCAACTGTGCGATTGAGAAGTCATCGGAACACACTCACTTCGTTACATCTGTGGTACCAGGAACCGTCACTCTAGTCATGGACGAGCGTCCAGCCAAGAAGAGAAAGGTCCGAAAAGGAACCCGAAGCTGCTGGCAGTGTGAGTTCGTCCGAAATCCATCCCGCCTTCCCGAGACCCAGAAAGCTGGCCGGATGCCGGATATGGAGGCGATCCTGTCCCGCTGACAAGTCGTTCAGGTCGAAAGAGGAAAATACGATGCGAATTTGCCGACGACGACGAACAGACTTGTGCCGGCTGTAAAGTCCGGGGAACTTCCTGCTTAAGCCAAGAGTTCATCGACGATGAGCCGACCGGTCCCCCGGAGCGCGGCGTCGCCCAGCGTCTCGCCCGGCTGGAGGAGTTGATGGTTAAGCTGGCCGACAAAATCGGCCCCGAAACCTCAACAGAAAAGACTACCACGCCCGCCTCGTCACTGAATGAGTCTGCGCCTACTTCGGAATCTCTACCGCCCCTAAGCCATCGTGTGCAGACCGTTGAGAGTCCCGTCATCACGCCCTCGCCTGCGAATCCAACACAACCTCAGCCGGTATCAGAATCTTCGCACGTCACGTTGAAAAATGAGCGGATATGCAAGGAGCTCTACTCCATGTTCCCATCAAAGAAGGACACCAAGATTATAATCGAATCGAGCCGGGGACCGGTCTTTGTCTTGATCCTTTTCTATTCCTACCAAGACATCATCGAGGGCAAATCCCCACCGACGGCGACTCTGTCAGACGTACCTGACGTTTCGAAACACCCTGCCATCCTGGCGAAGCACCTACTTCAGTTGACCATATGTCTCCAGCAGCTACCGCCTTGTTTTAATCCATCTCAAAAACACCTTGGGCTGACACATTCCATCCAAGACACGATGGCTGAGTGGGTGGCAGCTGCAAGCCTCGTCACCTCAAACGACGAATTGGTCGGCTCCGCTGAAGGCCTTCAATGCCTTATCTTGCAAGGTTTCTATCTCATCAACTCTGGGAATCTTCGCAAAGCCTGGCTGGCCATGCGTAGGGCCCTCAGTCTGGCCCAACTCATTGGCATCGAACGAAACGGCAGTCGGCCTCTGAAATCATGTGACCCCGCCACCGATCCGGCGACGATACCCTCGTCACATCAGCTATGGTATCGCATCAATTTCTGCGATCGCTATTTGTCCCTGTTGCTTGGTTTACCAGCTGGCACGCAAGACAATAGCTTCTTTTCTGAACCTTTCATTGCCAATGACACACCTATGGAAAAGTTGGAAAAGAAATACACGGTGATATCCCTCCGCATAATCGACAGAAACCGTGCACCACCTCACGAAGCCTACGCCATCACCCAATCCATCGACTGCGAGATTGAGACAGCAGCGAAAACAATGGGAAATGCCTGGTGGGAGATCCCTCCCGTGGCCGATTACACAGACACAACTACCCAAATGGGTGTCATGTCGCATTTGATGCTGCAAATACACCACCACAGCCTGCTCATTCTACTTCACCTGCCGTATATGCTTCGGAATTCTGCCAATAACCGCTATGACTACAGCAAGAACACATGTTTAGAGTCCAGTCGTGCGGTACTACGACGCTGCGTCATCTTCCGCACCGCAAATAACGCAGTTTTCTCCTGCAGGCATATCGACTATTCATCCTTGATGGCGGCCATGACGTTGCTACTCGGTCACCTCACTCGTCCTCCCGGAGTCCGGGATGATGAATGGTGTCGGCAACGAGTGGAGGACCGAGCACTAGCTCAGACCACGATGGAGAAGATGGAAGAACTCGCGAGCTTGAACCACGACAAGCTTTCCGGCGAGAGCGCTGAGATCATCAAGCAACTCCTCCCCATCATCGACTGCTGCAATGACTGCCTGAACAACCAACCGGGCGAGGACTGGAACGTGCGACTCAGCATTCCCTACCTCGGAACAGTCAACATCAACAACTCTTTGAACCAAAACGCACAACCACACTTGCACACGGTAGATCTCAGTCACTCCCAACTCCCAACGCCATCGAACACCACCACGGTCTCGCCGGCTTCGTTCCCGGCGAATCAGGAGACCTCTACCGTGACTTCTGTAGACAATCTTCTTGGACAGGACTTCACACCCAGCGGGAGCGGGGACGTGTACGGCGGCTTCGGCGCCGAGTGCCCACAATGGCAGTGTCCGGGTATCACGGCCGAGGCGGGAGACTGGGCGTTTCAAGGCGTCGATACGGCATACTGGTCCCTGCTTAATAGTGGCATTTCTCCTTGCAGCTTCGAATTTGGGAACGTCAATCTTTCATGATCAGTCTTCTGTAATAACACTAGTAGACTTTCACTGCTCTATCTCGGAGCTTCGTGGACGACAATCACTACCTGACTTCAAGAGCCGTAAACTCAAGGTCACCCGGAGGCAAGATCTCCGCCACCAGACCGACGAGCTCAAGCAAAGACGAGGCACTAGGAGTCCGATTCTACAAAATCCACCACACGCAGCTCACCGGCGGTCAATCCGTGATCTTACTTTCAGCTTCCGTCTTCTCCCTTTCGTCTTACTATTCTCACCAGGTGACATCCCGAGTCTCACCTGGACCCCTGCCTATTGGCGTATCTTGGCGATGTCTGTCAGCAAGCCCAAGGCGACGTTTCCCCGCATCTACGCAGCATCCCTTGCGAGTGTACGTACAAAACCTAGTCTCGGATTGGTACGACATGTAATAGGACAATGTCATCCGCGCAACATTCCTCGCAACCTCGAGCGGAACGGTACCTAGACAGGGCTGATGGTGGGTGTATACAAGCTAGGGTAGTAGCCTAGTCGATGCGTGTCGCCCTGGCAGATATATAGCCCTCTCGACGTGCATCATCATGTTGTTCCCTTCTCAGACCTCGCTCGCCGGAGACTGCATTCAAGGCTGCAAAACGACCACTCCACTGCCCCGAACAGCCGTCGAATGCTGACAGAATGTATCCGAAATCGGTGTTGCTTGTTGCCGCGCTGGTAGGATATGTTCAAGGCCGAGGATTGAATGGACGGTCTGCCGGCAATGAAACCCATCTTCAATGCAAATGCGTGAGTCTGGGAGCCTTCTCAACCTTACCCATACCGGCCAACGCCGTGTGTTGAGCTTGCGCTGAAACAACCAAAGGTCCCCGGACGTTGCTGCTGGCCGTCAGAGTCTTCTTGGGAGGCCCTCGACCTCACCCTCGACGGCAACCTCGTCAAGAGCGAGCCCATCGCGCAGTCTTGTTACGACGGCCCGGCCAAGGACCTAGCCGAGTGTGCCCGCGTCTCCAAGCTGTGGTCGGACCAGGACTTCCAGACCTCCAACCCAATCGGCCGGCCATACCCTTACAATATCACATGCGCACCGGTCGACCACGCCGCGGGCCAGATCCCGACCAGCTGCTCCCTAGGCTCTCTCCCAACGTACGCGGTCAACGCCACCACCCGCGCCGACATCAACTCGACTCTTTCCTACGCACGCCAGCACAACATCCGCCTCGTCGTAGCCAGCACCGGGCACGACCTCCTCGGCCGCTCCGACGGCTACGGCAGCCTTGAGATCTGGCTCCGGCACTACCGCAGGAGCATCGATTTCCAGCAGACATACGTCCCTGCCAACGGCTGCCGGGGGTCCAACTGGACCGGCAGCGCAATCCACATCGACGGCGCCTACCAGTGGAGGGACGTTTACAAGGTCGCGAAAGCGAACAACGTGATTGCCGTCGGCGGTGGTTCGGCGTCGCCCAGCGCCAACGGGGGCTGGTCGTCGGGCGGCGGCCACGGGCCCGCGACGCGCGACTACGGGCTCGGGGCGGACCAGATACTCGAGGCCGAGGTGATGCTCGCGGACGGGCGAGTCGTAGTGGCGAGCCACTGCGAGAACGAGGACCTGTTCCGCGCTCTTCGCGGCGGCGGGCCCGGTTACGGCATCGTGCTGAGCACCACCGTCAAGACATACCCCAACGTGAACGCCGTCACCGTACACAGGCTCACGTTGACGCCCCTGAGGCAGATCGCGAATAACTCTGACCTCCTGGACGCCGTGTCGATGCTGTTCTTTTATTATCCGTCTCTCAATAGGGCGGGCTTTGCGGGTTACGCGTACTGGTCTCGCAACTCCCCTACCGTCTTCGTGGGGAACTCCACTTCGGGCTATACTCACAACTTTTGGATGATTGGCAAGACCAAGCAAGAGGTCGACCGTTCCTGCGCGCTCTGCTCGCTCAACGAGTACCTGGTACATTCCCCGGACCGGGGTGTGTCCGTCGACGAGGACTGGGCCGAGTACGGTGATTACTGGTCCTTCTACGAAGCCGAGTCCGGTCTCTACGACCCCGTCGGCGACACCGCTATCCTCACGTCTCGCATGATGGATCCGTCAGTTGCGGGGCGATACGACGACATCCGCGCGGCCCTCGAAGTGTTCAGCGGCGCGCCGGGCGAGTTCGTGTCGAACGTCGCGCTGTTGGTCTCCGGCGGGAAGGTGTTCGAGGACGCCGGCGATCCGACGTCGGGCGTGCACCCGGCCTGGCGCAGGTCTCCGTACGTCCTGGTCGCCGGGCGCGGGGTGTCGAGGACGGCGAGTAACGCGGAGCGCAAGGCGGTGCAGGACGACATCACGTTCGTCAAGGGCGCGGCGGTGAAGAAGTTGTCACCTGGGACCGGTGGGTACATGAACGAAGGCGACCGACACGATCCCGACTATATCCAGACGTTTTATGGCGACTATTATGCGGCGCATCTTGCGGCGAAGAGGAAGTATGACCCGGATCATGTGTTTTACTGTCCGACCTGTGTTGGAGCTGAAGCATTTGTTGAGACTCCAGACGGACCGTTGTGCAAGCTATGAGATTCGGAACGTCATTTGGAGCGCGTGGTGCTTCAAAAGATTTGTGGTATTACTACATAATTGCTTTCATAATGCATATGCCATTGCTGCAGTCGGCAATCGCATTAGTATCTCGTGAGCTCCGGCGACCCTTCGGCCCTTGGGGACGAGAACTTCGTCTCCACGAAAATCTTCTGAATCCCGTCCTCGTGCTTCTCGAACTTGTAGTACACCTTGTCGAGGTCCTCCAGGCGGATGCGGTGGGACAGCATCTGGTACACGTCAAGATCACCGCCCTGGATCTTCTTCAACAAGTCTTCCCAGTAGAGATGCACCGGCGCCTGTCCGTTGCCGATCAAACGCACACCACGCTCCATCAGAGACCCGATGTTGAAGTGGTTGGTGTAGCCCACGTAGACACCAGTGATGCCGCAGCGGCCAAAGTTCCGCACGCCCTCAATCATCTCGTTGACGATCTCGCTGGTATCCGTCTCGGCGCCGAGCGCGATCTCGACGGTGTGCAGCCAGCCCTTGGGGTACTCGCCCGCGGCACACTCGATACCCACATCCGGGCCCCGTCCGCCGCACAACTCCTTCAGCCTCGAGACGACCGTCTCCTTGTTCGTGACGCCGCTCGAGAGCTTCTTGAAGTCGATCAGCTCCAGCTTATCCTGGTGCGCGGCCGGCCACTTGGCCTTGATGTACGACAGGCGCGGCTCGGTGTCGACGAAGATGACCTTCGACGCGCCCTCTCCAATGGCAAAAGCTCCGGCCATCTGTCCGATGGGGCCGGCGCCCCAGATGGCGACTTGGTCTTTGGGGTAGACGGCGGTGTCCTTGACGGCGTTGTAGGAGGTGGCGAGGACGTCAGAGAGGTAGAGGGCCTTCTCGTCGGGGACGTCGTCGGGGATCTCGAGGAGGTTGACGTCGCCGATGGGGACGCGGACGTACTCGGCCTGGCCTCCCGCGAAGCCGCCAGTGAAGTGGGAGTAGCCGAACATTCCGGCTGTTTGGGATCCGTACATGGACTTCTCCATCGTGTTGGAGTTTGTCCTCTCGCACTGGGAAGAGAGCTTTTGTTTGCAGTAGAAGCACTGCGCATTGTGTTAGCCATTGTATGCAGAGAGGGGCTGGGACTTGAACTCACGTTTCCGCATGCGATTTGGAAGGAAGCGACGTAGCGGTGGCCGACCTTGGCCTTCTTGACGGCTGCGCCAACCTGGTCGACCACACCGCAGAATTCGTGGCCGAGGATGTCGCCCTTGTTCATCTGCACCACGGAGCCGTGGAGCAGGTGAAGGTCGCTGCCGCAGAGGGTGCTGCCGGTGACCTTGAGGATGACGTCTGTGTCTTCCAGGATCTTTGGTTTCGGTGCATCGACTGGTGAATGTGTAAGTGTTTGAAGAGAGCAAAAGCGGAGATGCAATCGACTCACCGATCTCAACTTTGTTCTTGCCCTGCCACACGAGAGCCTTCATCATCTCACCGCTGTCGTTGCTGTAGTTGGTGACGTCCTGCGCCGTGACGGCATCGCCCTGGTGGCCGATCGCCTTCTCGGCCGCGTACGCTGCTTGTGAAGCCATTGTGATTCGTAGTTTGCTGAAGGACGTCCGAAATTAAGTTTAAAGTTGAGTCTGGGGAATCCTCCGGCCTTCGGGAGCTGCGCAGGAAGTACCTTGTCTTATACTTGTCCAAGTAAAGACGTCGTGACAGAATAGCTGGTAATTGGTGACTTGGCATGAAGCGAGGCGAAAAGGCGCGACGCCGCCGGCGGAAAGATTCCATGACGGGCGACGGCGTCACTTTTGACGGAGAACCGACGTCATTGATCCCAGAAGGGATCGTCTGGCCAGCGAAAGCCACAATTCCGAACCAATTAAGCGAGCCCGCCCCTGACGGATGCCACGCAGATGTCGAGCTAGAGCTCGGCAAGGCTGAGCAACGTCTTATTCATCCTGTTCGTTTGTGGTAGGTGATGATAAAGCGGACGTTGAGCGTTGGCGGAGACCGGGCTGGACCGGCGGGTGGATGTCGGCATGTCGAAGTCGAGAGCAGTGGTGGTGAGGGCGAGCCAATCGGCAGGGAAGCGAATCGACGATGACATCTCCAGGGAATGGCGGGGGTAACGCAGCTTTCGGCATGCGGTTCGTCACTGAACTCAATTGTCCGGGCTCCAATGAAGGGCCCCTCACCCGTTCATCTGATGTATTGACGGGATCATGTTCGCAAGGACAAAACAGCTTCGATTCTGCAGAGATGGATCTGAAGGAGCATTTATTCCATCTTAACTGGACATCAGGGTTCTCTCTTTCCCGCTGAGATTCTGATGCCTCCAACTCTATCAGGTCAGAAACTACGTCACCATGCCAGGTTGACCCCACCTCAGCTGGCGGCTACGGAGCGGGGCCGACAGTGGAGATATCGGATCCGTAACGGAACTCAGAATAACGGGACGAAGCACCCATCTGCCGGCGGCGGCGCAGGAAACAGTTTGCATCGTGAGGAGGACCGTACTTCACTGAAAAATTAGCCATGACGGATCGCCGGTCTGGGTAGCGTAGTTGGCCCGCGTAGATACCCCAGGAGGACAGCCGATCTGACACCCTTTTGCGCGGAACGTGCTGGCGCCCTCTACGACACTTGCCATGCGCCGCCACTCAAGGCGCGTCGTCTACATGCAATCTCGCGCAGCAATGTTGACCGCGTTCCTTAGTATTGTGATTTACCATGTCGCCGAGGACGGACTACGCTGTGGCTCCGTATCCCGGGTGCCGAAACCTCTAGCCCCGCCGCCCCGGTCTCCGGCGCCGAAGGCGTTAATGCATCTGCCGGGTTGGGCGACTTGCTTCACATCCCCTTTCTCCTTCGAATCTCAGGGTCTTTTTTAAAACAGACGTTTTTTGCGTGGGCCACTGGCGGCGCATTGATGAAAAAACGCTGTGCACTGTGTTATTCTCATCTATGAAATGACTACCCCAATTCCTCCCCAGCCACCCGGAGCCCCCGACCGAACTGATTCAAATCCAAGAGCTCTGCTCTTTGCCGCAAGACCGAAAAACACGTGGTAAATCGTCATCAGTGTCCTACAGCGCCCAAAACTCGACCAGTCCTCAGTCATCAACGGGCGGTACAAGCGCATCAACGTCGACCTCCATTTGCAGCCCTTTCGGGGGCGTCCAGGGAGACTTGTTGGCCAGCTTTGCCTTCCACTTGCGAGGGACTTGGTCTTTCGCATCCCTATCGCCAAATGTAAACCCCGAGTAATAATAGCCGCTGGCGTCAAAGTCCATGAACAAGTCACCAACCCTTAGCGCCGGCATCCGAGCAGACATCATGGCCAGAAGCACCGGATACCAGGTTTCTGGGTCCAGGCGTCGTCGCCAGAAGTGCTGGGGCCACATGTGGTTGGCGACTCCGCGACGCAAACTCGGCGGGTCGTCGTGATCTGTGCCTGACCCGTCCGAGTCATCCGAGGAGGCCTCTATGCTAGGCCATCTGGGCTCGTGGTCTCTGGGATTACCCGTGGAGTACCACTTGCCGTTGGCTGCCACCGGATAGGTCGTGATATCGAGGATCTCAAGCGAGGGCCACAGAGTGCCCTTGTCTGTGACGCTGTCGCCTTCTTTGGCCTGGGCTCGGCGGTCACAGAAGAGATCAGGCGAGAGCCGAACTTGGTCGAGAAGAAGCTTCTTCAGCGTGCTCCCTTCAACCAGCAGGCGGAGCGCCTCGCAGACGCGGTCGATCCCCTTCTCCTCGTAGTCCAGACACTGGAAGCTGTGATTCCAGGGCATTCTGTTGCCTTCCTGATGCAGTTTCAACTCGCGTAGGTTAGGAAGCTTGCCGCGTAAGTTGAGGATTGCAGTCGCGAGTGCCAAGTGCTGCTTCAACCGGAAGTGTGATGCGTCTTGGTGGTCTCCGTCCCGATAGCCAACATCCAGTACTTCAAGGTTGGGCGTGTGAGCTGCCAACTGGAAAAGGGTGGCCGCGTGTGGAGTTTCAAGTCCACAGGCATTGGTCCTGAGTTCGGTGATCTGCCGGACGGCAGGTAGTCGAAAAAGGTCGTCGTGATTCAGCGCAGGGCGCCTGTCTCTAGCGTGGGGTTCTGGTATATAACAGGCAATGTGGACATATATCTTGTTCAGACTCCGGTCCGAAATCCCTTCCTCCCATTCGTGCAGCAGCTGGAATAGAGACGAAACAGAGGCGGTGAGATGCTTCGTGTTGCGACTCACTTCCTTGGGTGTAAGCCCGCTACATGGCGGTTTGAGCCTGACGAATATCTTACGCACGAGGGCGCGGCGATGGGCATTGGGCGGACGAAATGCGGCGGTAAACCGTGCTTGGTCTTCAGCACTGTCCCGGTAAATGATGGACTTGAAGGTGAGAGACTCGACTGCGCGTTGGAAGACACGAGAGACGCTCGCATACTCTGCAATTCGTGGCACGCGAACGTGGTATTTTTTGGTGTCGTGGAGGTCGCAAAGATGGTCAACAATCTGGTAGACAATGTCGAAGTTGTCCATAATGAAAGACGATGTACAGGGTACGATTCGAGGGGAAAAGAATGAAGAAGAAGAGGAGAGTGAGATGAGAGCGTCTGTGAAATGGAAATCAAAGAGGAAGGAAGCAAACAAATGTTTAATAAAAGAAAGAGAAGGAGGAAGAGCAGATATACGTACCGCTGCAGGGTTCCAGCACTGCCTACCTACCAACGCGTTTACCCAGTGGTGACAGAAATGGGGTGTATCAAATACGTACCTGATGTAGGTACCTGATCATCAGCCTTAATTATAGCACACGGCAGCTAATGGTAAGCTTATTTTAGGGGCATCCATCTCACATGGAAGTTGAAGTAAAGCGAGTGAGCGCTAAATCTTCCTGGCGGGCAGTGTACGTAGAAAACGAAAGAAGAAAACCTTAATCTAAATAAACGCGAAAGAATAGTCCGCTCTCCCATCTATGTACACAACGAAAATTCCGGGGGAAAGCCGCTTCGTCCGGCTAAGACACCGAGCTAGTGGGGCCGAGCATATCGGCGATCCCAGCTCCGCTGCCGGACCGGTCCGTACGACTCCGGCCTTTCAAGGGCTCGGGGGAGGGGTGCCATCAGGGGTGCCGGGAGGGGTATCGGCAGGCGCCGCCCCGGGCTTGAAGGGGTTTTTGAAGAGGGTGTCCGTCTTCGTCACCTCTCTGACCTTCTTGGCGGTAGCCTTCATCCGCTCGTGCAGCTTCTTCCTGTCGGTGTCCATAGTTTTCAACTCCTTCTCCCCATCCTCGATGTGCTTCTCGACAACCTCGACGAGCATGACCATAAAAGTCTTGAGCTTTTTGTTCAGGGCGTCCGTGTACGTGTCGATCCATGCCATCCATTTGTCGCGCAGGTCCTGTTTCCTGTACGGCGTCGGCTGCGCCTTCCAGTTCTCTACCAGTCCGTTCTCGGCCACGTCCATGGCTTCTCCGACGCGCTTCGCTTGCCGGTAATAGATCTTGTTGACGTCGGCATTGTTCAGGTAGTCGGCTAACACGACAGCCACACGGAGCTTGTTGATAACGTAATGGACGGTCTTGATGTTTTCTGCCTTCTTCATGATGGTCTTCTTGTTATGAATGTCCTTGCTGCTGACTTGGAAAAGCTATACTCATGTTTAGTGACGACTTGGGCTCTGGAGGGAGGAGAAATCGCCGGGAGCGTGGTGATAGAGACTTACCAATGTCTTAAGTCCGTTCACCTCCTTGTCCACCCTGACCATCTCCTTTTCTCTATGAGCGAGCGACGAGTTAGTATGAGTTCATGGACCAGAAGATAATAGAAGAAAGGAGAAATGTACCCGGCTTCGTCCATATGCGGCCATGCGTCGCCCACCAAGGTCCAGACCTTGCGTTCGTTGACAATATTCAGCTGCCCGCCACGTCCCCCTGATACCATCCAGTATCGCTTGAGGTAATCACACATGGTCACCTTGTCGTTTTGCGGGTCATCGTCGGGGTCTGGAGTCTTGAGAAGGACCTCGAGGCCGAATTGCTGAAGCATGTTCATCTCGAGGACATGCTCGTCCTGATGTTCTCTCCCCGCGGCTGGTTTGGTGTCACCGGACCGCGGAGGAAGCTTCAAGTTGAAGTCTTCGCAGTTGCCCCAGTCACTGACGTCGTACAGCTTGTCGCCGGACGGGTACCCGGGCAGGTCGTAAATGAGCTTTTTGCCGCAGAAGCTCTTGGGCGTCGGGTAGCCTGCGCGGACTTCGAGCTTGAACCTCTTGAGGATCTCGTTGTCGCTCGAGGGGCCGGCGACTAAGGCGCCCAGGACCTCCTCGACCCTGGCGTGCAGCTTGTCTCCTTGGAGGTCCTGGAAGTCGCTGCGACGAACAAGTTTTGTGATGTTGAAGCCGACTTCTTCATCCGCAGCAGAGAAGTCGATCGACCGAGCGTCAAGGGGCCCGTCTTCTTGAAGCTGGGCGATTTCGGCGAGCTCTGCTGCATCAAAGGCGCTTTCGCCGCACTTATAGAGGTTGTATTTCTCACACGAGCCTCCTTTCGGCTCGTCGGCAGTGGCGACGAGACCGACAAGAAAACTGAGATTCAGGGCTAAGGTTTGGAGTCTCATGGTGGTGAGATGCCAGTGTAACAAATATGAGTTATCAAAGATAGAAGGCTATCAAGGATAAAGAGCGATGATATGGAAATGAGCAAAGTGAAAGTGTAGAGATGTCAAGTTGATCGACCGCGATGAGAGTGAGATGAAAGTGCTGAATCATGTCAAAAGCCTCAACACAATCGAGGAATGACTCTGCTTTTAAGCCCTCATGAACTGCTCGTGAGATTCTCGTGAAGAAGTCTGCTGCCTGACGCCGATGTATAGCCATGTCCGTTAACGAAGTGCTTGTTGGAGGCCAAAATTGGGGGTTGTTCCATGATACAGAGTCGCTCGAGGTAGTCTGGAAATAGACATTATCCCAAGAAGTTGCCCGAATGCCAGCCTCATACGATGTCGCTGCGCTCCTTCCTTGAATAACTTCCACCAGCAGGGGTGGCAGTGTATGAAGTCTGTCAGCCTTGTGGGTTCGTAGATGTTTCGATGATACACACCATTCTGGATGTATCTCGTCCGAGTGCAAAGTCCTCCGTCCGAGGCTTCAATCTGGCAATCCGGGAGTCTGCAGACTGCAGTCATGTGGCATGGCTAGGAATACTTGAAGGCTGTGGTTTTGTGTCACACGATGTGCTGCATGTAACCGCAGGAGGATGCAGCAAGGGGCGGGGTCCGCATGTTCAATTTCGGCCGCTCTATTCAACGAAGGTAGTGGAGGGGTTTGAAAAAACAAAAATAGGCTGAATGATGTTGTCGAGATCTTGGCTGCGTGAGATGCTGCTTGATTGGGCGTCGCGTCAGCCCTCTAGAGGCATCAGGCTCGCACTGTTATACTCAGTCAGCCTGAAGCAATGCAGTTCGACTTAGCGTGGGCTCCCGTAGTGCCAGAAGGATCTCTTCGAAGAGGAACTTGGGATTTGAGGGGAAAGAAGTTCATGGTCCGTATCTCGTAGAGCCTTCAAATACCCCCTTAGGCCCCCGACCAGAGCAGCTCATCTTTTTTTATCTTCAATCGTTGCATCTCTACATACGAAACCCCGTTCCTCAATCGCTCAAGTAAAAATTCACATACAAACTTCTACATCTTTAAAGCTCCCCAGAACAAACACACATCTGTCAACATGCACACAATCGCTTCCCTCCTCATGACCTTCGTCTTGGCTGCCCCCCTGGCTTCAGCCATGCGAGTCAGCATCTACCAAGGAAAGCAATGCCGCAGCGCCAATCTCGGATCTTTCGAGGTCAACGCCGGCGATGGCTGCCGCAACGACCGTGTCGGAACCGGCCAGTCTCTGGTGATCCAACCTCCCGAGAACGAGGACGCCGAAAACCCGTACATGTTGGTGCTGTTCAGCTCCGACAACTGTAACCCGGCGACCATAATCACCGCCAAAGACAAGGGCTGCTTGTCTATCGAGGACAAGAACTACGGCTCTTTCGAGGTTTGGGATGTCATGAACGGTAAGTTATCTTGAAGTTCCCCGACTGCGTGGTGTCTTCTAATCAGACTATCCTCGCAGACTAAGGAAGATTAAGTTCGCTTTATGGGACACTGAGTAGGGCAAATGTTGATGGTATTGGAATGTTTCTATCTTTCTATGTTATGATTGTTAAATACTGTGCTTGGAACTTTCGTAAACATCAAATCAGACAAACTCTAAAAAACGCTCCAATCACGGCGCCCGTTACCTCTCAACATGTTCTTCTCATATGTGTCGCGCCTTTCTATATCAAACCAAATAAGAGTTGTCTTCCCGTGGAATATATTCTGATCAACTTCCCACATAAATATCAGGGAGACGTACATCCAACCAAAGAAAGAGCCATTCTGTGCAGCCCTGAGATAGTGTCAAGTGCCACCGTAGCCCCTCTTCCCAAATTCCTACGAATACTGATATATCACGGCCTGTGATACGAGAAATCTCATGCAGAATCAGCTTACAATCGGGTTCCTGACATATCGATCAATAATCTAGATGGTGGCGCCCGTTGAGCGCCAAGATCAAGGAACAGCCGGGTGATCCTCAATGCCACCCACACCATCTGCTCAGCAGTAAGCCGTCAGCCGCGGTCCGGGACAAAAAGGGATAACATTTTGTGTCTATAGCAGTATCAGGCTGTGAGTCGCCATTCTAGTGCATGTCTTGCATCTATTGACGCTCCGCTTACTCAAGGGGCGACTCTCATTCGACCGTAAGCCTCTTGGCCGTTTGCCCGGTCGCGGCACAGACAAAAGAGTGCACTCCGCCCCCCATTTTCTCACTGCGTGGACCTCATGTTGAATTGTCACTGAAGCTCTACGGTTACACACGGAATCCTGAGGCTTTCGATGTCGACAAACATGGTCTCATTTGCGCAGCCGCGCCTGCATCCCCCTGACGGACGGCCATTATTAGATTTCAGGCTCTGGACTTTTCTCTGTTGTAGTACTCACAGCATGGCGGTACATGCGCTCATAAGCGCCGGGCGTTTATGTTCATATGTGGAGTCGGCAAGTAGACGAATCACAAGGACTTATTTGTTAGAATGCCGCGCCCAGTATCACTGGTTCAAGGTCCAAAGAAGCCCCCAAGGCTACGCCCGAGAACTTCTACGCCTTGTTGGAACATAGCTTGAAGGAGCTGAGTCCTATCTTCTCGTTCCGGGATTTCTGAAGAGGCTGAAGGCTCTTGATCTGATTCACCTTCACACCATCAGGTGAGGCAGTCATACAGGGACTCAAGCAGCTCATAGATACGATAATAACTTCATGACAGAGACCCCAATCTTACTGCGTGAAGATGAGGCACAATAATCCATCAGGTCAACAGCTGATGTGAACTTTCGATGGATGATGGCTGAGTATGCCTCGTCTCACGCAGTCAAGTTGGGGTCCTCCGGAGGAACAGTTCAAGAGTCAAAAGCTACGAGATGAAGTTTGATGCCAAATTTGGAAGCCACCGTATGTAACAGCTCATAATTTGAAGCTAGAAAGGCTATAAGTAACAGTAGGCGAATTGTCATATGGAATGCTCGTCAAACAACGATTCGAAAACAAACTCTTATCTTTTGCATCTGCCCTATTCCATTTACCTTCTCGGAAAGCTACAACTCAATCACTCGCTCGACTCATTATTTCTCTACGCTCGCCCATCATGCGTATCACATCGGCCACTAAGGCCATCTTCATCATGGTCAACCACGTGATGGCTAGCCACTTCCCCCGCGAGGTGTTTCCTGAGGCCCGTATTTTCGGCCGGGGAGACTTCGAGACGGGTTTGGCCGCCCGCCAGGCGGGATCGCTCCCAAACATCTGGAAGTGCAACGATTGCATCGATAAGTGCAACTCGCCCAGCCAGATCGTTGACCCCAAGGACTGCAAGAAATGCACCGAGTGCCCCAAGGGGCAGAAGCCCGACAAGGCCGGCACGAAGTGTATCGATGATGACAAGCAGAAGAAGTTCGAGGAGCAGCGGAAGAAGAGATACAGTGAGTACAAGACCAGCAAGGGGTACGACCGGTGGAAGAAGATCAAGGAGCGTGAGTACGAGAACAAGGTCAACGAGGAGAAGCGCCGCAAGGTCCGCCGCATGGTAAGTCGTTCTTGATCAGCATGTGTTAAGAGACACTGTACTGACTAGCCCCCTTCGCAGTCTCGTTGCCTTGCTATTGTTCCTCTGGCCATGGGTGCCGCGGAAGTCGAGCAATTTGCCGACCTCTTCGACGAGGACTGGACGGAAAGCATGGAGATGCTCGAGTTCTGGCCGGGGGGCCTCGAGATCGACGAATGGATCGACCAGAAGTCGGATGAGATCTTCGAGCAGGACGAATACCTAGACAAGTGGGTTAACATCGGAAACGGCGAGAAGCGCGACATGATGCCGGCAGCTGCGCAGTTCAAGCCCTCGTCTTCTCTGGCTGCGCCTGCAATTACACCCGCTCCCTACATCGACCATGAGAAAGTTCCCAACAAGTTCGTCCGCGATGCCGCCACTACAACCGCTCTCATTGTTAGGGACAGCGAGCTCGACAAGCGTTGCCCGTTCTGCTTCCTAATTCCTATCTTCGCCGCTGTCGTTCGCACCGTCGCCCAGGTCGCGGTGAGGGTCGCTAAGGTTGCGAAGAACGCGGTCAAGATCAGCAAGGGTATGAACAAGAGAGACAGGCGCGACAAGCGGAAAGCTTCTGAGGAGATCAGCAAGAACAAGAATTGGAGGAACTGTCTGACCGGCGCGAACCCCGTCTAGTAGGTGAGACGGAGCAATACTCATTATTCATGGAAGGATGTTCGGAAGGATGTTCACTTACCTCTGCTGCATGTAACTACCGCGTGTCTTTGGATCTTTTGTTGCTTTTGAAATACTGGAGTAGAGGTAGTAATCAGTTGATCATTACATACTTACCACGAATACATCGAGGTTCTTTCCACATCATGAGTGAGATTAAGACAGAGTTACACAGGTGATGGATCGACGAGTGATCAATGTAGCCACGTCTCCAGATCTATTCAAATACCGTTAAGTCAAAAGTGAAATCACTGTCAGTTCTACAATGACCCCTCATGCCGCATGATGTCGTTGGGGAAAGTTGGAGATAGAAGCGGAGGCTTGCTTCCGTCCCGCCGTCCCGTCGGTGCAGTGAGGGGAAAGCAGGGATCTTTCAGGGTTCTTCCCCCATTTTGGGTCAGGGACGGAGTAAATTGTTGCTTGGCCGCATTGTATCTCATACTGGTTCCTCCGGATCGCGACTGTAAATGGTAACCCGGAGGATGATGCATCCGCAAAGGACAACAAAGCCATTCGAGACACGGGTGAGGTTGATTGGGGTCTGTGGATTTCGAGCAACAGTATTTGAAGAGCGCGCCCTCGTTTTGCAGCTGAAGCGGCCTCCATGTTCTGTTGGCACACATACTTCGAAACTAGGTCTCAATTCATACCATCGTCATGAAGTCCCAAAGCCTCACTCTCGCCGCTTCTCTGTTGGCCGGCGGTGCCTTCGCCTTCCAGCTTGGCGGCGGCCCTCCACCACCACCCGAAACCACCATGGCCGAGAACTTCCCCTGGCGCAACCCCTTCACCTCCAACTTGACCGACTCCTACACGCACACGTGCGAGGCCTCGAAGACGTTCGCCGCGACTCAGTACACGCTCCACGATCTGTTCGAAAAGCAACCCTTGGGACTCTTCCCCTGGGGAGACGGCCTGAAGCTCTTCTTCTCTGGTCGCGAGTACCCGGGAAGCTGGGCCGGCCTCGATCGTCACTTGCACGACCGCAACCTGCTCATGATGGCCTACGCCGACCTGCCTCTCCGTGTCCGTGAGTGGATCGAGGACCAGGAGCGCACCGAGGACAGCCAGGGACAGGGCCTGTTTGCCGTCTTTGATAAGCCTGCCACCGAAGAGGAGAAGATCAAGGAGCGCGTCGCTGTTCCGGAGGATCCCAAGGAGCTTGATCGTGAACTCGATGAGAAGAGGGTAGCGATCTTTGCGCCCGGAGCTTTGTATCACATCCTTCCGCTTTTCGTTGCCGATGGCAGCGATTGCCAAGGTGAGTCAAAGGACCAGCGAGCGGTCATCGGTGCCGCGCGCAAAAAAAAATGTCCTGCTGGAAGTCGATGCTGATTTAACACGCAGAAACCCTCGCCGACCTGAGCAACTACAGCCCCACGCCCAAGGACGCGGCTGTTGTGTCATGGCCCGTTAGCCATACCCGACCCAACCTAGATGAGAAGAAGAGGGATATCAAGTTCACCGTCAAGGCGCAAGTACTCAAACTGAAGGAAGGTGCAACAGAGGCTGTGGCAGGAGAGGAGGCAAAAGCAGCTAATGTCCAAGAATCCAAGGACGAGCTGTGAATTGTCGACGAAGTTAGGATCAAACATAGAGTACACGCATAATTTGTTATGTTCACAGATGACCTATGAAAAACGCGTGATTGTTACTAAACAAGACCGATGACAAATCGGCTAACATGTGCGAATATGCAAGCTAACATGCCAATCTTCTGCCATGGCGCATTAATAATCAGCATTCTTGGCGCACTGCGCCGTGGAATTCCGTGGCGATTGGACTTGTGCAAGCACACCGACACACCGAGGAGCTGGCGCCGCCTGGTACCGCCTGGCAATCTCTACATGACTTACACGAAACAATGCATTTATTGTGACAAATGCTACTGATTACCCGGTGTAGAGCTTCAACTAGTAAGATGTTAGGCTTAATTTGAATCATAGAGAAACGCGGAGAAGGCGCTTCTTTCATTTTAAATCCCCAAGTTGCTACGGCGGCTTGTACGGCAACTCCTTCGCTCTAAGGCAATGCATTCCGCGGCAACCACCGCGGCTGCCGTGGCTGACCTCCATGGAGAAAACATCATCACTGTAACTCTTTTACAGCAGAACACTTATGAGTATATATATGGTCTCTTACGCCTTCCAAAACACCTTTTCTCTTTCTCATATCACGATCATTTACCTCAACAGCTTCTACACACAGCCATTGCATATATCAAATTTCACCATCTCCACCGTCAAGATGCCTGTCCGCTATGAAAGCAAAGCTGTCAACCCCGAGCCTTTGGCCCAGCCTCTGAGTTTTCCCTTCTCCGGAAAGACAGCAAAGAACCGCTTTCTCAAGAGTGCCATGGCCGAGAACCTCGCAACTTGGAGTGGCAGCGACCCTTCCAAGAGAGGCGTTCCCACACCCGAGCTCGTCGAGGTTTATCGTCGGTAAGTCACTCGAAAGGCAAATATTGCAAAGAATCTAGAGCTGAATGATTTCAACACAGATGGGGTGAAGGCCCGAACAACTTCGGCGTGGTTGTCACGGGTAACATTGACATCGAGTTTGACTACATGAGTGGCATCGGCGATATGATCATCACACCCGAGTGTGAGCCCAAGGGCGAACGTTTCGAAGGATTCAAGGCCGTCGCTGCGGCCGGCAAGGCCCACGGAAGTCTGATGCTGGGCCAAGTCACCCACTCAGGACGACAGGTGCAGAAGAAGATTCAACCTAACCCCATTTCAGCCTCTGCTGTTCCTCTTGGTTTGTCTACTCACACTCCAACTCAAGAATTTGGACTAATGAAACGGTATGGCAGAGCCAAAGATGGGCATGGAATTCGCCAAACCCCGCGAAGCCTCCAAGGAGGATATCGACCGCGTGATCGAAGGTTTCGCTCACGCAGCGGAGTATCTGGACAAAGCCGGCTTCGACGGAATTCAGCTACATGCTGCTCACGGCTATCTCATCGCGCAGTTCTTGTCGCGCACGACAAACCAACGAACGGATGAGTACGGTGTTCAAACGCTGGAAAACCGCACCCGCCTGATTTCCGATATCGCCAGGGCCATCCGGGCGCGGACATCCCCGGATTTCATCCTCTCTGCGAAGCTCAACAGCGTGGAGTTCCAAGATGGGGGCGTGACGCCCGATGAGGCTCGCGAGCTGTGTGCATCCTTGGCCGAGCTGGGTTTCGATTTCCTCGAGCTCTCTGGAGGCACCTACGAGGCACTGGGCTTGACATACGAAAAGGAGTCCACTCGCAAGCGGGAGGGTTTCTTCCTCGAATTCGCTGAGACGGTCGTCACTGGTCTCGGGGACCGAAACTCTCGCAAGACCAAGGCATACATCGTGGGCGGTATGAGGACTGTCGGGGCAATGGTTGACGCACTTGACATCGTTGATGGCGTTGCTCTGGGACGACCCGCCGCTCAGGAGTTCCGAATTGTTCCCGACATTCTGGAAGGGCGTGTGGCAGGCGCAATTCGTCCGGTGCAGATGATCGAGGACGATTTCGGTTTCGGACACTTGGTATCTGGGGCCCAAATGCGCCAGGTGTCTAAGGGCCGGGAGCCATTTGACTCAAGCGACCCTAAGTCAGTGGAGACTTTTGCTTCGGACATGCAGGCTTGGGTCCAGGACTTGATTGCCGATGGCGACAAGCTTGAACACCATGGAGGTGTAGACTTTTCGGGAAAGGTTCAACCTTACGGGGTAACTGCAGCTGCGTAGATCCGACGAGACTTTTTGCTACTTTTGAGAGACAGTTAAACGTTTAGATTTTCTATTTATGTATAGACGTAGATGGAATAAATTTCTTTGAGTTGATGAAACGATGCGTGTAAGTCGAGATTCAGTTTCGGTGAATTTCGGTGAGGAAACAAGATAAGCCTTAGAGGATTAGTCAAGATAGATGACTAGGCAGTTATCTTAGAGGAAGGATTTCCAGCCCAGGTGGGCTGGGATGCGTTCATTTTTAGGGTGGCTTGACTGGGGCTGCTGGGGCATCCTCAATCTCACCGATCAGCTTCGATTTGTAAGCCTGCGCTTTGTTCCACCCACATACCCCATCAACTGCATGGCAACATGAACGGTTAAAGCAATCCTGGCCCAGAACAAATCTGTGGATCTTAATCCCCAGGTCTGCTTCTCTTTCTGGAGTATATTTCATTTTGTGCCCAAGTCGACTGAAGGGACAGCGAGAAGAAGCTCAGCCAACATGGAGACCTCCTCACAACGTCGTAAAGGTGAGACAGCACCTCACCAGGCTCAGTCAGAGAAGCTAACAGATTCAGCCTGCGACTTGTGCTTTATCAAAAAGATTAAATGTGACATGCTCAAGCCAGCATGCTCGAACTGTTTGCTGTACAAGTCAGACTGCAGAACGACTACTGTTAGACGGAGAGCGCCGCCAGCAAAGGAGCGGCCACAACCAACTGCACAAAATGGCACAGGCGAGTAAGTGCCACAAGTTATTTACAATAACTAGGAATTGAACTGACCGTAACCTAGGTCAACGAAGGTCTCTGAATTAGAAAGTCGCCTTGCAAGGATGGAACAGCAGTTGCAGCAAGCCCTTGACGCCACCAGTCGAACCAGCAGTCACACCTCACCAGAGGACCCAGTAGCGTCCAATGTAGCCGACACTCGCCCCCAAAATGACAACTCATCAGAGAGCCTGGATTTCATGGAATGCACATCCAGCAGCGAAAGCCCAAGCGAATGCGTCCAGGAATCGGAGAGGCTCAAATTACCGCCGCTGCAGGAGATAGTTCCCGTTGTTGACGAATTCTTCAGCAACTACAACACCATTATGCCGCTTTTCGACCAGCCAACGTTCATGCGCATGCTTTCCAATTGGTACGTGCCGTCTTCTCCGCAGTCAACGGCTGTTTGGGCCGCTGTCAATATCGCAATGGCACTTGGATATCGGTGTGCTCTCAAGCAGCCTGGAAACCTGGACGCCTTGGTCGACGATCAAAAAGTACAGCACCACATGCGAAACGTACAGTCAGTCGTGTCAGAATTGGTCACACGAGAAGAGGATCTTCTAGGCCTCCAGGTTCTGCTGGGCATGGTTGTATTATTCCTTGGAACGAGAGAACCAAAGCCTGCATCGGTTCTCATAGGAACGGCCGTTCGCTTGGCCCATCGCATGCACCTCCATGATAAAGAATCGTTACAATCATTCTCTCCTGATATTGCTCGACAGAGAACGAGGCTATTCTGGATGACATACACCTTGGACAAGGTGAGTGTTATTCTGTCGTGTCGTTTTATGTAATACTAACGTTTACTTCTGGTAGGACATTAGTCTCAAGTCAACGACGCCTTCATTCCAAATGGATATCGATATAGACTTGCCTTTGCCGGAACATAATCCGGACGACGGAGCAGGGATCATGTGCGCGACAAATGGCAGCAAATTCAACTACTTCCGCGCACGAGTCGAGCTCAGCCACATTTCCGGCAAGGTCTACGACCAGCTCTACAGCACCAGGTCACGAAAGATCTCACCCCAAGATCGGCAGATGAGGGTTATGAGACTCGAGAATATGCTGGAGAATTGGCGTCTCAGCTTACCTCCCGAGTTCCAAATGGACTCAGCACTGAGATGCCTCGATCCGCTGCCCGTGGTGCACATGTCGCTACTTTACCACACGCATTTCATGGCTGTGACCATGACGCACGGCGTGTATTCAGATAACGCGGACTGGGTCAAAAAGGTCAGCTTGTACAGCCGATCATTGATGCAAGATTTGGATGCAGCACCCTCACCTTGCGGCAAGCAGAACCCTCCTCTGCCGCAAGGATGGGCTAAGTGTGTCGAGCTGAGCCGCAGCTGTATGAGGCTATTTGCCGATTCGCCAAAGACTGATTGCAGTATCTGGTCCAACTCATGCGCACATCTCTCCGGTCTGATCATCATCCTGGCGAACATGTTCGTCTGGCCAGACCACCAGCTTGTGGCGGCTGACAATGAGCTAGCCAACCAGGCGCTTCAGCTTTTCGAACAGATGCTCTCTGTGCATAAGCAAGAGACTTTGCACCGAATGCACGCAGTTGTAAAGGAGCTGCACCGGCGTGCGATGGAGGCAGTGGAAGAGGCCAACGCATTGAGGCGAGAAAAGCAGGCTGCGGCGACGGTAACGGAAGTGAGGGATACCGACTTACCGTTCGGAACGCAAGTGGAAGAGGACGTGGACTTCCTGCAAGGAATGGAAGCAACAGACATAGAAGGAGCGCTGACGTCAAACCTCACGCCGGGCTCGATGTTCTCAGCAACATGGAACTTGAGCAACCTGGAAGGGTTGCAGGCCGACGTTGGCGAAGCGGGTATGCCTACTGGGCTGAGGTACTATTAGATGGAAAGAGAGATCATCAAGAATAGAAAAGGAGTACAAATGCATTGAATACCAGCTAAAAGGTTGATGTATTGCAGGAGCCGGCCCTACACTACTGAGCAATTTCACTGACGGAGCTCCACATCGGTAATCGGGACCGGGCTAGCTTCCGTCGCCGAACGTGGGGAAGCGGAGCATAACATGGGGCGACGCCGGGTGTCTCCACAGCGGGGACAAAGCTTATAAACTGCCAATTAGAGCGCACCAATTTCCAAGCGGTCATGGAAGCTCCCCCGTCATAGCTACGGAAGCATTGACGCTCTGCCGTAAAAGCACAATTGTCATGTCGTCATTGCCGGCGCCTTCAGTCACGCCAGACTGAGGGGCTCTTGCTCTCTTCCTTATCTATGTCCATTGAGGATTGCCCAAGTCCTGTGTGCTCTGTCCGAAGTTTCCATGCACGAAGTTGATGACCTCCTGTAAACCTCCTTGCCCCCTGCTCCCTGCTTCGTCCGCACTTCGCATTGCACCTGAACGAGAACAGACCAGGCCTCTTGCTGCAGGTCTGAAGTCACGTCACCGATTCGCCCAATTGAGGACTCCCACGCGGTTCACCGACCTTCTGTCACCCCCTCATCCTAATCCTACCTAAGCTTGCATTGTCTCCGCTCCCTCAGGACTTCTTCTTTGCCTTCTTACACCTTTCTCATGCGCGCTCTGCGATTATTCCGGCAAACGCAAGTCTCTCCCTTATTTCGCAACACAAATCCAACGAGATCGTTCTCACAAAGCGTTCGAGCCATGGCCGAGTACAAGCTCAAGTCCATCTCCTCGCTCTCACTCCAGCCTGGCGACAAGCAGGAGGTCGAGGTCGAGGGCATTGAGGGAGCCAAGGTGCTGCTCGTCAACGTCGGCGGCAAAGTCCAGGCCGTCGGTCCCAAGTGTACTCATTATGGCGCTCCCCTCGTCAAGGGAGTCCTGACCTCGTCTGGCCGGTTGACTTGCCCATGGCACGGAGGTATATACCCGCCCCGTATCTCGCCAGTTCCGTTCAATTTCTGACCCGTCTTCTTTTGCAGCATGCTTCAATGCAAAGACCGGCGATGTTGAAGACGCCCCCGCTCTCGACGCTCTACCAGTTTTCAACGTTACCGAACGCGACGGCGCGGTCTACGTCTCCGGCGAGGAATCTGCCATCAAGGGCGGCCGACGGAAGCCTAACTTCAAGTGCAATTCCGTTAGCGAAAGCCAGACAGAGAAGGTTATCGTTGTCGGAGGAGGATCAGGTGCCTTGGGAGCAGTCGAAGGTTTGCGCAATGGCGGCTACGAAGGCCCGCTGACCGTCATCTCTTCCGAAGGGTACTTCCCCATCGACCGCACGAAGCTGTCCAAAGCCCTGTTGACAGACGTTGAAACACTGCAATGGAGGGACAAGGCTTGGTATGAGACTGGCTCGGTCGAGTGGGTTCAGGATGAAGTAGTCGATGTTGACTTCTCCGATCGCAAAGTGTCAACGAGTGACGGGAAGAAGCTCAGCTACAGCAAGCTCATCCTGGCAACAGGTGGCACCCCGAGAGTCCTGCCTCTCCAGGGCTTCAAGGTTCTTGGAAACATCTTCACATTGAGGACGGCACACGACACGCAGAAAATCGTCAAGGCCATCGGCGACAAGGGAAAGAAGATCGTTATTGTCGGATCATCCTTCATCGGCATGGAGGTCGCCAATGCCACAGCCAAGGACAACTCGGTGACCGTCATTGGTATGGAGAAGGTTCCTCTCGAGAGGGTTCTCGGGGAAAAGGTTGGCGCCGGTATCCAGAAGAACTTGGAGAAGAATGGTGTCAAGTTCCATATGAACGCGGGCGTAGAGAAGGCCGAACCGTCAGGTTCGGATCCTTCCAAGGTCGGCGCGGTGCACCTCAAGGATGGCACCAAACTTGAGGCTGATTTGGTCATTTTGGGTGTCGGTGTCGCTCCTGCGACCGAGTTCCTGAAGGAAAACAAGGTCATCCGACTTGAGCAGGATGGCTCCATCAAGACGGACGAGAGCTTCCTTGTCACCGGTCTGAAGGACGTCTACGCCATTGGAGACATTGCCTCGTACCCTTACCACGGACCTGGCGGTGACGGACGGTACGTACGAATTGAGCACTGGAACGTCGCTCAGAACGCGGGTCGCGTTGTTGCAAACAACATCATCAGTTCCTCAGCTCAGCCCCAGCGATTCATCCCCGTATTCTGGTCTGCTCTGGGCGCGCAGCTGCGATACTGCGGAAATACCATCGGCGGCTGGGACGACGTGGTGATCCAGGGAAGCGTTGAGGAGTCGAGCTTTGTGGCGTTCTACACGAACGGCGAGACAGTTGTTGCTATGGCTTCCATGGGTAAAGATCCGGCCATGGTTGTGTCAGCTGAGCTGATGGCACAAGGAAAGATGCCTTCCAAGTCTCAGCTTGCAAGTGGGACGGACATCAATAGCATCCGAGTTGCAGATGCATGAGTGTAGTTACTTAGCTATCCAATATCACATTTCATTCGTAATATTCCTGCGCGTCGTTGTTGGCGTCAAGCTTGATCAGAAACCTGATTTCTGAGTGCAGCCCATCCAAATCCGACAGGCTGCGCGAGTCGCGTCGTACTTACTTTGGTCCCTAGCTGCGCCTCTTATGCGTCATACTCAGAAGCACAGCTCTTCCTACCGCATGTCACGATGCCAGGTGACTTTGGGAAAGTTTACAAGATGGGTTACTGCGGTGTCTTAGGCGGAGAATATCGAACTTGCCGTTTCCTAAAATTATTGGCGTCAACCAGCGTTGAACGCCCGGACTGGGCGACGCAAGAAAGTCGCTGAGGCCATGTGGGATTGCTTCCCAATCTTACTGGAAGGAGCTGCCCTAGAATTCACAACTACATCCTTTTTCCGTTTTGGGTCAATTCGAGTCCTTGGCAACGCATGTCAGCCCTAGCCATTCGCCATAGGGCTAAGCCAGGTTGATCATCCCGTAGAGTAACAAGAATGTTCCCAAATAAGTCAATTCCATTGAAATTAAAGACCTGGCTTGGGGCCAGAGACAACAACGATGACGTCCAACTATACCTGTGTCATCGCGAGATGAACATCGTGAAAACTTATAAATGCAGCCCTGTGGGCTCACATTCTCACATACAGAGTCTTCTCAACAGCATCTTCTGCGCCCTTCTTGTACATCCACTGAAATAAGAAACATCATATCCCAAATGCGTTACACTTCGTCGCTCGGTCTCCTGGCCTCAGCATCCGTTGCTGTTGGAGCAATTGCACCACCGGCTGCAGAAGTTCCACTCATCGGCCCATCCTTCCTCTCCAACTTCGACCCTACCGATTCTCAGTACATTCGCAACGCCTCCGAGTCCTTCCCCGCGGTAATTGACGCTCTCTTCGAGAGTGGTGCCCTGAACAAGACCGATCTCGAACTCGTCTTCTCCGTCGACGTATTTTCGGCTGCGACGAACAAGTCGCTCTACAGTTACTACCATGTCGGCGAAGAAGGAAAGAAAGGTCTGACGAAGGGAAACCTCGACGATGAGACGGTTCAGCGCACAGGGAGTGTTTCCAAACTCTTTACTGCCTACGCACTCATTGCCGCAGCCGGCATCGAAGTCTTCAGTCACCCCGTGACGAGGTATATCCCTGAGCTCTTGGGCAACTCGTCTGGTGACCCGCTCAGCAATGTTCGCTGGGAAGATATCACCGTCGGTGCGCTGGCATCTCATCAAGCTGGGTCTGGCGGAGCAGTTGGTGGGTATTCAACTTGAAGTAGCGCAGGTGATACTGACAAGAGAACAGTGGCTGTCGACCCAAGGTTCAATGTCACCGACGCGGCAAGGCTAGGCAATCTCACGGCTCAAGGTAAATCAGCTGTTTCCAATTATATGTTATATGAATCAACTAATACCACGATCAGACCTTTTCGCCTATATGCGAGACTTCAAACACCCCACGATCTCTCCATACCGCAGCGCTCTTTATTCCGATGGAGGCTACAGCCTTCTTGGTCAAGTCCTCGCTCGTCTCTCAGGGCAGACTTACGGCGATGCGCTTCGGGATACGGTCTTGAAACCCCTAGGACTGAACGGCACGTCAGTCACTGCGCCTGAAGGTCCAGACGTGAACGCAAACAACCGCTTCCTCCTCCATTCCAATGATTCATCTTGGGGCCAACCCCTGCCCTATGCCCAGGGATCTGGTGGCGTATACTCCAACGCAGCCGACCTCCGTGCTCTCGGACTTTCCATTCTGAACTCTGAGATTCTCTCCGCCGCTGAGACATCCAGCTGGATGAAACCTCTCAGCAGCACCGGCTCTCTAGTAGAGCTCGTCGGCGCGCCGTGGGAGATCTCCCGTTTGGCGATTCCCGTGTCACACGGTTCGAATGTCACTCGCATCTCCGACCTTTATACCAAAGCCGGGGGTACCGGAGACTACACCTGCATCTTCGCCTTATCCCCTGACCACGGCATCGGGTTCTCCATTTTAGTGGGCGGCGACAGCGCCACCGACGCCCGCTGGCCGATCCGCAACGCTCTCGGCGAACTGTTCATCCCAGCCGCCGAGGCCGCCGCCGCGGAGAATACGGAGCGAAATCTGGCAGGTTTCTTCGAAGCATCCGAGGGCAGCAACGTTACCCTGACCTTCGACGACGACCACCCGGGCTTGGGCATCGGCTCCATGTACCTTGAAGGCACCCTTGTCATGCCAACGGATGAATCCAAGTCGCTTCGTCTGTACCCAACCGGGCTGTACTCCAATACTCGATCTCTATCCGCGCTGTACAATACGAAGGGTACTTTTAGGACGACTTACCGCTCGGTTACTACCACACCTTATCCCCGGGCCGCATCAGAAGGTGGCGCTGGAGGATTGTTCGACGATCAGCACTCTTGGCTGAATGTTGGCTTCTTGGATACTTCGGACGAGTTAATCTTCACGATTGAGGACGGGAAGTTGACCTGTGTTGAGTACAAGGACTTCATTCTTGGTCAGGTCACGTTTAAGAGGGTTGAATGATAAGACGGCGTTCTTCTGTATGTTGTTTTATAATTAATTGACTGGTTTTTCAGACTACTTCATTGAGAGAATGCATGTTCTGTTCAATGCAAGTGGCATCATTGATAGACAATAGCTCATCCAAGAACCTACCGAGTGCTTGCGGCCAAAAGCTTACTTTGCTTGGTGTATCCCATCCTCCTTCAACCCCAAAACTCTACAGAGTTCCGCTACCTCAGTGTGATCCCGATGATTCCTCATGCGATGGCACCAGCTCACAGCCTTCTCGCTGTGGCGTCCCTCGAACACAAACTCCCCGCCAACACGCTGGGGATTTCCCGCCTCCAGAAATCTGCCCGAGGGCAAGTTCACCACCAAATTATAAATTCCTCTCGCGAAGTGGAAAACCCACCGTTGGGGGGAATATGCGGTTCTATCTCCGACCGCGAACGTTGGCGCCATGCCAAGAGCGTCGAGGAGCTTTTCAGAGTGATCCGTGTATATCGGGAATGGGCAGCTGGTTATCTCAGCGTACTCGTCAATGAGAGATGGAGATCCGCAACCGATGATGATGATTGAGGTAGGAACCCGATGGGAAGAGAGCACCTCGGGCGTGAGGGTGGATGATATGAGTTGGACGTATGCTTGACATGCCTACAACGATCAGCAACCTTTCAGCTTGTCATAGCCTTGACTTACTCCGCAGAAGAAGTGCCTTATGAAGATAAAAACTACTCTCGAGGCTGTCTCGGGTCCGTCATAGAGGCTTTTGAAAGCATGCGGCTTGCCGTCTCGGTCCAGGACTTCAAGATTCGAGGCTTCGGAAAGCATCCGAGGAGATGGAAGCTCATCCGTTACGGCAAGTGACCCCTCAGCCGCTTCCGGTTCAAGCTGACATGTATGGGCCTCTTTGCTCATTGTTTTCGTGGAGTCCCTCAATGATATGTGGGATGATGATGTGTCAGAAGGTAAGCGGCCTGTCTCATCATGTTTGTCCGACACTAGAGTCTTATGCAGGAACGGCTGCTGACAAATGATGTGTGTGTCTGTTTCTTTCGCTTGCGCTTGTGTCCTTGGCGTAAGCTTATGAAGGATGGGCCATCAGCCTTCCCCTTCTTGGGATTAGGAAACCGCCAGGAAGGACTTTTGTGACTGCCATTCCCCTAACATCTCTGAGCTTCATGATGAAAAGTGGACCGATTGCACATCGAGGAAAGAGAAAAAAAAGGGAGCAGGAAAAAAACTACCGAATGCATAACTATTAAGCGAGATTCTCAGTTATAAATTTTAATATGAAACATCACGTTGGCGTAACACCACTTCAATCACGAAACGTTGTACATTCCAAGGTTCAGATAAACCCCTTTACCTCCTACTTCGAAACTGCATGGTAAAGGTTTTGAAGTAGGATTGAAGGACCTTGAAGTTTCTAAATTCTCATAGAAAATTTGAAACGTAGTGAGCTCGAACGTATAAAAGGTAAACGCGAAAACTACCGCTATGATAACTGTAGTGTTGTTCATATGATGGTGGTTAGAGCTACGTTTGTGTAGAGAGGGGCGGTGGCAGCTTATGGCTTTGGTAGTTTTGTACTTAGGTTTCTGCTAACACTTATGAAAGTCCGAAAAATGTCCAAAGTTGGACCTGAGAAGACCTGAGAAGTCAACCGCCCTGAAGGACTCAAGGTCCAAGAAAGAAGCTACAATGACGAGCTCGTGTTCACGCACAGCAACATTACTCTCGAAAACACAGGGCCGAGACCGGACCAACGTATATGAAGTAGGAAATAATATCGATCAGAATGATACATTAATTGTATGAATGCTGCTCCTACAATCCGTATAGCGGAAGAAACCACTAACCGGACACATGTCCCAGCGGCGTCACATGCCCGTGATGGTGCTTTACATAATACACTTATCTCAGCCAATAAATCTCACTTGAAGACTTTGTGAATGTAGTGATAGTATCAAGCCCACGCCTTGCTTTTCATATGTTAAGCCAAAATCTGACAGCGTGGGGGTCAGAATGAGTTGGTGGTCAGCATCAGGCTGTGCGCAACTAGCTTACGACTCCCCCTCCTTAATGACTCACCTCGAGCTCTGCGTTTGGCAAATTATTCGGCAAACATGAACCAAACATATTAGACTTTTGTGCTAAGACCCTTTTAGGGTTCTTCTTGTCTACACCCTTGAAAGTCAATGATAGCACAGCGACTAATCAGATTGATACACGCAGTAGTGTGTGCAGCCTTTGCATTGTACGCCTCACCCGGCGAAGAAGACATGCGCACTCTGAACTGGAGTTGATCTTCTAATGCATCCAATTGGAAGAATTGGCCCAGGTTGGAAAACGGTAAGATGTAATCAAACAGTCTCCTGGAGCGTCATCTTCCTCTACATGGAGCCAATACGTAACCTGAAGGTAAGGCCGACTGCATCTTGAAGAGCGTGGTTCGAAGCTATTGAATCGGGCCGACTGCAGAATATTGAATCCAAACGAACAATTCCTGCCTGGTTGACCTGATAATAGACACGAAATTGTGACTGGATTTCAGACAGTACTTGGTGAAATGTCTTGCTTCATGTCCTTTCCGAATCATAACCCTATCCCGCAGAAATAACGTTCATGAGCGCCAGGGCCATCAAGAAAATAACTTCTCCTTGTCAAGGTGGTTTCGATGTAATTGTAACTCAAAAAGTGCTTCTCAGGTAGTTACCGACATACTTGAATCAAATGATCCGTTAAATCAATGCAGTGCAGTGTTGCTTGTGTGATGTGTCCCGTAACCTAGGCGCATATGCGCAAAGAGTTACCCTTACTCCTTGGAATGCCTCTTATTTTGACCAACTGTTCATTCTGTATCATCATTGTCTGCTCATGTAGTTGTTGTTCTGGTTGTCCGTGTAACCACCATGCTGCCAGCCCAGGTAAATATGTGAAGCCTCTGCCTCAGAGACAAGGTTTTGAATCTCGCCCATATCATCGCCCAGAATCCTTTCTATACTGCCCATAGTCATACCATGAAAGTTGTTAAACATGTGGTGTTGATGATTATCGAATGACCATGTTTCAGAGACCGGGTGACTAGGGGCATACCCTGATGACTCTCCGATTGAGGACTGGGTGCCAGTATGAACTACAGAGCTCGAACTGGCTGCATCTATGTCCGCCGGGATTTCATCTTGGGACCTCCACGCGTCGGAGATGGCCTCAAGGCCTTCCCGTAGAATCTGTCTCTGAAAGTCATCGCGATGGGAACCAGGAGGAACATGCCAGGTAATTGTACCACTTTGCGTCAGTGTGTTGTTCAGAATATCGACTCCCCGGGTCATGACGAACTCCTGATACGCCATAGCGCTCGCAAAGTGGTTGGCATCGATGTAGGGAGTTGACGGTAGTTGGTGGTCAGGGAAGAGAAGTTTGAAGATACCATCCCACTGGGCTTTGGTTGATAGCTGTCTCGGTACCCTCTTTCGAAGCTCGGCTTGTTGTCTCTGATTGATGCCCTCCGGCTGAGGGACACTCCCCCGCTGACATCTCATCTCCGCAGTGTGGGCATCCCTAGCGACCTCGTCAGAGAAGGTCTGATAGCAGATTGCACAGTAAATGGGCATTGAATGCCTTCTGCTCAAATGCTGCTTGACATCACGAATGCGGCTAAGCTTCTTCCCTGAGCAAGAGCCGTACTGCCGGGGGTCCTTCTTGAAAAAGGGACAGGCCAGAGTTAAGCTGTTGGAGTCGCCATCGTCGGTACCTGCTTGTGGCCTCTTGTGGCCTCCGTTGTCTCGAGTCTCGTCGTCTTCATTTGCATACTCATCCGGAGTATCACCTTGATCAGACTGAGCCCTTGTTCGTTTCGCAGGCCGCCTGACCCTATGTGGAGCGGAAGATCCTCCCGTTTCACTGCCCATGCCGTGCCGTCGTTCTTCACAGGCATGAAATTGATGAAGAATGACACGCAGGACAATACGTTTGATACGGGATAGAAAAGGATTCAATGGGCGACCCGCCATCTCCGGTGGTGCATCGAGAACGTCTGCTGCCCATGCCTGTTTGGAGTTTATCGTTTCTGTCACCGACCCAAAGACCCATTCTGATTCTTCTAGGGACTGTTCACTCGGAGAAGGTGGTCGTGGACCTTGTCCTTCAATATCGGGCTGGGCAGCAGGGTCTTGTTGTGGTTGACGTGACCTTTCCACTTCTGCGCGACGAATTTCGTCAGACTTCGAAGCTGAGCTGTTCAAAGACTCAATGCTTGCTTCAACGGAGACTGCTGGAGGCAAAGCTTGACTTGACGCACTGGCTCTTTGATCCGTTTGTAGATGTCGAAGCCGAGATTGCGCGACTTCTCTGTTGCCTTGGTCCATCCGTGAAGATAATGTTTGAGTGTCCACAGACCCCGGTCCATCCACCAGAGACTCAGTCCTGGTCTGTGTCAGGAAACCCGGTGTTGATGACTGCATGAAGGCCTGGCGGTCGGCCGGCTCGCGAGAGCTTAGCAGTTTGTTGGAAGCTCTGTTTACCGGAGCAACACCTCGATGTGTCGATCTAGAATCGTTTAGAAAGGTTCAGTCGCAGTAATACTGGCTAGACGTACCGAATATGCTTCTCCACTTGGGACTGGAGAGGCGAGATAATCGACACCGTTGCGTTGTGCAAGAAGAGGGGATCATTGTGGTCCAGCTCAGTAAGATCGGCATTCTTCCCTCTCCTAAATTGCTGAAGTATACAAGCTCTGACCGCGTGTTCAAACTCTTCTCCAATCTGAATTCGGATTCTTTGGGAAGTGAGAAGTTGCTTCGCTGCGACGAAACCTATCGAGTCGCAGTCCAGCGCGTCATCACCGTAGCATGCGTTATTCTTGCCGAGACGCTCTCGCCGAATCTCTGAGAGAGTTTGTCCATATGCTAGCTCTATTAAACAGAGTCCTAGTTTGGATAGAACAGGCTCCCGGGACAAGATAGATAAAGCGGTTGGAGTAGCTGATAGATGTTCGCGTTGCGCAGCGGAAGAGCCGAACTTACGACGGAAGAGTAATCGTCCTTCGAGTCTATGCGACAAGCTGTCGGGAATGATCCCCCAGTCGTCCCAAGTCCACGACTGATCAATCCAAGGGGTGGAAAATAGTTGTAAGACGGCAAGACTGAGCTGCAAACTAAGCTCTATACGCCTTTTCCGGTCAAGGTCAGGGCCATGAAGACGCATCCAATCTTGCAGGGGAAGAACTGATGAAGCGCTATACTGCTTGTCCTGTCCGGCTATGAATGAGCAGAGCCTGTCCTGTTGTGTGGTATTCTCCCTAGGTTGAATGATGAAATTGAGCGGTTGAGCGCTGTCTGAAGCAGAAAGGTGATCCGCAACGGGGCTCACAGTGATATCTGGACATTGAAGATACACAATATGGGACTCTTGACAGTGGCATGTGTACTTTTCGTTTAGCAGGTTGAAGCTGATCGTCGCCCTCTGAGAAAATTCTGCAATACGTTGGCAGACGCTGGACACATTTGGCAGCCAAAATTCATGGGATAGTTGGGTCTGTCCGAATGAAAGTCGAGTAGCCAGAAGTTGATTTGTTTTGGAAACCGCATCAAGTCGCACCTGGAGCCGTGTTCTTGGTTTTTTGTCGCTACTGCTGACCAAAGTTGGGACTTTCCCTCTGATTTTGTCCAATACCTCCTGCACGCATGTGAGCGATTCGAATCAATTTCTCGAGAGGTTCTTGGCATTAGGACATACCTTTCCTCGCCCGGTATTGACGAGCTCAGCCTTCAGACTGTGAAGCTGAGCGGTCAGGGTGTTCAAGTCGTCGAGTATCTGCGCGGTACTCTTCGCACCGAAATTTGCCTCTAGTTGTGATACGACAAAATTGTAGTCGTGCGAGGAAGATAACTGTGTTGGATACTGGAGTCTTTGTGTGGTTTGCTCGAATTGTGCGTTCTCGTTGGCGATGCCTCTCGCTATCCCACGAGATTCAAGATCAGGCTCCGCAGTCTTGTACTTTTCGGCAGCATCAATGACCTGAGGAAAGACTCCTAGCGTAGTAATAATGGGACTGATATCCGCCATGTTGGCTATCCACAATAGAGTCGAAGCCCCAGAAGATGCCTGGTTGAAAGTATGGAGCTGGAGATGGATAGATGCGGGGAGAGGACAGCAGACGAACTATTCATGTCGTGGCCAAGACCTCCCTGGTCATGACGGCTGCCCACGGATGTGTGCTGAACAGATCGTTTGAACGTGTCGAGTGAGGCATGATGCGGAAGAGGAGAAGCCTCTATTACCGTCATTTCTCTGCCAACCAGTCATTCTGCGGGGTCGCTACCGCCTTGCACACAATGTGCAATTTTCCGCCCCGTTGAAGGCTGACGACTTGCATGATGCATCACACTAGCGAACTTCCTGATTGCTTTCAATTCTTTCATTGGTCAGAAACAGCAATACATGTCAGATGACAGGCCTCCCACACCATCCCCCGTCCGTTCCGTCATCCACATACCGGCGCCGGGAATGGGGGGACGCGGGGAACCTCATCGGCTCGCCTGGAACCGATCATTACTGGTGGCGTGGGGAGCGACAGGATTTCTTTGCAGCGGAGGTTTCCCAAATTTCAGTCAGTCTTCATGTCCGGCTGCTCAGGCCTTTTCAATGATTCGGGTTGCCGTTGTGGATGTTTCTTCTCGTGCGCGATCTGTCCGCAATTCGAGCAAGCACCGAAAATGATTCCCGACGGAAATGATAGGGCCCAAAGGCGACTCCAGAGTCAAGCTTTCAGAGAAAAAGGTCGCATCGCGGCAGAGTTCGAAGACTGTCAACAGGCATTCGTTCAGCTTTCGGATGCCCTTTCCCCCAGCCGTCTTCGATATCTCGTCGAAAAGTGCTGGCGTAGATTCGACCTGTGGGACGACGACAGTGGGGCGTCTTCTCGCACTCTTGACTACACATTAAAGAGTTCGCACTTCCTCGTAGAGCAGACTATACGTCTCTTACGCAATCTGAGCTGGACACTGAGCCAGGGTAAGTCCAAGCCCAATGCTTGAGTTGTAAGCATTTCTAAATCTCAAGCAGCAATATTGGCGGTACCTCTTGGAGAGCCTGAGAACGGAGAACCGGGCGGTCTAGCATTGTCCAGATCTCCAGATGAAGGCGATACCATTCAAAGCGACGCTGAAAGTTATGTGGACTTTGGCCCAGAACCATGGCTTCACGAAGCGTTTGACATCGTTTACAACCTGGTGCACCTCCTGCCGGTCCTTAGAAGCCCCTTCGAGAAGCAAGAACTACCAGATGCAACGCTTCAACAACATGCCTTTGATTCATACAGAGAGGCGGCTGCGGAGATGTTTCCCTCGGCTGATGCTGATCTTTTGGATCGCCTCGCTCAAAGTCGATGGCTCACCAGAAACGCGATGCTAATCGCGCACGGCAAACTGAGAAAGCTGAACTCCAGCAAAACTGCTACTGTGTCACGATCTCCAACCCGTCAAGTACACTGGACCTCACGATTCAAGGGTTCGACAATCGACAGCTTTCATCGTCCTGATTCTGACGACGAAATGTCCACCATCCGCTCACACATCGACACGGTTTGGTCGAGAACCGCAATGGCTGATCAATACTCAACCACGTCACTCGGAGGATCATCCCAGACACAAATTGTCCCTCGCCCTGAGGTACCAAATCCTCCGGTAGACCTTGATCAGCTAGGTGCCGACCAGTTCGATTGCCCTTACTGTCATTTCGAACTTCCTCTCGCAGTTGGAACTGTGATGAATCCTTCTGAGTGGTCCAGTCACTTCTACCAAGATATGAAACCATATATCTGTACCCTCAGCGATCCGCGTTGTAGGGATGTTCAATTTGCCTCAAGAGAGGAATGGTTTCGGCACGAGCTGGATTTTCATCGCACAATGCCGGTGTGGATGTGTGCGTTGTGTGCGAGGGAATTCAACGACGAGGGCGACTTTGAAGACCACTTGAGGATGACACACATCGATATCAGTTTACCGCGAGACCTTTCCCTGTTCGCTGAAAGCTGCAGACGACTGTCCCATACCGTCAGTGCGTCCTTAGAGTGCGCTCTATGTCACGCAGCTTGCAGGAACATAGAAGAATTGGAGAACCACCTAGGAAACCACATGGAAAGGTTTGCCATTGAAACTGCCCATGAATACGAGTCCCCGACAGGAAACAATCAGGAAGACGAACAGAATCGCAACATGGTTCTCAGGGACTTCCTCTCAGACGAAGACACCTTTGCCCAGCCAGCAACTCAGAATTTTGTTGATTTCGACAAGAACGACAAAATAAATTTGAGTAATGCAGCCGCCGATGCGGTAAATAGATACTTCGAGAGGCAGCCGGAAACCTCCAAGACCAAGCAGCACAACCTGCCTATCCAGAACAAGAACTTCGCCGGCAGAGACCAGGACCTCCACAGCATCGACGAACTTCTGTCCTCGGCAGCTCGAATATGCCTTCTCACCGGTGTTTCGGGAATCGGGAAGACAGCTACAGCAATTCAATACGCATACCGCTTCGGCGATGAGTACTCTTACGTCTTTTGGGTGGAGGCTGAAGCACCGGGCCTCCTTGCCGATAAATATGCCACGATAGCCGAGGCTCTTGACCTAAGCCGCGATGGTGGACAGGATGACAACAGCATCATCTTCCGCGTAAGAGAGCATCTGATGAAATTAGAAAAAAGATGGTTGCTTATACTTGACAACGCTACCACCTGGACTGACATCAGCCCGTATATCACCAAGGCCTTAATGTTAAGCAAAGGATCTGTTCTCATCACTACCAAAGAGAATCCCTTCCGGGCTGCACCAAACTGGCTCCGCCAAAGTCATGTACAACTGGGACCCTTGTCTGTAGATCACGGACGAGAGTTTCTTCTCACCTCCATTCATCCGCGCGTTCGGATTGAGGATCTTCATGAAGATGAAGATTATGAGCTCGCGGCAAAGACCATCAGTATGTTGAATGGCCTTCCTTTGGCCATCAGCATGGTGGTTGGGTATGTGAAAGAGTCCGGATGCAGTCTTGGAGATTTCCTCGAGATGTGGGATGAAAAGGAGTCAAGAAGCAAGAAACCGGGCAAGACAGGCAACGTCCTTGGCAGCAGCGTCGATAACACTGTTGATTCCTTGTGGGATATTGGAATCCGTGAGGTTCCGAGCAACAGTCGAAAACTGCTCAATATCATGTCTTTTCTGAATGCAGATAAGATACCGAAGAGTCTGCTGGTCGGTGATCACGAAGAGGACTACCTAGATTTCTTGAACGCCTCAGAAGTCTTGAGGTAAGTGTGATGCTGCGAAACTAATGTTGAGTTATTTACTGATGTTTACAATTTTAGCTACAAACGAATGATCAATAAGCTGAGTAGTCGCAGGCTTATTTCCTGGAAGGAGACACCCACTGGAGAGATTGAATACTCTATTCACAGAATACTCCAGGAGAAGATTATGGTAGACATGGACGACTATAGCATCGCCGATGCCTTTCGCAAGACATTTCGTCTTCTGCGAAAGAGGTTCCCACGGGCCGATCACCAGCAGGTCCCCAATCCATCAAATTGGGGAGCTTGTCAGGCATACATGCCTCACATCGAGAGTTTTCACCAAACATTCTGCCGAGAGAAGGATAGGATTGAGTCTCTTGCGGGTGTGAAGAAGCTTGAACTGGTGAAACTCTTCTATGACGCGGGCTTTCATATCTGGTCAAGGCGTGGTACTCTCTACAACGGACAGACAATGCTGGAGACTGCGGTCAGTCTCCTCGACTCAATTCAGTACGATCGAGACTCAAAGCTCCGCGCAGATATAAACTGTATGCTGGGGCTCTTGAGGCTCGAGATGAGCTGCGAGGAGCGCGTAGAAGGCGGACGTCACCTACTCGAAGCTCGCCGCATCCGCGAGGTCATCTCCCGGCAGCGTCCAGACGACCACGACACTGACGTGCTGTACATGAACGCCATCTCTGATTACGCTCTGTGCTTGTTGAACGACCACAAGTTCGACGAGGCAGGCGAGGAAATGCGGAAATGTTTCGAGCGCTACAAAACATGGGGACCGGAGTCCGACAACCCGTTCGAGAATTCCAAATTCTATGGTAACTACAGCATCGTCTTGATGTTTCAGGGGAAGATGGATGAGGCCATTCGTTCGGTGAAAGATTGCCTCGACCTGACTCTAAAGTTCTCCGGGAAGAAGGCTCAGTGGTACCGCCGACTGTTCTTATTGGCATGTATCTATCTCCAAGTGGGAGATCGCCAGCAGGCGTTGGATTTGCATCTCGAAACGTTGCAAGCCAGGGTGGATATTGACGGGAAGTACGATGCGAACTTCATTCTCAGTCTCTATGCTGTTGGGGCCATGTACTACCACCTGGGTAACGTGGAGGAAGCTACGTAAGTGCACAACGCCCCCCCTCTCCCTCTTCCCCTTCACCTTTCCCGCTACTTCGCTGGAAGAAACAAATGTTCTCGCTTTGTGACTCGGAAACTTTGCTGACCAAGTCTTGGGATCTTCTTACAGTATTTACATGAAAGAATGCGTCGATTGCGCAACGAACGCACGGTGGTCTGTTGTAGGTCTTGCTCGGGCACAGCTATTTCTTGCAATACTCTACGACGAACAAAATACAGAAGGCGAGAAAGCGCAGGAGCTCAAGACAGAAGCCAGGAAGGTCTTGAAGAAGTACAGGAGTTATGCGGCGAAATGCGTGCAGGGCTCAGACGACGAGCTGATGATTCTTGATGACTTGCAGCCCACCTTGCTCGGGCGCTACACTGGGACGACGCTTCTCAAGCATCTACAGGCTCATCTGCCATCTAATTAAGTAGAGAGAGGTCTTTTGTGGGAGTGCAAGTGATCGTATATTATCTTTGAATCCTTAGGTGCTACGAGGCGTGTGAGTAAACGCTATTAGGTTGACTGAACAAAGTCGGAAAGCTACAGGGTGTGGAATACTTGTTCTTTTATACGATGAAAATATATACAAACACTTGACACCTTTAGTTCGGCCAATTCTGTTGGTAACAAGACTGCTCTATGTGCATAGGATATTCCATTTCCCCAGTTGGATGCCAAAAGACCAACTGCTCTTTGCACTCCCTCGCTGCCGAAGACAGTACTATAAATGAAATAGGTTATAGTAAGGATTCCAGTGAGAAGGTCTCTCCGGATAACGTAATGTAAAACCAAAGGTTGAGTCTGCTGTAGCTGGCCGTCCTCTGGCAAATGGTGACCAAATTGGATAATGTCGTCGAACGTGGTGAGGTGGAGCGAAGAGATGCAGCAGTCGTACCGTTCTTCCAAAACGTGGTTTTTGTCTCTACGTATTCCAGGTCCTAGAGTTATGGTATATAATGAGTTCCAATCCATATTCGAGGCGTGGTCGTCAAAGGAGGTAGCAGGTTATGGTGCCAGGATGGGGCAAATCTTACGGGAACAGCCCGTGCTATGCAGCAATCGAACCCTCACTGTAGGACACCTTCAACCTCCGATCGCAGTAAGCGACGAGGTCTTTCTCAGCGGCAAAGTTTGGGTCGTCGGGTTCCGTTCCGTAATGTATTTTCCAAGGCTGGGATAGGTGTTTTGAACTTTTCGTGGCAGCGACAGCCCAAGCTGGGAGAGAGCTGTGCTGTTTCGGTTCCGGATCCTGAGATGAAGGGCTAGTGTTCTGCTCGGCAACTTGTTGGCCCATGGCGGCGATCACCAGCAGTAGGAAGAGGTTTTGACGAGGCGGACTTGGGCGGAAAGGTTTGACTGATGACGCCGAGAGTCAGCCTTCTTTTCGCTTGGGCTTGACGAGATGTAGACTACAGACAGTATTTGAAAGCCTGCGCATCGGAAGGAGTCGGGGTTGGGCCAGGATTATAATCCCTGCCAGGTCGCTTGGTGTGAAGTACCTTCAAAGTACTTCGGGCTCAGAGCAAATTTGTCGCACCACGCGCTAGCCTTGGTGCATTCCTTTCCGAGGAACACGATAAAGGATGCGCAATTTCTTCTCAATACTCCGCCAAACTGGGGGTTGGAGCGCCAGCAACCTGCCATTACCTTACACCGCTAAACCTTATCGAAAATGGCATGTGGAAACGTCGAAGCCAACGTCGACTATCTGCAGAGGCTGCCACTCTACCAGCGAGAGAAGCCCTTTCAGCTCTTCGTCCCCATCCATGAACGCGACCAGGACGCTCGTTCAAGCAATCTTGCATTCGAAACAAAAAAGCAAACCTTCGTTGACATTCGCGAGCGGATCAATGAGTTCTCGCTAGACTTACATGGATTCCAAATACAAACACTACCAAAGAATTTCGACTCCCAACTATTCAGAAGCCGAGAGTTGGTCGAGAAAGTATATTTACCCGAGATCGAGGGACTTCTCAAAGGGCTGGGAGATGGCTGCGATAGAGTCTTCATCTTTGATTGGAGGGTAAGCCTTAGTTACGTTTCTTCGAGAACGACTCTTGTGCTGACTTTGTGTGATTTGATTGAAGTTACGAGATGCCAGTTCACCTCGTGAACAGGATGGGCAGTTGGACATGAACGACTTGACGACGTGGCTTCGACCGTCACCAACGGTACACGTGGGTGAGTCTTACACCGATGCATCACGATTAGTCAAGTCCGAAGGACGCTCAAAAGCTCTTTCAGATCAAAGCCCAGAAGGGGTGCTACACCGAGTCATTCTTCACTTTCCAAACGAAGCCGGGTTGTTATTGCAAGGAAGGGTAAGGGTCATAAAGTGCGTCCATTGCCATCGTCCTCCGTCCTCGACGCCGCTCAAACTGACCAGACTGAACTAGTGTCTGGCGACCCATTGAAGACCCGGTCCAAGACTATCCGTTGGCATGCTGTGACTCCACGTCCGTCCTCGACGAGGATCTCATCGAGTGCGACCATGTTCGCAGGAAGTTCAAGGGCTCCACCCTCTATGCGCATCATCGCGAAGGCCATAAGTGGTACTACCTCGGCGAGCAGCGACCGGAAGAAGCGTTGCTGATCAAAATGTTTGACTCAGACTCGGGCACAAAGGCTCAACGTGAGACCCATATTCTTTTGTGTTTCTTCATATGAAAATCATTGGACTCAACTGAGTTGCAGGTTGCCCGCACGTGTCTTTCCAGCATCCGCTAGCGCCGCGAAATGCAAAACCCCGGAAAAGCATCGAGGTCCGCGCATTAGTCTTCAATCATACCTAGGAAGCTCTGATACCAAGAGCGGGGAAATGATGTGGACGGAACTTTGAGAAAGGCGACGTGTTTTGGGATATTTCAACTTGCATATTTCCACGAAAACGCCCCAGATTCTATGCTCCTGAGTTCTTTACATAACCTCGTGAAATCCGTTTGGGGCACAACAGAGAGAGCAACGTATTTGCTCGTACAACAAGCTTCGTACCAAAATTGATTATACTACATCATTATGAATTCAACCCCTGGTCCATTGAGTGTTCTCAGACGATCTATGCCGGCGATGCTGGCTTATCTCTGAGCGGTCTGCAAATGCTGCAACTCTGACTGACATTGTTTGACGTCCCTTATCTGTCATGTTTCACAGCGCATAGCCTGGTCCCACAAGACCGGTCCAGCCTCTGGAAAAACTCATTCCGATCTCGGCTATCATGACAGATCGTGCCATTCCGTTGCGACACGGCATGGGAGCTTCGCTCGCGTGCTCAACGTAAAGAGCACACCTGTGCTCTTTGTGAAATCTGGCCCAAGGATCCACTTGGGCGATGTACCTCCTAAGTACCCATTGCAAGAAGATAAGCCGGAGAATGCAAGCGAGAAGGGGTATCCGCTTCCATTGGCCATGTCTTGCTCTTGCAAGAATGGTCCGTTGCATTTTGAATTGCTCCATGGCTTTCTTTGATTAGGTAGGTAGGTAAAGTGCTTACGGTGCGGCCGCCACGGTCTATTCCGGACCCACTCCAGCTGCCCGCCGTCCGTCCCCCGACGGAGTGGGCCCGGCCTTCCGCTAGTTTCAAACCTGTAGGTGTTGTCGAGCCGTTCTAAGGACCTTGCCTACGCCATCAATCCTGATACGAAGAACCCCCACGAGTGTTTATGTTCCGACTTCTGAGAGGGTTTCCGAACCTGTCAGAGAACTTGACACACAATAATAAGAATTTTGACTTGGAGGAAGGCGTTTAGGGAGACGTGGATAAAAGAAAGTTCTATTGAGTTTTAGATCTAAGAGAATTTGAGATGCGACGAATGAGAAAACAGACTTTGGACACCTTCCAAACCCTAGGGTTGCGTGATATGAATGAGAGACCAAGAAAATGCAGCAAATGCAACGAACAAAACAGCGCGTACGAAAGACCAGCCCATGCTTCAATACAACCAAACCCCCCAATGCAAAATTCAGAGTAAGGCAGAACTTGTAGATGCAACATCATGCCCTGTACTGTTGAGGAGATTCGCTGGGATTGTTTCAGGCTTTCAGGTCCTGAGAGTAGATCCGCTTACTCGGGCTTGAGTCTCTCGAAAGCCGTGTTGACCACGTCCTCAACCTCACCAGTGGCATCCTCGACCTAGATGAATGTTAGCGTAAAGCCCCTAGAAGAAGAAGGAGCCCATATCATACAGAGTCGGCATCAAAGATTGTGGCCTTGTCCCAGTCAATGAGCTTAGCAGAGGTGATTTTGCCGTCGCTCTCCTGCAGCAAAACATTGGCATCGTTGATGTCGCTAAACTGGTCAGCAAATGTGTATCATAGAGCAGATATAACTTACTTATGGAAGATGTGGTTGTTCTTGATGTAGGCCTTTGCGTCGTCGGCAATCATCTTGATGGCTTGGTCGACAAACTCGACGATCGCGTCGTAGTTGTCTTCCTTGTTCTCGTTCAGCTTCACGTAAGTCGGCAGCTTCGAGAGGTTGACGCCGTCCCACTGCTTCAAGAGCGTGTACTCCTCCCCGTCGATGTTCTTGACTGCCTTGAGCTCGCCGATCTTGGCAAGATGGTTGCGCTCATCCTTGGCCTGCTCCTTGTCGATGTAGTTCTTGAGAACGACTCGGCCCAGCTCGTTGCAAGCGGCGTTGCCGTCGCAGTTGATGGTGTAGATTCTGCCAGCGCTGCCTTCTCCGATCTTGTCGCCGACCTTGAACTTGATGTCGCCGCCGTTCTCCTCGAAGCTGCCTGCGTCCATGTTGTTGGTGGTCTTGGTCAGAGTGAGCTCAGTTCCAGGGGCTGCGATGTTTGTCAGTATGAGATATTTGAGATGAATGTGGTCCAGGCCTACTAGGAGCACCGCGAGAGACGATGGACTTCCACGGAGCATTGTGAGGAGCCGCAGCGCTGAGGCAGGCGGTGGTAGCGAGGAGAAGAGTAGACAATTGAACCATGGTGAAAGAGGTGAATTGTGTTGTTAGTGGTGTTTTTTGTTGGAGTGTGTTGTTGAAGCTTTGGTTGCGAGTGTTGGGCTGTTGTTGCTGCGATTGCGAATGGTATTGTTGTTGTGATGATTGTTGTTGCGGATGCTGATGATGGAATGGATCAGAAAGCTGGTTCCTGACGGCTCTTTTATACTAGAAAGAGTGCTTGATTTTTTATTACTCTAACATTCAAGCTATGAATGGCCTGCGGTGATACTATCGCGAACAGTAAGCCTATGTCGCCGGCGCACCGATCTCAGCCTTGGGAATGGGGCCTGGTGGAAACACTCGATGTCATCTCGCGGCTGTGCTTCGATTGACTAGGCGACAACATGGAACGTTTAAGTCGGCTCATTAATGGCCGGAGACTTGAGCAAGCCTTGCTGATCGACGTAGTCAACTGTCAACTACTTAGTTTGCTGGAAGAAGTTGTCGAGACTATTAATAAATGATAATCCTAACAGGTCATGATTGGCCGGTTCGCTTGGTTACATTGAATCACTCAGCCCAGGTGCTGGTGGCAGTTGCCTCTTCACCCCATAAAATGGCAACAATTGAACGAACAGCTTCAGTTTCCAGCGTTAGAAATAGACACCAAGTTTCTGAGATTTTCATTTGTGATGTACCTTACGCAAGAAGCAAGATCTAGCACGAATACATCAAAATCACTGACACCACGAGAAGCCGAACTGCACCCAACTTCGTCAGTTAAGCCCAAAAAATGGTGCCAGACTTTCAGTGATTTTGTGCAGCAGCGCTGGAGGCTGCTAAGAATTCTTCCCTGCAGCGGCGTAGGCGGCGTGGAAAGCTTGATTGCTGCCTGCGCGTGCTTACGCCAAGACTCCAGTGATGCATCAGCTCCCCAGCCCGATAATGCGGGGCGATTGGCGATCAAAGCCGGGGCAATTGCATGATGTCTTCACTTCTTCCTTGATCAAGACTTGAAAGTTGCCATGAAGAGGACTTTATTTTCAACAGTTGACGGCATGAATATCTGATCCGGCGAGGAAGTGCCTAATTGTCCATGGATGGATCTCCCAATTTCTCCTCATCGTCGTCATGAGTCTATAAGTAATCTACCTTGTAAGCCGGTAAACAACCACTGGGTGTGATGTGTTCGCATGTAATATGACTTAGAATGATTCGTGATCGCAACTGGAGAAACAGTGGTAGAGATGTTTGTATTTGCTACATACGCCGCTTTCAAGTTCCATTCAGCTCGACGGGTGCACCGTTGTTTATTTTTATTTTTCCCGTCCTGAGCCTAGTCATTTTTCAGCCCAGAAATATCCGTGATCCTGTTTTCTTCGGTCTAGCCCGACTTGGCAACGATCGGATCGAAATCAAATCGGAAAAGAAAACCCAAAGTTACCGCTGGTAACTTGTAAGATTATGTCTCCGTGGTACCAATGAATTCCTTCGGCACGGCACGCGTAATAGAGTGGAGTTGGCTTGCTACCAGTCCCGGGGCAAGCTTGCATCAAGCAAGTGCTGGCACAGGATGTCGGTGTATTTTATCGGACTATCTCCAGCTTCGACTGCTCCAACATCGTTCTCAATTGAGGTCGGAGGCCCAGACCGGAAAGCTCTTCAAGTCGACCACCGATTCCGCTGTGGCATCATAGGAACTCAACATTGGCTCCCGGATGCCCGAAGAATTCCAGTAGTCGTTCAGAGTTCTCGTATCCAGCGCGAACCGGGAGTTGAGCGACTGTATCCACTCCCATGACAGAGAACCCATCCCCATTCCTTGATAGAGGACAAGCAGCTCAAACCTCGAGGCTACCTCGCGATGGCCAAGGACCACGAGAACTCTTTTGCTGCAGAGGGTCGAGCCGGGCACGGCAAGGTTGAGCGTAGCATCGCGTCCGCCAGGAAACCTGTCCCAGTAGGCGCTGACGAGATCAAGAGCGACCCAGCTAAGTTCGAATTCGCTTTTCCAGCCCGACTGACCCGATTGGTCATGTCGTGCTTCGGCATAGAGCTCAATTGACCAGACTGCATTACAGACGTCCAGACGAACGGGAGAGAGGCTCACGCGGTGGTCAAGAATGGCCATGATGTGGGTACCGGAGTTGAGGAACGCATGAACCCTTTCCAGGTAATTTGCGCGTGAGTTGTTATCATTGCGGTTGCTTGAATTACCGACGTTCACTGTGGCGGATTCGTCGGGGGACGGGCAGCGGTGGGCTGGCGAGGGAGACGCAGAGTCAGTCGAGGAACGTTCCTCCGAAGCCGTCAGAACTGTGGCTAGCGGTGTAGCCTCATCTGGCGGCCTAAGCTCTTGCGCGGTTGTCGACTCCTCCAGATTCATCACCGCTTCCTCCAATGAAGCCGATAACTCGGATGCCGTTGTGCCGCTCTCTAAAGAATCGAAAAGATTCTTAATTCGTAGACTCCCAACTTGTGCCGCCCTGCGTTTGGGTCGATATCCCTCACTCCAAGCCGTGGCACCATCGGGTAATTCAGGGGTCTTTGCTGCGCCTTCGGCAGATTGAGTAGAGGCCGCTTCGACCGGCTTCACAAGCTGAGATGGATGCTTGTTGGCCCGTTTGCTGTCGATTGATTAGCAGAGAACCTCAGTGATTCTCGAATCCGACGGGAAAAAACTTACTAATCGTTGTTGACACGTTCTTTGATTTTCTGCATCATCTTGTCGCGCGCGGAAGGCGACGCTGCCAGATACTCGGGCGTAGTTTTGAGCTTCTTGCCTTCAGAGAAGACTTTCGTCTGGATCCTGCCTTTTGCCTTTCTGACTTCCCTGTTCCAGTCGTCCAGGTTACCGATGCTGGGCTGGACCTCGTTCTGACTGAGGAGCTGCTTTGGTGCCATTGCTGACTGTACTCCAGGCTCGCCGATACCCTTCTAGAGCGTCGGTGTTTGTTCCCGAAGAAGGTCGCTTGTGGCAATGTTTTTCGAGTTCACTGGCTTGGTTGCGCAGCCACCGACTGACAAGTCCTTCCGCTCGGTCTTTGCCTGAGTGGTTTTGAACTGGCACACAATGGTTGGCAGGGCGGCATCCGCAACCGCGTCGCTGTCGTCGACACCTCGATTTTGAAGGACCATTATGTCGGGTTCATGGGGCCAACTTGATCAGAGTTGTGAAGAAATTTCTTCTGTGCAACGGGTTGTTGCAGTTGCAAACGCAGATGTAAGTACAGTGAAAGAGATGCGGACGGGAGGGGCGAGGTGGAGCTCGTGCCAAACAGGGGATTGCTGACGTAATTAAAGTCGTAAGCACAGCCACTGACTAACGGGAACATGTGGCTGACGCATTAACAGCCGGGCCGTGCTATACTAAGACAGACCTGGGGAAGGAGCCCCGCCCTGCTGACTGCCGCACTGCTACGTCCAATCAGAGACTCTATGTTGTCCTACTGAGACAAATATGGCCAATCAGAGACGCGTACAAGTACCTCATAAGTTCATAAGAATTCTGGTATTCTGACTCCAATGTAGTCTCGCTCAGGCGATCGAGAACGCAAAAGACACAGAGGAGGCCATCAGCACTATGATTGAGATGTTTCAGTCCTCCATCTCGTAGCATCTCTTGTACATCTACAACGATCCCTGGATTGGCCGGTCAATCACGAGGTTGCTTCTTGCCGACGGGAATTTCGTGCTCAATCCTGTCGCCGACGTGGGCAAAGATGATATGGCTCTGATTTGCAGAAAGGTCATCACAAGCCTCATTCATAAGGCCTGGGCCAACACTCCAGAGTGGTCTCCTGTTGTCATGTTTGGCCCCTACTCTGATGAAGGACAAGGCCAGCATGTCACCCGAATCGTATCATAAAGCGCGGTATCTCTCCGCCTAAGAGTTTCTAGCTAGGTTTAGAATATTGACTGATTGGGTTTCACGGCCCGCATTGAGTCAAAGTGCAGTGCCATGACCATCCAACTTCACGCGATGAGCTTCCTCCCATAAAAGCCGCGCGGGGGCATCGTGCAGTGTGTATATCCACGGAAAACCGCTGAGATGATGGCAAACGGTTGCCCAGTCACACAGGGCTGCGCCATTGCATGTCTCTTCGATTGCAGAAAGCAGCCAGCTGTGGTCATTGACCTTCAAGACCGAGATGCCGCTCACGATAAGGATCCACAGTAGCAGAGAGACATTGCCGGTTTGCGCGTCTACATGCGCCGAATGGAGCTTTTGAACAGCGCTCACTAGACGAGTGCATAGAAGCGACGAACTGAAGTTGTCGCGGCAGTAGGATGGAAGCAGGCCGGTCATGAACGCCAACATCGCAAGACATAATGCGTCGCCGTAGAGGCCTTCTGAAGCAATTGGAGGCCGTCTGAAAGGTTCACCATCCAAGAGACGGTAAAAGAGTGCTATGAGCGTTTCCGTGTAGTCTAGAGGGTTGAGCTTGGATCGTCCGTTCTTCGCCCTCTCGTTGAGGATGCCAGTGAAAACGACGAGATCCAGCATGATGCGAGGCAGCCCGGGGGGACGGGTAGAAAGTTGTTTTGCGACGGTGCTAGACTGGCACAAGACAGTAGTTACGGGTACGTTCCCGCTATGAAACATCGTGGGTGACCCATTTTGCATGGCTAATTCAAGATCGAGCCTGGTGTTGGTCAGTTTTCTGTGCTTCGGAGATTGAATGTCAGATTATGAATAGGTTGCGTACCTGAGTGGCTTGAGGGCCAATGGACGGTTCTCCTCCATCAGTCTGGCGATACCCCCGCGCAACTCAATCATTCGGTGAAGCCCTTTGAGGTGCACGAGGCCGATGGAGTGTTGCTGGTGTATCTGTTGGTAGATGGTGAGGGTGACAACGGCAGCAATGGCGCTATCCGATATGGCATGGGGGCTTGAAAGTTTGAGGTTGACCAACGAATAAGCTTCACATATGTGATGCAATGTTTTCGACGATGTCGTGGGCTTTCGTTCAAAGAAGTCGACGTACGATGCCGATACGGCCAATGTTGAGTGGAAGTCTGTGGCAGCGGTGAGTTTAACTCGCAATCCGCCTGCCCGAATTGCATTCACTCACATGCTTCATCTACCAGTATGCAGTTGACCCAGATTGATTTCAAGATGTCGAACTTGTAGCAGAATTGGGGAGGAAACAGCGTGTCGCTGATGTCAAGGAACCCTGTACGAAGCAAGTCAGAGAAGCTTGAGGGAAGACGTTGGTGGTAAATGAATTAGATGAGCCGTACACCGATGCATGAGCCTAGTGGAGTCAGGATCGAGTTCTCGCGGGAACGAAGTCAGACAGAAGTCATTCCAGAACACCCGTCGCGGTATCGTCAGCTGACGCTTGATGGGGACATTGTCCGCCTGTCTTCGCGTCGAGGGTCGTGGTCTGCCAGCATTCTTGCCCCTCATGACATGAGAACGAAGGGCGCGACGGTCAGTTTTGCCTATTCCGGCCGCATTCTGTTCGATGAACACCAGCGCAGGACTCATCGTGGCGGCTCAAAGGGTCTGGTCGATGTAGGTGAAGATTACGGTGGGCGGGGTACTCTCCCTCACCAACAAATTAACTGAGCTGCTGCCTGCTCCCAACGGGATAGGCTACTTTTAGACCACGCTAGCCTAGAATTGGTGTTTCTGATGCCGGATTTCCTGGATATTAATCCGAGCTTGCTTCGATCACCAAGGATGAAAATCAGACGATCTGTATAGTAACATGGGGATAAACCTGTCGTTCTCAATTGAACTCAGTTGTAAGTTCTAAATTTGTTATTTAGTTATCTACAAGACCAACGCAATAGATAGTTGCGAAACCGGATCTGAGCCCAACCAACTCCGCTCAGGGACGCAATAGAGACTGATAGAAACCTTAGACGTATAAGTATGCAAATTAATCAGAGTATCTCACATTACCTAAAACTTAGGCTTCCAAAAGACAACATCTAATCTATGAAATTTGAGAAACGCACCCAGGCTGCACCTGTTCCAGCTTAGCAACAAGCTCCTTCCATATCGACTTCTGCAAGTGCTGGCCCTCATCGTTGCTAACCCAGTCCGGCACCCAGAATTCCTTGACCTTGCAGCCCGACAGAAGTTTTCCGTGGCCCTCCTCGCCAACCACCAGGCCGTGCAGGATAGTGCGACTGCCCACCTCCGCAGTGCGGGCCATCATAGCCCGGATCGCCTCATGCATGATCTTGGTGAATGTTCTCGCATCGCGTCCCAACCCGGTGGTGCATAGGCCAGGGGCGACCATTGTAATGACCACGCCCGTACGGTCTACGGGAAATTGGGCCGCAAATTGACGGACGGCACATTCCTCGACGAGCTTTGTGAGAGCGTACCTGGTATGCGTCAGTCCAGTCTCGTTGCAAGCCACTTGTTCTGTTCTAGCTGTCTGACGCACCTTGAGTCCATGTTTGCGCGTTTATGGTCGTTGAGCCCGTCCAAAACACTCCCATTGCGGCTCTTGTCCATCTCCGCCTTGACGGTGTACCCCAGCACGCTGACGATGAAGACGAGCGTTGGCTTGATGCCGAAATTGCGCGCGCTCTCGCTCAGCTTGGGCATCATCAAGGCTCCGAGGAACAACGTGTTAATGACGTTGACGAAGATGCTGCTCTCGACGCCTTCGAAAGTCTCCCACTGGTCGACCATAATGCCGGCGTTGCAGACGAAGCCGTCAATTCTATCCAGCTCCTGAGAAATCTGTTTGGCGAATACTTGAACCGCGGTGTGGGTTGATAGATCCAGATGCCGCACCTTCGCGACGAGGGTTCCGATGTCAGTCTGTCGGTCTGGGCCGCTAGTGTTTGGTTCAAATCAACGTTACCTGTATGACGCCCTTGCGTCCCGTCGACGTCTCAATGTCTGCCTTGGCCACTTCTCCAGCGTTGAGATTTCTCACGGCCAGAACCACCGTCGCGGCAGATGCAGAGACGAGGTGCCGCGCAGTCTCCAGGCCCAAGCCGGAGTTGCCTCCAGTGATGACGTAGGTCTTTCCCGCGCAGGTCCACTCGTCCACCAGAATGGGGAGCTTCCTGTACTGCTCCGCAGTCAACCGTAGCATCACCATGTTTGCTACTACTATAAGAACCTGCAAAATTCCGAGAAGAGCTCTGAGGAAGCAGAGAAAGTAGACTTTGAGATAGGTTCAAGACGGACGATGTATGGGGTTTGGGTATGCTGGGGACGCCGGCGAGTTCACGACACGGCATTCATCTTTTATATCCCAAGCAGGCACTATTGTACGAAGTCCCAACTCCTAGGGACGAAGGGAGAGTCAAGGCTAGGTACGGCACGGCTTCGAAGCCACAATCGATTCAGCGCAAATGGGATCATTCTGGCCAGTCTGGTAGTAAGAATAAATTGAGAATGACCAATCAAAAAGGCTATGTCTGTATCTCCGCCCTGTGGGACTCACTGGTTAACCAATCAGATATTACTTTCCACTTGGAGACTAGCGTATAGGCGGGACTAGGCCGGCTCCCGGTCGACCCCGAGCCAATCAGGTATTGATTGCCTCTTTGGGAAGCCGACCAGGATATGCAAAGACCAGGTGCCTCCATCCTCCATGTAGGGGACTTGGCTGCCGAGGCCCTGAGCAACATTCTCTTCCATCAAGAACCGCTCTTTGAAATATGTCACATTGACAACTCAGCCTGACAGAGCTGGGGGAAAGTGGTCAGGTTTCTGAGGAGCTGCAGATGAGCAGCTCCTCCATCATCCCGTTCGAAACTTAGCTTAACCTGCACGATGGAGGCTATGTGCCGCTACAGGTTCTACAAAGTCTCCCCGAAAGGATTTTGCCAAATTCTCATATGGCTCCATTGTCCTGGAAACCAGCAGGTCTTGCAATGCGAGTTCGACAATGACCAACATGACGCTGCTGGTGGTCGGGAGCTCGACCAGGGCGTATGTTTCTTACTGGAAGAGTATCAAGCAGTTAGCGTGGGCACCTTGCGGGCTCTTATGTACACATTTATTGAGGTGCGTTGGATCAGCGCAGGATGCTTCTTTTGTATCGATCCGTTTGGTTTATTGCGTGGCTTACGCTTCGCACAGCTCTTGCATCTACCCAGTATAAAAAGCAGTAAAATATGAGGTATTCATGCTAGTACACCGTAGTCTTTTGTCTCGATCTTAGAAGTCAAAAATAACCCTGAGGTTCGACTTGACATATCGGATAAAACATGGACCATTGGAAGGCATGCTAGCTATGAGGAAAATATAACACTCAAGTATATCCTCGGCGATCTCCATATGCTACTTGTCGCCGTACTTTTGGGAGACAGTATCACGATGATCACGTCGTAGGCAGCGAGAGAAATGAGAGGGAGAGTTTGCGATTCTGACTGAACCAAAGATTCGCATTAGATTTAGCCTGAGGTTCGTACACATAGCACCATCCACCGCAGATATGTCTGGCCCTACGTGTTAGAGGATATAAGGCATCTCAAATACAGCCGAAGAAACCCATATCTTGCGGTTGTTAAGGCGTAAGCGTGCATCCTAGGTCCTTGTTACATGTACCCAGACACTTCTCGAAGTTGGCATTGCTCCCTCTCGTAAAGAAGCAATCTTTGCGGCATAGATCGCACTTTGATATTTCAGTTAGCGTTTGCGTTGCAGAGGCTGGGACATGGCCTACGTACAGCTGTATTCTGGCGAGTCTCAAGACTAGTTGGGCTGGCGAAGGCAATGCCTGCAAAGAGAACAAAAAACATGGTAGAGAATTGCATTTTGTTACGGTATAGTAGTGTCGGTCAACGACAGGTTTTGCAGCTTCCCAAGAGTGAATGAAGGATTAAGGAGATAGTTGTCGACAACTTTGAAATGAGAGTGAACAGATGTGTTGGGTGTCGTCTAAAGCTTGAGGGAGGACTCAGTGCGACTAATCTTAAATAGGAATCCTGAGGGAATAATCCAGAAGCAGTTCACCCATCTTTGGCAGGGGGCTATTTAAACTTTTATGTGCGTTCAGCTGACACCAATCTGACACAACGCCGGTTAACGTCTCGTAAAATGCCGGCCAAGGATCCCTAAAAATAACGGCATAATAACGAGAGATATTCTGGCTATTCATTGGCCTGTTTGTATGCTGTAGGGCTATTTTGTACGTGAGAAAACCTTGTATTCGGACTCCGGCGCGATTGTCAAGACGAACTCTCGGCCATCACTGGCGAACCGGCACACTGGGACTGACCAGTTCATCCGGACGACGAGACAGTCAGCAGGGCAAGAATAGAGTTTTATTCAAGCATTTCATTGGCCCAGTTACCACAATTGTGATACGAATAGCACGAAAGCCTTACGTTTGGCGGGATAGCCGAGGGCACGTATGCGTACGCAAGGATTCGCGACATCGAAGGAGAGCGGCATTTTTCTTCTCTTCCACAGCACCTGCAACAATGACATTGCAGATCCGTTGAAATTGCGATCGCCAACTTATTATGAAAGCGAACTTCAATGAAAGACGGAGCTGCAATTACCATTGACTACTCCCATACCTCATGCTTTTGCAAAATTGATTCAGCTCGCTACCGTGACTGGTCAGGTTCAACAGGACGGAAGTCTATGTCAAGCTCAACAGCCATCATGACTACAAGATCTACCGATCTGGAACAACAGTCAACGGGGGGACAACTATTATCCCCTAGAAGAACACTGGACTCAATCTTGTCGCAATCGTCTTGATGGGAATTTCCAAAGTTCAACTCCTTAACAATGACCTCCTATTTTTGGGTGAGAATCACGTGAAATAGTCGTTTTAGCCTCGCCACTCTCAGTGCCTTATACTTGACGCATAGAATCACGAGAACAAATCCGGGGCTGTCTCCGATCATACGCCTTCAGCAGGTTCAACCCGGGTTGCAAAAACATGTTTTCTGTAAAGTGAGCTTGGCCGCAGTTCTTTTAACCCAGCCAGATGCAGCTATTCTCAGCCTGGACAGAAAGACAGTCCCAAAGAGTGTCATAATCATCAGCCTTCTGTTCGCGTCTTTTACGCCGGACCCCATCTCCGAGCGCAAGTCATATTGTCGGAGTTATTTTGGCTATCACCTGGCTTGGTGGCGTTTCTATGCGTGTCTACACGTACTCTGCTAAACCTAGGCGACAACCAAGCACTATGTTTGTTCTCTATAAGTTGCATTATTCCATTTCTATTTCTCTAGTCTTTTCCGACCTCATAAGCAAGGATAGTGGACATCCTGACCATGAAACAAGTCGAGTCTATGCTCGCTCGGTCAACTTAAGCCGGTTCTCACATTTGGTAAAGACAGTTCCAGAGCCGATGTCAAGGGAAAGCCCGGCATTCCGTTGCGAAATAACCCTCCGATATCCCTTCGCAATCGAGACTTGGCACTGAATGCTTCTCCCTGCCTTCCATAGGTGTGACATCTCCAGAACCTATACTTCTAAGATGACCCTTTAAGTTGCGGGAAATTATTCTCCATCGGCCGGTCCTGGACAAATAAAAGTCGATTCAGAGACCCAAAAGTCACTGGATGCCTAGCCGCGCTGTGACGACATTGTCATGGAGCAGCAGGAAGGGCATAAGTCCGATGAGCCGCTGCGACCAATAGTCGTGCCGCAGCAGCATCTGACTTTCAAGACAATAGTCTTCTGTCAGGATATGCTTAGTCTGAACTCGCTGGACGAGCTAGCGGTTCGTAATTTACTCTTCCCAGACTTTTTATCACACGGCTCTTAGTTTGAGAGCTGAACTCGCTCCCTTGCCCCCAACGCAACTCCTAGTTGCCCTCATCCAGATATGTACACTCTGAAGACGACTCCAACTCGGAAGCAAGTATTGTAATTCCCATCAACCCTTCTCGACCTCAAGACTTATCAACAAGGCTTGACAGGCTGCGTCTCCATTCCAGTAACGTGTTCCTTGTCTTTTCCAGCTCCGCCTTCGTGTCCTGCAGCTCAGCTTCCATCTGCTGCTTCTCTCGCTTCAGTGTCGCGATTTCGTCAGCAGCAACCTGTCGCTGCGAAGCCTCCGATCGTAGACGTGACAGCTCTTGCTGCAAGCCACGAGCTGATTGGGATATCTTTCGTTCAAGATCAAGCTGTTTATGCCCAAGTTCCAGCTCCTGTTTAAGTCGAGTCAGTTCGGCATTTAGATGGGCGACCTCCTGTCGGGCTTCACCCGCGCTCTCTAGCTCCGTGTACAGAATTCGAAGAGCGCCGTCTACGTCCTTCGGCAAAGTGGTGTACCGAGACTTGCGACTACGCGTCACGGGTCCCGGCTCATACGAGGCCTCTGGAGCACTCGCGTTCACCGCTGAGCTTTGCTCGGGAGACCTTGAGCGATGTCTTCGTGGGACTGATGAGGGCAACGCTGTGCGGCGTTCTCTTCTACAAACGTTTGCTCGAGACTGAACAGGCGACGTGGGAGGTGTCAGCGCTGGCGGATTGGCCTGCCAGCCCCGCTCGACGCAGATGTGACAGAACCAGCCGTCCGTATTTAGTGAGCTCGGCATGGTGCTTGGTCTGCAGTGATCGTGGTATGAGCGCCGACAAGTGGCACAATTAACGCCACCGGGTTCTTTACAGGCAAAGCAGCCCTCGTCATGCGGTGCCCCAGCTCCTAAGATGACGTTGTTAGTAACGACTACATCAGCAAACAGGCGGGGGCTTCTTCACTCATCCATGCTTTGAACCTCGCGAGCGCCGTCTCAATTGACTCTCCCGGCTCGTATGGCGGGTGTGCTTCATAAGGTAGCTTCGATACGTCCGGGGCTGCTGGTGCTGGGGTTGGTACTGCTACTGGTAATGCAGCCCGAATGTTGACGGGGCTTTGCCGACGGCGGCGCTTGGGTCTTGGACTTCTTCCACCCACATCTGCCACAATGCTGTCTTCGGTGTGATCCATCTTTGACTGGATGGTTGATTCGATCTTCACTTTTCCGAGAGTCGCCAACCTGATTAGTGGTTGGATTGGTGGTACTTTGGGATGCTTGGCGGGAAAGGTTGGTCCTTGGATAATACCCGACGGCATAGATTTTATCCCACGCGGGTTATGTAAGGATGTCCGTCGCCTTGACTAAGCTAGTTGACTGTTAATTAGTCAATATTTTCTGGGCCTCGGAGACTCACGGCTGTCATTCTATCGGTACTTCGCGTGCGGAGACGCAGCCAATCATTAGAGACCTGGCACCTATTCTGTCCAATCACCAATCTTGTGAATGACACTATTTGGAGAAAAGGCGGGGAAACATGGAGCCGGCTTGTATGCTCACCAGTTTTCTATCGATAGATAGCAACAAGCGTGCGAAACCCAAAGTATCTACTCTAGCTGCCGCTCGTATTCAATCACTTGTACCCTCCACTGCGCACCTGCTCACTGACGTCTTTCAACACCTTTGCTGCGTACTGGCAGTCTTCGAAGTCAACGTAGACAGCCGCACTCAGTCTGGCCCACCAAGCTCCGCGGTAAAAAAGCAGGTACATGTAAGTCCGAAACTGGTCCGCGAATGCCTTGTGCATCCAGTCGGTCACGAGCCCAACATCTTCCAGAGGCACCTGGCCCTTACCCCGATCATCTCCCACCTGAATAGGCATCCTGACTTGGGCGAAAAAGACACGCTCTGCTTCTGTGATCCCAAAGCTCTCGGTTCCGAGAGTTTCAACGAACAGCTCCTCTGCCCTCCTCGCCAAATCTGTACAGTAGAGACGGACAGCTTCGTGGCCCCCGCACACCACGTCAAAGAACCGAAGGGCTTCTTCGATACAACAATATGGCGCACCGTCCATTGTACCGAAATATTCAAACTGCCTGATCATTTGGTTGGGCTCTGCAGACGAAGGCATCGGATCGTGGACCATACCCTTGCCGAGACTCCGAGGTACAAAACCGTGCGATGTTGGGAAAGTCGTTCGGATGAGATGCTGGTTTCTCTTGGGAACGAAGAAAGCGGCAACGGCCCGCGGGACGAAAAGCCACTTGTGACAATTTGAAGTGAAGAAGTCCGGGTTCAGCTTCTCAAGATCAATAGGAATATGGCCCAGACCGTGAGCGCCATCGATCATGCTTAGAACCCCTTCTTCGCGGCAGACCTTCGTCATCTCCTCAAAGGGCATGAGGAGACCCGGCATACTGACGATGGTATCGAAAATAGCCAGCTTTAAAGTCCCCTCGCCGGTTTGCTTGCATGCTTGCTTTTCTCGTTGTAAAGCCGACCGGAATTTAGAGACGATCTCGTCGGGTTTGCTGGGCAGATCAAGGTCGATTTTGACGCCAATGGAGTTTGTATCTTCGAGGACACTTTCGATGGTCTTTTCGAGAGCTCCGTAAACCCCTGAGGTGTAAATGACTCTGTCACCGTCCCCCCACTGAAGGTTACGCAAGACAGTATTGGTGGCTGTCGTGACGTTGGGGCAGAGAACAAGCTCGTCCACGGGACAGTTCAAGTGGGAAGCGAGGAGGGAGCGACTGCGGCGGAGAAGATCAGGAAAAACATAGCGAATGAACCTGTCAGGCTCAGCTTCGGCTGCATCTTGATAGCGGCGAAGGGCCGCTCGTACGGTGTTCGGGTACCCGCCGAAAGAGCCTGCGCTAAGTGAGTACATTGTTGCGTCACAGTGGAATCAGGGGCTTACCATGGTTGAGGTTCACGTGTCCCTGGGCGAAAAGAAAATATTTCTCCCGCATCGGCTTGCCGAAAGGGGTTCGAACGGGGTGAGGCGCGCTTTCGGAGGCAGTCATAATGAGGCAGAGTTATTGTGGTCTGATTAACGAGAGGCCCTAAGATCAGGTTCAACATGAGTACTGGGTAGCAGCAAACAGCAGGGCACTTATCCTTTCAGGCTTGTATGTTAGAAGACGTGAAATCAACGTGCAGCGTGATTGCTAATCACAACAGACCCACGCGATGACCTGCGAGAAGCTCCGAGACTTTCTGTATTTTTTCATGTTTCATGACTAATTTACCAGACTTAGTCGCCTAAAAAGACCAGAAACACAAAAGTGCCATCGGCAGCGCTCCGGCATCGGTTGTATACCGAATCGAGATGATCGGACGGATTGCAAGCGGAGTCTCGTATGAAAGTGTGTCTTAGCGCCACCCCATCCGCTTGCCATACTTCTATCCCGGCAAATCGAACATCACTTCCTTGGTACAGATTCATAGATTGAAGAGGAATTTACTTCTTATCAAGGATGCATTACGGATGATCATCTACATGTGCCCAAGATATTCCTACTTCCATGACTCGACTGCCTATCAGGCCCTTTTAGACCAGCGCTTGGCATTCCATCTCAACCTGGGCCCCGAAAGGAAGGGCAGACACTTGAACACAGGTGCGAGCCTGTGGATCAAGTCAGAAGCGAGATTTGCGGATGGCCGTGGACAAACTTACCGGCTGGGGCTCTTCGAAGACCCCCAGATAGGCCGAGTTCATCTCAGCGAATTTGCCCATATCAGTGACGTAGACGTTGACTTTGATGACCTTACCGAGGCCGGAGCCTGCGGCCTCGAGAATAGCCTTGAGGTTCTTGAGAATCTGGGTCTTTGAGACCTGTTAGAACATTTTCATCCGATGAAACCAGACATTGTTACTTACAGTCTGCGAGCTGACCCCCTCTTCTAGCTTTCCGGTGGCAGGGTTCATGCCCACATTGCCGGAGACGTAGATAATGTTGTTGGCAATGATGGCCTGTGAGAAGACGGGCAGTGGTGCTGGTGCATTCTTGGTAGAGATCACTGCACTACTGCGGAAGGTACCTGAAGAGCTCATGCTGAAGGTGGGCTTGCTGGTTGTTTTGGATGATGGAATGACAGGGCGATGAAAAGCTGTTAGTGGTCTGGAAAGACAGCAGAAGCACATGAAATAATAAACAATTTTGGGGGGATGAAAGGAAATGACTTTGAAATGATTACTTTTGGTTTGTCTTTTATTTCGAGTTCAATGCTTGATTTGAATTTTCGCCGTAGACTCATACCTTATTCCAGTTCAATGCGGGGGCCTAGGAATGAAGATCCCATGAGGAGTGGAGACGCGCCCTTGGACGCCCTTTATGTCTAAATTGGTAAGCAAGTCCGTCACCGGCGTCTTAAGATTTGTATCAGCCCACAGCCGACCTCGGCGGATGGCCTGAGATTGACAGCCGTGACCATGTAAATACTTTTAGACAGTCACGGTGCCGTGTGTTTATTATCAGTTACTTACTTATCAAGGGGCACTATCCGCCTCTGAACAATGGTGTCCGTTGTGATCTCGACGATATCCATCAATATCTTGTTTACTGCGAATGGTAGTTCCTTCTGAACTTTGTCAAGTGCACTTCCATCATGCCTAGCTACGAATTCCAACACATCCTCCCCCTTACGAGGGTTCACAAGGCCACTTTGGCTCGCGTTATCACCGACTGGCATGCCACGACTTTCAAGGCCCCTCGTTTTATCGTCAACTGCAAGTTTTTAGATATCCGTGCTCAAAGCTCAGACGACAACTGGGTTGGGGGCTCGGCCATAAAGACCAACAAGCTCAACATCTTTTTGCGGAGTGGCACAGGCAGGACGGACCAGCAGTACAGGGACATCACGACCAAAATGGTGTCTATCTGGAATGACGTGGTCAAGGATGTGCAGGCTGCCGAGTCCGACAAGGAACTGAAAGACGTCTTCATTATGGGTGTCTATGACTCCGCGCTTGAGAGGGGCTTCTTTTTGCCTATGGTAGGTCGTGCTACGTCTCTAAATGATCGCTTTCTCCGAGCCAATTGCTAACCATCTCTTGTAGCCAGGCAAGTTCGAGGAATGGGTCGTCAAGAACAAGAATGAGTTCCAGAAACTGGCTGATGGTGGCGATGAGATTTTCAAGGGTTTGCTGAAGGAGATTGCCGAGCGGCCTGAATTCCAAGTATCTAAGTAAAGGCACAAGATGTCTCATGGAGACCAGCCACCTGTATTCGTACTGCAGCAGTGAGCTGGTTACGTCTCTGCCCAGCAGCACATGCATCCGAAACTCAGATTATCCATTTCATGACTCCATTGCTAGGGCGAAGCTATCCTTCCATCGGCATCCCGGCGGGATGAGATTCACCGTGCGCTTATTGTAAATCGTCAGAATCCCCTCTTTTTCTTGCCGTTATCAACCTATGATCCATCAAGCTTGATCTCCCTCCCCGGCTCGTAAGAGGGACGAAGGAGACGGCCAGGACTAGCAACGGTCACCCATGTATGCTGCCTGCATTCACGCCATTGGCATCCAGACCAGAAAAGTAGTAAACCAGATTTATTTTCCCATCTGCATCCCCAACACCCTATCACGTACGTAATGCATTTGCCCAAGTGATACTCATTTCTTAACCGCTTTTAGAGAGGAATTACATGTGGCCTTGCTCTGATTGGGCCAGAAAAACCAGTGTGCCGCATAGACCAATCAAAGAGTGTCCCGGCTCATATCTTGGCATGCTGACAAATTTAGTAAAACCCACATACATACACGGAGGCCAAGGAAGAAATCGGCTGACCAATTTAAGTGTTCCTTGCTGCATCTGGGGGGTCTTATTAGCAATGGAAGTCGTGTTTCTCCGGTAAGAATACCACCTTACTACATGCATGGTGTTTATGGGGATCTGAGATACCACTTAAAATGGTTCGTATGTCCGTTTGGCAGGCAAAATCAAACAAGTTCAGCTAGAAATTCAAGCGACTTTGTCTTTGTCTTGAACTGCACCTCTCGCGCGTGTCATTCTTGCATTCCATGTATACATTTCATCACCATCATGTCAGTTGACTTGAATCATGCAACTCGCCCACGAGGGACCCTTGATCCCTCAAAATTGACTTACCGGAATACTACACCCCGAGAACTGATAGATCCGAGTCTGTCGAACTGCACAGACAACATGCTTATCTGTCGTTGGAGTGAGAAAACCGGCTGGGAAGACCCCGAAATCCGGCCTTACGGGCCTCTTTCGATTATGCCCACCGCAAGTGTCCTTCAATATGCCACCGAGTGCTTCGAAGGCATCAAAGCTTATCGTGGCTACGACGGCAAGCTGCGCCTTTTCCGGCTCGAGCTCAATTGCCAGCGCATGCTACAGTCTTCTGCTCGCACAGGGCTTCCGGCGTTCGATCCGGCAGTGCTGAAAGAGCTCATTTGCCAATTCGCTGCAGTTGAAAGCCGCCGCTGGCTTCCGACCGAGCACAAGGGCGAGAGTCTCTACCTGAGACCGACACATATCGGGACCACTCCTGGTCTTGGTCTTCAAGTCCCCCGACACTCCACGTTGTTTGTGGTCGCCACGCGAACCTCGGGCTTTCAGACGAACGGCGCGATGACTTTGGTGACTTCTCCGAAGGATATGACGCGGGCCTGGCCAGGTGGCTTCGGAAACGCAAAGTTGGGCGCAAACTACGGGCCAACTCTGGTTGCGCATGCCGACGCCATTTCTCGGGGGTTCGACCAGGTTCTTTGGCTATTCGGCGAGGAAGAGTACGCTACTGAGGCTGGAGCAAGCAATCTGTTTGTTGTCTGGAGAACTCGGGAAGGTGAATTGCAGCTGGTCACGGCCGGCCTGAACAACCAGACAATTCTCGAGGGTGTCACCAGGAGAAGTATCATTGAGCTGGTTCAGCACCAAAGAAATGACCCAGAGTGCTGGAACGTTGCTGGCAAAGAACTCGAACCTCTCCACATCGTCGAGAGAGACTTCTCTATCAACGAGATCCGCACCTCACTAGCGGAGGGGAGGTTGGTGGAGGCATTTGCATCCGGTACTGCAGTAAGTCACGAATTTCGACTATCGAATCCCTTCATTGTGCTCACCTGCTGGCAGTACTTCATTGCCCCTATTCGTCTTGTTCGCCACCGAGACGAGGACCTCGTTATCCCTTGTTGCGAAGGCGAGACAGGACTTTACGCGGCACTGATTAAGGGCTGGCTGGGAGATATTGTGTTCGGCCGTAGCGAATTCCGAGGATGGGCCAGCGTGATTGAAGAGGCCGCCGAACTGGTCTCGAACCCAATAATTTGACGGCAAGTCGGCGTTATGCTGAGAGGCGAATCAACAATAGAAAGGACCCAAAAGAATCACACAAGAATCTGACTCAAACTAGAATATTTTGCCCTGAGCTGAATCAGGGCTGTGGCCCGGCTATCATCGAGAACTTTGGTCAACATAGCATAACATTCACTTGGAGAAGGCAAAATTGAGTTCCGCGTTGATGAACATGAACATATCATCTCCCCGATAGCAAAGCTGGAAACATTGCATATCACCAACGAAACCACCCTTTTCATCACTCATAACTACGTTACAGCAGTTCCTGGTATGTGACAAATCCATACGCAAGACGGAGGACTGCGCCCTTCACCTGGATGTGATCGATAGTGCAACAAGTTAAATTTGCGCAGGTGGGGTGCCCTCCCACCGGCTGAGAGGTCTTTAAGGTTGGCCACGTACGTCGATGTGCTTAAATAGGCTGGCCCAAGTTTGCCCGGAGCTCTCCTTGTACCCTCCGCTATCGGTCCGTGATGTCTATACTTCAGAAGCCATGTTTGAGCATCATAGGGCTCCACCCACATGACAAATCGATCTGGAAAGCCGACGAAATCTCTTCAACTCTAGAATGGCGGCGCAGTGAAGTACATAAGAAACGTTGGCCGAAAGAAAAACAGCAAATGCAAATCCTACCTGTCCTTGTATTCAATTCCACATCACATCACCTTACAGCCCAACCATCTCCAGCATTCCACCCAGAATGGCTCGTTACAGCTTCTTGGACGACTACAGCGAAGGCGCGCACCCCAAAGTCTTGGAGGCGTTCTCCGCCACGAATATGTCACAACAGAGACCTTATGGCGAGGACGAATACTCAGCCTTGGCCAAGGAGTACATCAGAGACGCAACCGGCGTCCCAACCTCGAGCATACACCTCGTGGCCAGCGGCACCCTCGCAAACATCATCTCCATAGGCAATTGTCTACGCCCGCACGAGGCAGTCATCGCTCCAGACACAGGTCACGCTGTTGTTCGAGAAACGGGGGCCATCGAAGCCATTGGCCATAAACTGATTACTGTGGCCAATTCACAGGGCAAGTTGACGGTGGACAGCATCCAAGCCACGCTGGAGAAGAACGCACATTTTCCTCATATGGCCAAGCCTCGCTTGGTGTATCTTTCGAACGCAACAGAGCTCGGGACCGTGTACTCCAAGACAGAGCTGTCGGCAATCTCTCGTTTCTGTAGGGAGCGGGGGCTGCTATTGTTTCTGGATGGGGCGCGATTGGCCGCAGCTTTGGCTGCAGATCGGAACAACTTGACTCTCAAAGACATTGCGGGGTTGACAGACATCTTCTGGTTTGGCGGCACTAAAGTTGGAGCGTTGATGGGCGAGGCAATTGTCATCAGCAATCAGGCATTGGCCTCTGACTTTGTATTCCATGTGAAGCAACGCGGGGGTCTCTTGTCTAAAGGTCGGGTACTCGGTATTCAGTTCCTGGAGCTGTTCCGCTCGAACCTATTCTTCGATCTGGCGTCGCACGCAAACCGAATGGCGAAGCTGCTTTCTTCGGGGATATCAAAGGCCGGCCACGAACTGGCGGCTGCAACGGAAACCAACCAGGTGTTCGCAATCCTCCCGAATGATCTAATCACGAAGCTTGAAGAAAGCTACACCTTCTATGTTTGGGAAAAGATTGGAGGCGGCAGCGCTGTCATTCGGCTGGTTACATCTTGGGCGACGGACCAAACGCAGGTAGAGGCCTTCATTGCTGCAGTGCAAAATTGGCGATGAAGGGTCCAGGGAATGTTGGCTCAAACGTCTACTGCAGATACCTTACTGTAACGAGTTTAAACCATATTGTGGAACACCTACGCCATGTTTGATTGATTCATTGATACCGAGCTTGTCAGTCACATCGGCAGCGCCAGGTCCACTGGAGGCAAGGAGAAGACATCTTGCCAGGGCGGAAACAGTTCTAGTGCCAATCCTTTTGCCCCGCCAGGCGCACTGGGTTTTATGCTGCATTCGCCCGAGGGAAACCCGAGTGGATGTCTACGACTCTCTTGCCAGTAACAGAAGTCTTCCATCAAGTCTTCCATCAAATGAGCTACTCGAGGCAGTCAGCATCATACAGGGGCTGTACTTTGGTAAAGGGGAGCCTTGGCCCTGCGTATTACACGTCTCATCCCTTCAGCTAGCGAACTACGATTGTGGTGTTTTCGTCCTCGTCAACGCGTTAAAAATCATTGGGGGTGAGGATCCTTCCTTACCTACGACATGCGCTGGATTGTGGCGGCTGCTTTTCCGCAGCTTCAACGTGGAAAGACCAGGCAGTCACAGATCCTTTGATTCGATGGGGAGTGTCGACGCCTTTGACTCCAACACCGAGGAACAAGCGCCTGCGCTTCCCAACGAACGAGCTCGACTGCCTTATCAGATGTGGACATCAGTCATTTTGAAACGACAGGAGTGGACGACGAGACGCAATCAAGCCATTCTCGACAAGCTTGCCCCCGCTCAAGAATTGCGAAAGGTGTTGCAGCAGACAGGCACTTTACTCCGACGCATGTATCAGGCAGACTGGGACGGTGGAGATGAACTGGTGGAAAGACTGGAAACAGAACTTGGCACACGAAACTTTATCTTATATTCTCTCAGATCGCTGGGAAATCGGACAGAGGCGGATGACAAGGAGGAAGCTCATCATCGTGAATGGATCCGGGTCCTGTCGGAAGAACTACGATACCGAGAGCATTCGATCCAGGCAGTTCGCAATGCCCTGGGGTTTGTAGAAGAACGTTTGGAAGACCTGCGGAGGCGCAAGACCGTGGCATAGAGAAGGGTGTGTTTGGAGGATCATGACACATGGGCAATTTGAGTAAACATTTAAACATAGAGTCAGGTATAGGTCGGGCTTGACGGGAGCCTTTGCTTAGTTTGATATGTAAGGCTTGTTTTCACTTGTATTGTGAGTTCCCCAGATGCAGTGTCATCATTCCTGACACCCTTCATATCGAAATTAACGGCCGCCACCCAGATAGGAAGGACGCCTCCCGGCCCGGCCCGGCCCCACACGGGGCTGTGCTCGGCACCGGGAGGGGACACCCCCCCCCCTTCCACTCGCCGCCCCTTACCAAGGGACGTGGCATATCCGCATGCTTTTTACGATAGGAACTGATGTGAGGACTAAAATCAAGACTTTGTGCCTCCCGAGTGCTGTAATCTCCATGGCTTATGTTTCATTCAATATGCACCCTCGATAAGTGGTGAAATAGAATTTCCAATCATTAAAGTGGACAGAAATACTTTTAAGCTGTCAAATTGTGGATCGCGAATGAGATGCCTCTTCTATGGCCCGTTATTTAAGCTTGATCCCTGTACGATCCATCATTGAGGGAGTTCATGCCGGGCTTCGTACGGCAGTTCATGTCTCACCCCGCCCTGAGACTGATACCTGACGTCGTGATTCGGCGGTGATCCGTAGACCCACCCCGCATTCGTGGGCGGACCGTCCGTCTTGGCATATCCTTCCGTCGGCGTCACGGCACTCGGCCCCATCTTTTTCCTCTTCTCACGTAGAAGCATAAACGTCAGTGCTCCGACGGCGATGGCCAACGGCACACCGATCCCAGCACCAATACCCGCGGCGGCGCCTGCAGAGATGCCGCCGCTCGCTTCCCCCGTGACGCAGCTACTAGACTCCGCGGAAGAGCTGCTCGTGCTGCTGGTGCTGCTGCTACTCGCCCCCGTGGCTGTCGCCGCCGAAGATGTTGCCGAGGCAGAGGACGTTATGTTGAGATCTGCCAACACGGCGGCGTTGCTCAAGATAATACCCTGACTAACCGAGAAGTTTCCACTGTCGCAGAAGCCCATGCTGCAGGCGAAGCCTTTGTTGTCTCCGCAAGCCCAGACGCCGCAATGGCCTTGGGTATGAAGTCAGTATATGCGGATAGCTCAATCCTGCGTGATGGGCCCGTGGCGGCAACTTACTAGAACCGGACTCAAGACAATATCTCGGACATCCGCTTGCTGTGAACTTCTGGTCTGTGCAAGATGCACGATACATAGTCAAGCTTGAAGGCACAAAACACAGCCCGTTCGAGAGGCAGTAGTGGCCGTCATAGCAGCATGCCTGCGCGTCTTCCCCTTCAACGGCAGGACATGCTCTAGCGCTGTTATGCCGTTCACCGTTTGGCAAGTAACATGCTTGACCGGCTGCCATTGTGGCGAAGAGAAGTACCCCGAGTAGTTGTTGGGAAGAGATCATTGTTGTGATGCTGCGTCGGGTCCGGTGGTTCGGGGAAACGGGGGAGGCAGAAAAAGGGGGCGAATTGTCCTGCCCGACAGGAGCGGACGAGTATTAGTACGGCATTAAGCGTGATGGGCGCCCTGCGACCGTAAGATTACATGGTTGCACAGGCAGCGGTCACTTAATATCCCGTCAATCATGCCAAGCGACGCCGAAGCAAGAAATGCACCTAGGAGGGGCAGAAAAGCAACTAAAACACCAAAGGATCCGAGTGCATCGAATCAGTAACTAGAGAAAAGCTGTCATGTCCGCCAAGCCGTGGTCTTTTGGCGGGTAAAACACAGAAGGATCTCATTCCTGGCCTCACACCCATGTCGTCTCGCACGTTAGCGCTTAGAAAAATGCACTGCTGATGCAGTGTAAGCTCTCTGACGGGTAAATCAAGAAGTCCAGAAGCCCATCAAGGTTTAGCAAAGCTTATTAAGCAGCAGTAGTCCGGATTAGGCTTGAATACCAAGTGCGGTATCAGTTTCGTTATGGGAAAGACGACATCCCCATCAGTGGTTATGTATTTCATGGAAGCTCCAGACGTTGAGCTGCGGCTGGGAGGCCAGATATGGGTCAGGCAACTTGGAGGTCCTCGAAAATCTTTGATGTGGAATGCGATGACATTTGGTCACAGCTGAGAATAGGATGGGTCAAGCCCAAACAAATGGGCCATTCGTGTGGGACGATTGCTTGGGGAACCTCCATTGAAGTGGATGGAAAGGTAGGGATCAACTGAGTGAGTCTAAGCCCAACTCCCCGTGCTGGCACCTGAGGATCGTGTTCCGAACATCCCGGCTACATAGTCTCCACGGCTGCAACGACCTCTGTATTTTTCTCAGAGGTCGAAGAGCGGAAGGCAACATAATGCTCTCCGACAACCCAGACCACATCATTAAGTATGAATATCGCAAGCTCGAGGGTATCGATGGACTCACATGAATTAGTGGGCATATAGATTGACTAGGGCCCATTGCGAACTACATATTCTAGTGTACGTTTCTTCGTGCGACTGATGGGTCAGTATAGTAGAATCGCTTTGGGATGCACTATGCGATCACATTCTTTCATTCAGCTATCTTGCGGCACCTTTGTGTAGGATACTCGGAGGAAACACTAGTCTTTTGTTGAGAGACATCCATATGGAGGGTTTTCGGCGCGTGTCCCCCTGAGTCCGCTTTGAGTGACCTGGTCTATAGGTGAAGAAGGCAGACTATGGCTTAATTTCTAAGCTACATACCGCCATGTGTAGGTTTCCCGAGAAAGCATTAACTCAGTCGACTTCAAGACTATATAGGCTGGTTTTTGTTTTTTTCATATCCTTCAGCTTGGACATGTCTACATACGTAAACACGCATAACGAACCAAGGTTTGCTCTAACTCAAATTGCTCGTGCATCAACTATCATCAAGGTAAGAAAAATAGATCGTTGGTTTTCTGTTGAATCCCACGCTTGCTACATCAAGGTGGAAATTAAGTTTGGTTGGAAACCTATAAGACGCTCTCCATATTAGCGAACATTTCAAAACTTCTTTCCATCATTATCACATTCTACTTCATTACGAAAAAGGTCTTCTTCTACATGTGTCTGGCACAATTCCCTTGGATGATTAAAGAAGCCTTTCAACCATAATCGGAGCACTACAGCGACCTGGAACAACTGCAAAAACGATTCGCCGCGCGATACAATCGCTTCGGATATGGCGACGTGGAACAATCTTCCCAATGAGCTAAGGCTTAACATCTTACACTATGTCCCCAGACAGAGATCTTCAAAGCTCTTGGGATATTCACTTGTTTGTCAACAATGGCAGCGAACATTTGAGCCGGAACTGTATGGGGAAGTCACCGTATACATCACGAATAACAACATTCTATCCGGAAGAGTCAACCCTTGCACTCTGGCTAGTGTCGTCACAGCCCGGCGACGTCCACACCTGAAGAAGCTACGCCTCATCATAGATTTAGATCCCTTGAGTTTCACCACCATTAGCGACGCGTTGCGCCGGCAAAACCAGCTACAGCATGTTTTTGTCAGCGTTATTGATGGTTTCATCGACACACTTAGCACCTGGAAGCGTCGAGATGCTTTATTCGACGTCGAAATCCATGAAGAAAGGTCATGCGGTCATCATTTGAACCACTACGGCAGCAACCTAGTACACAACCCCAGGAGATCCATCGACTGCGTTCGGTCGATAGGACACTGGGAATATTGCGGCGATAGGTGCCACTGCTGCTCTTACCGAGGTCTCTTGTCTTACATCACCTCGAACATGACGGACAGCCTCAAAGAGATAATTTACGAATTCGAAGAACGCGACCGGGACAACAAGGCAATGGTGTCTGAAAGCTGGGACTTCATCCCGCCCAGCGTAAAAGCGCTGACAATTCGCAACATGGATGACAACCCGCGTTTCAACGTCCAGTCTCCACCCATACAAATCTCAGTTCCCGTAATCAGCAAGCAGCTGGAAAGTCTTCACGTCTCATGCCATCTTGACGCAATGTACATATACCGCAACCCTTTCTTGCGCTATTCGCCAGCTTCACCACCTCGGTGGCCGAATCTTCGAAATCTCTCCATGTCATTCGAAGTCCTGGGATCAAGCGACGTAATCCTCAACTCAGAAATGCGCATTCTGAGTATAGCTGCACTCGGGATGCCGAAGATAGCAAAGATTGAACTCTGGCATGAGAGTCGAAAATGGATCAAGGAAGGCGGTTACTTTTGTTATTTAATCAACCAAAAGACTGCCCACGCGTTTTGGGAAACCAACTGGAGAATTTCTTACCAGCCTTCCTCTGAGGTTATCGATGCTTGGAACGTGGTGGCTATGTCACACACTGGGCGTCCATTGGAGTACGAAGTTGGCAATATTGTATCAGCAGAGGGACCATACATGATTGCAGAGGTAATTGTTCCGACCGACGTTGTGAGACCTTTCTACACCGCTAAGGCGTCTGAAAAGGCTAAGCTTGAGGTACCTTATGAGCAGAGACTTGAGTATATCGCGTTTCCATGCCGTTGGATGCCGGAGGAATAACGAGGTTGCAAGCCTTTGGCAACAACACATGAACGTGTTCTATTTTAGTCAGTAAGCAGGTAACATCATTAGATCGGGGGTTTTCAAAACAATCCCGAGCTAGACATTTAGTGACTTCGACGGATAAATCTTGCAAAACGTCAATGATGGGGGGCGTTGGAAGACCACCCAAATGGTTTGGAATCCACGGCAATAATGCGAACTTTGGGGTGTTCATATCGACCGATCTACGGTCGAAGTCTGAGGTCTGTAGGAACACGAACGATGGCTTTTTCTTTTTGCTGCAGCTAAGAAACACGGGTTACGACTGGAGTCGGCCACGTGAAGGGGGGCATGACAACATCATCCAATATTCCAAACAGTACGTGACAGGGGGCACTCCACGACTTCCGAATACGTCCCTTTGGCTCATAATCAAGCCATGTCCCAGGCAGTTCCTTTGGAGGCAGTCACCATCCATCTCCGCAGCACTTTTCGACTTACCCAGGTACCTGAGATCCATAACATGCAATGGAGCCCTTTCCTCCTTCCCTACATCAGCCAATTACCAGGGTAAGCACGATCTGAGTCTCCCGTGACTTCCTAACCGGTGCGTCCCACCTGCCTTTGTCGCCTTGATTAAATATCGACTTTTTCTCTCTTGCCACGAGAAAATTTTGCATCCCGCAACCTCAGATGAGCAAAGTCCATCCCCCATCCTCCATCTCTCCCGCATCAATCTACGACACAACGACCATGGCGCCTTCCACTTGGTGGGATCCGTCCCAGATCCGCGAGACAGTTGACCAGAGTGGTCCGCGCAAGACCGGTGGTCCCGAAATGATTGACCTCCGCGAGGATAGCCCCGTCGGCTCCTCTATCAACCATGCAATTGGTCAGCATTCTCTCCTCTCCGAATCCTCCCCTTCTAACAGCACCATTAGATATCAGCTGTGGTGACGGAGTCAAGTCTGAGGAGACAAATTCACCCACTCGTATGCCTTCTGTCCAGTCCACCGCCGAAGGTCATCTCGGAAGCGACGAAAATGTCGACTCCAAGCCCACCGTCAACAAGAGTACTACTGTCCGCTACCCCACTGGAGGTCATCTCAGCGGTGACGATAACGTCGATTTTAAGTCCACCAGTGGCGACAAGCGGACCAGTACCAAACGGAAGGTTGATGCTGTAGTCAGCGCGCGCTCCGAAGCCTGCAAGAAGAAGAGTTTGTACGCAGACGCCAGTGTCACTCTCATCATTTAGAGCCAAGGGGGACTTGATGCGGCGCTCGTCAGGGAGGCTGAGGAGTTCGTCCAGCGCTTGTTCCAGGAGGCAAGGATCCAATGCTCCAAGCGTTCGTCCGAGCTTCTTCAACAAGAGAGCTCAAGCAAATATTGAGATTGATGTTGTGGGTGGATGTCAAGCATTAGAGGGGTGCAATTTACACGGGCTGTGCTGAGCTTCAGAGAAGTCCCCCTTGAGGCGATAGGGGGTGTCAACAGAGTTTTGCGAGAACGAGTTCTTATTCAGTCGAGTCATCAACAAATGTAGTTGAACAGAATCGAAATGTGGCACCTTCGTTCAAATGACACCGGATTGAACTCTGGCAGCATGCTTCGTTGTAACTCTCGGGTGCGATCTCTGGCTAGATCTGCCAACACACCCAGATGCTCGGTGTACCAACTGCTACCATTCTCTCTAGCAAGTCGCGTCATGATTTAATGCCCACAGTCGCATCATGGTTATCACTCATTTCCTTCGTCGCACTTCCAGTAAGACTCACAAGTCATGAAACTCCTGCAGCACGGACACCATCGATTTACTAGTGCCACATGCTGCAATCAAGACACGTCTTGGTTTCTTGCCCGATGCGTCGGCATAGTGCGTTTATCGCGCACGAGGAGATATATCTGATATTTCGTGAGATGTAAGACAGTACGTAAAGGAGACATGTCTGGCTTAGCTGTGGCTGTTGCCTGCCGTGTGAGTCTACGGCGAAAACTCTAATCAAGCAGTACAAGAGCCACTTGCCGTGCAAAGAGTGGCTGCTGCAGAAATTGGGCAAAACGTAAGGTTTCAAAAGTCAGAGCTTCAGATGTCTTTACACTGAAACTCAAATATGTTCCCGCTGATTTTGTGGTTGAACATAAAACATACAAGGCTAGAAAACCTCGTCGCAACTACAAACCCTCACATGACTTTGGAAGACGCTGATAATATGTAAAAGAAAGAAGTGACTTTTGAATTCGATAATATAACTCCTAGACCTTTGCAAAGACAGCGTCTCATTAATACAGCCCTTGTGTTGCGTGATCCTCAGCTCATTCATGCTCTCGAAACACTCTTGAAGCTCCTCCGGAATAACTAAACCGACCTACAGATCATAGCTATTCTAGACAAACAATAACCATCATAATTAACCCCTATATATAATAAGTGCATTTGGAGTAGTCCTTGTTCGCCGGACATGACTTGACGTGGTGACCTCCGCCGGTTCCCGGCGTACCCTTCGCTACAGGTTCACCAGGCTTCCTCGTAACAGGATAATGCCCCCAGGTGTACTTGAACTTCTCCACCCGAGAGTTGTGGAATGCTTGTCTGTCGTTGTACTTCTGGACGTTCGCGTTGTGGATGGCCGGGTCCCGCCGTGGACTGAGGGGAGATGAAGTATCGGTGAAATCGGCGTTGGACAGCGCATTTGGTAGAATGGAATCGCGCTCCGAAGAGGACGATGTTCCAGCGCTATGGATGTTTTCTGCATCCGTTCGAGGAGAATAAGCTGATCTTGAAGACACAGTTACCGATTCATCCCCAACCCGGGCTATAGGCGCCGCCAAAGCTGGGACGGTGACGAGAAGGAACAGAGCGTGATGTAATATCATGCTGTGCAGCAGACAATTGTGTTCTTAGATTTGTGATGCAAATGGAATTTCTCAAACTAAGCCCGAGTAGAATCGCAGCATTCATTTATGCTGTCGAACTCCCCGGCAATCACTCCTTAGGGCGGGTTTGGTCTCTTTGATGCTTATGGTATGAAAAAGGCTAGCAGACACAAAAAGGTGATTTAGTGTTTTCCTCCGTCATCGAAGCCGCAGTACTCCGCATGGGAAGACTCAAAATGCAACCTCCAGCCCAATAGACACTACCACTAGCTCTGAATGCCTCTCCTCTACCTTCTGGGGAAAACTCGGACTAGCTGCGTCCACATGTAGGCCAAAACTCAACAGTCGAGAATCCAGAGGATAACGCCTGTAGCGCCAGACTCGTGTTCATATGTCTTTTCACGAAATATTTACCAGCCCATCCACGTTCAGTAGGGGTAGAGCCAGAAAATACGGTAAATATACTGAAATAAACAAACGGTACCGGAGCCTATATTGTACGCAAGCAGTGACTGCATCATGTACTTCCGTAGGACTGAGTGAAAAGGAGTCTGAGTGCGGCTCCCAACGAAAGCAATTGGAAAGTCAATTAACAAGCCTTGGATAATAAATGGCCACCGCCATACCACGGTCTACCGCATGCCAAATCACTGGATCTGTTGAGCCGGATGGAGGAGAATAATATTCGCCGAAGTCCCCTATGTCCATACACCCGTTTATCGTGAGAAATGTAGACTACTGAGGCTGAATGATGGAATGTGAATGGGAACACCGACTCTGAGGCTCGAAAAGTCGATGCACAGACCTTTCCTCCTGTAGGTACTTAACTCTGGAAACTATGCTTTCGTATTCACGTGGGGTCTTCCAAGGAGAGCCCGGACAAACATGAGCCGGGGATGAGCTGTTGGGATTGATGGGATGATGCTGTAGAAGCAGAAAGGAATTCTTCGCTACATGTGTTCGGCTCTCAAGGCCACACCAATCTTGAAGTCATCATTCTACAAGCAGAATAAGCAGGCTTGAACTACCCTGTAGAGGCCAAGGTGTCATGCTAAGCTTTTCAACATTCGAGTTACTTCATGCACCATGGAATTGTCATTCCTACCCTGTCGTGAGACCATACGCGTGTTCGTTGGCTGGGGCACCGACGCTATCGACCGGCTGCGACTTCCGGCCTTACCTTGAGATAGCATGGAGGTAGGCAGAGGCAGAACTGTTAAAGATCAGCAGGTTGCAGTAGCTTGAAGGCTAGTAAGTGGGGAAATGAAGCTTGATTAATCTGAAAGTGCAACTTGCGCTTCGCAGAGCTCATGAGGAGATCTTCCACAGGATCAAGCCGTCCAACCAAGCATCTTGTCACGGGAGCTTGTGCTGTGTTCATCGTGTTTCTATTCTGTAACTACACCTGTAAGTCAACAAACTCCATTATTGACGGGGCTCAAGTCTAGCCGTCCAGTCGACGAAGTTCAGGTCGTGGAAACCTTGACAAATGCCGGCTGAAAGCTTGAAGCTGAGTAAGAACAGGTGCAAAGTATCCATCCCGAATAGGTCGGCCTTTCAATCCACATTTCGTATCTGTTTCAATGTCGGAATGAGTTTCTTCCGCAACGTAAGTTATGCTGAGATGATTCTTCCGCGTTTGATAGATTTTGCCGCTTTTTGATTCATGGTTATTGTGTCGTGACTATCATACTTCACTCTGCATACTTCAGGTAACGGCGTGTAGAGACATCAGAAGAATCACTAAACATCCATCTGGGCTCCTGCACGAAGTCGTGATCTGCGGAATGACGTCTACCTCGGTTTCAATCGGCTGCACAAACAGCAATTACCGCACAAGGACCGTGTCTTGTGGCTGTAGAATGTCTTCACTCCACAGCAGAACCTTCAATGACGATCTCGTCTCTGTTAAAGCGGACATTGACATCCGGAGACGCAGCGAGCACCTATGCTTCCAGGGATGATCATGTCTCCCGGATACATATTCTCACACGTGGAGTCAAGGATCTGACAGTACGTGGACTCTTCCATTCAAACCTTCAGCGAACACACCAAACAACTATTACGTACAATAACTAGGCTTTGGTTGGTATCGTGCCCCTGTCGTGGGTAGTCACTGAGCTCACGACGGCCCTAGCTCCGGAGATCAAGGTTAAGGACGGGCCTTCGTGCCGGTTCGGTTGAGATTCATCTTTGAAGACTGTGTTATCTTGCATGAGTCAGTAACCAGCGTAATCAACAGAAGCCTCAAAGGTCAAGAAGCTAAATGCAGAACACCCATCGGAGTTTATTGTAGAGCATGTCCAACCAGATACTTCTAGTAAGTTATTCCTCTGGCTGTTGGTCTGAGTGTTCAGGATCTGCAATTATGTCTTTTTCTCTTCTGGGCGTCATTGGACTCAGCTATCTCATCTTCAGACAGATCATGAGATGAGTCGTTCTGAGCTTCCAGTCCTTTCTGGATCTACCGTGGATTTCAGTTGTAGATCAGGCGCTATTTGACTTCACCGACTGTTTTGAGGGCATCGTAAGTACGATCATGCTCTTACATCCCTCAAAGCCGCCTGTTTTTAATAATTCCGCTAGTTGGGGCATTTGGCAGGATAAATATCGTGCTGTGGTTACTACATTGTATTACAGACGAACTCAACATTGGAACCAACGAAATGCGCAAGAAGAAAACTTCGAGCCCAATACCCTGGAAAATTCAAGCCGACAAAATATTTGACGGTATTTGTTGCGGACAAGAATAACTCTCTGGATCAAATGTTTCAGTGTCTGAGGTTTGTCGGTTCCCACTGGGAAACTCTGCTTGCCTAACTAAACCATCACGGGCCGCAACAAAGAAGAGTATGATTTTCCTCATGCCATGAGGTTGATGACGAGACAAAAGCTGAAGGTTTTGTGTTGACGCATGTTCTTGATTATTTTTCAATGAGATTTCTTCGGTTCAAGCCAGCGCTGTGTGGCAGTGAGAATGCAGCCGAGAGCCCAGTCAACAATGCGGTGAGCAAATTGAAAATGTCCTCGTTCAACGAGCAGGATTTATTGTCTAATCTTTGTCGTTATTGCCCAGCTTGAGAATGTGCCTTCATATCCAGCACGTCAATCTCCGGGGAAAGTCGGAGCAGAGCCATCATCCTTGTTCACAGCCAACACCGAACTACATGCGGATTCTGGGCACGGTCCGATGAACTGAACTTAAATTAAGTAAGCTCTTGGCAATTGATGAGTCGCCGAGATACACATGTAAATGTAACAATGGGCGTGAACGTGCGTCATGGTATCTTGAAGACATGCCACAGCTTCGTTCAAGGTATCGCGCCTCATGAACTTCACTGTGCTCATGGACCATCTTGTTGTCGATAACGTAAGCCATGAGGCAGTAGAGATCTATTGACTCCTCTCCAAAACAAAGCAATACTGTCTACGAAACCTGTTCATATTCCTGAGCTTCCGAGTGACACCGAAGACCTCACTACTATGAGACTTCAATCTGCTCCAGATCAACTCTTATGAGGAGGCTGATAACCCATCGTAGGGCTGTGGCTAGACGCTCATGATCTTTGCTTGTGATTTCCTCCGGGGATCCGGCCTGGAGATGAGGCCCCGGAATGGAGTCACGATGGGTCCGGAAAAGGGGCCGTTCGGCCCGTGTGCACTGACCTGGCAAACCAGCTAAGCTAGCCTTCCCTGAGCACGCCCCAGTTCGAACGTGATCAACTCTCTCTGAGAAGCCGGTGAATGACAATCGTTACTATTTGTCCGGAAGCTTTTGCATGTTCTGCCACACGTCAGGTTCCAGCAGCCGCCGACGCTGGTTGGCTTGGAAGAATGCGGGTGCCGGCTGGATCATGCCATTTCTTCACGTGTGATCGCCGCCACGGATAATGGACACACTTAGCACGTATTTCCGGCCTTGCCTTGGCGGAATTCAGCGGCAATTGAGCTGAAGCAAAAGGCCTGACCGAGTGCACTGAAAGAGTTAGTACTCCGTAAAACTAGCTAGGTTCAATTGAGGGTTCAGGGTTCAGGGGTGAAAATGCTCACACGTTCAGTATCGCAGAAGTCGGCCTGAACACGAATGGTATGAGATGATCGGAAACTGGTTCACGGATTCCTTGATGCGCAACCCTCTAATCCTTGGAAGACGTTTGGCCAGAGTCGCTCGGAAGGATGCCGCAATGGCCTCTTCAGGTTAGAGTATGGTCTGTTGAGTCAGGGGCACCAATAGCCGGGCGCTCTAAAGATACACTTTCCAGACGCGTATGCGGCTAACTGAGTCATTGCCTCCAAGGGCTGATAATTAAGTCGTAGTTACCAAGAGCTCAATCTTAGTTTAGCGAAACGCCTTGATCTCAGGGCGATAATCCCTGGCACGAGGCAAGCAGGTGTAAGTTGCGATTGATCGCTCGGTCAGTCCCCCCTCATATACGTGGAGGGATCTCCGCTTTTGACCTTTCTAAGTTCAGCCCACTTCAATCAAACATCAACTTCCCCAGCTTCAGCGACGATCAAGGCACGATGAAGGATGACAGTAACAAAGATCACGACGGCGTGGTTGAATAAGAGGGCGTACATCACCGAAGACACGAACAATACGAACATCGGCTTCTTCAACTTCGTCACATACGAGATACTGTACGCGGTCGTATCGGTGATGACCTTCATCGATCTCTTGACGCTACTCCTCCGGATTGCATCAGTACGAGAGCGACGATCGCGACCCCAAGCCGATGATTATTCTGCGATACTTGCTTGCGTAAGTGGACGAACCCACCGAGTCGTCGTGGTTTCCGATGATGGTGGAGCTGTAGACTGATATTGGGAAAGGTGTTCTCCATTGCGACAGGAATCATCGTTCTGTATGGTGCGTTACCTCGAGACCTCGAAGTCGACCGCATTACTTGTTCCGACCGAACTCACGTTTGCTCTTTTAGGCGCAGTTAAGCGTGTAACTGGTCGACATGATTGGGACCCATGGCCTCCACCAGAAGGACCCTGGCCGAGGAGCGATTACACGATGAGCACCAAGGACACTGACCATCCAGTGTTCCTTGACTTATACAAGATCCACCTTCAGGTACATTGACCCGCTGCTACTGGATGGATTGGTCTTCATTGAGGCTGATGAACCATTTTCATAGGTGAATTATGCACTTAATAGTCTTCAAGGCGTTGGCATCGGGACCGTTCGACTCGCTTTCCTTTTCCTCTTCAAAAAGCTCTTCACACACCAAGGCCGAGGGTACATGATCTTGGTCAACGTTCTCATCGGCTTCGTTACCTTGTTTATGCTGGCATATACCGCGGTATCGGTCTTCGTTTGCGGGGCACATCCGGAAGCTCAATGGACCAACCATGACACGGCCGCAGAGCACTGCCTGGTCTTACCCACTTACAACTTCGGTATTGGTATTGTTACGGTCGTACTCGACACGGCTGTGTTCTTCTTGCCGATGTATCCACTATACAGAATCACCTCAACGAGTATGTTTCGACCACTTCATTCTCGTTGCCCTGGAGCAGGAACTGTGACTAACTCAGGGCACGCTGCAGTGACCAGAGAGAAGAAGTGTTATATATTGATAGTCTTCTGCTTTGGCTTCTTGTAAGCTCTTTCTTCCAAGCTCTTCGAACCCAGCTACACATCCGATTCACACAACTAACCGCTGTGTACCGTAGAGCCGTGATATCGTCGTTTTTCAGCTTGATTATTGGCACACCTGCTTTTCTATTCCAGGGGCGTAAGTTGCAACGTCTCATAGAACCTCTATGTTCTCGCTAATATCTACTAGAAAGCTATCTATATACCTGGCTGCGCGACCATGGTGCTGGCGATGGAGACACATTCGGTATGGTTAACCTATCACCTCCCATACTTCCGTCACTCTGCATGGATCATCACAACGTCATTTGCTTGCTGGTATTGACCGACTTGATTATCACAGGCTGGTCCGGAACTACCACATTTTGGTCTTACATGGAATTGGCCGTTGGCGCCGCAGTGTGCAACTTGCCGATTATATCGCGATTCTTGATACACAGGCTGTGGGATGTGTCCAAACAAGCCACCGTACAAACGATACAACAGGCCATACCCAGGAGCAAGAAACTGTTCGCACACCACCACACCCCGGAATCATACGATCTACAGAGCGATACATTACCGATCTACACAGTGAGATCGCAGTCTAGTCATACTGCGACAGTGGGTGGGTCAGAGCATGTCGTGGTCGTCGAACAAGGAGTTCACCAAAAGCTGGACGGGCGAAGTAACGAGCACCATGATGAAAATACGGGTTGTGGACAAAGCCAAGAAACCCCAAAATCCCAGAGTCAGACGGTGGTTTCGGGCTTATGAGACGTAATTTCTATTAGATTCTAATGTAATGTCATGAAGGATGATTCGAGAAGCAACACAAGCACGGAAAACACTTGAGACTCGTGGCTTCATGTTGTCATCAACAAGGCGTCGCCAGGCGTCCGTGCACTTGGTATGTGGTGGGCAACAACTTTTACGAATTCCAAGCCAGAGATCTACGCTCCACTGCACCGATCAACGACTCCTGTCCCTTCAAGTCTTTTCTCACTCTATCGTCAAAGAGTATTCGGCGTACTTCCGGATCGAAATTGAAGTCTTTGCTGGTAGTTTCGCGCTGCGACAGGCGGAAGTTTTGCATCTTCAAGCAGGGAGTCCGGTTGCATAGGACGAATGCTTCATGTACCATGACTTCGAATACAGAGAGGCCAGGCAAAGGAAGACAAGGGTAAACCAAGGCGTAGAGACAGATGAGTTGACTCTTTGAGGTACAGCTGGCAGAGAATGACTCGCTCGAAACGGAAGATGCCGACATCGCTTTCCCTCCCGGTATGTTTGGTAGTCGAGATCTGTCGAGGGCCGAGGCGACTAGTGTCCCTATTCAAAGACCCAGGGCCTTAGTGATGTGGTTTAACAGTTGAACCAGCAAACTCCCTGGCTGGGGTCCGGGACATTGCAGCCTCCATTAGGGCAGCCTTCTGTGCACGGACGAGGTGGGTCGTAGAGGCATCGTCTCTGGGCCTGCACCGCGTTGAAGCTGGCGGCCAGGAGGACGAAAAGCGTAGTGGCTTTGAGCTGCATTGTCGTTGAATTTGAGTTGTGAATAGGCGGGTTGAGCTGACAAAACTTATGGAGTTGCGAGGTTGCTGTGTGTCTGACAATCAAATTGACTCTGAACGAACCTTGCGTGTAATGGGTCAGTTGAATTGACTCCTCTTTATAGAGAGTCGAGAGCATGTTGAGCCCACCCGGATTGCCCGGAGAATTCATCACGATCGAATCCAGAACAGGTCGGCATGGCTGATCATCATCAAGAGTCATGACTCAGGGAAGGGATCTTCGCGTCACAAGTATCCGCAATTGTCTATTCTCGGCCGTTTTTGAACAATATCTTGAAGTTTATTTGTAGACGGCTAATCTATCTTACTTTGAAACTGACAATGACCCTTCCGCAGCCAATGAGGGTAACCCAGGTTGCCGGCGGGATATCCGCCTTTCCAATACCGCTCAGCACTGCCACACCGCTTGTTCTCCAACATAACTCCACGAAGCCCGTTTGGTTAGCTGACGAACTTATTATTCTTGTCAAGGCTGAGCATTCAATGAAACGTTCTGGGTATTCCAACCAAAAGTGTTGCTCATGACAAAGCTCTGTCCCCTATCTCCGTGGTTGACGAAATCTCGTCAACAGGCTGAATGAGTGAGAGGCAAGTTATTGGTTTCTCTCAACTGCTCTCTGATTTTCGAAGAAACGTTGTTGGGTCGTTTTACGGGGGTACGCTGAAGTTGCCGTCGCAATTCAACGGATGTAATGTTCTGCCTCCGCCTACTCCTTCTTGATGGCTAAGGTCCTAGAACCATCAAGACATCGACTGGCCCTTAAGGTAAGCCTAGAATCTTTGTGAATTCGTCGTAATCCTTGTTTCGTTATGTAGGAAAAACAAATGCAATACGCCGCGCAATACAATGCAGCCACCCTTATAATCTGGCCATCAATATCATCTCGCCATACCCAACGAGTACACATTTGTTATGTAGGAAAAAAGACGTACTCGAAGGAGGGTCTACTGCATTGTGCTATAGCCTAGTTCGAAGTTACTAGAAGGGGTGAATCATCTGGGGTGTTCCTGCGTCTCATTATGTGAGTAAGACAAAAAGCTCAACTCAACAAGGAAACGCTGGCTTACAAACCAAATTGACGTGGAGTCTCAGAGAAGAAAGCCGGCATTAGGTAAACTGTAGTCAATGAGACGTTGAGAATCCCTTTTCCATCGCCTCTGAGTAAAGCAGGTGCCGTTAAGCTTCATCACCCAGCAGAATGGCCTTTACTCTGATGTACAAGGCGGAAGGAACACCACCGTTAACTGGCGTTGTCAAGATGAGATGGGCAGAAAGACGCCTGATCTGTCTCAGCCTGTTGTGCTTTGTGTAGTGAGTTTCCTCTCTGAAGCTGTAGAAAACGTTGGATCAAGTGATCTCAAAGCTCAGGCTATCTGTTGCTTGAGAATCCAAGATAACATGAACAGTATTGTTCATTGACCTCAACCTAATCAGTAGAGATGGGTGACAAAAATGATGTTAGATGTCTCGGCCAGGTAGAAGTATGTGGTTGAAGCTGTAGCGCCAGAATAACACCGCGATAGTGGACTTGCGGCTAGCAAGCCTCCTTAGAAAGAGGTAAGAGTACTGCCCACGAGGACTTCTATTTGCTTGAGGATTCTAGGTTCAAACGCTCTCTCAAGTCTTGTTAGTCGAGCGGGCTGTTCTGGAAGGTGCTTGGGTGTACCTTAGGCGGAAGGGACTTTCCTCAAGATTACTACTGAGGCAGAGGACCTCCTTCCTTTTTAATTCATTCGAATGCTGCCTTTGCTCAATACTCTTTCGTTTGCTTACCTCGGAAAATCCTTCATATCGTCCACATCTCCTGCCGCCTAGGTAAAGCTTTCCCTCAACCTAACCCATCGCCCTCGCCTTCCTCACCTGCCGCAAGCTACACTTCTCTGCTCAAGAGACAATTTACCAAATCGCTTCCTGCTGTCAGTTTTCCGCGCACATTTCCGTTCTATCTTTTATCTTGCTAACCTGAAGGTCAGACTTTACCTTGCACCTCTCCACGATGCCTCCCAAGAAGACCACCGAGGCCGGCGCCAGCACCGGCAACAGCGATTGCACCGATTCCGAGATCAAGCTCATGATTGCCATCATGGAGCTCATGACCCGTCCTTCCCTCGACTACGACGCCCTCGCCCTCAAGCTCGGCTCCGCCAGTGCCAACGCCGCTCGCATGCGCGTCAGCGCCGCCGTCAACAAGCATCCCACCTGGTTCACCGGTGCCGGAGCCGCCACCAACGAGGACGGCACTCCCGTCAAGAAGACCCGCGCCAAGCGCACCCCGAAGAAGAAGGCCCCTTCTGACGAGGACGAGAACGCCGAGGAGCAGGACACTCCTTCCCAGAAGAAGGCCCGCACGGGCAAGGCCAAGCCCAAGACCAAAGTTGAAGAGGATGTTGCCGAGGAGGACATCAAGCAGGAGGGTCTCAAGCAGGAAGTCGCCGATGGCATGGAGGTCCAGGTTTGAGATAGCTTTGGGAGGTCTTGGACTTTGCGGACGGTCATCTGAATTGTGGCAGATCACTGAGAATTTGGGACGATTGCAGTCATGATTCTTGAGAATTGGTTGTTCTGGGCTTCAATAGGAATCTGAAGCGCGTTTTAGCTGGGTACCACGAAGTTGATTAAAGACCATCGGTATCTTTTCTCATCCAGAAAATTCACAAAGTACAAGCAAACTCCACTGATCTTGTCCTGCTAGCGATCGCGACTTCCAAAGTTTGAAGTGACTCCCACTAAATCAAACCATCCTGCCCGACCTCGAAAAAAAAGCAAACGACGGATGCCTGGAAAAATGGGAGACATGTTTTCTTCCATGAAGCTTTTGATCTTCTTTGGTTAGCCCGTCGAAGGCGGTCGAACCTCGAAGCCTGCTCCGAATCCAACATTTTGGACACTTGCATCACGGCCCACCCTCGTCGTCGTATGCTTCGCGGCTCATAGCACACCTCCGACTCTTTCATCAGCACATACGACCATACCTTCTGGAAAATACGGGATCCCGTCCGCTCTCCCATAGTCAAGCCAGAAAGGGCCGGATTAGTACTCAGGTCGGTGACGACTGGGGAATACCTGGTGTTGTATGTTTTTTGCTGCTGGTGTTATTTTTGTGGAGGTACACGTAATGATTGTGGTGGGCGCCAACAAATCTAGCAGCGAAATGTGACAACACAAGCTTTGAGATTGAAGGTCCAACACATAGATATTCCGCATTATTTTAGATACGAAGGAAAATGCTCGGGCAGTCCTCGCTGTCGTCCGGCTTAATTGTCGTAATAAGCGGGGACCTAGACTGGCTCCCTCTCAAGTGGGAGTTCCAACCATTCCTGCTCGGTATAAGTGCATCCCGGGATTTCGATCCTTGAATCCCTTCCCTAGGTCATGTGCCTTTCTGTTCCCGCACGATATCGTACTTCGTAAGGCGCATCCAACGTCTTCCGGCTTTTGAGTCACCCAGCAGACTCATTGCGCCGAGGTGACCTCTTCTTCTGTCGTCGTGGTGACGAGTACCTCAAGCTTCCACGGGCTCTCACCGGACTCGGCATTGTCGTCTGGGTTTTCGGATTGGTTTTCATTTGACTCTTCATTTGGTGGCTCAGCCCAACATTTCGTTTCCTTGGCGGGCAGATCCATCTGGGGATTTCCGGAATAGGTTTCGAGTAGGCTTTATTGGAGAGGGACTGTGGCGGAATGTATAGTCAGTCAAACAGATCGATGAACACGTTCATTGCCAAGACAACTTACGAAAGACTTTTACGAAAGATTTCCTGCAGGACGACCGAGCTCTCGATACGGCCGCAACCCCAGCTTTGTCGCGGCGGTACCAACCAACATCATCAAGCAGCGACTGCTCGAGAAGGGGAAGCAGACGTTAAGTAGTTGCGGAGGAAGCGATCGGGTCCAGGCCCATGCTCGACGCGCCGACTCTGGCGAGTCAAGTCGACCTGTGCGGCTTGCCGATCTTGTTGGCTCACCGAGCTGAGGGTTCTTATCAATGGTATTGTTCCCCTCCTTCCGACGGAACGCTTGCGCCAATGGGGAGGAGAAAATCGTCATGTGAACATCCAATAGGCAGCTCAATAGACTGTTTCCAACCGACCAATGCTGCAGGAGAACAGCGCTGTGAGCTGTGCCAACTCCGCTGTTGGCGCCAGCCCCTCGAGCCCCGAGCACCAACACCTGACAGATCAAGTATGATCCCGCGATGATTTTACTCCTTGAGGACTGGTGGCCCCCGCAACAGCGCCCAGCAGCAAGGGTGGTGGTGGAACCCGCTGAGCGTGACGATCTCCGGCGTTCAGGGTCTCTGGCGCTCCCCAGGACCGCGATCTCAATTCCAGATTGATCTCCGCAAGATTCATTATCCCGAGGTTCCATCGATAAGACCTTCCGGGTTGCATTTGTAGCTCAGCCGAGCATTCGGCGATGGCATCCGACGTTGGGACAGGCAGTATTGTATCAATCACTCTCTTGGGCTCGGCGGGATGCAGGCATACAATAACTGGGGAAACGGTCAACAGAAAGGGCATGAAAGCACTAGAAGAAAGCCATGCAACTTGCTCGTACGAGATACCCTCGAGTCAACTGCTTACTGATGTTGTCCTGAGCCCCATCCTGCCGTTTCAATCACTCCGTATTGATGCCTTCCCCTCGAAATACTGCGTTGGCGTACGACTCGTCGCGCATCATTAATTCCACTGACGGACGACCATCCCACCACGCAAGCCCTGTCTGCTTAACGAATTGAAAAGTGATTCATCTTGAACCGAGCAGGGGTCTCTTGGACGTTCCATCCGGCAGCCTTGGCATCAACGCCCTGGTCGTTTTTCTCCGTCTTCTTGGTCGCTTGGTCGGAATGGTTCTTGGTACCCTCGGGCTTGTACCTGCCGTCTTCAGTATTCTGGGTGGGCTTCTTTGGGTTTGCAGCAGCAGCTCTGTATAGAGCAGCGCTGTTGCTGGTGTCAGCGGTATGAACCAGCGGCCGTCTGCGATCGTAGGAAGTCACTTACTAACCCGAAGGCGCTGGGGTCTTGGGAAACATGGCATCGTGGAGGAGGGCACCGAATGCGTCCTTCTTCCGATCCGGTGTCTTCTAGGCATCCGGGTCGTTGGAGCCGCCGGAGGTATGGCGGGTGTTGCTGGAGCTGGATCGCTGCATGGCGGACAGCGGGGCGTGTGCAGTTATGGGAATGCGATATTTGGATTTTTCGCCTTGGCTGATCTTTGATGTCAGGAGAGGAAGCTGTTTTTGTGGTGTGTCGTGGTGGGAGAATCTGCGGAGTTAACTGAGCTGGGAATATGGGAGGGAAGGAGCAGCCATAAGAGAAGGTTTCTTTCCAACCGAGCACAAGTAGACATCTTTTTCCTTTTACACACACAATTTTTCGGAAAAGAAAATCTAGAAAATAAAAATTAAAAATAAAGGCGCCCACCTTTGGATAAGGTACATGGGATTGATGCATTGCTCGAAGCTTCCTTGTCACCTGTGATATTGAGAGGCCTTTCTTTGTTCTTTCTCATTTGAGACTGGTGTCAGGTCGAACAAGAGGATCAGGAGGGTATAATTATATATTACCTTTCCTATATTAGCGCTATTATTTAATAATAAGGATTAATTTAAGCCTAATTATACCTAATATATCTAAAACTACTAACTTTATATCTAATACGTCTAGATCTTAACTAATACCTCTATATACTATCCTATTATTACTAGAGTATTAAATAGACTAAACTTAAAGTTATTATATAGCTTACTATATTATAATATATAGAGTATTATTAATAGCTTATTCTCTATTCTAAATACTACTTAAGCTATAAGCTAATTTAAATACCTTTATAGCGTTATATAAGTAATATAATATTTCTAAATTATTTATTTATTTAATAGGATAGTATTTATTATAATATTCTTAATATAGTATATTTTAAGAGTCTTTTTAATATACTTTAAATAAGAGGGGTAATTATTCTTAATATTATTAAGGGGTTAAAAATAATAGTTAAGGTTTATAATTATATTAATAAGGATATTAATATTAATTAATATAAAGCTAGAGATATAAAAAGAAGATATTTTAAGTAAATAAAAGAGGAAATAAAAAGATAAGGGGATAAAAAGATAAAAGTTATAATATAATCTTAATAGAAGGGATATATTACGACCCATTAGGCATGACAGGACCAGGGTGATGCCCCGCAGCATACCTGGCGACTACAGGACATTTGTATGTAGGAAGACACGGGAACGGAAGACTCTCCTTGGAACGGAAGAACTATGGGTAAGTCACGTGATGATAAGATAAGGTGATCATTCTGTATATGCAAGAGTGATTGGTGATTGATTACCAATAGGATGGCAATTAGTGATTACTATACTAGAACTTAGTGATTACCTTAAGGTAGAAGAACTATTTAGGACTTATATATAGGATGGACTTAAGCCCGGCTTAAGGACAGACTTCTATAGCTCTTTAGCAATTAACTTGTGATTCTCACTTAAGACTTTTAGCTATACCTAAGTGATAATTACTCTATAACTCTTATTAAGGACTTAATTAATTACTAAGACCTTTAAAGACCTATAATTACTTAACTAGACCTATAGAATAATAAATAACTATTATTATTATTATTACCTAACTTACTATTAATATAAACCCTACTATTAGTTAGCTAGCTATAATACTTTAATTGCTCCTATTTAGTAAGTTACTTTTTGAAAACTACTAATAGTATTATAATGTCTTTATAACTCTCTAGAAAGACCCCTA